CCCTAAACCCTAAACCCTAAACCCTAAACCCTAAACCCTAAACCCTAAACCCTAAACCCTAAACCCTAAACCCTAAACCCTAAACCCTAAACCCTAAACCCTAAACCCTAAACCCTAAACCCTAAACCCTAAACCCTAAACCCTAAACCCTAAACCCTAAAAAAGCCAACGATTCTTCGAATGAAACTCAACGCTTCTCCACCTATCTCACCGTACCAACCGATTGCAAAAGGCACGAATTCGCTCGTCAAGCCGTCCAAGGGAACAAAGTTCGCCCATGCGGGCGAGTTTCTCTTCTTCTCTTCCGCGCTCTCAAGGTGGTTGTCAACTGCCAGAATGTTTGTGCCATGGCGAGTGAGTGGCGCCTGGTTGGTGAGGTCGAACACAATCTTGACGTTGTCGTCGAAAGCGTTGTCGATGACCATGTCTGGTCGATGTTTCTTGCCTCCTTCGACAAAACCCGCCCCCGCGCTCGCTCGGCATCACGGCGCCGCGATGTGGCGCGGGACCGTGACGCGTAACCGTCACAGCGCGACGCCACGGAGACGTCGTTCGACGAGCGCGACGACGACGGCATACATAGCGCGCGTGGCCGGACGAGCGTTGTGCGACAGGTTCGCATCGCGTTCGTTCGCGCGCGTCGCCGTCGGACGTCGTTTCAGTTCGCGCGTCACGAGCGGCGTTCGTGAAACCGCGGCGATGGATGAAAAGAGTTCGTGCGAGGGCGCGTGTTCGAGGGACACCCCACGATTGAGCGAAAGTTCCATCGAAGAAGGACTCCGTCAGCGACCGTTGTGGCGGCGCACCGCGGATGGGCGCGCGATCTCACGCGCGTTCACTTCAAAGAACTGGTCCGCGGCGATGGAGTTTCTAAACGCCGTGAGCGTCGTCGCCGAGCGCGAAGGACACCACCCGGACGTCGCCATTAAAAATTATCGCGACGTGGAAGTGGTGATCGCCACACACGCTATCGGGGGACTCTCGCGGTTTGACTTCATCCTCGCTGCCAAAATAGATGCGGAGTGCGCGGCGACGTACTCGCCGAAGTGGGCGCGAGAAAACGGCTTGGCTTAGCGCTCCAAGAAATCATCAAAAATGCGTAACGCTATGTAAGAATGAAGTAGATCCCACGCGTCCCGCGAGAGTGTGCCGAAATGCGACGCGATCGCGTCGATCGAACGTCAACCGCCAAATCTGTTGAATTCCTCACAGTGCGGCGACGCGAGCGGCGTCATGCGCGCGGTGACGGCGGAATCATCCGGTCGTGGCGGAACGTGGTGCGCGGTACCACGCGTCGCTCGATGTCCGCGTCACCCGTCGCGCGGTGCGACGGCGTCGCGCGCAGCGCGAGGACGCTCGTCGAACGACGCCGGGGGTGCTGATGGAGGAGCCTCGTCGTCGTACGTCGTTCCCGACCCGCGCCGCGTGAAAGAGCGGCACGGGAAGCGGTTGTATTACCACGGTCACGGGGAGATGTTGCTCCGGGAGGATTTGATCAGCGCGCTCATGGAGGTGGACGCCTCGACGCAAGTGAAAGAGGCTGGAAGCGTGTCGCTCACGCGCGAGCAAGTTAAAATCATGGAAGCGTTCTGGATTGGCGTCGGAGTGCGCAAGAAGGCGCATCGCGAGCGTTTGATTGATATGGCGTGTAAAGCCGGACTCTATCGAGACCCTGTTCGTCTACTCGAGCGATTGGCGCAGCTCGAAGACGCGCTGTGGTTGGGCGCGTCGCTGAGCGGCGTCGATTTGGGCGTCATCGTCGGACGATGTCCACGCGTGATTTACTGCGATTTAGACTGGACGGCGGAAAAGTTGGAACTTTTACGCGAACTTTTACCGACCGTGGACTTGAAGCGGTTGATCGAACGGAACCCGCAGGTGCTCGGCATGGATTTCACCATGACGATACCGGCAAAGCTGCGCGAGTTGTCAAAGCTGTTGCCGTACACCGATGTCTTCGCCTTGATTGATTCTCATCCCAAGTTGCTTTCGATGAATATTTCATCGAGCGTCAGTTCGAATCTTCGCGCCATGCGTCAAACGCTGGCGTCTGAAGGCGTGAGCGAGTCAACGGTCGAGGCGATGATCATGTATTCGCCGCGATTACTGACGACCAACCCAAACACCTTCGCTGATAGGTGCGCACAGCTCGCGCGCACGAAACCGGGCGCGATTCAACAGTACGCACTGAAGCCGGCATCTTTAGCGCGCATGCTCACATCGAGCGAACGCGTGATATCGCGTTTGGCGTTTCTCCACGAGAGGCACCCGCACGATACGACGAGCGCGATAGTCGCCGTGAATACGTCGGCGGCCAAGTTCATTGAACGATTTCCAGACTTTGAGGAATGGGGCCAAAAAATGTAGAAAAATTTAAAAAGTTTGTAAAATTAGTATTCTTTCATCCTGAATCTCGATTGCGCGAGTTCGTCGTCGAGATCAGCGTGGGTGAGTCGTTTGGTTTCGTTTCGTTTCATAACATCATCAGCCCGAAGTGTTCGCCGCGGCCGCGTCGTCCTTGGACAAGTCTAATTCTTTGCCCGTGATTCGTCGATAAATATCGACGACATCCCGAACCGTCGTCTCGAAGTGCGTCGTGGCATCGTAACCCGTGGAGATGAACGCGCCGTCGGCAGTTCCATCCGCGAGAGGCGCGTGCACGTCGGTGACGTTGTAAAAGAGCTCGTCGATCGGACCGAGCATGCGAAGACCAGCCTCGAGTTCGCGATGAGGATCGTTCGTTTCAACAGTCGTACTCACCGACGCGAAGTAGCGTCCCTTTGCGCAAACGTTGTGCGCCGAGCTCGTGCCGAGCACGTAGACGTCGTGGCGGCGGCCGCACTGCGCCGCTGGAATGATAATTTGTACGCTCTCCGCGTCGTTCACATTCGGAATCGGATGGCTCAGCAAGCACAACGCTCGAACGACTTGACCGACCTTTTGAGTCTTCCCTGGAAAGTAGCTCGCGTCACCGACGACGAACTTTGCTTTGGCGGTTTCGCCCTCGGATTTCGCGCCGCACGCGCGACCGGTTTCCTCGTCGTACACGACCTCGACGTCGGATTTCGCCAGCATGTACGTCCCCCCGTGCACCGCACTGAGACGTGCAAATCCTTGCGGGAGTTCTCCTAGGCCGTAAAGCGGATAAATGTACGGCGAACCGGTGTCGAATCGCGCCATAGAATCGGAGTAAAGTCTCACCGCCTTGACGAGGTCGACGGCGGGCTCGTCCAAATAGCGTTCGTTCGTCTTCAACGCCAACGCGTGACCGATGAACTCCACCGTTTCCGCGGCTAAACCAAACTTTTCGTACAAATCTCTCGCCGGCATGCGCTGTAAGTTGTATCCGCCGTGCGTGCTCGGGTCCGTCTCGACGAAATTTTGCACAAAGATGAAAAAGCTGCGCGCTCGCAACTTTTCAAACATTCCCATCAGCGAGCTCCGCAGCGCTTCCTTATCGTTCGACGGCACTTTATGAATCTTTCCACCCTTTCCTTGCACGTACGACCCTTCGGCGGCGCGAAATTGCAAGTAGTTGTGCACGCCGGTGCGGACGAGCACGCGCACGAGCAATCCGTTTCCCATCATGAATTTGGGGACCAAATCGATGTTGTAGTCTTGCCATCGTCCGTACTTGGCCGTCAGCGCCGCTTTGTCTTGCGCCTTCTCGGGTGCGAACTTCTCGTGCAGCTGCGTCAAATTTAAACTCGCGCTTTCCCCACCGTAGTAATCGTTTCGGTCCACGTGCAGGATCTTGTAGCCTTCGACGCTCGCGAGCAAGCCGGCGACGAGGCACTCCTTCAGGCCGGTGCCCAAGATGATGGCGTCGTACTCTTGATCCATCGCGACGTTCGACGCGCCGTGGACGTTCGCGCCCGCGCTCGATCCGCGCGTCCGCGATGTGACGACCGAGCGGATGAATGCGCGCGTCGACGCGCGCGTCGTTCCGCGCGTCAGACGCCGACGCGCCGTCACGCCATGGCGGACGACGACGACGCGAAGGCGGACGTGGTCGAAATCGTCGGGTACGACGTCGCGCGCGAGCGTCGAACGAGACGCGACGGCGACGCACCGTACGTGTTCGGCGCCGACCACACGAATGGTGTTCGAGCGGACGACGACGACGACGACGACGAGGCGCGCTACGTCCAGGCGCTGGCGACGACGAACGGCGGTAAAGCGATCGTGGGCGTGCGCGAAGACGAACTCATCGACGCCACGTTCGGGGTGATGATACCGGGGAGCACGCGCGCGGGGGAGGTGGAGGAATCGCTCACGCGCGCGGCGAGACGCTTCGCGGCGATGGCGCAAGAGCGAGCGTGGCGTACACGATTACAGACGCCCGTGGCCGAACCGAGCGGAGAGTCGGCGGACGAGAGCGACGACGACGGACGCGATAGACGCGTGGTGTACGCGGACGACGCCGATCCGGCGGCGTTTGACGTCCATACTTACGAGGAAGTGACGTCGAAGTACATCAATTTGAGCTATTATGAAAAACGTGTGGCGCCGCAGACGCGGTTCCCAGACGGGAGCGTGAACGCGACGCCCATACGCGTAGCGAATTGGATATTTGCCGAAGAGTTCGTCAAGAGGGATGGTTTCGTGGAGGAGCCCGACACCGAGGAAGAGTCAACGGCGGCGACGGAGGAGGAAGAGGAAACCACAGAAGCGTCGCCGCCGCCGGAGGCACCCGAGGCGGCGTTGGAAGAACCGCCGACCGGTTGCTTCGCGTGTTTCGGTGCCGGAAGAGATAAGAAAACCGTCTCGGCTTCGAGTGAATCGGAGAGCGTAGAAGAAGAGACGCAGCTGCAGGCGGTGTTCGACTACGAATCAGAGCGAAAGACGCTCGTCGACTTGGAAGTGAAGTTGGCTACGCTGGAGCTCAATTGTGGACAACTCTTCTTGGACATGAAACGGCTCGTGCACTCCGTTCGCGGAAACTTTACAGTGGAGATGCTGAAGACGGATCCACGAGCGCTCGAGCTTCAAAACCGAATCAGAGAAATTGAAATTACGTTGAAAAGAATGCTCTTCACTCGCGACGGGGTAAAAATGGATATTAAAAAGCGTCGTCGGAGAATTGCTGAGTTCGGAAAAGAGCGAGCGCTCGAGGCGAAGCGATTGGCCAAGGACGAACGCGTGGACGCCGAAGCAGCCCTGGCTGCCGAGATTGGCAACATCCCAGATCCGCTAGAAGACATCGACCGCCTCTTCGGCTCGGCGCCCGCCGCCTTGTTTCTCATGCTCGGACCGTTGTACTTGTGGCATTATTACGAGTGGATACAAACGAACCGCGTTATGAAGCGTCGTTTAGAGTCGAAGACATCGACGACGACTGTGTACTTTTACAATCCATTGTTAGTGGCCGGCGCGCGCCGGCTTAGACTGCCGGCGAGCAACGTCGAGCTTCTCGCCATGCTCTTGGCGGTGCAGAGCTTGCTGAGTTTTCAGCTTTGGATTATTGATCAGCCCGATTATTCGCAAGAGGAAAATATTGCCAAATATGAGTACATCGTGCTGCACACGTTCGTGCGAGTCGCGGTGCCGTGCTACAACGCCACGGCGTGCGCTCTGAGGCGGCAAAAGCGTCGAAGTCGAGAACAGACGTCGAAAAAGCTTTGGGAATATGAGAAGACCGCGTCAAAGCCTTCATTGCGCGATCGAACGGTGACGAGCGGCAATTTGTCGTCGTTTGCGAGCGCGGACGTCGTAGCCGGCGATGGCGACGGCGACGGCGACGACAGCGGCTCGGAACTTTCGAGCTTGCTTCCGAGCGAACTCGCGGAAAAGGACTTGGTACAAATTTCATCCATCGTGGACATGTCCGCTTTTCGAGAAGCGTTGAAAGATCTGGACCCTGCCGAACGACAAAAGGTGCGTAGGATGCGCGTTAAGCAAGAAGTGTTAGGATCAGAGGGACGTTTCGGTACAAGTATGGAAAATAATTTGGAAGAAATGCAGGTCAGAACGGACCCGAGCGAACCCGCGACGAGCGTCTCGGTGAGAACATCGGAGAGGTTTTCTGAGTTCCTCCAGTCATGTTCGGTCGATGCATCCGTTCTCGAACCAGGGGACGAGAACTACGAAAAGATTCGCAGGGAATACGTTCTCAAGGCGCGCGCTCAACGCAAGGCTGAAGATGAAGCGCGCGATCCGTCGAAGAAGAGCGCGATCTTCGACGTTGGCGACATTCTGAACAAATTATTAGTCGATGAGTCAAGGCTTGAGACGGTGCCTGGACCAATCGAAAATGAAGAGGAAGTGAAAAAGTCTCGTCTAGACGTCGATCAAGCCGATACGGTGCTGCAAGCGGTCGCGCGTCTGAACCAAAAGCACAAAAAAAAGTATCGTCAAGGCACGGGATACTTGCCAAACAGTGCCACCTATCGAGATGTCGATCAAACGAAAGTCGCACGGGCAGTCGCGGAGAACGATGACGATGAAATTTAGCGCCACGCCGACGATGAATATCTCATGTATCTATATTCTGTAAGCACTCCTCATAAATCCGCGCGCTCGATCTCGCGACGTTTCTCGCTCATCAAACCAATACCAACGAGCATGCATTCGCGTCGGAAATTTTCCTTCGCTCCCGCACTACTGCTCTCCATTGCGGTCGTCGTGCAAAGCTTTGCACCCGCGCGCGCGTTCCAGCTTTTCCCCAAGAGAGAAAAAGCTTCTTCAACGAGTACGCCCGAAAGCGGTGGCGTGGCTTCATCGACGCCGATGAACGAACTCACGCGCGCACTTGACACGGTCCAACAGCTCGTTCGTAGCTTCGACGTGTGTGCTCCAGCAGCGAGCGGCTCGGGCGGCGGCGCCGTCTTGAGCGCCGACGTCGAGGACGAGAGCGCGCGGCACAAATCACCCTTGGCACAGATCTTTTCCGTCTTGAGCGCCGACGTCGAGGACGAGAGCGCGCGGCACAAATCACCCTTGGCACAGATCTTTTCGACGTTGATCGGGAGATCTGCCATGGACGTCGAAGAAACTGCGTCCTCGATCACTTTTACCGCCGATGTTCCGGGAATCGATGTCGAGAAGAATCTCAGCATCGAAGTCAACGTGCCGACGAATGTGCTAACGATTCGAGGCGAACGCGTCGAGGACGCGGGATCGGACGTGGGATCGGACGTGCACAAGCACAAGAGAGAGCGCCACTTCGGAAGCTTCATGAACAAATTCACTTTACCACCGCACGCTATCGTCGAAGAAATCAGCGCAAACGTGAAAAATGGTGTGCTCAAGATTGTCGTTCCGAAGGCATCGGCGGCGGCGCAGACCGTGAAACGAATTCCAGTCGACGTCGCGTGAGTTTGCGTGCTACAGTTTTGTTTTACAAGTGGTCTCGCGCGTCTTTTAAAGCTTTGAAATGAATCTTTTAGAATGCTACCAAGCCTGGAATTTTATCTGCGTTTGCGAAAATGAAACTCGCCACCGTGCACGTGATGATGACGCCGCTTACGTCCATTATCACCTGCACGCTCGTCCCGGCGTTGGCGGGGTCTTGCCCTAATTTCACCAGTGCGAACGGGAGAATCGTACCAACGCATGTGGACGTGGTGACTATCGCAAATAAAGCAGTGGCGATAGCGAACGGTCCGACCAAATCGTCCGAGCCTTGCGGCGACGTGAGCAACACGCGCACGAAACCCGCGGACGACAACGCGGTGGCGAGCAATAAACCGACTTGAAACTGCTCGGCGAGCGTTTTACGCATGCACTCTTCGGTGTTCTCCATCTCTCCAGTGGCCAGTCCTCGAATGACGTGGATAGCGCTTTGGTTTCCCGCGTTTCCGCCGGCGCCGACGAGCATGGTCAAAAACAACGTGACGATGATATTCTCCTTGATGAGATCCTCGTATCGCGCCAGCACCAAGCTCGACGTGCTTTGTAATATGAGCAACCCGAGTAACCACCGCACACGAGTGTACGCTTCGGGTATGACGCCTACGACCTCAGCGTCGATGTCGACGACTTCCCCGCTCGGCGCCGTGTCTATGAGCTCGCTCGTCTCCCTCGCCCGTTTCGGGCTCACCCATCCGCGTTGGGCGTCTAAAATTCGTCTCGCCAACGCGCGTTGAACGTCGACCGATACTTTTGTCGCCTGTCGCTGCTCTTTAAGCGACTTCTTACTCGTCGACGGCGCGTCATTCGTTTCGTTTTCACCTTCCGTTGGCCTCGGATCCTTGATGGCGTTCGAAACGACGTGGCGTCGCCGCGCGTCACCGCACGAACGACGTGAACGCGCAGCGAGTTCGAGTGCTTTTGTTCTCGGGCCCGGGGACGCGCGCACCGGCTCCGCGCGCGCGCGAAACCACGCGCGCATGGTGACCCGGGACGCCGCGCACAGTCAGCGTGTGCGGCGAGCGCGACGCGGCGCCAGCGACGCGGACCGACGAGTCTTCGGAGGAAATTTCACACGGTGGTAGTACAACAATCACGCTAAAACTATGCGTCGGAGCGCTCACGACCTTCGCGACGCGCGCCTTTGAGGCGTTCGCGTCGGTCGCGCTCGCGGTTTCGCAACTACGGACTCGCTCGCGGCGACGGGGCTGCTCGCGACGGAAGGTGTCGTACCGAGGGCGTTCAAGAGCAAATTCAACTCGCTCGACGTGAACGACGGAATTGAAATCGGTTTCGAATCCGCGCCTTTACCGCCTTTGGGCGTCGGTGCGTCAGCTTTGATGCTCAGGAAGTGCTTCAACGTCGTTCCTCGCTGGATGTTCGCCGTGCCGTCTTCGTTCGGGGCTAATGACACGGTCACCGCGTCACCATTCGAGACGATTCCGTTGGCTTTGTATCTATTATCTGCACCGTCTCCACCACCCGCGGGTCTCGCGCTGAGTAACCAATTCATCACGCTCTGCATGTCGTTCGTCGCGTTTGATTTCTCGCCGCCGCCGTAACGATTGAACGCGCTATTCGCGTTGCTTCCGCCACCGTGCGAATTCGCCATGACGCGCGGTGAAACCATCTCTTGCACTTCTCGCAACAAATCGAGCTCGGCGCACGACAAGCTCAGGGTCTTCCCTACCGAATAGTTGGTTGGAAGGAAGTTGCTCAGCGACGCGCCAGTCTTGAAGCCGTCCATCCCGCTCGCGCCCGCCGCGCTCTGCTCGCGGCTGTTGACTTTTATCGACAAACTCGGACGCCACATCTTATTCTGTCGATCCGCGCTCGCCGAGTTCGTGGGCGAACTCACGAAAAGCGACGGCGATATGCCGTTCTTGCCGACGCCCGTTCGCGTCGCCGCGAGTTCCTCCAACGACGACTCGACTTTCGATCGCTTGACATCGCGGCCGATCCCCTCTTGATTCGTCGGTGAGCGCGGCGCGGGCTTTTTCCGGCCTCGCTTCGCCGGAGTCGATCTTTCGCTCGCCACCATCGCGCGCCGCGCCGTTCCCTTTGCGTCGTAGCGTCTTCGCTTGCTCTTCGTCTGCTTGTCCACGAGCGCCTTGAATCTATTCTTCGCCCCGTTATCGGTTCTCCCGCCCACTAACTTGGCGATCGCCGTCCACTTGTTACCGAGCTTTTCGTGCGCGTCGAGCAGGGCGAGATCTTCCGCCTCCGTCCACTCGTGCTCTTTGATTTCCGTCGTCAAGTGGCCGCTCCAACGCCTTCGACACTGCTTGGCGGTTTTCGTCTCCATCGCGCTCGCGAGCGAGTTCCATCGCCGCGCGCCGTGCTTTTCGATGAGCGCCAACAGCTTTTCATCCTCATCGCTCGTCCACATCGCGAGGATTCGCTCGCGGCGGCGATCGCGCCGCGCGCGAGGCGCGTCGGGAATTGACGCGCGCGCGACGCCGCAGCCTCTCTAAACCCCAGGCGCGCGCGCGCGTCTCGGACGCCGACGGCGGAAACCGCGCGCGCGAGGTCGACGCGCGCGTTACGTTCGTATATTACACATTTCAAAGTCGTCGACGTCTGACGCCGTCGCCCGTCGTCTCACGCCGTCGCCCGTCGTCGTTCGTCGCGCGCGCGAACGACGGCGTAGTACGCCGCGTCGGTGACGACGTGCGAGAGCAGCGCGAGCGGCCCGACGAGCGTGGACAACACGAGCGTGTGCGCGATCGGCGGCGCGTGCCCGTCGCGCACGTTTCGTTCGCGCGTTTTCAACGCCACGTGTCGAGCGACGAAGAGGTTGACGCACAGCAAGTGCGCCCACGCGCTCGTCGCCGTCGCGCGCGCGCTCAGGAGCGTCATGATCGAGCGCAGCGTCGGCACGAATTGCACCTCCCCCGTCGCCAGTCCTCGCTCCAGGCTTCCCGGCATCATCAGCGACAGCGTTTCCGGCGTCCACGACCGCGCGAGCAAGATTCCGTACAGCGCGCACGGCGCGGCGAACATCTTCGCGAGCGACGCCGCGAAGTCGCGCGCGTCGACGTCTTCGTCCTCTCGCCTCGCCCGCGCCGCTCGCGCGCACATCACCACCGCGCCGACGGTGTACGCCGTCGCGCAGCACCACGCGATTTCATCCGCGCCCGCGTCCGCGCGCGCGCGCCTTCGTCGTCCCGTCGTCGTCCGTCCTCGACGCGCGCGCCGCGCCTCGACGCCGTCGCCGCGCCTCGGTCGCGTCGACGCCGTCGTCCGAGCGCGCGCGTTCGCGCGAACGACCCCTCGAGACGTCGCGCTCGCGGCGCGCATCGCGCGCGCGTTCGCGCTCGACGTCGCGCGCGACGCCGACGTCGTCCCTCGCATCGACGCCGCGCACTCGCGCCTCGACGAACGCGCCTCGACGCGACGCGACGCGCGCGATGCGATCCGTGTGTCAGAATCGCGCGTCAGGATCGCGTGTCCGAATGTCCGATGTCGTCCGACGTCGAACGAAAGCGACGAGCTCGATCTCGCGCGAACCAATCGAAACGCGAGATCGACGGGACGCATTGTGACGCGCGTGAACCCAATGACGAATGTCCGAATGATTGGTTTATCGCGAGATGGCGCGCCATCTCGCGATAAACCCGATATCGCGGCGACGGCGACGGCGCGGCGGCGCGGCGACACACCGCGACGGACGAGCGCGCGAGCGAACGAACGGCGAGCGACGCGACGCGAACGCGCGCGCGAAACGAGAGAACGATGGCGCGACGCGCGGGAGACGCGACGGGGAAGAAGAACGACGACGGGGACGCGAGGCGGGGGCGATGCGCGCGAGGGCGACGCGCGACGAAGCGGGCGACGATCGCGGCGATGGGGGTGATGAGCGCGTGCGGCGTCGGTGCGAACGCACTGACGCACATCTCGACGCTGGCGGGGAGCTACAAGCTCAATACGTTGAGTACGACGACGGAATCAGTGAACGGCGGCAACGCGCACACGAGTATTGAAAACGCGCTCGACTACGGGAACAGCGTCGCGCACATCATCGCCGAGCTTCGCACGTTCACGAACAGCTCTGATAATTGGGACAAAATGGATACGAATTACGACTCGATGTCGAAGACTTGGGTCGAGGACGCCGTCGCCAACTATGCAACGACGTCCAACGAGTGGACTTGGATTTCCACTCCGAAGGTCTTGCGCGGCATCAATGGCGTGACTGCTGTCGCTAATCCGTTGGAGGCGTACATCGCCGAGGCGGTGGTTATCGCGAAAGCGGATACGGCCGGAACCAGGCTCGAGGCGATGCGCGAAATCATCGAAAAGACCGTCTGGGACGCCGTCGGCTATCAAGGCTCGCTGTTGGCGTTGGCGGCGGCGCAAGAAGACGTGGGTGCCGGCAGCTTGTGCACGGGTAGCTCTCAAACCGACGCTATGAAGGCGCATTGGGACGTCGCCGCCGCGTTACTCATCGGTGATGGATATCACTCCGTCTTGGGGCGCGCGCAAAAGCGTGGGCTCGAGTTCGGCACCATGGGCGCGGCGGGCATCTCCAAGCCGTACGAAACCATCGTCAAACTCTTACGAGACGGTCAAGAAATCGAGGGCACGAACGACATGTGCGCTGATTTGCACAACATCTACGAAGACATCGAAGCGCAGATGCGGGTGGTGTACGCGCAATCCATCTTGAAGTATGCATACAAGATTGACAAGAAGCTCGCGTCCGGGGCATCCGTCAACGCCTACGACGACATCGTCGCGGAAGGTCAGGCGATGTACCGCGTCATCGCCGGTGACATGCTTCGTAAGTGCGCGACCGCTTGCAGTGGTGCCGTTGGGTTCTTCAATACCTTCTTTGACATCGAAATCTCAAAGCAGAGAGGCACCTGGGATTACGGCAATTATTGCACCGCCAGGACGCACGTCGTCGACTTCATCAACACGATGTCTTCTCACGGCGTCAAGGAGGCGTCGCTCGGCACGTACTCCGACGCCGCTTACGTGAACTGCGCGTTGGAAACGAACGAGGATCCGGCCAGAGAGCTCAAGTCTCTCGCCGGCTCGTACTTCACGTCAGAACTCACGCACAGCAGCACCGCGCAAGCCACCGTGAGCGCGAAGACGCAGTACGCAAAGGCGTTGGGCTTGAGCAAGAACGTGGCGCACATCGTCGCCGAGATGGACACGTTCATTCGCAACGAAGACGTCAGCGCCTCTTGGGATGACATGTCGTCTGATTTCGTGGAAGCGTACAAGGCGTGGACCGAAACCGCGCCGTACACGTCGAACGAATGGAACCCGCGTATGACGCAGTACGAATTCACCAAGGTTGCCGTGGGGTCGTCGGGCAAACATGCGGCTACGGGTACGCCGCTTTCAGGTTACATCGCCGAGGCCGTGACGCTCGCGAAGAGCGGTAAAAATTATCACGAAGCGGCCAAAGAAATGATTGAAAAGACGATGTTGGACGCCGTCGGCTTCCACGCCGCGCTCAATCACTTGAGTTATGCTCAAAGCTCCACGGTGTGCGTGAACAATCAAAAGTCTGCGGATCAAGAGGCTGCGTGGGACGTCGCCGCGGCGCTGCTCATCGGCGACGGCTACCACTCCGTCATGGGTCGCGCGCAAAAGCGCGGCGTCGAGTTCGGCACCATGGGCACGGCGCACACGGCGAAGCCGTACGAGACCATCCTGAAGCTGTTGCGCTCGGGGCAAGAACAGAAGGACTGCACCGACCTCCACAACATTTACGAGGGCATCGAAAGGCAACTGCGCATCGTGTACTCTCAGTGCGTCATCAAGTACGCGTTCAAGATTGACACGGCGCTCAAGAGCGGCGCCGTCGCGGCGTACGGGGACGACCAAGCCGAGGGCCAGGCGTTGTACCGCGTCATCGCGGGCGACGTCAAGGCCAAGGGTACGTCGACGTTCTCGGATGCGTACCAATTCTTCGACGCGCTATTCGACGTGCGCACCGCGCCCGCGCGCGGTACGTGGGCCTACGACAACTATTGCACCGCCATCGCCAACTTGAAGGGCGTGTTTGGTTTCACCGACTCCGAACTCGGCCAATACCACAAAGCGTATCACGTCCACTGCGACATCAAGACGGAATTCTCCAGCACGAGCTACGCCGATTTGGTGGCGCACGTGCACGGTCTCAGCTCGGGAGGCGTGTCCACAAAGGAAATTCGCGCCGCGGAGGCGCTCGCGGCGATTAGCTTCATCGTCGCCCTCGCTGGCGTCATCGTTGGCTCCATCGCGTTGCACAAGTCTCGGAAGAGCGGTACCACCGCGTTCAAGAGCTCGTACGTGGTGCACAACGTTTAACATAGGATTGCTTCGCGCGCGCGACGCTCAAAACCAGAAGTCGCGTCTCGCTTCGGCGGGCGCGACCAGTCTTTCATCACCCTTCACTGCAATACATGAAATATCTTCAATACATGAAATAAAACGCGTCGCTCCTAAAAGCGTCGACACGTCGAGCGCTAAAGTATCCCCAACGCCGAGGTCGTTCCGCCGATGACGCTGGCGCTCGCGGCGGCTTTGATTCTTCGAATCCGTTTCTTCTTCAACTCCTCCTGCGCGATTCGCTCGAGCTCCAGCAGCTCTTCCTTCTTGGGCGGTCGGCGGAATTTCTTCAAAAACGTGTTCACGCGCCCCGCGTACCGCTTCTGATACCTCTTCTTGAGCCTTTGCACGATTTTCGGGTAAAAGTGATTCCAGTACACGTTTTGGGCCAACGGCGAAATCCACAGCTCGTGCGCGGCGTACAGCGCCAACCCGATCGTCGCCCCTCGCGTGAACACGCGCCACATCGGCCACTCTAATCTACTGAAATACCTTTGACACAACAAGTGAAACTCTCGCTCGTCCAGCGCGCCGTCTCTGTCCAAATCAAAGTCGCGCAAGAGCTCGCGCGCCTCGCGCCGTCCCGCTCGCGGTCCCCTCGGCATCGCGTGCCCGTTCGCCCCTTTCTCGCGCAATCGTTCGTGCAGCAAATCGATCGCGAACTGCAATTCCGTGCAATCCATCACGCCGTCGTCTCTGTGCACCGCACTCGCGCGCGCGAACACGTCGCTCACTTCATCTCTGAACGCCTTCGAGTGCACGAAATCCAACCAACGTCTCGTCGACGCGCGCCGTCTTTCCTCGCGCTCGCGCGCCGCGTCCGCCTCCGTCGCCCCGTCGCCGGCGCGCGCGTCGGCGTCGACGTTCGGCGCGTTCGCGCGCGTCGCGTCGACGTCGCCGTCGTCGTCGTCGTCGCGCGCCATCGCGCGCGACGTCGAGTGACGCCGCGCCGCGCCGATTCGCCGCACACGCGCGCGCGTCGTCGACGATCGATCGCGGATCGCGGGCTCGATGCCGTCGTAGATCGACGCCGACGCGTCGATGCCGCTCGCGCGCGCGCCGAGGGCGTCGCGCGCGTCCGTCGCGCTCGCGCGCGCGTCGTATCGCGCCGTCCTGCGCGCGGTGATGGGACGACCGGCGACGGCGGACGAGACGGCGGACGAGACGGCGACGACGACGACGACGGCGACGGCGGACGCGGCGTCGTCGATCGCGCCCATCACCGCGCGCGCGCGCGCGGTGCTGCTCGATCGCGTCGTCGAGCTCGCGCGGTCGAGCGCGGTCGAGCGGGACGACCGAGGCGACGGCCGAGGCGAAGGCGACGACGAAAGGGAGGTTCGCGAGTTCACGGCCAGGTGCGCGATGGCGACGACGTTTTTCCGGCGCGCGCACGCCGATCCCGCGAGCGCGGAGGCGGCGCACGCGCGCGTGTCCGTCGGGTATCTGGACGCCGCGCGCCGCCGCGCTCGACGCGCGGGCGGCGGCGGCGCCGCGCCGTCGAGGCGCGTCAGACGCGCCGAGACCTTGAACGCGGACATCGCGGCGTCGTTCGACGACGTTTACGCGAAATCGTGCGCCGCGATGGTCGGTCTGCACGATCGACGCGGATTGATTCCGTGACGCGCCTCGGCGTCGGTTGACGCGCCGCGAGCGCTCGCCGCGACGCGATTGTAATCGTCACTCCGCATCGCGTCGTCTCGTCGCCGTCGTCGGTTTCCGGCGATGGTAAACTTCAAACTCCCGCGCGGGCCGAACACGCTGACCGCGGGCGTCTCCCGACGCGCCCTGGATGACGAAAAACCGACCGCGAGCGATCGATTCGTGAGTTTCGGCGACCGCGTGCGGTACGACGACGCGACCGGCGCGCGCGCGGACGACGCGCGACGAGGCGCGCGATTGCGAGTGATCGCGAGCGATGACGACGCGGACGACGCGACGTCGACGTCGAGCGCGGCGCGCGTGCACGAAGGGCTGCGCGAGACGGCGACGCGAGACGACGCGCTTCGGCGGTTCGCGAGACGAGGCGCCGCGTTGGGCGGGTCGACGGTGCGATTCGAACCGTCGCGAGACGTCCCGGTGGGATGCGTGGCGATGACACGAGCGATGCGGCACAACATGCGACTGGCGCTGGATAACGACGCGGAATTCGAGGCGGTGGAGGCGAGCGAGGTGGACGACGCGGTGGACGTCGCGATGGAGCTCTCGCGCGTTCGAGACGACGACGACGACGACGACGACGAGCGAGAAATCGAGAGCGAGGTCGCGAGACGCGCGATGAGGGCGCACTTCGGAGAGCTCGGTCGCGTGTTGACGACGTCCGAGGTGTTCGTGCTCGACATCGACGGGTCGACGTATCGAGCGCGCGTCGCCGACGTCAACTCAAAGACGTGCGAAGAGGAAGCGGCGACGTTGGGCTATCACTGCTTTCGCGCGCGCGTAAACGCTGAGACGACGTTCTACGTGCGCTCGAGCGACGAAAATTCGTTGAGAATCGCGAATAATGAAGGCAAAGCGCGCTCGGTGCGATTGGCTCGGCGCGAAGTGATCGAGGTGCGCACCAAAGACGGCGAGACGTTTCCGGTGAATAGGCGTCTGCTTCGGCAGTGCATAGCGTTGACGTCCGCGGTTCGACGCGCGGGAGAGCTCGGCGAGGACGACGCCGATGAATTCGTGAGCGCGGATGTCGACATCGACACCGACGTCTTCGATCGAGCGTTGATTTTCCTCGAGCGAGCGGCCACCGGGCAACCTCCGCCCGCGTTCGACATTCGCGTCACCGAAGCGCTCGCGCGCGCGGCCGAGGTTTTAGAATGCCGTTCGCTCGAAGAATACTGCGCCGAAAAGCTCGGGGCGTACGGTTCGAGGATACGCGAGTACGATTGGGACGAAGTCGTCGCGCACAACGCCGCGGGAGGCGTCTGGCTCGTCATCGACGGAATGGTCTTGGACGTCAAGCGATGGTTGAACGAGCACCCGGGTGGGGACACCATCATCCCAAAACAATCGCTCGACATGGACGCCGCGCGACATTTCGAGATGTATCACTCCAGCCGCGAGTCGTTCTTGTACCTGAAAGAGTTTTACATCGGCGAGGTGAGAGCTCGCGATCGCGCGCGCGTGCCTTCGCCGTCGCCCGAGGCGAGCGAGGACTTCTTGCGTCAACTCCGGCAGTACACGACGTTTCGAATCGAGGGCGACGTCGCCCCGACGCGCGTGCACTTGGGGCAGTAGTAGAGCGTAGTAATAGTAAATGCAGAATCGTGTTGTTACAAAGCGGCGGCGGCGTTTAAATCGTAGCGGCGACGCGTCTCAGCACGCGGCGCGACGGAGGAATTCCATCGATTCGCGATGGCTTTCGATGGAGAGACGAGCGCAGGAGTCGATGGACGCTCGCGAGGCGACTCGCGGCGCGGTCGACGCCGGCGCGGCGGGAGCGTAGAAGCTCGACGCCGCCTCGATGTTTTGGCGGCTCAATCGAGCGGCGTGGAATCGAGAGACTTCGTTCATGCTCTCGTCCTTGGAGAAGCTCGCGCGAGACACCGCCTTCATGAGCGCGCTCGCGAGCGCACCGCCGAGCGCCGACGCCACGCGCTCTTGGTTTTGCAGGGTTTCCGCGAGCGCCCGATCGACGGCTTCGCTCTTTCTGCGCGCTTCCTCCTCTCGTCTCTTTTCTTCAGCCAAAGCCGCGCGACGCGCCGGCGGCACGTACGCGTTCGGCGAAGAGGCGCGCGCGCTCGCTTCCGCGCGCGGCGCGTTCGTCTTGACGACGCCCAGAGGCGAGCGCGGGACGGATCTCGCCTCGCCGTGCGCCGCCTTGGCGGGCGACCCCGCGCGAGTGCTCTTGGCGCTCTTCCAGAACGCCCCGTACTCCATCGGCTTGACGTAGCCGTGTCCGAAGATGAATCTCCCCGCGCACAGCTCTTCCAACGCATCGCCGTTCTCAAAGTCGTCCCCGAGCGCGAGCACGAGCGCGCCTCGCTCGTCGTGCCCGTACCTCGTCCGAAGCCCGTCCTTGTGTCTCACCGCGAATCCGCGCTTCGTCGCGCCGTCGAACGCGATCACCGCAAACGGCGTCGTCGTTTCCTTCGTCGTCACCCGTCGAAGCGCGTCTCGAATCGCCTCCACGCGCGCCGCGCCGCCCTCCGCGCTCGCGCGCGCCTCCGCCAGCGTCGTCCCGACGGCGCGCGCGTCCGTCCCGCTCGCCGCGACGATCCAGTCCCCGACCGCCGCGCATCGCACGACGCGTCGCGCGTCGCGCGCGTTCACTTTCGCCTTCGTCCGCGGCGTCGTTCCGGCGCTCATCGCCGCGCCGTTCGCGACGCCGTCCGCGATCGTCACCGCGGACGATGACGTCGCGTGCATCGCGCGCGCGCATCGCACGCGCGCGCGCACGTCGCGCGCGGCGTCGCCGTCGCCGAACGCCTTGGCGGGGGCGTAGATTAACGCGGACGTGAACTCTTCCATCGCTCGCGTCGTTCGCTCACGTCGTTCGTCGCGTCGGCGTTCGTTCGCGCGCGCGAGTGCGGCGCGGCGTGACGTCGGCGGTTGGATCGTCGGGCGGGGCGGTGACGTCATCGTCGGACGAACGCGAGGCGCGCGCGCGGGAGAGGACGACGAGGCGGCGCGCGAAAATCCGAAATCGATCGCGCGAATCTCGAAAGATTACGAAAGATATCGGTTACAACGCGTCGAAAGCGCGAGCGGGCGGGCGGATCAGAACTCGCCGCGACAGAGGTCGTCGTTGGTCAACGCGCACTCGACGGCGCGCTTGGCGTCGTCGAAACACTCGACGTCGGTGTCGAAAGAGATTCTGCGAATCAACGAGCTGCCGTCGGTGCGCACGCGAACGTCCATACCGCGACGATCGATGGAGATGATCCATAAATCGTCCACGACGAGGTCCAAGAGATTGCCCATGTGCGCGGCGAGACGCTGGGAGAAGCGCGTGTTGAGCTCGCCCAAGGTTTCGATGACGCTCTTACCGTGCGCGGCGGTGACGATCGTGTCGGGGGACGTCGAGCAGTACTCGTCGAGCTTGATCCAGTTCAACGTTCCGAACCCACCGACGAAGTACACGTCGACGATGCGATTCATGCGATAATACGTGTAGTCGCCCCAGCGATCCTCCATGTCGATGGCTTCCTTGCGCGCGTGATACTTGGACTTGAAGATTTCGTTCGCCGCCGTTTGATACTCTCCGTTGGGCAAGCGCTGAACGTCGCCGAATATCGTCACCCTGGCGTTCGCCAACCCGCCCCAACCGCTCATCTTCACCGTCAACGAGCACTTGCCGTCGGCGGCGATGTTGCGCGTGTGAATCGCGAGCGGCGCCAGGCAAAAGATTGGATGCCCCGTGGCGTCCGTCGCGAAGTCCACCGTGCTTCCGAACGGGTACCCAGCGCGACGATGATGCATGTCGCTCATCGTCGTGCTCAAATCGCCGTAATCCGCGAGTTCCATCAAGTTTCTCGCCGCCGTCGCCATCGAGGGCAAGTTGCTATCCTTGGTGTCTCGGCTCACCACCCCCCCCGCCATGGGCGTCCGCAACAACCGCGTTCGCCCGACCCGTTTCCTCGGACTCGTGCTCTGAAACGGTATCTCCAGCGCCTCGTCCTTCACCGTCCGCGTCGCCGTCTCCCCGCTCGACGACGGCTTCATCCCCGCGTTTTCCGCCTCGCGCGCCGCCGCCGCCTCCATCGCGCTCTCTCGCGCGCTCGGCGTCCGTCGCGCGCGCGTCTCCCTTTCCACGCCGCTCGACCCTCCCTGATCGCTCGCGCCGTCGTCCTTTCCCGCGCTTTTCGCTCGCGCGTCCCTCGCGGCCGTCCCGTTCGCGCGTCGTCCCGTCGCGCGCGTCGCCGTCGCGTTCGCGCGCGTCGCCTCCGTCCTCGCGCGTCGGCCTCGCGCCGCCCGCGCGCCCGTCGTCGCGACGCGCGGGGTCGTCGTCGTCGCCATCGCGCGCGCGCCGTCGTCTCGAGGCGTCGTTCGCCGTCCGTCGTCGCGCGCGTCGCGGAGTCGCGGCGAATCGCGGCGAATCGCGGCGGGAATCGCGCGGATGTTCGGACATTCGGATATGAGTATATAGTACTATGCTTTAGTGGTATTTGGGTCCGCTTGCGTGGTATCGATACCACTCAGGGCGATTACGCGGTGTGCAATTGATCCGTGCGGCTCCGGTTGGAACCAAAACAGCGCGCGCGCGAAGTATTGTTGAGTCTGAATTCTCTCGCACAGGCGCGCCATCGCTGACGTTGGCGGAGCAATTCGACGGACGTTGGCGGAGCAATTCGACGCTCTCGTGGGCGACGGCAAATTTTCAGACCCCACTGAACGCGAATTTGTCGAGAATCTCATCGCTATCAATAGCGGGAAAAACACCGAGAGTATTCAAAGAATAACTCCGTCGGGGGTAACCTAGGGAGGGGGTAAGCTAGGAGGGCCCATTTAGCAACTACCTGTGATGTAGCACGGGTAGCTCTTCATCGGAGCGTAGGCACCTTGTGCGAAGAACGCCGCCGTGGAGAAGCCGACGATGACGAGGGTGATGATCCAGCCGAACACAGTTTTACCGATGATGAACCAGTTGATGCCCTTGCGGCCTTCGAGTAGGGCGACGCCGACGGTGGCACCAACTTGGCAGTGAGTGGTAGACAGCGGCCAGCCGAGACGGGATCCCATGATGATGACGCAAGCCGCACCAAGCTCGATGCAGATACCGCGACTCGGGGTGAGCTTGGCAATCTTGGTACCGAGAGCGTGAAGAATCTTGTAGCCGTACAAGGCGAGGCCACAGACGATGCCGGCAGCGCCAAGACCGAGAATCCAATATGAATCGTCGCCCATTTCAGCTTCCTTCGAAACTTTACCGCTCTTGAAGACGACTACCATAGAGGCGAAGGGACCGATAGAGTTGGCCACATCGTTGGCGCCGTGCGCGAACGAGTCGCAGCACGCGGTGAGGATTTGCAAGTATCGCATGCAAAGTTCAGTCTTTTCGTCAAACTTTTCGGCGTTTTCGTGGATCGCCAATACAGCCATGTCTTCGTCAAGAATGTCTTCAGCCTTGTGGGTGAGTGAAGATTCAAGATGATCTTGCAGAGCGTACCACATGCGACGCGGCGCGCCAAAGACCCCGACAGGATACTCGCGCGGTTGACGGACGACCTTCTCTTCGGCCTTCTTGCCCGAACCACGCTCCGCCTTTTCGAGCTGTTGCTTCTCGAAGAGCTCATCGGTCGTCTTGAGGATGTAAGGGGTAACGAAGAAGTACGCAACAATGCCACATCCTCCGCCGATGCCGAACGCGATGGCGCACGCCGTACCGACCGGTGTGTCGTCGAGCTCAAGGAACTTGGCGCCCTTGTACACGATGAAGAAGATGTTGATGATGAGAGTGCACGCAAGCAACACTGGGAACGCGACGGCAGTACGAGAATAAGAATGTTCGGAACGCATGACGAGAGTACGCAGGGTCACGAAGAAGACGAACGCAAAGGCGCCAGAGATGACCGGGGACAAGAGCCAGGAGATGATGACGGCGACGACGCCTTTGACGTACGGGAATTCGTCCGCTTTCTTGGTCCAAATGACACACTCGCTACCACGCGCGACCAAAGTCATTCCAATCATACCACCAACGCACGAGTGCGTCGTGGAGACGGCCATTTCGAAGGCAGATGCGACGACGAGCCAGATGGCGACGGCAAAAATGACGCATAGGCAGCCGTACATCAAGAGGCCGGGATCGTTGGCACCACCGGTACCGGCGAAGCATTTCTGGTTAGCAATGCCCTTGCGAATTGTGTTGACGACGTGACCGCCCATGAACATGGCACCACAGAATTCAAAGATCGCGGCGAGGACTACAGCGTTTTTAATGGTCAACGCGCCGGACCCGACAGAGGTGGCGAACGCATTCGCGACGTCGTTGGCACCTGTAGGTAAATACGATTGATCGCACGACGTCAGTGATGCTTCTAATACACTCCAATCGCACGTGTGCGACCAAGCCGTGTCATTAAAGCCTATGAACGCGAAAGGTAAAAAGTGCGCGCATCGTGTGCGTACCGATGCCAAAGGCGGCGAAGAAGGCGAGGAAACCGCCGCAAACGACGATCCATTCGAATCTCTTGGTTTCAGTAGCGCCGGCCAAAAGGTGGCGGGACGCTTGAGCGAGCGCATCCGAAGAGCTCATCGTTGTGCGTGACGAGACGGCGCGCGACGTGTTCTTGCGGCGACTGCGCATATTCCCACGCGGGAATTTGAAAAGGCGAGATTCCGAGAATATTCCTCGCGGAACGAATTCACGGTTCGTGAACCTCGAAAGAAGACGCGATTGGTTCCAATCGAACTCGATTTTTGCAACTTGTTGCAATGTTCATCAACTGTGAATCGACTGTGAATCGACATTTTCCTGACAAAGTGTAGCACTTTCACGCGGATGTTCGGACATTCGGGTATGAGTATACAGCGCTACGCTTTAGTGGTATTCGGGTCCGCTTGCGCGCTCGAGCCCGGCGGCCGTCGACGCGGCGAACGCGCGACGCCCGTCGCGCGTCGGGCGACCGGCGCGCGCGACGCGGGGCGGCGAACGCGCGACGTCGACGACGCGACGACGAGGCGCGGATGACGACGCGACGGACGAGGCGCGCGAACGACGCGCGCGAGGCGACGACGAGCGAGAGCGAGAGCGAGAGCGAGAGCGACGAGAGCGACGAGAGCGACGACGACGCGAGCGCGACGTCCGAGCTCGAACTCGCGGTGGATGAACTCGGACGAATCGCGTGCGAAGTGAACCGATACCTGACGTACGAGACGACGAGCGCGACGACGTTCGCGGGGCGAGACGCGCTCGACGACGACGACGCGAGGCGGTTGACGAAGGATTGCGAGGCGGCGCACACGGCGAAAAATGCGAGAGGGAAGAGAAGGACGAGCGGGACGTCGAGTGGGAGGACGTTTTGGGTGAACGCCGAGAGCGAACCGAGGTGCGCGCTCGAGTATTTAGCGCGAGAGACGTTTCGAAGGGCGACGCGCGAAGCCGCGGCGCGCGCGGAACGAGACGCCGGCGCGCGCGACGAAGACGAGAGAGCGAGGTATGATCCCTCGAAATCGGGCGCCGAGTGGTGGACGCAAGTCATCGATGAGGGTGATGAGATCGGGTGGCACTGGGACAAAGACTACGCCCTCGAGGGCGCGGGCGTCAACGCGCATCCGCAACTCGGCACGGTGACGTACTTTTGCGACGGAGGGACGCCGACGGTGGTCGTGAACCGTCCGACGAAGGTGAATTGTGATTACGAAAACGGCGACGTCGGGGTGTGCGGTGATATCACCGAGTGCGTCGTTTCGTGGCCAAAGTGGGGGAAGCAAATCACATTTGACGGACGGTTCTTGCACGGCGCCCCGAGTGAGTTCGCGCGCGGTACGCCGCAGTCGTCTAAGCGCGTGACGTTCCTCGTGAACGTTTGGTTGAATCATAAACCCATCACAGCTCAGCCTTTAAGCCAGGACGAGTTGGCGACGATGCAGCTCCGAGACGTCGAGCGAGCGCGGAGTTGGGTCGTAACCACCGGGACGCCGCCGAGCGCCGCCGTCGTGGGCAAGCGCGAGCTTCGTGAACGTTCTCGACGCACGTTTGATTTCAAATTCAAATACTCAGGCGCGAAGAGACACTTAGAACTGACATTACCATTAGACTTCAGCAAAAATTCCGACGACTCGAGTTCGTCAGAGGTATGCGCGGGCGACGAGAGCACACGGGCAGTCTTCTCGCGTGCGGCGCTCGGCGAGCTTCGCTGATCCGAGTCGCGTCGAGAAATTCGGGGACATTTTAATATGTAAGTATGCATCTCATTATGACAGACAAAGCAATTTCCTACGTAAATCAAATGGAAAAAATCTTCATAATACTGAGTTGAGTCGACTTGCGCGGGCGTTCGCAGGAAACGTCGAGACGTTTACCCTTGGACTTGGCGCTGGTCAACGGCGCACGCAGCTTCGGACGCCGGGCGGTGAGCCAAGAACGCGGAGCATTGCACTTGCTTGATGTTGTCGAAGCCAGCGACGCGGACGTAGCAATCCGGGAAGCACTTGATGCAGGTGTTGATTTCCGCAATGACTTCATCCGGGTTTTGGCAGCCGTACATGGGGAGCTTCCACATAACCCAGTAACGGTTGTCGTAGTAACCGGCGTTGATGGAGGTGTCCATGTTCGCCCAGCCGTGGCCGTCGGTGTACGCGTGCGCGGAGTCTTCGAACTCGATGCACGGGGTCCAGCCGTTGTTCAACAAGTATTGCACTTGCTTGGAGATTTCGGCGTCGGAGAGCGGCGGCAAGAAGGAGAAGGTCTCGAACATCCTGCGTGACGACGTAAAAACGAAGCGAAATCGGTCAGTACAGCGCTCGCGCGAGTCTTCTACGCTCGCCCAACCGTGACGTCGCTCGTGGACCGCGTCCGACCCGAGTACGAAACACCCTCCCGCGCCGAGCATTCAAAGGTCGGTCGACGGCCGATCGTCCGGTCGATGATAATCTACGGATGATCCGCGCGCCGACCGACCCCGCCGCGCGCGCGGCGACGACGTCTCGACGTCTCGACGCCCGACTCGACGATGCACAAATCATCGCGCACGCTAAATCGTCGAACGCCGCGCCGTTCGACGCAAACACCCGAAAATTCCCGCTCGGGTTCCCGTTTGGGTTTTCGCGTTTGGGTTTTCGCGCTTATCCGATCACCCCGCGACCGCGCCGTGATCGACGGTTCGCACGCGTCCACGTTGCGCGCGCGCCGCTTTCGCGCGTCGCGATCGATGCGATGAAAATCATCGAAGAGATCGACCGCGATCGCGTCGGCGACGCGCGCGCGGACGCGCGCGAACACGACGACGATCGTCCCTCGGGGCGTCGGATGCGGCGCGATCGGACGCGGCGCGCGATCGCGTCGAAACACGTCGTAAACTATACGTACTTGTTGCCGTGCGGGCGCCAGATCATCATGGACTTGGCGTTGGCGACCTTGCCGGTGGTGACGGCGACGGTCTTCGCGACTTGCGCGGAGGCTTGGGTGATGGCAGACATGATCTCGAGATACGCGTGCGATTATGTCGCTCGGCCGCGGCGGCGCGCGCGTCAGGGGGTTGTGAGGGCGTTCGTATTCGTATTCGTGATGTACTTTATATGGGATCTTCTCTGTATTATAAATTATGTAAGCTGTATGTAAGAAAATAGAGGAAAAAGCCCCCTTCAGGGGGCCTACGCAGAGTGCTCGCGAACTGTTTGCCCATACGACGCGCGTAAACCCTAAAGCCTCATTTTCGCCCGGCGGCGCGGAAACGTGTGGCGGAAACGACGGCGGGCGAAGATCTCACGGCGTGATCTAGATTTCTTGAGTCGCGAACCGCGGCGAGTCCTCGATCTCGGAAAATCTTCGCGCGCGTTCGAGAAGGGATTGGAACGGTCAAATGGAACGGTTACGACCGGGTGTGCTGCGCGGCGGTCGGTCCGCGCGAGAGGGAGAGAGAGCGTCCGGAGATGCGCGACGCGCGAGGGCGAGGGCGAAGCGTTAACGCGTGAAGTGACGTGAAGTCTTCGTATGTAATTCAATAGGACTACATCTCTACACGAGCGTGAGTCCGCGGCAGCGCGCGTCTACAGACGCGCGCGGGCGTTCGCAGGAAACGTCGAGACGTTTACCCTTGGACTTGGCGCTGGTCAACGGCGCACGCAGCTTCGGACGCCGGGCGGTGAGCCAAGAACGCGGAGCATTGCACTTGCTTGATGTTGTCGAAGCCAGCGACGCGGACGTAGCAATCCGGGAAGCACTTGATGCAGGTGTTGATTTCCGCAATGACTTCATCCGGGTTTTGGCAGCCGTACATGGGGAGCTTCCACATAACCCAGTAACGGTTGTCGTAGTAACCGGCGTTGATGGAGGTGTCCATGTTCGCCCAGCCGTGGCCGTCGGTGTACGCGTGCGCGGAGTCTTCGAACTCGATGCACGGGGTCCAGCCGTTGTTCAACAAGTATTGCACTTGCTTGGAGATTTCAGCGTCGGAGAGCGGCGGCAAGAAGGAGAAGGTCTCGAACATCCTGCGTGACGACGTAAAAACGAAGCGAAATCGGGTCAGTAATTATTCTGTGCATCGTTTTCCGTCGATTTCAACGCGCAACCACGCGTCGCGAGGAAAATTAAAGAAGAAATCTCCGAAGGCGGTTACGATGGATCTCGGAGGCCTCCCCCCTGGGGGGGCTCACTCGAACCCCGTGCCGACGCTCGCGTCGACGCGCGACGCCCACCGCGCGCTGACGATCCGATGCATAAAAACTTCAGGCATCTTTTTCATTCATCGCGCGCGTCACGACGCCCTCGCGCGCCCCTCGAAGACCCCTTCTTCACGACCGGCCGAGCAATCCGCGCGCGTCGCTTTTTCGGATTACGTTCGCGTCCCGTCGCGCGCGCGCGTTCACGTACTTGTTGCCGTGCGGGCGCCAGATCATCATGGACTTGGCGTTGGCGACCTTGCCGGTGGTGACGGCGACGGTCTTCGCGACTTGCGCGGAGGCTTGGGTGATGGCGGACATGATTTCGAGATAAGCGTGCTGGAAAGTGCCGACGCCCTCGCGTGATCGGCACCGAGTCAGCAAATCCACACGATTCGCGCGAAAACGCGCGCTCGAATTTATCTCGTCGAGATTATCCCGTCAAAATCGAAATCATATAGTTGTAGAGACGATTGGAATACGTTTTAAGGGGCGGGCGATCGTGATTCGGACATTCGGCACCTCGCGCCGCCCCGACGCGCGCGCGCGGCGCGCGCGCCGCACTAATCCACACGCACGCAATCATGTCCGCCATCACCCAAGCTTCCGCGCAAGTCGCGAAGACCGTCGCCGTCACCACCGGCAAGGTCGCCAACGCCAAGTCCATGATGATCTGGCGCCCGCACGGCAACAAGTACGTGAACGCGCGCGATCGATCGAACCTTCGCGTATCTTTCGCGAGAGGATAGCGCCGCATCGCGCGAACGTTGCGCGACCTCTGCGCGCGCGCGCGCGCCTCGACGACGCCGCGAGGGCGATATTTCGTTGAAGAAAGTTCTTCTTCGACGTTTTAACGCCCGCGATCGCGGTGCGAGGGGTCGGCGTGGGGGGTGCGCGCGAGGGCTCGTTCGGCGGCGATCGTGCGGTCAGGAACGCGCGCTGGGTTATTGGGTTTTAGGGTTTTAACTCGGTCACCGACGAGGGTCCGAACGACGCGCGCGAGCGCTGTACTGACCGATTTCGCTTCGTTTTTACGTCGTCACGCAGGATGTTCGAGACCTTCTCCTTCTTGCCGCCGCTCTCCGACGCCGAAATCTCCAAGCAAGTGCAATACTTGTTGAACAACGGCTGGACCCCGTGCATCGAGTTCGAAGACTCCGCGCACGCGTACACCGACGGCCACGGCTGGGCGAACATGGACACCTCCATCAACGCCGGTTACTACGACAACCGTTACTGGGTTATGTGGAAGCTCCCCATGTACGGCTGCCAAAACCCGGATGAAGTCATTGCGGAAATCAACACCTGCATCAAGTGCTTCCCGGAATGCTACGTCCGCGTCGCTGGCTTCGACAACATCAAGCAAGTGCAATGCTCCGCGTTCTTGGCTCACCGCCCGGCGTCCGAAGCTGCGTGCGCCGTTGACCAGCGCCAAGTCCAAGGGTAAATATTTACCCTAAGGAACGATATTACTATTAGCCGTTAGCGGAGGGTAGTTACGCTCTCGCTGAAAAAAGCGAGGAGCTTCAGAGTTGTTATCTGACTTGTCACGGAAGTGATCATTACTTCATCGTTTTTTAGCCATCGCATCACTGAATCGCATCACTGAATCGCATCACTAAATCGCGTCGTTTCGATTGCTTGGCGCAAACTCAATCGCTGACGGCTCGCGTTCGTGTTTCATGCTACCATTACAACAAGGGGTGTCGCCGAAGCGTTGCTAACCGCGCGCGTCTGCGCCGTCTCCCACCGCTCGAGTCTCTGCGGTACCATCCGTGAGACGAGGAACTAGGGTCGACGCTCGACTATCTATCGGAGTGTAATCAAAAACTCCAGGTGCCGCGCGCATCGGCGGTAAGAGCACGGGATGCGGCGTGGCGTTGAACAATTCCATGAAGTCCATCGGTGTCAAGGCGTCGAAAATTTGCGCGTCGGTGACTCGTTCAAAGATGAATCCCGCACGCTCCGGTGGAAACTTTGTGTGTAAAGACGATATGAACTTCTTTTCTAACGCTGGAAACCCCTCCATTCTTCTGCGACGATGTCCAACTGGGTACTCGACCTCAAACTTGTTCGTGCTCGTGCGATCCTTAAAGTGCACTTGAATCGAATTCGAACAAGAACGGCGATCTGGATCAACGTAATCGGCGCTGTATTGTGGATTTTCTGCGATGAGAATTTTGCGTCTCATTTCATCCACTCGCGGGTCGCTCGCCACGGAGTCTTCGTAATGATCTGATGTCATATTCCCGTACAGGAGCGCGACGGCGACGGCGTACTGCAAGCAGTGATCGCGATCCGCGGGCCCGTTCAGCGGCCCGGTCTTATCGATGCATCGTACAGCGCTACGTGTGGTGTGAACCGCGACGCTGTGAACCTCGTCCACGCGGTGGACGACTTGCGGATGCAATCGAAACGCGGCCTCGATGGCGGTTTGAGCGTGAATCTCGCTCGGAAACGACGGCTTGAAGACGACGTTTTCCATGACGAATTCCCCAAAGTCTCGCTTGAGCACGATGTCTTGACGCCGGTAAAACACGTCGTTGAATCCCCAAACCGGCGCTGACAGCGCACCAAGATATCCTATTTCGCCTCTCATCGTCATCAACGCTAAAGTGACGCCTCGGGCGGCGTTATCTCCCGCCGCCCAACCCTTTCGCGTCCCCGCGCACGGGTAATGTCGGAAGCATCGCAAACCGCTGCCGTCGATGAAAGCCTGCGAAGTGGCGTACATCACCTCTAATCGCCCACCACCGAGCATGGACGTCGTCACTGCGGCCACGGCGACGCGAGTCAACAGTCCGTGATCGACGCCAATCTGATTGAACGAGTTCTCGAGCGCGAGCACGCCGACGATTTCGTACGCCTTGATCGTCGCCACGATGACGTCTCGCATGCTCAGCACGCTCAGCCCGCGATCGTTCCTCAATCGACTGACGTACTCGCTGACGCTCAAAATCGCCCCAATCGTGTCGCTCGGATGCGCCCACTCCGCGCCGTAAAACGAATCGTTGTAATCCAACCACCGCGCGCACGTCGTCGCGTTAAACGTCGCCGTCACGGGATCGAGATAATACTCCGTCCCCGGCACGTGCGCTCCGTGCTTGCACTCGATTCCCGGCACGCACGGTCCGAGTAATTTCGCGCACCCCGGATCGCTTCCTCCCCGCAGCGCGCACGCGACGAAATCCATTATCGCGTGCCTCGCCGTCTTCACCGCGTCCCTCGACTTGATCTCGTACCCGACGACGTAATTCGCCACGTCGATCAGCAATCGATCCGCCCCAAAGTCCTCGCGCGTCGTCGTCCCATCGCTCGTCCCCAGCCGTCGCTCGCGCATCGTCCGAATCGCCGCGGATTCAGAATTCAGAATTCAGAATTCAGATTCGCGTCGCGCGTCTCGTCCCCGCTCGACCGATCGTTCGACGCGACGCGCGCGCGAAGAGCGCGGCGCGCGCGGCGCGTGCGGCGCGCGCGTCGTCCGACGACGCCCGCGATCGTCGAGATCGCGCGGCGACGAGTGCGGCGACATCGAATCCGCGCGCGCGTCCGCCGACGACGCCGCGGCACTCGTCGACGACGCGATGGCGCGCGCGATCGCGGGAGACGAACATTCGCGTCGACGCGTGCGCGTGACGGTGCGCGCGACGTCGCGCGGGACGCTCGTCGACGACGTCGTCGCGACGCGCGTGGAGACGCGTTCGGACGCGCGCGAGCGCGAACTCGTCGACGCGATGCTCGCGCGGTGCGCGCCGGGCGCGACGACGGCGGACGTCGCGTTCGAGCACGAGGGACGCGCGCTGAGCGCGACGTCGAACGCGACGGTCGAGGCGATCGGGATCGAGGACGGGGCGACGGTGACGGCGACGACGACGCGAAGGCGGGACGACGGCGCGAGCGAGGAAGCGCGACGACGAACGACGCGCGAGCGCGAGGACGAGCGCGAGGACGAGGACGACGATTTAGTAGTACCGTTGACGGGGACGCGAAAGCGCGCGGAGACGTTCATGCGGGAGAGGCTCGGGACGGCGCGGTGGACGGCGAACGTCGTCGCGCGATTTCCGGCGCTTCGCGTCGCGTGCTGGGCGGCGTGCGCGCGGTGCGCGGCGGCGATCGACGCGGGACCGCCGTTCGTGCTGCTCACGGGATTCGCGCTCGTGTGCGGGAATTTAGGGCGGCGACGACCGGGCGAGGCGAGCGCGTACTCGATATTTAATCCGGGGTGCGCGCGGCTGCCGGGACAGTTGACGGCGGACGACGCCGACGACGCGGCGCGCGGCGGCTTCGGGGCGTCGCGTTAGACGGATCGCGAGAGCGATGTAGCTTAGCTAGTAATAGAATGAAACGCGCGCGCGAGCGAACGATCGCGGCGCGTCCGATCGCGTCGGTCGACGCCGCGGACGCCGCACTCGTCGGCGCCGCCATGTCCCGCGCGACGGTCTCCGGCACCGCGATCGCGCGCGCGAGCGAGCGACGACGGCGCGAGCGCGGTGCGAGCACGACGGCGACGTCGTCGCGACGCCGCGTCGCGTCGAGCGCGCGCGACGTCGCGAGCGGCGTCGATTTGGATTCTTTTGAAGATTTTCTTTTGGATAAGCAGCGCGAACTTTGCGAAGCGCTCGCGGCGGTCGAGGGCGACGGGATCGGGTTTTGCGAGGACTACTGGGAGCGAGGCACGAAAGCCGACGGGTACGGGCTCACGCGCGTGCTCGAGGGCGGACGAGTGTTCGAGAAGGCGGCGGCGAACGTGTCCATCATTCGCGGGACGCTCACGGCGGAACGCGCGAAGGCGATGTCGAGCCGAGGACGGCAAGAGATCGATCCGAGCGGCGGACAAGCGTACGAAGCGTGCGCGCTGTCGTTAGTGTTTCATCCGCGGTCGCCCATGGTGCCGACGTTTCGCGCGGACGTGCGCAGGTTTCGAGTCGGCGGTAAGGCGTGGTACGGCGGCGGCGCGGATTTGACGCCATATTATTTGTTCGAGGACGACGCGAGCGAGTTTCACGACAAGTACGAGGCGGTGTGCGATGCGTACGACAGCGCGCCGAGCGAACACGGGGTGTACGAGGCGTGCAAGGAGTGGTGCGATGAATACTTTTACATTCCCGCGCGAAGGGAACATCGCGGCGTCGGCGGCGTCTTCTTCGACGACTTGGAAACCGGCGAGACATCGGATCAGGGCGCGCGCGTGCGCGGCGTCACCGACGCCGAGGCGTTCACGCGCGCGATCGCGGACGAATGGTTGAATTCCTACCTCCCCATCGTCCATCGTCGACGAGACGAACCGTACGGCGAGGCGCAGGAGCGATGGCACCACCAGCGTCGCGGACGTTACATCGAGTTCAATCTCTTGTACGATCGCGGCGTGCGCTTCGGCCTGGACGGCGGACGCATCGAAGCCATCATGGTGAGCGCACCACCGCGCGTGCGGTGGGATTACGACGTCAAGCCCGAACCGGGTTCGCCCGAGAGTAGACTCGTCGACGCCTTGCGTTCGCCTCGCGCGTGGGCGTCGTCGACGCCCGCGCGCGCGTAGACTCGCGAAACGTCCGTCACCCTCGTGAATAATAAAGCGCGCTCACTTATTCTTCCGCCCGTGATGACTATCGATCCCGACGCACATCGCGTACACCCCCAGCGGCGTCCCGATCATGAACATCTCCGCGAGCGTCTCCGCGTTGACGCACGCGGGATAGCACATCCCCGGCGACACCCACGTCGCGCCGAGCGCTTTCCCGATCGCCATCGACGTCAGTTCCGCCCACATCCACGCCGGCGACCCGATCTCGTCGATCCCGACCCACCGCGCGTACGTCCCGAACGCTCCGTGCGCCGCGCCGAGCGCGCCGAGCGCGAGCGCGCACGTCCTCGTCCCCCCCGTCCCGCGCTTATCGTCCACCGCTCGCGCGCCGTGCGCCGCGAGCGCGCACGCCATCACCCCCGCCATCAGCGTCGCCGTCGTTCTCGAGTCAAACGTCGCCCCCAGGCGCATCCCGCGCGTCGCGAACGCGCCGAGCGCGGTGCACATCGCGAACGCCATCGCGACGAGCGCGTGCGCGCGCAACAAAACTTTCGCCCTTCGGCGCGCCGTGGCGTAGTTTTGGTACCTGTCGACGACGCGCTGACGAAACGCGTGGTCGCTGCCGTCGGTGCCCGGGACGTGGGCGCCTCGCGACGCCATGCGCGCGCGCGCGCGTCGAGAAGTGCGACATCGATCGCGCGCCGCCACACCGCGACGCGACGATGCGCGACGGCAAGCGCGAGCGCGCGCGCGATGGCGCCCAGCGCGGGCGCCAAAAGAAGGCGAAGTGGTTCAAGAGCTCGCACGCGAGCGGCGGGACGATTCCGTACGGCGCGCGCGGCGTCATCGTGACGTGCGACGGCGGGAAGGAGCGAAGCGCGGCGCGAGACGTCGCGAGGAACCTCGGCGAGCAGCACGAGCGCGCGCGGAAGCGCGCGAGGGAAGAGAGCGAGGGCGCGGATGGCGCGAGCGACGCGGCGACGGGCGCGGCGACGGCGGAGACGAAAGCTGAGGACGCGGGCGACGCGGGCGACGCGCTCGCGGCGGAGCTGGAGGAACTGCGCGAGGCGGGAAAGAATCCTCTGTTTAAGGAAATATCGCTCGACATGCGCGCGTGCACGTTCGTGCGAGCGTCGAAGGAGGTCGTGGACGTCGCGGACGTCGCGGCGCTGGTGAAGGCGGACTTGGAGCGAGCGAGGGATACGAATGTGACGTTTTCGCGACACGCCATGCGCGTCGTGCCGGTGGAGACGACGTGCTTCGCGGGGGTGGATGAGATCAAGGAGGCGTGTAAACCGCTGATCGAGAAACATTTCAAGAGTGGGAGAGAGCAGACGTTCGCGATCGCGTTCGAACGTCGGTCGAATAACACGCTGCACAGAACGGAGGTGATCGAAGCCATCGCGGGGATGATTGAACAGCCGCCGAACAAGGTGAACCTGGGAGACCCAGACTTGACCATCATGGTGGAGATCGTCAAGGGCGTCGCGTGTCTTTCCGTGGTGCAAGACTACGAAAAGTTGTGCAAGTATAATCTGCGCATGGTGGCGATGACGAAAGAGGACCGGGAGCACGCAAAGGCGACGGCGAACGGTAACGCGCCGGCGCCGGGAACGAAGAAAAACGACGAAGAAAAGCCCGCCGAAGCCGCGGATTAGACGCGCGGGTAGTTCTCGCGGGTATGAGTAGTTTTTGCTAGATTTTCTATTTTACGCATCGCTAGGTCTATGTTTTCTAAGATTTCGCTACCGCGGTCGTTCCCACGTCGTTCGCTTCGTGTCAAAGTTGCCGAAGTAGACGCGGCCCGATTCGTCGTCGACGAAGGCGCGCCAGCCGGGTGGAAGCGGCGCTTCGAGCTCTGCGCTCGCGTCGTCTGCGTTCGACCGTTCTATCGTCGCCGTTTTATTCACTCGCGCTTGATCCTCTCGGCGCGCGCGAAACTCCTCGAGTTTGGTCTTCGCCGCCGCCGCTTTGACGCGCGCGCGCCAGTCGCCGACGGGTAAAAAGTTTGGATTCTTCGACCCATCGACGCCGTCTCGAATGCGATCCTTTCGCCATTCCTCGAGCTCGCGCGCGCGTTCGGCCTCCATGCGTTCGCTCGCCTTCGCGGGCCTCGCGTCTTCCGCTTCCACGTCGCGCAGCTTGGCCCACTTCTGAACGTCGCCCCCGAGTCTCTTGGCGTGGCTCAGCGCCGCCGCCGCGGAGCGCTTTGGTTTCTTCGCCGGCGGCGCCGGCGGCGCGACGAACGCTTCGTGCGTCGGTAACGGCGGCGCCGGAGGTCGACGTATCGTCCCCTTCGCGCGCGCGTCGACGACGACCGCTTCCGCCGCTTCCGCCGCGTCCGCCTCGCCCTCCCTCGTCGTCGCCGCCGCCTCCTCGCGCGCCGTCTCTTCCTCCGCCTCCCTCGTCCACGCCTCGTACGCCTCGACGTCCGCATCCATCCCTCGCTCGATCGCTCGCAATCTCTCCGCCCCCACGTCGTCGCGTCGTCCGTTCACGACCTCCATCAACTCGGCGTATCGCAGCGCCGCGCTCGGCGTCGCCGCCGCCCGCGCGCCCACGTCCGCGCACCTCGCCTCGTACGCCTCCATCAACCCTCTCGCGCGCGCCCGCGCGTTTAACGTCGCGTCGTTCGTTTCGTCGTCTTCGCCGTCTCCCCCATCGTCGCCTTCGCGTCCCTTCGTCGTCCCTCGTTCCCTCGTCGTCGTCGTCGTCGTCGGCCGCGTCCACGACGACGCGTTCAGGGACTTGTTGTAGTAGTACCCTCGCCCGCTCGCGGCGTCGATCGCGCGTTTCCACCCGAGCGGTAACGCCTCGTTCGTCCCGTCGTCGCGCGCGATCTCGTCGTCGTCGTCGTCTCCCCCGTCGTCGTAATCTCGCAGCGTCGCCAGCGCGTTCGTCGCGCGTCGCGTCGCGTCGCGTCCGAACGCGTCGCCGTCGAGCGCGACGGCGATCGCGTCGCGCGATTCGTCGCGCGTCGCGTCGCCGACGTCGACGCGCGCGCGCCGTCGCCGCGCGTCGCCGTTCGCCATCGCGTCGCGAAATCACCGCGACGGCACATCGCGACGTCGCGACGTCGAGACGAGATGCGCGACGGCGCGCGTCGACGCGCGATCGCCGTCTGCGTCGTCTGCGTCGCCGCGCTCGCGCGGGGCGCGACGGCGACGCGAGCGAGCGCGCGCGCGATCGCGCCGCGCGCGACGAATCCGAATCTTCGCGCGTCTCGTCTCGACGACGCGCGGGCGCCGACGACGTGGAGCGAGGTCGCGGACGAGATCGCGGCGACGTGCGCGTCGAGCGCCGACCGCGAGGCGTGCGCGACGGAGGCGCTGCTGACGCGATGTCGCGACGGCGCGCGGGACGCGGCGGCGGCGACGTGCGCGGCGAGAGCGACGACGACGCGCGCGATGGAGACGCCGAACGAGGGCGAGACGGGGGCGCGAAAGGCGCTGTTGGGGACGTGCGCGGGCGTCGGGCGGGCGATCGGGCGGGAGCGGGCGTACGACGAGGCGAGGGGGGACGGGGGGGCGAGCGCGTGCGGCGACGACGCGGACGCGACGTGCGAGGGAGGGTGCGTCGAGGGCGTGCTCGAGCGCGTGGTGGAGCGCATCGTGGGAGAGATGACGAATGGGGACGTCGAGGCGGTGGTGGAGCGAGCGCTGAGGACGTGCGATGAGGTTGGGGGGGGGAAGTACGGGACGTGCGCGCGCGCCGTCGGTCGGGCGACGCGAAGGGCGACGAAGGCGGTCGAGAGGGCGACGCGAGACGCGTGGGAGGCGTGCGGTAGGGCGAATGGTGTGGATGGCGTGCGTTCGTGCCGATTCGGCGTCGTCGAGGCGCACGTCGACGCTGGTTTAGCGCGAGGGGTGGAAGACGCGACGAGGGCGTGCGAGTCGAGCGATTTAGTCGGCGCGGGGGAGGGCGAGCGCGAGACCGAGGCGTGCGCTCGAGCGCTCGGCGCGGCGTTGATGTCAAAATACGAATACGACGACGTGAAAAGTCGTGAAGGGTGCGATTTGAGCGCGAACGATCGCATCAAGACGGTGTGCGTGGCGGCCGTGAACGAGGAAAAGACTCGAAGAGACATCGACGTCTCGGCGACTTTGGCGTTTTGCGCGAGCGCGCTGCGGACACCGCTCGGGCAAGCGAGTCCGACGGCGGATCCGTCGCCACCACCGCCGCCTCCACCTGTAGATCCCGATCAAGTCGAACATCGCAAGGAGGCGTTGAGACGACACGGGACGGCGGTCGGAGGCTCGCTTTGGTTGGCGTGCTTCATCGTTCTTCTCTCGTCCATTATCGCCGTCACCGCGTACTTATGGTGGCGAGACGGCATCATGTTCGGATCGGGTCGTCCCGTGGTGCAGTACACTCGAATTCAAGCCACGGAGTTGGGATCGCTTTAGCAATGTAATTTAGCGTTACAAAACGAATTTGGGTCGTTCCAAAAAATCGGCGACGGCTCGCGCGTTAAAAACGCGTTTCGAGTCGTCGCGTCACGTCTTCCACCGTAGTGGGTGGAGATGTGAACGACACCGAGCGTACTAATCAATTCAATCGTTTGCGACCGCGCGAGCCCGTTCAAAGAACAGTGGACTCGCTTACGAGGATCAAGACATGAACGCGACGCCGCCAGACGTCAGCGCCTCCTCGGGCGCCTTGACAAAATACTTTGCGTCGTACTTCGCATCGTCGCCTTCACCCCCGTACGGGTGCTGCGTGAGCTCAAACAACTCTTCAGCGAGCGAAAAGTCGCCGTCGGAGGCTTTGGTGTACGCATCGACGAGCAAGTGCTCGCGCAAGACGTACTTTGGATTCTCCGAGCGCATGCGCTTCGCTGCGTCGGCGAGCGACGTCCCAGACGCCTTCAGTGCGTCTCTCCATCGACGTATGAAGGCGCACCAGCTCGCTTTGCGCTCATCATTCATCGAATTACCGTAAAAGCACGTCTCCAGCAACGGGGCGAGAAGCGCCTCGTCGTCGCTCTCGTCGGCGACTTCGGCGCACTCCGCGAGCCGTCTCCAAGTCACCGTCCAATCCGCCTGGCTCTCGTACATCAAACCTTCGAGACCATTTTCTGAGCGGAACAAGTCGCGCGCGACGCGCACTGAGTCTTCGTTCGGCGCAAACCCGAGCTTGGCGCGGAAGACGTCGTTGAGTTCGTTCTCAAACGTCGCCTCCATCTCGCGCACGAGCTCCGTCGCCTCGTCCGAGCCGCCCGCGAGTAAAGGCGCGCACGAAACCGCCAGCACGGCGAAATTCGTGAGCCCAGCTTTGGGTTGCGCCATGAACGCAAAGTGATCACCGCTCCCCGTCCACTTGGCGAACGAGGGGTCGTACTTGTCCATGAAACCAAAGGGGCCGTAATCCATCGTTCGTCCGCCGACGAGACAGTTGTCGGCGTTAAAATTTCCTTGACAAAACCCGACGCGGATCCATCCCGCGACCATTTTCGCTATTTTCTTGCCAGATTTTTCGAGCATCGATCGAGTGACTTTCGCCATGTCTTCTCCGTGCTCTTCGATAGTCTCTGGGAACTCTCGAAACGCCGCGTGGCGAATGATTTTCTTGAGCTGTTCCTTCTGAAGCGCCGTCGCTCGAGGCGCCGTCGCGCGTCGCGAAAACAGATCAATGTGCCCGATGCGCATGAAACTCGGCGCAACGCGCGTCGTGATCGCGCACGGCTCTTGTATCATGATGTCCGGATCGCGTTTCTGTTGCTTTAACATTTCCACGATTTCCACGCGTTGCTCGGGCGGGTAATCCTTCAGTCTCGGGTCATCCACCGTGGGCACGCGCTTGGCGTGTTCCTCGTCGCTCGTCGGGCTGTACCAGGGCCTTCGCGCCGTCGTCCCGCGAACGCTTTCGATCAAACACAACGCCCGCGTCGTATCCACCCCCAACGCGTGCATCGCCTCGCTCGCCAAAAATTCTCGAATCGAACTCCTCAACACCGCGCGTCCATCCGCGCCGCGACAAAACGGCGTCCGCCCCCCCCCCTTCAACTGGAGCTCATACCTCTGTCCAGTCACCGGATTCACCATCTCTCCCACCGAAATCGCGCGTCCATCGCCGTACCCGTTCCCGTTTCCGAACGGACAGTTGCTCGTCATCCGCTGTCCCATGATGCTCAGCGCGTACGGCGTCGCCCACGTCCGCATCGTCGTCTCCCGCGCCCCCCCGACGTCACCGCTGAAATATTTCACGAACCCATCCTCCAAGTTTTCGCACTCTCGCGCGATTTTAAACCCGATCGCCTCCGCGCACGTCGTCGACGCCAACCGCGCGCGAGGGTTCGCCAGCGCCTCGGGCTCGACCTCCACGTAGTGCCCCGATCTCACCTCTCGCGACGTTCGGTTCGGCGCGCGCGCGCTCGATTCCGGGTCCTCGTCCAGGCTTTCGATCCACGTCTGCGCGCCCGCGCGTCGCGCCGCGTCCTCGAACGAGTCGTGCAGGTCCAAAGGTTTCGACGTCATCGTCGTCGTCGTCGTCGTCGCGCGCGCGCGTCGTCGCCGCGCGTGCGCCGCGCCGGCCGCGCCGCGCTCTGGACGGAGCGCCGGCGCGCGCGCGCGCTCGACCGCGCGTCGTCCGAGCCGCGCGAGCGCGCCGCGCTCGAACATGCGCGTCCCGCAGTGCGGCACAGCGACGCGCGCCGACGCGTCGCGCGCGAGCATGCGCGCCAACGCGTGCGACGTGTACGGCGCGCGCGCGATGGCGTACGTCGACGCCGTGCGCGCGACGCTCGGCGCGCGCGACGACGACGACGACGACGACGACGACGACGGACGCTGGACGCTGGACACGAAGTATTACGTCGCCGACGTGCGCGCGCGCGTCGTCGACGACGCGACGGCGGGCGAGAAACGCGAGAGTGCGTCGCGCGCGCGTCGTGGACGCGCGCGCGCGGTGGTGCTGGCGTGCGGGAGCGCGGAGGAGTTCGCGCGCGGGCGGGACGCGCTCGAGCGGGACGCGCGAGACGACGAGGACGCGACGGAAGCGTTCGAGGGCGTCGACGCGCGGATCGTGGCGTACGACGTGAGCGAGGCGCGCGAGACGGGCGTGCCCGAAGACGTGCGGGCGTGGGCGCTGGATCGGATGTTTGAGGTGGTGGAGGTGCGGTTGGACGACGCGGCGGCGGACGAGGCGCTGACGAGGGACGCGGCGAAGGACGAGGACGCGCACGGCGTTCGAAGGACGATAGCGGCGTTGGAAGCGACGATGTGGGACGTGTTGGAACTGAAGAGTTTAGGGGAAGAGAGTGATTTGGGGAGAGAGATGCGGGCGACGACGACGACGAGGACGCGCGAGGACGTCGAGGCGCTGGCGGTGGCAAACGGGCTGCTCGGCGACGACGCGGCCGAGTCGCCGAGCGCGATGGGCGAGGGCGTGGTGCAGGCGCGCATAGCCGCGTTGTACGACGACGCGTTGGCGTTAAAGGAGGAGGAGCGTTTGGAAAAACTGGCCGACATTCTCGCCGGCGACCTGTCGTTATAGAAGAAAGAACAAACCGTGTAACAAGACGCGTTAGATTTTCGCGAACAAACGCTCAAAACGCTCAACCGAGGAATCCCGTCACTCCCGTCACCGCCGCCGTGGACTGCGCCGAGGCGCTCGCGTACGCCCCCGAGCTCGCGTACATTGAAAGCCGCTCGAGCTGGCTACCCAAGACGAAGACTTCGTCGTTTTTATCCGTCCCGCTCGTCGCCACCGTCACCGTGAGCTGACACCGCAACGCATCTGCGGTGGCTAAATCCACGTCGCACGCCGAGCCCGAGCACGTGCCATCGCATCCCGCCAACGACGCCGAGCACGCGACGTCGCCGTCGCCCACGGACAAGCACCGCGCGTCCCCGACGCCGCCGCACGCTCCGCACCCGCCGTCGTGCCAACGCAAATACTTCACGTCCCCACCGTCTAATGTCACTAACAGCGTCAGCGCGTTCACCCGACCGCTTCGTCCGTTCGCGTTCGTCGGCTCCGCCGCCTCCAACCGCACCGCTCTCGGCGCGCTCACCCGCGTCGCCGTGTACGCGACGACGGACATCATCGTCGCGCTCGCGTTCGTCGCGTACAGCCCATCCTCGTCCGCCCGCGTGCCTCGCAGCGCCGTCAGCTCCGCGCTGTTTATCACGAACGACGTCGTTCCGACGCCCAGCGCCGCGAGCTGCGCCCTCTGCGCGCACGGGTGATACCCGTCCCAGCGCTCGAGCGCGCCGCCGGGCCAAAACGCCAACCCGATCGTCACCGCGCCCGCGATCTCGATCCCGCGCTCGCCGGACGACGCGCACGGATCGTAGCCGTACGCGCGCGCGCGCGCGACGCCCGCGAGCGCGCACGCGAGCGCGAACGCGACGACGAAGAATCGTCGCGACGCCGCGATCGAGGCGTCGGCGCGCATCGTCACGATTCCGTCGCTCTCGCGCGTCGCGACGGTCGACGCGATCGATCGCGGCGTCGAGCGGGCGCGCGAGGCGTTCGTCTCGCGATTCCGCGCGCGCGCGTCGCGATCGAGCGCTTTCGCGCGACGCGCAGTGCGGCGGGCGGCGAAGATGGACGCGCGGCCGCGCGCGACGCGACGCCACACGTCGTCGCCCGGGACGCGCGCGATCGCGATCGGCGCGCGACGAGCGACGGAGACGCGCGACGCGTCGTTCGAGCGACTCGCGCGCGCGCGCGAGCGAGCGAGCGATCGCGCGCGCGACCGCGATGTCGCGACGGGAGAGTTTCGGTGACGACGCGCGCGTCGCTCGCTCGAGCGCGACGTCGAGCGAGACCGGCGCGTCGACGGTGTCGTCCTCGAGCGCGTCGACGCTTCGGCGACGAACGATGGCGCGCGCGCTGGATGAGGCGAAGGCGCGGCAAACGGGGGTGAGCGACGCCGGCGCGGAGATTCTGCGCGGCGTCTTCGAACTCGAACGACGACCCGACGCGGCGACGCGACGGAGGCTGGCGAAACAGATCGGTACGACGGAACAAGCGGTGAACGCGTGGTTTCGAAGCCGCAGGGCGAAGATGAAACGCGATCGATTGCGAAGGGTGCTGCTGGTGGTGCTGTTGCTCGTCGGCGCGGCGGGCTTGGCGTTTTACGCGTGGAATACGTTTCATCAGACGGCGGCGGCGAAACGACGGATGGAGGCGCTCGGGAAGAATTATAAGTGGATGACGAGGAGCGGGTTGCCGAGACCGTACGCGGATAAGATGCAAAGGGAGAGGTATGGGAAGAAGAAATTGACGTATGAAAAGGAAAAAATTATCACGCTCGGCGGAAAGGAGGACGAGCGTGTGGTGCGGTACACGAAAGAAAATCCAAAATCGTCGCCTTTGACCAAGGCACCGGAGACACCGAGGCAGAAATTAGAGCGCATACGCGCGGAGGCGTCGAAGAAGGCGAGTAAGGGACGAATCGCGCCCAGGGCGCAACCGAATACTTTGCGAGAACCGCAAAAGTCGTAGTCGCCTGTATAGGAAGGTATCAATGCATGTAAGTTACAATTCAATTCGATTCAGTTCGATATTACGCCCGCTCGAGTGCGGTCACGATGCTGTCGAGACCTTGATCTAAGATATCGCGCCTCGTGGCGAAGTTGATGCGCGCGCTGAGCGGCGCCGAGAACGGAGCGCCGTCGCTCAACGCCACGCCGTGTTCGATGAAATGCTCGAACGGCGATCGCTCGACGCGATCGACGAGTTTTTCACAGTTGAGCCACATCAAATACGACGCGTCAGGTACTGTCCAAGTCATGAGCTCACGCGCGTTGGCGTCGTCTGAGAGCGCGGCGTCGATGTGGTCGCGATTCGCTCGCAAGTACGTCAAAAGGCGCTGCCGCCACTCTTCGCACGAGGGATCTGTGTAAGCCGCCAGCGTCGCGGCGTAGCCAAAAGGCGTGATTTCGGCTTTATCCGAGCCAGCGCGCGCGAAGTGCAGCCGCAGAGCTTTATCGGCGATGTACGCCATCGCGACGTCGCACCCCGCGACGTTGTACGTCTTCGAAGGCGACGTCATGATGATCAATCGCTCGCGCAAACCGTCGACTTCGTCCAAAATCGAGCCCGCGCCGCAAAATGGCGTCGCCTTTTCGTCCAAAATCAACTCCCGCCACACTTCATCCGAGCACAAAACGACGTCGTGCTTTACGCACAGCCTCGCGACGCGAACCATCTCGTCCCTCGTCCACACCCGTCCCACCGGGTTGTGCGGATTGCACCACAGCAGCAACCCGACGTCTTCTCTCGCCAGCGCGGTTTCGAGCGCTTCCCAATCGATCGAGTACCGCGCGCGTCCGTCTTCGATCGCTCGCCTCAGCGCCACCTCGACTCTCGCGCTTTCGTCGTTCCTCGACGCGTGCAAAAACGGTGGATAAATCGGCGTGCACACCGCCGTGACGACCGCTCGTCCCCCCCGCGCGCGACGCGCCGCGCGCACGGCGTGATTGAGTCCCGGATTCAGTCCCGGAAGCCATCGCAGGGCGTTCGCGTTCGCGTCCGCGACGCCGTGCCGCTCCCGAAACCGCGCCGTCGCCGCCTCCGTCACCGCATCGTCCGGATCGGCGTACCCGTAGTGCCCCGCGCGCGCGATCGCCGTCACCGCGTCGACGACCGCGCGCGGGGCGCTGAAATCCATGTCCGCCACCCACAGCGGCGTCGGGTCGCCGCGCGACGCGAATCGGTCCCACTTTCGCGACATCGTCCGCCTTCGCGACGACCGCGCGTCGCGCGCGGCGCACGGCAGCGCCGGCGCGTCGCTCGCGGCGCGCGGCGCCATGCGTCGCGCGATGCCGCGCGCAGACGCCTCGCGATGCGGCGCCACTCGATGACGCGCGATGACGGGCGACGCGACGACGCTCGAGGACGTCGTCCCGACGCGCGTGTTCGCGGACTGCGTCCTGCCGTGGATGGACGCGCGAACGATCGCGGCGTTCTCGCGATGCGGCGCGTACGCGGACGCGGCGACGGACGACGACGCGCACTACGAGCGAAGGATGGCGCGCGCGTGCCGAGGCGCGCTGGCGAGGCATCCGGGACGCGCGGACGGGACGACGTCGACGCGACGGACGATGCGAGGGGTGTTCCTGAAGACGTGCGCGACGACGGCGGCGGCGACGGCGCGAGCCGACGACGTCGGAGCGTCGTTTCGAGAGCTCGGGGACGACGCGCGCGCGTACGAGTACGCGTTGAAAGTCGCGTGTCTGACGAGAACGCGCGAGCCGGAGCGCGAGAGCGAGCGGGCGGAGCGGGAGAGGGGGGTCGATTTCGATCGGGCGCGCGAAAGCGAGCGCGAAAACTTTGCGGGCTTGGTCGAGGCGTTGACCGTACCACCGCTGCCTTGGGCGCCGACGCACTGCGATTATGACGATCCCGACGGCGATTCGGAATCCGGAGCCCGCGGAACGAGGCCGTCGGACGACTACGACGCGGTTTTCGACGACCGAGCGAAGCCGATAATTCCGCTATTGATTCGAGAACTGTTGGTGAAAGACCCTGGCCTGCGTCGGTTATGGAAAAACGGAACGCGCGAAGACATGTTGAGTGCGATTGAAGCTCGGTTTAAAGGGCTCGTTCCGGCGATGTGCGAAGTTCTGTCGGCGTACTCTACGCGCGCTATGGAGGCTCAAATATCACTGAAGAGGAAGAAGAATGAGAAGGTCGTGGGAAATTTAATGAAGATCGGCAGTGGAAGTCCATCGCAGGACTGGACTCTCGCGCGCACGGCGATGTGGGCATCGAACAGTTATGGAATGGCGCACGAGCTGTGTCACGTGATCCCGCTTTTATCGGCGATGTTTACGAGCGACGGGTTCCACTTATGCCCTCCCACTCGCATCGGCGGCGGTCCGTATCCGCACGGCGGCCGTCCGACGGGCGATCTCGAGCGTCGCGCGCTCGTTTCAGACGCGCCGACGACGGCGAACGCGATGGATGGGAATTACCGGGGATTTCGATACGCGTTCGACGTTCCACGTCTCTACGCGAACACGCTTCACCCAACCGACCCGAGGTACGACCCGAAGGACGCCGTCGTCTTCAAGCTCAAGCTCTTGATTCCTCCCGACTACCAGCCCCTCGTGTCGACTCGAGACCGCGCTCACCGGGGCGGTTGGCACGCCGTCGCGCGCGCGTCCGACGACGACGACGTCGACGCGCGTTCTTCGCGAACCATCACCGCGCACCTCGAAGACGGCTTGGGCAAGGCTGAACTCAAGGGCATCGTCTACGTCATCGACGATTCCGACGCGCGCGACGGTTCCGTCCCCGTCTGCCCTCCCCGCGTGGTCTTACGCGGCCGGTACGCCGGCAACCCCTGGCCCGGCGGTCGCCTGCTGTTTTGCGGTTCCGTCTCCCCGACCGCCGTCTCCGGGTTCGTCTCCAAAGATTTCGGCGAACCGAGCGAGGTGTTCACGATGTGGGCCGCGGCCCGTAGCCACAGCCAATAGCCGATAGCCGATAGCCGATAGCCGATAGCCGATAGCCAGCCTTAGTCACCCCTCGAGTCGCGAAAATGCGCGGGAACGAATCTTTTGTCCGACTTTTTCGTGAATCATAAAACTTCACATCGGCGAAACCTGCGAGCTAGTATGATTGATTAGTTGATTCATGAGTGTTAACTCGTCAATGAGTCCCTGTAGGTTAACTAGGGGAAGCTATACTTCATACTTTACTCTTCAGATTTCTAACAAAACCGCACGCTTTCTACGTGATCTTCATCGCGCGCGCGGTCGGTCGCACGCCACGTCGGCGTCCCGCGTCGCGCGGACGCGAGAGCGCGCCGCGCGCGTCGACGCGCGTCGTCGGATCGGCGCGCGGGAGCGCGCGAGCGACGGCGCGAGGAGGCGCGCGCGCGCGAAAACGCGGCGGGAGTCGCGACGACGCGAACGACGAGGGGGCATTCGAGCGCACATTCGCGAGCATTCAGTCGTTGATTGTCGAGACGTTCCGCATGACGCGGTTCACCGATGCGAGCGTCGAGCGCGCGGCGGAGGCGATGGATCTCGAGGGAAGGGCGAGCGTGAGTTTTGCGACGGGCGAGCGGTCGACGACGGCGCGGGAGACGACGACGCGACGGGACGAGGGGAAGGGGGGCGGCGAGGCGCGATTGCTTTCGGGAGAGACGTTTACGCAAAACGTGAATCCAGCGCGAGCGCTCACGGTTGGGCTCACGACGACTTATATGTCGATCAATAGCAACTACTACGATGCGTTAGAGGCGCGAAGACGGTTGAGTCACGAGGTATCGCCGCCGTCGAGTCCGTCGCGCGAGGGCGTGCGCGTGAGCGAGACTTCAGCCACCGAGCCGTGGGTGTCGCCGACGAAGCGACCGGCGGGGAATTCGAGAGAGGTGGTGCACGATAGGTACTTATTAGATAAAGTTTTAGGACGCGGGTCGTTCGGGAAAGTCGTCTTGGCGTACGATTTGGCGGAGGACAAACACGTAGCCATCAAGGTGATCGAACGTTCGCAGCGCGCCGACGCCGCGGTGGCTCAGGAGATTGCGTTTTTGCGAGAGACTGGCGGAGAATCAGTGGACGAAAAGCTGGAAATGTCACTCGAAGACGTTCACGCGATGAATTTGCCGGGAAAAGACGCGTGTGTGCGCTTGCTGGACGTCTTTATGCACCAGACGGAAAAACTCGGCGGGGGCTACCAGTGCTTGGTGTTTGAAATCATGTCACACTCCCTGTACGACTTGCTTCGCGTCACCAACCTCAGCGGAGTTTCGATCAAGCTCGTGCGAAAGTTTGCGATTCAAATCATGCGCGCGCTAGAGTACACGAAATCGCTCGGCATCATTCACTGCGACATCAAGCCTGAAAACGTGTTGCTCTGTCACCCAGAGCGAAGCGCGGTGAAGCTCATCGATTTCGGTAGCGCGTGCAAGTGTGGCAAGCAACAGTTTTCATACGTGCAGTCAAGATTTTATCGCGCACCAGAAGTTATGCTAGGAATGCAGTACGGTCCTGCGATCGATATGTGGAGCGCCGGGTGCATGATGTACGAACTTCGCACCGGCAAGCCGCTCTTTACGGGTTGGAGCGAGCACGATCAATTGTGTCGAATCGAGGCGACTTTAGGGCGAGTACCGCGATCGATGTTCGACAGGATTCCTACCGAGTACCGGGCGAGATATTTTGACGAGGATGGTGGTATAGAACCTTCACCAGAGGCGCTGCGCGCGGCGCAGAAATCCGACTCCTCTGTCCCCGCGCCCGGTTCGCGACCGCTGGCCAAGGTTTTGTATGACGAACTCGCCAAGCGCGGTTCGGTGTCGGCGCAAGCACAAGCCGCGATGGACGATGTCGATGATCCTATGGAATCCGTAGAGCATAGGGAAAAGATGCACGCCGCGGCGGGGATGTCGAGAGAAGACGGTAGATTCGATGAAGAGCACGAAGTCTTACTTGCGCTGATTTCTCGAATGGTCACCCTCGACGCCAGTAAGCGCATCACCCCGGAGCAGGCATTGGCGCATCCGTTTTTCTTCCCTTTGTCCACGAAGTCAGTCGCTGCGGAAAACCATCGGAAGTCCCTCCAAGAGCCAAAAGCAAAACGTCTATCGAGCATCCCGGATATGAGCAGCGTGGACGCGATGAACGCGCGAGAGGTCTCGGGCGGCGTCGGCGAGCGCTTCACCTTCGAGCACGGCAGGAAATAGGATGTTAAGTGACGTGACGCGTTCAGGATAACCAATCGATGATCGCTCGAATAGAAACCCCACCGCCGAGAGCGTCCGTCTCTCTCGACAGTTCTAGAAATTAATACTTCGGACACCTCATGTAAACTTCCAACAACAAAATTTTGTTTACCTCACTTCCCGACGCCTTCGTCGCCCTTGAACGCGCGAGCACGGCGTGTGTAATGACGCTCGCCCACACCACCCGCCGACCGACGCTCCCGGCGACGCCGCGCCGAGCGAACGAACGCCAAAGTCGCGCTTCTCGAGTGGATAGGATGACTCCCTCCGCCGTGTCCCGGTCGTCCGCCTCGACCGATACCGCGCGCGAGCGACGATTTGCGTTCGCCGTGTCGGCGATGGTGTTCGCCGCCGTCTCGGCGACGAACGTCGGCGCGAGCGTGGCCGCGGCGGACACGCAGTTTTGTCAGAGCAAGTGCGTGAAGGAGTGCCTGCGCATCGCGCCCGGCAGCGACGGGTACTGTGCGGACGCTTGTAGCGATGAGTGCGACGCCATGGCCGCGGATGGGGACGATATCAGCGAGAATTCATCCGCCAGCGTGTTCACGACGAAGAAAGAGACGAGTGGATTCGAGGGATTGTTGGTCGGCATCGTGGACAAGAGCGCGGTGCTCTTCGCGCCGGGCAGCGAGATGGCGAAAGACCCGGCGTGCGAGGATTAGATTCGATGTAGCTTTACCGTGTGTAGTTGGTGGTGTAATTGTTGCCCAGACGCTTATTTTCATTCACAATCCTGAACCATCCGTCGTCACAAAACAACTCTAACGCTAAAGTAAAACCTCGCAAAGCCGCCGCCGCCGCTTCGTCGACGATGACCAACCTCCTAAAACCCACGCTCCTTCTGACGCATGATCCATCCGAGCTTAGAGTTCAACTTGCTCCGCTTCGTCCGCCGTTCGCGCTCTTTCCGCGCCAACACGCGCAACTGCGACGGCTTTCGATGCCCCTCGGTGCTCGCGCGCAAATCTTTATAAATCCCTTCGCTCATCATGATCCTCCGCAGTCGTTTATACGCCCGTTCGGCGTCCCCACGCTCGACTGGGATGGTGATCATCGGCCGCGTCGCGATCGACGGCTGACGCGCGTTCGCGAGCGCGCTCGCGCTCGCGAGCGCGAACGGGGCGGCGATCGCACTCGGCGCCGTTTTCGACGTCCCGGCGAGCGCGGACGTCATCGCGCGCCTCGCGACGGACGCGACGGTGGAGAAGACCATACTCGCGATCGCGCGTCCGGGCGCGCGACTCGCGTATCGACGCGCGTCGTTCGAGCGTCGCGTTACGCGGCGAGGCGTCGCGTCGGCGCATTACAAGAACGACGCGCGAGCGAGAAAAATGTGCGACAACGAACGCGCGAACGACGCGAAAACGACGCGCGCGCGCGTCGTTCCGAGTCCCAATCCGATCGTCCGAGCCCTCACTCGAGCTTGCGCCAGACGTTACCGTCGGGAAATTTCACCCCCCCCTCGACGCGTTCGCCGAGCAAGTTCGCCGGTCCGCCCTTCGGGCTAAAGTCGATGAATATCGAGTCGTCGTTCACGTCGATCACCCCGCTCAGGGTCCACGGCCGCGTCCGCGTCGTCTTCCCGCACCCCGGATCGCCGTCTTCGCCTCGCACCGTGCCGTCGGCCGAGATCTCTCGCAGGCACCCCGGGTGTTTCGGGTCGGCGTACCGCCCCGCGAAGGTCGTCGTCGTCGTCTCGCTCGCCTCCGCGCTCGCCGCGAAGAATCCCGGGACGTAAGCCCGCGCGCTCGAGCACGCCATCGCCATCGCCGCGATCGCCGCGCACGCCGCGCGCGTCGTCGTCGTCGCCGCGCGTCCGTCGTCGTCGCCGTCGTCGGCGCGTCGGCGCGCGCGCGCGGTCGTTTTATCCGCGCGTCGCGCGCGCGTCGCGCGCGCGCTCGAGCGCGCCGACGTCGCGTTCATCGACGTCGTCGTCGTCGCCGCCGTCGCCGCCATCGCCGTCGGCGTCGAGGCGTCGCGTCGCGCCGCGCGCGCGTCGCGGCGCCGCGCGCGCGGGCGCGCGCGGTATGAAATCCCGTACCGTGTGCGGCGCGTGTATGCTTTTCGCACATAAGCGTCGCGTCGTCTCGTATATGCGCTGTCGTTCGCGTCGGGATCGGATAAAATCGGTCGGTCGCCGACGGTTGGGCGTCGACGCCGACGCGCGGGTGCCGACCGCGCACACGCGCGCGCGCGCGACGCGACCGACGCGCGAGACGAATGAAGACGACGATGAAGACGATGAAGACGCGCGCGCCCGCGCTCGGGGCGACGACGCGAGGAGGACGCCGAAGCGCGGCGTCGAAGACGATGCGGTCGACATCGCGAGGATCCGAAGCGTCGCGACGACGCGCGATCGCGAACGACGCGGCGCTGGACGCGACGTCGGCGGTGAACGCGCGCGAGGCGTTGAAAGCGTTTCCGAGAGTTGAATCGTTCGCGCACGGACCGACGCCGTTGGAGTACTTGCCGCGATTGAGCGAGAAGTTGAACGGCGTGCGAGTGTACGCGAAGCGGGACGACGCGTACGGCGTGCTGACGGGAGGGAATAAGACGCGAAAGCTGGAGTATCTCATGGCCGAAGCCCTCGCCGTGGGGGCGACGATGGTGATGACGCAAGGGGCGACGCAATCGAATCACGCGCGGCAAACCGCGGCGGCGTGTGCGAAATTGGGATTGAAGTGTCACGTCTTGCTCGAGGATCGGACGGGACGCGAGGACGAAAACTACACGCGAAACGGGAACGTTTTGTTGGATGATTTGTTCGGTGCGACGCGAGAATACCGTCCGGGTGACCAGGGGTTAAACATGAACGAAGAGCTTGAGCGCGTGGCGGACGAGTTTCGCGCGAAAGGCGAGAAAGTGTACACCATCGTAGGCGGCGGGTCGTGCCCGCGAGGCGCTTTGGGATACGTGCGCGCGGCGCACGAGCTCTTGGATCAAGCGCGCGAGATGGATATCGAGTTCGATCATCTCGTGCACGCCACCGGTAGCGCGGGTACGCAGGCGGGACTCGCCGTCGGCTTACACTCCGTCGATTCTTCCCTTCCCTTGCTCGGGTTCGGCGTCCGCGCGCCGCAACCGACGCAAGAAGCCAACGTGCACGCGCTCGCCCTCGCGACGTGCGCCGAGCTCGGCATCCGTCCGATCGAGCGTTCCAAGATCGTCGCCGACACCAATTACGTCGGCGACGGCTACGGCATCCCGACCTCGCAAACCATCGACGCCATCAGGCTCTTCGCGTCGACGGAGGGCGTCCTCCTCGATCCCGTCTACAGCGGCAAAGCCGGCGCCGGTTTGATTGACTATTGCGCGCGCGGCGTCTTCAAACCGGGCGATCGAGTCTGTTTCTTGCACACCGGCGGCGCCACCTCTTTACACGGCTACCTCGACTCTTTCTCGTCTTGATCTTGTTGTAATCGACGTCCCGCTTTCGCCTTCCGTCGCGCGCGTCGGCGCCAGCGCTGGCAGAGGGCACCGCGCGCGCCGCTGATGCATCACATCGCGACGCACCGTCACGATTCCGTTCCGTGAATCGCGCGACGCGCGCGCACAGACGAAAACGATCAAACGATCGACGATCGACGCCCGCGACGACGCGCCCGAGGAGACGTTTTACGACGCGCACGAAAAGATGAGCCTCGAGCAACCGTCCGTGGAAAAGATTAAAAAGATGCCCAAGCCGAAAACGGTCGCCCCGGTGGTCGAAAAGGGCGAAACGACGACCGCGACGAACGAATTGAAGCAGTTGGCGTTCGTGGTGAACGCGACGGAGACGTCGCTGGAGTACGTGAAGACGCACGCGTTGACGAAGCGGGCGACGGCGGCGTACGAAAAGGCGCGAGACGCGACCGCGCTGCGAGGGTCGTTGACCAAGATTGAAAGCTTGATCGCGCATTACGGACAACCGGTGGCGAAGAAGGTGTGTGAGACGTATCCGGTGGCGCTGATGAAGGCGGACGCGAACGTGGACCGGGCGGTGAAGGTGCTGAACGAGGCGTACGAGACGCGCGTGAAGAATTCGGCGCCGGTGAAGACGGCGAACGCGGCGTACGCGTACGCGATCAAGGCGAAGGAACAGTATCCGGATAACTTAGATGCGCTGAAACAAGCGAGATCGGAGTACTTGTCCAAGGTTGAGCACGCGATCGAGGAATTGAAGACGCGCGCGGTGAAGCTCCCGGAGGAGGCGATGACGGCGTTGAAGATGGCCATCGCGCAAGCGCGCGCGGCTCTCGATTCCGATAAGCTCTTCGCTCGCGTCAAGTCGTTGTGGGAGCAGGTCATCACCAATCCGCGCGTCGTGGCGGTCGTCGAAAAGGCGACCCCGGTCGCCGAGCGCGTGTTGGCGCAGCCCGTCGTGAGCAAAGCCATCGACGTCGCCGCGCCGTACGCCGTCGCCGGCGGCAAGTACGCCGTCGCCATCGGTAAGCGCGTCATGCCCACGGCGATCACCGCGTAAACGGCGACGCCCTCTCGCCTCACCGTCGCTGTACCAAGACATCTCATTCATCGTCGTCGATTCCGCGTCGACGATCGTCGTCGTCGCCTCCGCGCGCCGTTCCGCGAGGAACCGCCGGCGATTCGCGTCGACGATCGTCGTCGCGCCATCGCGCCATCGCCATCGGTCGTTTCGACGCCATCTCTGACGTTCTCGCGAATAACAATCTTTCTTTCTTCATCTCTCCTTCGTCTCTCTTCGTCGCTCGGTCGTCTCGGTCCTCCTCTGATTTCCCTCGATCGACTGATTGACCGTTCACGACTCGACGGACGGACTCCGAGGGCTTTGCGCGCCCTCGCGCCGCGCGCCGGGCTCGCGCGCGCGCACTCCCACGCGCGCGCGCCGCGATGTCGCGCGTCGTCGTCGCGCGCCCGCGCGTCGCCGTTCGCGCGCGCGCGCGCCTCTCGAGCGCGCGCCGAGGCGCCGAGGCGCGAGGCGGCGCGCGACGCCGCGATTCGCTCGTCCGACGCGCCGACGCCGCGATGGACGGCGCGAGCGCCGACGACGGCGGGTTCGACGCGCGCGGCGACGCCGAGAGCGACGCTCGAGGCGCGGCGGCGAAGCGGCCGACGAACGCGTTCGCGCGGACGAAGGAGAAGGACCCGTACAAGAGGTTAGGGATCGACGCGGACGCGACGAGCGAGGAGGTGTCGAGCGCGTTTAATTACTTGATTCGCGAGCACGCGGGAGACGAACGAGGGGTGGAGGCGATCGAGGCGGCGTACGATAAGGTGATATCCGAGAGACTGTCGACGCGGAAGATGCAGAAGGGACTTAGGAAGATGAAGAAGGAGAAGAATAAGGATGGGGTCGATTACGACGCGCCGTTGGTGCAGCGGGTGAAGGCGATGTTCGCGAAACCGGATCAACAGACGCTGATCAGACGGACGATGCTGTATGTGATCATATCTGGATGGGCGATCGCGGCGCCGGCGACGAGTGGACCGGCGTTTCAGATGGCGTGCGCGTTCGGGACGTGCGTGTACTTTTTGAACGAAAAGCGCGGGGGTCAGGGAACGCTCGGAAAGGCTTTTAGGGACTCTCTCATCGCGCTTTTGCTCGCGTGGCTCGTGGGGTCGATCGTGCCGGTGTACATCCCACTGTTCCCGCAGGGTGTGGCCCCGGAGCTGATACTCGCGTTGTTCAGCTTTGTCGCGATGTGGATCACGTGCACGTTCTTGAAGTAAAAGCTCGCTGAAATATTACAACATCACACATTCTTGCGACCGTTCGCGCCTCGTCGTTCAATCGCGCTCCTCTAATCGCTGCCTTGGGGCGTAGCCGGGTGGTTTGGGGGGCAAAATATCGTACCGGAGCAGCCGGCAATCGACGCCGCCGATGCCGACGACGTGTTTACGAGACGCTCGCATGCGAATCGCGCGAGATACCTCTGGGTTTCCACTGAGCACGAAAGCCGAAGAGTCGGGACACTCGCGCTTTAAGAATACGCCTAATGAATTCCACACCTGCTCGAGCGCTTCTTCTGCGCTGATGTCGTTCGAACCAACCGTCGTGTCGCGATCGAACGAGTCTTCGTCGCCGTATTCGTCGTCGTAATCCCCAGGGCCCACGCGTCGTCTACCGGCGGGTTCGCCCGCGCCGATTCGTTTACCCCACGGTGGGTTCGTCACGACGAGTTTGGGTGCGTTCGGGGCGATTTTCGCCCCAGCGCTCGATGCGGTGATGTTGAACATCTCGCAATCGTTTCTGAAGACGTCGATCATGCCCGCCACGCGCGCCGTCTCTGATCCTTGACCCGCCAACGTCACCGCCCCTGGATGTATATCGTTCCCGATGATCACGGGCGGCGTCGGTACCGCCGTGCGCGTTTCTGCTCCTATTCTTCTGGCATTTTCTAAGCACTCCTCAAAAGTTCTCGGATTGTGATCGGGCCATCGCTCAAACGCGTACCCGATGGTTTCGCTGCGAATCAAACCGGGGGCGACGTTGGCCGCCATGAGCGCGCCCTCGATGAGGAACGTCCCGCTTCCGCACATGGGATCGATGAGTACGGGTGGCGGCGATCCAGCGGGGTCGCGTTGCCACTCTTCGAGCATATCGGGCCATCCCGCCAAACTTAACATCCCCGCCGCCGCGCTTTCGCTCAGCGACGCGCGATGCATGGCGTTGCGGTATCCCCGTCTGTGCAGCGATTCTCCGCTCATATCGCGGTACATGATGATCTCGTCGCGATACAGGGTGACGTAAAGAGGCACATCCGCGGCGGCGTAATTATCCGGCGGCGAAGGCCTCGTTCCCGTGGCGTCCACGAGGGCGTCGCACACGGCGTCCTTGACGCGAATCTTCGCGGCGTGCGACGAAGTAATCTGCGAGCAGTCCCACAGGCGCGTCTCCACGCCGAACTTCAGCCCATCTCCGCGCTCGCCTCCCGGTATGACCTCTTCCCAAGGCACGGCGTGCTTCACGAACTCGTACACACTCTGCGTCCCGCTCACGTATGGATCCAAATATCCTCGCTTGAGCTCCACGAGCACGCGAACCGCGCTCCGCAGCCACACGTTCGCGTCGTACCCAACTCTTTGCGTCCCCGTAAACGACACCCCAGACTTCCCGATCACGATATCACTCGCATTTATCATCGGCGACGCCAACTCTCGCGCCACGACGTCCTCCAAACCCGGATGACACGTCGCGTAAAACCTCCGATGTCCCGCTCGAACCGGCTTCGGCCCCTCGTCCTCCCGCGCCGCCTCCCGATCTCGCCCTCTCGCGCCCTCCCTCGCGTCGTCTCTTCGTCCGCCTCGTCCGTACGACTGCGCGCCGTGCCTCTGATCGTGTCTCCCGCGCGAGCGCGCTCGATCGCCCGTCGGTCGCGACCGTCGTCGCCGCGCGCCGTCGTCCCCGTCGCCGCGTCCGCGCCACTCCTCTCGTCCTTCCCCGAACCCTCCCGCGCTCGTTCGCCCCTCGCGCGCGCTCGCGCGCGAGCGCGAAGCTCGACCGTCGTCTTCGTACGCGTCGCGGTCGTCGTCGTCGCGCTCGTCGCCCGCGGCGCGTCGCAATCCGCTCGCCCAACCGCCGCCGCCGCCGCCACCGCTCGCGCTCGGCGTCGCCTCGATCGCGCTCGACCGCCGACGAAGCGCGCGCGCGACGACGACGGTCTTCGTCGAGCGATCGCCGCGCGCGCGCTCGAGCGCGTGCGCGCGGAGCGCGCGCGCGACGACGACTCGCATCATTTCGAGCCGCGATGTGCCGCGCGCGCGTCGCGCCGCGCGCGTCGGTGGCGCCGCGTCGGCGCGTGACGGCGCGCGCGATGACGCGTCGCGACGTCATGTCCGCGTACGCGGCGTTGGCGCCCCTGATCGCGACGACGAGGCGCGCGGAGAGCGCGACGAGGGACGGTGACGACGACGACGACGACGGCCGACGGCGCGCGGCGAGGGACGCGCGCGCGAACGCGTACGCGCCGACGCGCGAAAACGCGGGAAATTTCGCGTTCGCGCCGCCGCCGAGCGCGCCGGTGCCGGTGAAGTTCCCGCGAAAGCCGCTCGAGGGCGCGTTCGCGGTGCTGCTGCTGCGGTCGGCGTACGAGGCGATCGACGACGTGGACATGCTCCCGATGGACGAGTTCCAGGCGACGTCGTGGAAGTTTCGAGCGTCGGAGTGGGAGCCGTACAAGTATTTGTACGAACCGCTGCGGATCGAGCAAGGGAAAATCACGGATCCGCTGTATTTCGACTTTGTGACGTTCGTGCAGATGGCGTGCGCGTCGCGAGCGATTCCAAAGGCGGCGAAGGTTTTTGAGGAACGTACGGGAGCGGAGGGTCTCGTGACGGTCGTGCGGAGGGATCCCGCGTTGATGGATAACGCGAACTTGCCCGAGGCGATCGCGGAGAGGTGTGGGAAAAAGATTTATGAACGCTTGCGGAGAGGGTTCGATCGCGGGGAGGATTTCGACGTGGCGTACTTCAAGGGCACGCCGGCACCGGTATCGGCGAGGGGAGGGAAGGAGCGGCTCGATCTCGCGGTGGAGGGTATGCGAGATATCGCGGAGGTGTTCGTGAGGAGCGGGTACGCGTTGAGGATCAGCGTGGATTACGATTTGAGGGGTGCCGCGCAGTCGGATGCCGAGATGGCGTCCTCGGCTGAGCGCGAGCGACGCGTTCGCGTTCGCGTCAACGGACCGGCCACGCTGTGGGGCGCTCGCGAGCTTGTCTCGCGAGGACTCGGATCGCCCTCGACGGAATATTTAGGATTTTGTTTGACGGCGTTCTTAGACGAAAGTGGCGTCAGGAGCTCGTACTCGGAGCGCCTGACCGAGACAGAGATTGATATGGCGTGGACATTGAATGTGTAGATTATATGTGTTTCACAACAATTGTACAATGAATTAATGATGAGTGCCTCTGATATCGTAATTTTTAGTTGATGTCCATCGATTTCGACGCCGCGCGCATCTTTTCCGCGGCCAGGTCGGCGATCAAACCGTCTCCAGTTCTCGTGCGTTTGGTCGAGGCGTCGCCGCCGCCCCCCGCGGCTCGCTCAAAGGTCTCGCGTTCTTTCGTCATGACCTCGTCCTCGGCTTCGGCTTCGGTATCGCTTGAACCAGAGGATGAACTGCTCGTCGAACTCGTTTGTTCACCTGCGCTGACTTCGCTTCGACGAGGCTGCGCATCCGCCACCTCGGCTAAATCTGGACGAACCCGTCGCAACTTTTCCAGCCATCTAGCAGACATTTTCGGTCGCGCTCGACGCGTGATGCGCCACACCGCGTCGAATCGGGCGGAAGTCGAAAAGTTTTGCGTCACCGCCATGGTGTGGTCGAGATTCAGCACTGCGTGCCACCAACCGTCTGGAACGAACATGATTTCCCCAGGATGTTGGATGACATCAATGGGTGGGGGCAATCCTTGGCGCTTCCACTCCTCTGTCGTCGTTCGAGGGTACATTTTGTTGAACCAGGTCACCGATTCACCATCCAGACCAATTCCTCGCGGCTTGATCGTCGCCTTGTCCACCGAGCGCGGCGGATAAAGCGCCCAACGCTTGCGTCCCGAAATCAACGCATTCCAAGCGCTCGTCGCCAACGGGTCAACGTGCACGGACGAACCGCTCCGAGGCGGCCCAAAAACGATCCATCGATAAGGCGGTCGACGCTTCGCCCCGACGTGCTTGAACAAATCCTCCTCGAACCAATCTGGAATCTTGAAGTCCTCCAATAACGACTTTGTCTCCGGCTTGTCAAAGACGCTCCCGTCGAACGCATACATCGGACTATCGTCTCGCATGTGCACCGGATCGTTCACGTAATGCTGAATGTGCTTCATCTTCAACCGCACCGGGTACCCATCGTCGTCCGTCCCCACCTTGAACTTGACCTCTCGAAACCGCTCCGCGAGCGTGTCTACGCTCCAAAACCGCCCGCCGTCGTTTTTATAACACCCCCAATCCTCCATCGCGTCCGTGATCACGCACGGCGTCCGTGTCCTCTCGAACCTTTCGATAAACTCTTCCTTTGTCGTCGTCTTCACCGATATCCGCTCGATCGCGTGTAAATGTTTCAACGACCGCGACGTCGCGTCCGCGTCCTCGTACGCGTACCCGTGCTTCGCCCACCCTCCCTGTCGCACCGACAGCTCGCTCCTCGTCCGCCGCTTCGCCGCGTGTATCTTCTTATTCACGTGCTCCTCGTGCGTCTCGCTCGACCTGTACTTCCCTCGTCGCTCCGCCGTCGTCCCGCATTCGCGATCGACATTTCGCATAGTCTCCGTGGCGGCGGACGAATTCGACCGCGAACTCGCCCCCGCGTCGCCCATCTTCGCGTCCCGACCCGTCTCGACGTCCAGCGAGGCGCGTTTCGCGATCTCATCGCCCTCGCGCGACGCCCGGTCGACGACGTCGACGTCCATCGCGCGCACCATCCGTCGGCGCGATGTGCCGACGATTCGCGCGCGCGCGGCGCCGCGTCGATCGATCGATCGATCGATCGGCGCGATCACATCGAACCTCGTCCCATCGATCGCGTCGAACGCATCGATCGACGACGCGCGCGGTTCGATTCGGTCGTTCGCGATCGACTGGATTTCGCGATCTCCGATGCGCGCGATGACGTTCGATCCGCGGTCATCGAACCACGTTGCGTTTCGCGAACCCGCGCGTGTTTCGTTTTTTACGTCGTGAACCCGAAACGGGGTTGGGTGATGGTCGATGGCGATCGACACCGACCGACCGCGCTCGGGTCCACGGAGGTGAGGATGGGGGGACGCACCCGCGGCATTCCGCGCGCGCCGGGTCGCGATCGTCCGGCGCGTCGCGAGCCCGAGGCGCGGGCGCGCGGGCGCACGGATCCCGCGCGGGCGCGCGGCGACGCGCGACGGACGATCGACGCGTCGAGGGCGACGCGCGCGGTTGATTTCGTGGACGGTGTAAAACGCAATCGGAACGCACTCGCGCGTGTTTGACGCGGTGTAGCGCTCGAGGCCGCGCGGCGTCCGGGCACGAGGGCGTTGGAGGCGGTCGACGATAAGGAGATGTCGCTCGATGCGTCGTCGTTTTACGCGAAGAAGGGTGGTGCGGTGGATTCTTCGGACGACGAAACCGAAGGGCCGGGCGCGTCTGGACGCGGTGCGCCGGGGAAGATTATGATTGAAATCAAGCCGTTATCCGCGATGACGAACGCGAAAACGAACGAGAAGCCGTTAGATGCGTTTTCTTTCGCACCGCCGCCGCGGGCGAGGATGTCGGCGCGCGTGGACGCCGTCGAGGGTGTGAACGCTGACTCAAACGCGACGTCGACGACGGATCGACCGGAAAATGAAGCGCCGGGGACGTCTGCGGCGGTTGATGTAGCGAAAGATGGATCAGACGAGGCGCAAACGACGAAACGTGGAGGTCTGTCGCAGCTAACGCGTGATTTAGAGGCTTTCACGACGATGACGGCGTCGAAATCGGTCGCGGCGCCTACCCGCTCGACGCCGAGGCCGAAGCCACTTGCGGTCGATCCTTACGATATGCTCGACGCCATCGTCGGCACACCGACGGCCGATTCGTCGGGAATAGATAGCGTCACGGTTGACAGACATCATACATCGTCTCCACCGAGTCGATCCAGTCTACAAAATCGTGAATTAAACGCCCTGAATGGAAGAGGAGGTGGTCGCGAGCACGAAGGACGAACATCGAATCGATCGATAGGCGGAGGGTCGACGTCCGGAGTAGTGAGCCCGCGCGGGGGCGTCTCAAGAGGATCGTTCGGAGCGGAATCATCGGCATTCTATGAAGAACTAGCGCAAATTTCGCTACCCGATACCGATACCATCAACCCGCAACGCGAGTTCAATCGCGGAGTCGAGCTGTTCGACGCCAACAAGCTTAGCGAGGCGCTGTTCGCGTTTGTCGCGGGAGCCGTGAATGCGGTGCACAGTGGAGATCCTATCGCGCTTAGATGCGCGGCGTACGCGACAACGTGCAAAATATTGCGCGACTGCTCGACGTTTCTGGCAGGTAACGTCAGCGAGTGCGCTCGGTTGACGCGGCACCTCGTAGCACTGCCTAGAGTCGAGGATCGACACCGCCGGGCGTCGCTTCGGTTCGCCAGCGCGAAAAATTTCAAGGTAGGCAACGCCGGGGTGGCGGGGGAGATGATCAAAGAGCTAATGTCGATAACATCATCGTCAAATTGGGGAAATTTGGAAGCCATGCTGGCGCAGTGTGAGATGCGAGGCCAAAGGACCGACGACGTTCCGGAAACCGAAGATCCTAAGAAGATGTGCGCGGCGACTCTGGAATCTATCCCGAAAAGTGCGAACGGGATCGAATGCAAAGCGTGCGGGGCGCTTCATTCGACAAAAGCGGCGTTCGAGACCGGGCAATGCGTGATTTGCCGATCGACACTCGCCGGGACGAGGCAAAATACCCGTGCCGAGGCTTCGTGGTTCTAATGCGCTGTTCTCGTCAAAACAATCGACTAAATAATATTCTGTAATGCTAGCTAGTGCTAAGTCGCTCATCGTTAACGCGCTATCTAAATCTATCTTTCACATCGTCTTCACGACCTCGTACGCAACCAGGACGATCGCACCCGTAGGCGCCGCTCGAGCGGCTCTGGGGCCCCACCCCGCGAACAACGCGTCGACTCCCCCGGTGCGCGCGATGTGTGCGAGTTCACCCACGATCCCACGACGAGATACACCCGGAACGGTCTCAGTGGAAGAAGCAAAGTCTACTGGCGCGATATCGCGTATTTGCACGCGAGTCTTCACGACGTCCAGAGGCGTCGTGAGCGCCGCCACCGCGGCGCCCGCCGCGCACCCGCTCACGAAATTGATCCCCGCCAACTCTCGCGTCGTTCGTTCTCGACGATGTCCCGCGACGTCGCCTCCGAGTATCGACCGGAACTGCTCGACGGCGTACCAATACATCGCACTGTACGGCACGTCTCTCGCCAGCGTCGGCCCGACGCCCGTCCACGCGTTTCGAGCGCCCGCCAACATCCCGCCTCCTCTTCCCCCCGCGCTCTCTCTGAGCGCTCCCACGAACGCCCGTCCCCCGCTCTGTCCATACACCCCCGGACTCCCGCGACGCGTCGCTAACACGCGCGTGCGGGCCAACTCTAACGGCGCGCACGCCGACACCGCCAACGTTCGACTCGCCGCCCCCGCGAGCGCCGGCGCCGCGTTCTCTCCCACGCCCCCACTCTCGATCAACCATCGCAGGGCGTAGTCGTAGCACGGCAAATATATGCCAACCGCCGGCAGCGCGACGAACAGCGCCCCACCGGTGCCTCGCCAGAACCCTCGCGCGCCCTCGCGTCTCGCCAGCGTTCGCGCCGCGTCCAGCGTCTTCGTCGGCAGCGCGCACTCGGGCGCGCACATGTACGTCGCGCTGCCGGTCGTCGGGCACGTCGTCGGGCACGACTTTGCGCTGTACGGCGCGAGGTTCAGGCGGTTGATTCGCGCCAGCGCGGCGTGGTTGGCTTGGATTTGTGTCTTGATGACGTCGAGTGGATTGGTGACGACGGCGGCGACGCTCGCGGCGCAAGCGCTGGCGACGACGCGCGTTCGAAGCGTGACCTCATCGCGCATCGGATCGAGGGCGCCGACGGAGGCGTCGACGCCTCCGTCGGTGCGCATGGCGAGCGACTCGTTGTGAGGCGACGGGGCGCGGCGGCGGCGACGCGCGAAGAGACGAATTTGATGTTTATCGCACGCCTAGGAGTGATAACGGGGACAGAGGGGCGTTGGTGTGTTGTCGGCGAGGGACGGCGGTGAGCTTGGGAGAGGCGTCGGGGTTCTCCTTGTCGGCGAACGGATTGGCGCGGCGTCGCGCGCGACGCGCGGGCGACGGTTGCGTCGACCGAGTCTGTTCCTTCTGTTCCGGCGGTGCGTCGACGATGATCGTCGTCGTCGTCGTCGCCGTCGTGGATGATGGCTGAACTTGGTCGGGGCTCAGTGCGAGCGCGCCTGGAACTGTCTTCGCGGGTTCGGGGGTGGCAAGGTCGCGGCGAATCGCCTCGACGACGGCGAGCTCGCTCGAGAGCGATGACGCCGGTCTCTGGGCTCGCAGCGCGTCCAACTCGCTTTGCATTTTTGCCATCGCCTCTTTCGCGCGTCGCGCGTCGATCTTCGCATCCGTGAGCTCACAGTCGAGTCGAGCTGAGCGCGCCTCGGCGTTGGCGAGCTCTTCCTCTCGCTTGGCCAAGGTGGCTTCGACGCCGTCGCGTTCGTCGATTGCGGCGCGCTGCTCGTCGATCGCGCGCTGAAGGTTGGCGTTCGACGACTCCAACTCCTGAGATTTCCAGCGAAGCGACTGCTCGCGGGTTGTCGCCGCATTCACGTCCACTTGAGCCGCCGCCAACGCTTCCGAAGCGGCGGCAAGGTCCGACTTCAAAGCCTCCAGTTGACTCGTCAATTCAGCGATGCGCTCCTCGGCGTGAACGTTTTGCTCGAGCGCCATGGCGTATGACTTTTGGTTTTCGCGCTGCACCACCGCTCTGTCGCTCTCGAGCGCGTTCATCTTCGCTCTGATCTCCCCGAGTTCGTCCTCGGCGCGGGACGAGACGCTCTCCGCGGTTTCGCGACGTCTACATTCCGCCAACCACTCGCGGTTGGCGTTCTCGATCATACGCTCGGCATCTTTCAATTGAACTTCCATGATTCCAATGCGCATCAAGGACTCTTCATTTTCTCGAACGAGTCGCGACGCTCGCGTCTTCGCGGCGTCTCGCGCGCGTCTCGCCGCGCGAACGCGAGCCTGCAACTTTGCCATTTTTGTCGCGTCTCCTTTACGCTGCGTTTGCATGAGCTTTGCCGCGCTGTCGGCTTTGGCATACAGCTCGCACACGCGTTGCTCGAGCTTAGCGAGCAAAGAAGTGATGACGACGTCTTGCGACGACGACTTCTCGAGAATCTTTTCGTGCTCTTCGCACCGTCGCTCAGCCGCGTCGCGCGCCGTCGCAGCCACGCGCACGCTCGCCTCCTTCTCCAACACGCGCCGCTCGGCGTTCGCGCAGCGTTGCTCGAGAGTCTGAATCTTAAACTCCGCTCCACGCCTGAGTTCGTCGTACCGCGCGCGCGCTTTGGCGTCGGCGCGTTCGAGCTCGTCGATTTTGCTCTGCCTCGCCTCGACTTCGCGTTGAAGGTCGTCTCGCGCGGTCGTCAGAGCCTCGATGCGAACGCGATAGGATTGCGCACCCTCTAACCGCGCACGCTCCATGTCCGGACCGAGTTTTTCTCTCAACGCCTCCAACTCGCTCGTCGTCTGCGTCAGACGAGTTTCCAAATCTTCGTTTCGCCGACGCGCGTCGGTGATTTCTCTCTTCGCACGCTCGACGAGCTCGCAACTGTGCGCCGCGTTGGACTCATCGCTCGACGCCATAGCGCGTTGCGCACGACTGGCGCGTTGTTCCGCTTCCTCGACGCGCTGCTTCATTCTCTCCGCCGCACGCACCGCTCGAAATACGCGCGCCTCTTGCTCGGCGCACCGCTCGCTCGCCTTTTCGCTCGCCGTCCTCGCTCGCGTCGCATCCGCCTTCACCGCCTCCATCGCGCTCGCCAAACGCTCGAGCTCGCGCGTGCGCTCTTCCAAGCTTTCCCTCGCGCTCTTTTCGCTCGCGCACGCCTCCTCACACCGCCGTCGCAGCGTCTCGTTCTCCGCCTCGGCGCGCGCGCGCGTCTCCGCCTCCGCCTCCGCCCGCGCCTTCACCTTCGCCATCTCCTCGCCCTCTCCTCTCGCGCGCGCCAGCTCCTCCGTCCGCGCCTCCAACTCCGTCCTCAACCTCTCCGCCTCCGCCGCGCGTCGCGCCTCGAGCTCGCGCGTCGCTCGCTCGCGCGCCTCGCCCTCGCGCTCGAGCGTCTCGCACCGCGCCGCGCGTCGTCGCAGCGCTCGCTCGTACTCCCGCCTGACGCTCGCTTCGATCGCCCGTCGTCGGCCGTCGACGTCCGCGATCGTCTCGCTCGCCCTCGCGCCTCGCCCGTCGTCGCGATCGACGCGCGCGAGCGTCCGCGGCCGTCGCGTCGCGCGTCGCGCGTCGGTTCCCCTCTCGGCGTCCGCGAGCGCGCGTCGCGCGTCCACGCGCGCGCGCGCGCCGTCGGACAGGCACGCGTCGGCGTCGGGATCGTCCGCGCGCATGGCGACGCTCGCGTCGCGCGCGACGCGTTTCGCGCGGCGTCGCGGCGTCGCGATGTGCGCGCGCGACCGCGCGCGACCGCGCAACGGCCGAATCGCACCCGCGCGCGGCGCTGACGCGTACACGAGCCCCGAAACGCCTAATCACATGGAATTCACACGCATACGAGCGCCGAAACGGCGCATCACGCGGGATGCACGCGACCGGCACGTATACGACCGCCGAAACGCCTAATCACATGGAAACGACACGTATATTAGCGCCGAAATGGCTAATTACGCGTAACCGACGCCCGTCACCCGAAAACGCGACGAACATACCCGATTTTCGCGAAAAAATACAAGGGTTTATCCTTATCCAGCGCGCGCGCGTCGACCCCGCGCGACACACACGCACGCGCTCCGACACGATGTTTGCCCTCGTCACCTCCTCCGCGGCCGTTCGCGCGAACGCGCCGGCGCAATTCAAGCGCAACGTCTCCGCGCGGTGCGTCTCGAGCGACGCGCGACGCGACGCGAGGTCGCGCGACGCGGGACGCCGCGACGACGCGACGCGCGATTTCGCGCGATGGGCCCCCCTATGCGTTACGCGCGCGCGCGCGCGCGGGCGCGCGCGCGACGCGCGGGCGAACGCGACGCGACGCGCGTCGGCACGGGAGAAATACGGCGGCGCGACGCGCGCGAGGGCGGGTCGAGGGGCGTCGCGAGGGAAATTTTCTCGTCGTCGACGTCGCGGCGACGACGCCGCGGCGACGTCGACGATGCTGACGAGGATGACGAGGATGACGAGGACGGCGTCGTCGAAATCGCGCGAGGACGGGCGCGAGGGTTCGACGACGTCGCGACGACGCGAAAAAATTCGAACCGCGGAAGACTGACGAAGCGCGCGCCGTCGTCGTCGCGTCGTCCGCTCGCAGCGCCGGATTCAAGGATTCCGTCGCCGGCAAGTCCAACTGGAACGCCTACGAAGGCTCCGACGAGAAGACGCTCTCTCCCGAGGAGCTTCGCGCGAAGAACGCGGCCGAGGAGAAGGAAATCCAAGCCCGTCGCGCCGCCGCCGCGAAGAAGATGGAGGAAGAGCGCAAGGCTGCCGGCATGTAAGCGCCGCCTCGCCGTCCATCGCGACCGGCGCGCTCGTCGCGCCGCTCGCGCGCGCTCGTCGCGCCGCCGTCGTCGTCGCGCGCCCGCGTCGACGCGCGACGCCTCGAGGCGTCGCGTTTTATTCGCGTTGTAACCGACGACGAACGCGTACTTATCATCACGATCGCGTCGCGCGCGTCCCGTCGTCCAATCGTCGAATCGTCGAATCGCGGCGCGCGCGCGCCGTTTGTCCGAACATCGCATATATCGTCACACCGCGCACTTTCATCGGACATCGAGCACCCTTCAAAGCGCACGTAAACCGCATCGGGGGCGACGCGACCGTGAAAACCAACCGCGCGCTGTATGCGCATACGCGACATCGCCGCGCGGCCGCGCGCCGCGCGCGCGCGCGCGCCTCGGCGCCGCACACGCGCGCGACGCGCGCCGGCGGCGTCGACCCGAGCGCGCCGCGGTCGCATGCGCCGGAGCGCGCTGGCGGCGATGCGCGTCGCGGCGACGGCGCGCGCGCGCGCGCGCGTCGACGCGCGCGCGCCGGCGGCGTGCGCGACGCCGAGGCGCGCGCTCGGCGCGTGCGCGGTCGTCGCGCGCGCGGGAAGCGCGAGAAGCGTCCGGAACGCGCTCGATCGATTCGCCGCGGCGCGCGCGACGACGACGGCGCGCGCGCGCGCGAGCGGCGACGCGGGCGGGACGCGACGCGCGAGCGGCGACGCGCGCGCGAACGCGCCGGGACGCGGGAACGCGCGCGACGGCGCGTGGGCGACGAAGGAAGGGCGCGCGAAAGCGACGGCGACGGCGGCGCGCGCGGAGGAGGGCGGCGGGAGGGATGAGCGTCGAGGGCGAGGCGGTCGAGGGCGAGGCGGGGGACGAGGGCGCGGAGGACGCGGCGGACGGGGCGGACGGGGAGGACGAGGGGGGCGGCAGGGACGCGAGGACGCGCGAACGAAGTCGAGAGGGGGAGGGAAACGATCGAGTAAAGCGCCGCCCGCGGCGGTGGTGACGCACGGGGAAAACGGACGAGCGATCATGACGCGGCAACTCGCGAAGGGCGTCAAGGAGCGACTCGGCGTCGACGGGCAGAACGTACGGAATATTTTACACAAGGCGGCTATGAAAATGCTGTTTAAGCAAAGAATGTCGACGACGATGAACGGACCGGCGCACGATCAGACGTTCATCACGACGGTGAGGACGGTGGTGCCGCACGGGGCGATTCAACCGACGCCCGCGGACGCGACGGCGATGGAGGACGACGCGGTGGAACTCGTCAACACGGGGGTGGCGTTCGGGAAGAAAGAGTCGCAGGCGCTGGCGCTGATAGATTTGTACGAACAGTTCACGCAGTGCGGGATCAATCCCAAAGATCCACCGGACGTGCGTAAGATGCTCATGGAGCGAGCGAAGGAGTCGCAACAGGCGAAGAAGAACAGGGCGCAGATGCTCTTGGAAATGCTGAATTCGACGCGACCGTCCATGGTGACGTCGCAAAAGCAGCGAAATTTCGTCACTGAAGTTAGCATGCTCGTTGATGGTGGGAAGAAGCTCGAGGGAAGTGGGAAAGGTGCGAGTAAAGCATCGAGCGAAGCCGAGGCAATAATCAACGCGGTCCGCGAACCGCTCGCCGCTGTCGTCGGCGAGAGGCGGCTCGAAGAGTTGAATCGAATCATCGACGCCTCGCCTGCGAATCACGTATCAATGATGTCAATGCCCGCGTTACCGGATAAAGGAATCGATATTCTCGTCGAGGCCATGGGTTCGCCCGAGGAACACGACGGTAGAATGTCTGAGCTAGTGGAATTACAAGCGGAGTTTGAGGCCAAGTTTTCGGCGCGACAAGAGTCAAAATGGCGTAAAAGCTCCGATGGACCGTCGAAAGCGGAAGAAATACTCAAGGCTGCGCGCGAGTCGCGTGCGGCGGAACGCGTTGCGGCGGAGAATAGCGAATACGCCGAGGAAGAGGCAAAGCGATTGCGAAGAGCCGTCGAGAACGAGCAAAGCCCTCAAGCAGAGATGAAGAGAATTCGCGATGCGCTGCCCATCAAAGCCATTCGCGAAGATCTCGTGAAAGCGTTGCAAACACATCAAGTGGTCGTCGTGAGCGGAGGCACGGGGAGCGGGAAATCGACCCAGTGTCCGCAGTACATCTTAGAAGACGCCATCCAACAAGGCGAAGGGCCGAACACGCGCATTATCGTCACCCAACCACGACGTATCGCCGCGATATCTGTCGCTGAGCGCGTCGCGGCGGAGCGCGACGAACCGATTGGGAACTCGGTGGGTTTCGCCGTGCGATTACACGGTAATTCACCGCGCGACGCGGCGAACATTGAATTCGTCACGACCGGGGTTTTACTTCGCAGACTCATGAGAGATCAAAATTTGGAAGGTATCTCGCACGTTATGATCGACGAAGTTCACGAGCGCGACATTAACACCGACTTTCTGCTCGTCTTGCTCCGCGAACTCATCACCACTCGACCGGATTTGCGAGTCGTTTTGATGAGCGCGACGCTCGACGCGGAATCGTTCAGTGACTACTTTGCGGGTGAAGATACGCAGGAAAAGGTACCTTTGATGAGCGTACCGACGAAACCGCGATGGCCTGTAGAGATCGTCCACCTCGAGGATATGCTAGACGGTGGAGGCGAGCTCGAAGTCGAAGATGAAAGTCTTGTAAGCGAGGAGGAATTCAACGCTCGTAAGCGAGAAATCCCAAGTCGATTGAAAAAGCTTGCGAAAGATTTGCTCGCGGCGCAGGATCGCGCGTTGCAGCGCGAACTCGAGGAAGCCGAAGCCGAAGAAATCGCTGCGCAGCAACTTGAGCGCATATCGGCGGCGGAGGACGAGCAGGTGGAAGTGGAAGTGTCTGAGGACGAAGACGATGTCGACGATGACGACGACGACGTCGACGACGTCGACCCTGCGCTCGAAGACATGGCGATGAAGTTGGAAGACGTCGAAAATAATCGAGGAATGTCACCTCGTCGCATGCGAGCGTCGTCTCGCGTGCGTGCTCTTCGTCGAGCGGTGGCTATGCGCGACGCGCGCACGGGCGAGTCGTCCATGGGCAAGAGTGGAGCTGGTAAGCGATTCGGCGCGAACGAAACGAAGGAAGTGAGCGAACTCACGATTCAACTCCTCGCCGAAGTCGCTAAACACGTCGCGGCTATCGAAACCGACGCCGGACGTAAGGGTAGTATCTTGTGCTTCCTACCCGGTTGGGATGAGATAAAGTCGGCGATGGCGATACTGGAGGAGACCACCGACCCCGAGCTTTACGAGAAGTTGAACGTTATACCACTTCATTCGACGATTCCTCAAGAAGAGCAACAAAAAGTGTTCATACCGGCGCCAGATGGCGTGGTGAAGGTCATATTAGCGACGAACATTGCCGAATCTTCTGTCACCATCAACGACGTGCTCGCCGTGGTGGACAGCGGTCTGGTACGAGAGATGTCTTGGAACGCCGAGAGCGGAATGTCGACGATGGGCACGGTCGGAACGTCGCGCGCAAGCGCGACACAACGAACCGGTCGCGCTGGACGTGTCGCCCCTGGATCGTGCTACCGAATATATTCTCACGGTACTCTGCACGCCATGGCGGAACGACCGACGCCAGAGATCCAGCGCACGGCGCTCGAAGCGACTTGTTTGCAGACGTGCTCGATGACCAACACCGGAGTACAACACTTCTTGTCCAAAGCCATGGACCCTCCGTCGGACGAGACTGTGGAGTATGCGATGGATAGGCTTTTTAAACTCGGCGCCATCAAGACGAACGAGGCGTCTGGAGGCGAAGTCCTCACGCCCATGGGACGATTGCTGTCCATCCTCCCGCTCGATCCTGGGACTGGACGGATGCTCATCATGGGAGCAGTGATGAAATGTCTCGATCCAGTGCTCACCGCTGCGGCGTGTTTCAGCTCTCGGGATCCGTTTTACGTCCCTCCGGGGATGCGAGACGAGGCGCGGCAAATCAGACAATCGTTCTGCGCGACTTCAGATTTACTCGCCACTGTTCGCGCGTACGATGCGTTCCAGACTATCCAGTACGATCAAGGCTGGGACGGCGCTCGGCGTTGGGCGAGCGATAATTTCATATCCATCGCCGCTTTGAACACCATCACTTCGGTTCGCTCGCAGCTCTTGCACGAGCTAAACCGTATCGGATTGGTTCAAGATTACGATTTGGACGGGCGATCGATGAGTAAGAAGACGCTGCGATACGATGCATCGGTGAACTATAACGCCGCCAACGAATCGCTCTTCACCGCGGTTTGGGCGGCAGGACTCCCCGGGAACATCGCGGCTCGGCGGCAGTTTGGCAACTTTGGCACCCTGCGAACGCGCACCGAGGACCACGCCGGATTACACCCCTCGAGCGTAGCTTTCCATCGCAAACCACCGCGCGACCGCACGCCTCTTCCTCGATGGTTCTTGTATCGAGAGATGATGCTCAGCTCGCAAGTGTTCTTGCGAGACGTCACGGCGATGCGCCCCGAGCAGCTCATGCTCCTCGGCGGTCACGAGCTCTCCAAGCGAGACTTTCTGGATGGTGATGACGCCGCCACGGCATCGAAGGCGCCCGAAGCGGGACTATTGAACGAATCCGGCGAACTCGCGTCGTCGAGCGACGCCGATGGCGCGTCTGATGACGGCGACAAGCGAACCACCTCTCACCGAGCCATGCTCGACGACTGGATCGTCATCGATTCGCAGTGCGCCGATACCATGGATCTACTCACCGACGTCCGTCGCGAGATCGATGCCGCGCTGGCTTTCAAAGTCATGGCTCCTCGCAAACCACTTCCGGACGCCAGCGAAAACATCGTCGACGCCGTGGGCGGTTTATTCCGCATCCTCGACGAGCGAGACGCGTTTCGCCAGCGTCAGTTCCGCCGTCGCGACGCCGATTACGATCGCGGCGATCGCGGCGGCGGTTTCCGCGGCGCTCAGCGCCGCGGCAACTAATTCATTTACCACGCGTTGTTTTTCTGTAGTCACGCACGCACTCACTCCACTCGTGTAATCGAAGTCGTGGAGCAGAGTCGTCAACCCACGCGTAAGTGTGCAGGCTGGACAAAACGGTTTTCGCGATTTCGGCACTAATAGATCTAAAGCACGGTAAATACGTAGAAAACTCGACGAGAACTTAAGTTATGTGCGATGCTGTTAGTCGCCCTGCACTAAGTTTGTGCGTAAGTGTGCAGGCTGGACAAAACGCAATCGCGATTTCGGCACGCATGGCTCTAAATCACGGTAAATACGTAGAAAACTCGACGAGAACCAATCCAGGGTGCACGACGGGACGAGAGCTCGAAACCCAACGAATGAATCTCGACGTCACCGTCCGACGCGCTCGCGCGCACGTAGAAGCGCCGACATGCCGCTGGCGCGCGCCGCCGCGCCGTCGTCGCGCGCGCACGTCGCGCGCGCGCCCTCTCTGTCGCGCGCGCGGGCGTCTCACGCGCGCGCGCGCGCGCACGGACACGGACACGGCGCGTCGATGGGACAACAAAAAGGCTTCGTCGAAGAGATGCGACGCGTCGCGATGTCGCTGCACACGCGGGAGCAAGCGCCGAGGGAGGGAGAGAAAAAGACGGACGCGACGAAGTCGGAACAAAAGCCCGTGGCGCGATGGACGCCGACGGCGGAGGGATACTTGAACTTTTTGGTGGAGTCGCTGGCGGTGTACGAGGCGATGGAGCGCGTCGTGGCGGCGAACGAAAACGAAAAAACGTATGGAAAGTTTAATAATTGTGGGTTAGAGCGCTCGGAGGCGCTGAGGAAGGATATTAAGTATATGGAGGAGCGATTCGGGTTGGCGCCGAGGGAAGCGACGGGGGCGGGGAAGGAGTACGCGGAGACGCTCAAGGCGCTCGCGGCGACGTCGCCGCCCGAGTTTATTTGTCACTTTTACAACGTCTACTTTGCGCACAGCGCGGGGGGACGGATGATCGGACGCAAGGTGAGCGAGCTCATTTTGGATGGTAAAGAACTGGAATTTTACGAGTGGCGCGCGAACGGGGGCTTGGATGAATCTTTGGCTCGGGTGAGAAATTTGTTAAACGAAACCGCCGAGGCGTGGTCGCGCGAAGAGAAGGATCGGTGCCTCGAGGAGACTGGGAAGTCGTTTCAGCTCTCCGGACAGCTCCTGCGCTTGATTGCGTGATACGTCAGATTATCATTACAAATAAACATACAGTTTCACGCGCGCGCTTGTGATACATATACAGACGAAGAAATTCTCAACCGCGCAGAGGCGTGAGCCTCGGCTTGGCGCCGCCCGGCGTCAGAATCATGTCGTCTGCGTCGTTCTCGGGATCGATGTCACCCACGATCGTGGATGTGGGTGAGATTGATTTCGACTTGCCGGTTTTCTGTGGCGTTTTCGGCGATGTGCGTCCGCTTTTGGGCGGCCACGAGCCCGTGCTCAAGGCGCCAGACGAGCCAAAGCGCGAGAACCCGCTCTTGGTCGGCGAAGTCGAGACGGGGGAAATCGTATCCCCGACCGAATCCACCATGCCGTAAAATCGCAAACCCAACGGAACGTTCGCTTCCGCTTCGTTCGGAACCTGAGCCTTGACCATGGCCATGATGTTTCTGACCTGCGCCTCGGAGAACGCGCACCGAGGAATCGGATCGGCGAGCGGGGCGAGCTTGCGTGCCCCTGTCCCGGGCTTGATGTTCGAATCGATGAACTCCAATATCGGCTGCAAGTAGTCTCGGTAATAGGAAAAATAGTTGTGCGTGCCGTGCGTGGAGTGGAGTTTGCAGTGTAGCCCCGCCGCGCGCCTGATTTCGTCGAGCTCCTGGGCGTGGGCAAACGGCACGACTTCGTCCTCGATCGCGTGCACGATGAGCGTTCTCGCCTTATACGCGCGCACCCATTCGCGATTATCCCATCGATCATCCATAATGTGCGCGATTTGCCCCAAAAGCACTAACCCAGCCTGTTTCACGCTCGTGAAAGGGGAGTGCAAAATCACCCCGCCCAACTGCGCGCCGTCGAGTCGCTCCACCGCCGCCGCGAGCTTGGTCGCCGGTCCCGTCCCGAGCGATCGTCCGAGCACTACGACGTCTCGCGGATTCACCCCACACTCTTCCGTGACGTACACGTACGCCGCCGCGACGTGTCGATCGACCGCGCGTTCGTACGCCACGCCCTCCGACGTCCCGTATCCCGGATACTCCACCAGCAGCACGTTCGCCCGCCAGCACTCCGCGTCTCGCGCGCAGAGCGAGTGTATGTGTCCGATATCGCACGCGTTCGCGTGACAGTGTATGACGACTCGCTCCGCCGGCGCGCGCTTGCACGCGATCCACACGCACGGAAACTCGTACCCCGCCCCCGACCGCACCCTCGCGCAGTGCGCCGGCGACCACGGGTGCGACCGCGCCCCGTACGAGCTCGCGGGCGCCTGAAATATAGCCTTATTGATCAGCGACATTCCCTCCGCGCGCGGCCACTCGCCCTCGTGCGTCAGCGGTTCGTCGTCCGCCGTCGCGCGTCGTCCCTCGCTCGTCGTCGCCTCCTCCGTCGCGTCCGCGCGCGTCATCGCGCGCACCACCGCGTCCACGCGCGCGTCGATTCGATCTCGCGTCGCGCGTCCGCGCGTCTTCTCCCGGCGCGCGCACGCCGCGAACATCGTCGTTCGATCGATGTCCCGGTCGGTCGATCGATGCTTCGTTCGACGACGACGGCGCGCGCGATTCGATTCGGCGCGCCGTCGTCGTCGTTCGCGTCGTCGCCGTCGTCGTCGCGCGCGCGGTCGCCGTCGTCGTCGCGCGCGCGGTCGTCGCGCGCGCGGCGCGATGGCGCGCCGACGCGGCGCCGATGCGGCGCCGATGCGGTGCCGACGCGGCGCCGACCGACCGGCGCCGACGCGCGCGCTGGGGGCGTATAGGGCAAACAGTGAGGAGGGGGTATGGTTCGGACATTCGGTGCGAGTGACCCCTCGCGACGAGTGCCGACCCCTCGCGAAATCTGAGGTGACCCCTCAGGGGTCGGGTATTATTTTTTTTATTTTTTTTGCGTTTGCCTTCGCGAACGCGAGGGTCGTTCGTATTCGACGCGCGCGAACCCTAAGTGCGTCGCGAGCGATCGCGCCGAAACGCACCGAAAACGCGCGGCGAACACGCGCCGAACACGCGCGGCGCGGCGACCGGGCGTCGAAGGGTCGCGATGGACGCGCGCGGCGACGAGAACGCGCGCGGTGTTACAACGATGATACTTGCGTCACGACGCCGGCGCGGCGCGGGACGGACGCGCGACGTCGACGACGAACGCGACGGCGGGCGACGGCGCGGGCGCGAACGCGAAGCCCGGACGCGAAGGGCGTCGACGCGCGTCGCGCGACGCCGACGACGGCGACGCGCGAAGCTCGCCGCGCACGCGAGCGGTGATGCCGAAGGATTTTAAGCCGCCGCGAACGACGCCGGCGTGAAGGGCGAGGTAGGCGCGCTCGACGGCGTCGAGCGCGGCGTCGGCGAGCGCGTCGGCGGCGGACGACGCGGCGGCGCTCGAGCCCGCGCTCGAGCCCGCGCTCGAGCTCGAGCATCGCACGCCTCGCATCGCTCGAAACTGATCGTCGTGAAACACGAACGTGCCCTTGTTGTTCGTCTTGAGCGCGTCGACGCGCTTGCCGTGCGCGAAGGTCCAAAACTCTTTGCACGCGCACATGATCGCGCTCTGCTCGTCCGCGAACGGATCCTCGTGCGCGCTCACGCGCTCGCCGACGCGCTCGCCGATGCGAAATCCCACGCGTTCGAGCCTGTCGCACGCCGCGCGCGCGGTCTCGCCGTCGACGCGTCGCATCCAGTCCGCGGCGTCGTCCATGAATTCCTCCCCGGCGTCGCCTCTCGCCGCGCCCGCGCGCGTCGCCCTGAACGCCTCGCGCACCATCTCCGCGCACAGGTGATCGAACGCGCTTCGCGACACCTCCCCCGGGCGATCGCGCGTCGACGCGCGCATGCCGCGCGCCGCGCGATGGCGATTCGTTCGGCGGACGCCGCGAGTCGGTCGCACTCGTCGACGCGTCGCGGTTGATGTCGCGCGAGCGCGCGACGCGCGGATGAACACGCTGGAAGAAACGCTCGCGTTCCTCGCGCCGAGCGAGACGGCGCGCGCGTACCTCGACCGCGCGCTGCGAGAGCCGCTGCGGAGCGGGATTCCGTTCGTCGACGCGCGCGACCCCGAACCGGCGCTTCGCGCGGGAGAGATCGTCGAGATCGTCGGCGCGCCGGGGTCGGGGAAGACGGAGTTCGTCACCGAGATCGCCGCGCACGCCGTGCTGCCGCGAGCGCGGGACGGGGTGCGGTACGACGGGAGCGAGGCGCGGGTGATCGTCATCGATTGCGATGGAAAGTTTGACCAACTGCGGCTGCTGCGAGCGCTGAATCGAAAGATTGAGGAAAAGCTGGCGAACGTGCGAGAGAATCAGCGAGTGACGATGCGAGATGAGGTGTACGAGGAATCGATGTCGAGATTCACGCTGGTGAGGGCGCACGGGATGGTGGACGCGTTGAAGACGCTGACGGCGCTGGACGCGGCGTGGAGCGGAGCGATCGAGAGCGCGAAAAGAGACGGACTGTTCGTGGACGCGGAGACGGCGGAGACGAGGGAGACGGGGGAGGACGCAGAGGGTGGAGGTACGAACGGTGCCAAAAGCGGTGAGATGGCGAAATTCGCGTCGCAGCGGTTGGTGATTTGTGACAACGTGGCGGCGTTTTACTGGCTCGATCGAGCATCGAGGAAGGACCACGGGGCGCCGTTTAACATTCAGCGCGTGTTTTCCGCCGCGGCGAGATTGTTCAAGCGCCTAGCGAGCGCGCATAGGGCGGCGGTTGTGGTGACAAAGACGACGTTGTCGTCGAACGATGGTCGACGGGGTGGGCAGTACAAGGATTTCTTACCCGTGGAGTGGACGAACGCGGTGACGCAGCGCGTCTTGTTGGCGCCGTCGAACAAACGCGTTGGATACGGTGAGTACGCGGGCGTAGCGACGTGGGACGTACCGGTGCGCCGCCACGGAGGCGCGTACACGGTCACCGAGGAAGGCATGCGATGTTAAACGTAGCGCGCGCGCGCGACGATTGAACGAACAAAAGATAGCGCGCCACGCATTTAGATTCTTGTAAAGTACGTGTGATTTGTTGTATCGAAATATCTTTCTCTTTTGATTAAAATAGAATACATTTGGCACAAATCAAACAAATAATACACCGCGCAGTCGGCGTTGTCTCGTGATGACGATACCGCCGTCGCGCTCGCTTGGTTACCCGACATGATGGAATACTCCTTGATCGCCTTGGGGTACGATGGGCGTACCGCGGTAGGATAATAGTTACCGCGATAATCCCGTCCATACTTACTAACCGATTCGGTCTCTCGATTCGGTCTCTCGATTCTCACAGAATCTCACCCCTTTCTCTCTCCATTTCTCGACTCTGAAACGCGTCGGCTCATTCGTCCCACTGCATATCCAACGGACACGTCGGCGATGCGTTTTCAGTGATGCGCTGCTCGAACCCGGGTTTATCGGCATACACCACACCTTCTTGTTGCGGAATGGCGATGGCGAGCGAGTTGAAATCCGCGTGGGCCTTGACGTCGGCTTCCATCATCGTCGTCTCGTCGTCTTCGTACGCTTCTTCCCACATTCTGTGCATGTGCGTCACGAGAGGATAGATTTGCTGCGGTGTCACGTTCGCCGCAACTCGGAGCGTCGGTGGACACAAGGGCTTGATGCCCAAGTTCAACCTCGACGCTGCGATGACGGCGGCGGCGACGCGCGACGGCAGCTCGTTGGCCAAGCTCACGTCTTGCACGCACAACGAGTACATTTGACACACCAAATGTCTCAACTCCTCTTGATACTGCGGCGTCCACACACCGACGTCCACTTCGTCCTCGCTCGTCGTCCCACCGTTCATCATGGTCAAGAAAGATTCCAAAAAGTGCGCCGGCGTCAGAATGCCGAGCTCCCATTTGAGCTCGATCAACACCGCCAACTCCATCTTTTGAATGATATCCGGCGAGTACATGTTCGACGTCCACGCGCGAAGTTTCGCCATCGTCGGCACACGTTCCTCAATCTCTTCGTATTTCACCGCAATCTGCAAGCAGCACAGCGCGACGAGATGTAAAGACGTCTTCGGCACCACGGTTTTCGACAACACTCGATCCTGCGCATTCGTCGCGTCCGCGTTCGTCGTCAGTCGTTCGTTCAATCGTTCGCCATCGTCCCCATCGCGCGCGTTCGTGCGTTTCGAATCGTTTCCGACGTTTTATTTTTTTCGCCGTTCGTCCGAACATCGCGGTCGGTCGCGGCGAAGATAAGATCAAGATCGCCCCTGGCCCCCTCCCCCGGAATCAGCCAGCCAGGAGGCGAGACAGTTGATCGCGTCGCATCGCATCGTCCACGCACCATGTATCCGATCGCGACGTCCGCCGTCGTCGGCCCGTACCGCTCCCCCGCGCACACGTCCAAAATCCACTCCACCAACTGCGCCCGGTACGCCGCGTGATGCGCCGTCGCGCCGTCCAACACGAACGCCCCGTGATCCGCGCGCTCGCGCCGCAGGAGCTCGCGCGCGACGTCGGCGCATAAATCCGCGCCGTCCGGCCCGATCGCGTCCGCGCGCGCGCGCGCGAGCGCTACCATCGCATCGCGCGTTTCTCTCTCCGCCCGTTCGTCGATCGCGCGCGCGTCGCGATCGCGCGCGACGTCGAACGCGACGCGTTCGTCCTCGACGCGGTCGTCGTCGTCGTCGCGCCCCTGGCCCAAGTCCGCGATCGTCGTCTGCGACGAGCACTGCGTGCTGAACGAGTGCGCGCGCTCGCGCGCGATGGCCTCGCCGTCGACGGATTCGGTTCGACGAAAATCTTTCGCGCCGTCGTCGCGCGCGGGCGAGCCCGCGCTCGGCGCGTCGAGCTCGCGCGGCGTCGCCATCATCGCCCGCGTCGCGCGACGCCGATCGATCGCGGCGACGTTAACAACGACGTCGCGGGTCGGGTCGGCGTCGCGGGTCGGCGTCTCGCGCGCGCGTCGATCGATCGAGCGACGTTCGAATCGATCGACCGCGAACCGCGCGCGTCGCTCGCGTGCGCCCGGCGTGCGCGCGCGTGTGCGGCCGCGCGCGCGCGCCCCGCGTAACGCGCGCCGGGCGCACGCGCGCGTCGGGCGTCGTCTCCGGGCCACGCGCCGGACGTCCGTTCGTATCGCCCGAACGTCCGAACCCACGCCGGACGCGCGGCGATCACGCATTCGCGCGCGCACGAACACCATGAACCGTTCGTGAAAATCGAAATCTCGCGCGCGGGTTTTTTTCACAGCCCTCATGGGCGATCGACGCGACGCACTACGGGAAGATATTATCCACCCCCGCGCGGGATTTCGCGGGATTCGCGCGTCGGCGAGTCGTGACTCCGCGCGCGAGCGATAAATGCGATAAATTTTCGCCGCGCGGCGCGCGCCCGCGATCGCGGCGACACGCGTGTCGACATATTTACCCACGCGCGTGTACGCATTGAACCCCGTGATGCATCTATATACGAAAAACGTCGCGATCGCGGGCGCGCGCCGCGCGCGCGGGGTCGCCGCGGGTGCTGACGCGGAAATTAATCTTTTTCGCCGCGGTTCCCGCGCGTCGCGCTTTTTTCGCGCCGCGGGTCCGCACTCGAGGAAAAATCTCGACGTCGCGCGCGCGCGGCGCGCGTGCGCGTTTGAATTCGAACGAAGCGTCGTTTCCGTCGGCGCGGTCGTTTCCGTCAAGCGACGCGCGCGCGCGCGTCGGGCGTCGGCCGTCGTCGCGCGCGTCGAGGGATGCGCGCGCGCGACGGACGGCGACGCGCGCGCGCGTCCCTCGACGACGACGACGACGACGACGACGACGACGACCGACGCGGTCGTCGCGCGTCGTCGTCGTCGTCGTCGTCGTCGCGCGCGGCGTCGTTCGTCGTCCGCAGTCGCGCCGCGCCCGCCCGAAACCTCAAACGCCGTGGACGGTACAGTATTTAATCTTCACTTCACCCGTCAACGCGGGAACGGATTGTTTTTGTTTCGTATGTCGATTCATATCCACATGTCCAACGTATTCAAGTGTCCATACGTGTATTATTTACGCTTGAGTCATGACTCGTCAGAGTCCTCGTGAGGCACGCGTAACACCCAGCCGGCGTGAGGAACGCGTAACACCCCGACGCGCTCGCGCGCGCGCGACGACGATCGGCGAGCGACGAGGACGCGCGCGCGAACGCGTCCCGATCGCGCGCGCATGGTGTGCTGCGCGAAGAACGCGTCGAGCGACGCGCGGTCGGTGCGCTCGCGCGAGAGCTCGGACGACGAAGACGCGCGCCGAACGGCGACGACGGCGTCGGAGAGCGACGAGGAGACGCGCGTCGTCGACGATCACGACGACGATGCGTTCGCGAGGGATCGCGACGAGGACGTGGAGGCGGGCGGGGGGGACGGGCGCGGAGGGGGGGGGCGACGAAGCGCGTGGGATCGCGCGGGCGGCGACGGCGCGAGCGACGGGGACGAGTCGCCGTCGCACAGCACGTTCGGTAGAGACAGCGAACGGAGGCGAAGGATGCGTAAGACGTCGAAACTCGTCGCCGAGCGCTTGGGCGGGGTCGACAGCGATGAGAGCGATGACGATGAGTTCGCGAGCGGGTTGGAGCGGGCGCGAAGCGCGAGACGACGAGGCGGGGACGAAGAGGAAGGATTCGGGTTCGTTTCTCAGGCTGATTTGACGAGGCGCGAGGAAGAGCGCGCGCGAAAGAAACGCGAAGAAGAGCGGCGCGCTTTGGAGGCGGAACGCGCGCGCCGAAAGGCGGAAAAGTTGGCCAAGAAGGAAGCCAAGCGCGAGGCGAAGCGCGACCGCGAGCGCGCTCGCGAGGAGAGCGAGACTGCTTCATTGCTAGATGGCGGTCGCAAGCGCAAGGTTCGGCGGTCGTTTTTCGGGATTAAGAGTCACGTCGTCACGTACACCGTCGTCGCGGTCTCCGCCGTCGTCGCGTGTGGCGTCGGCGCCGTGCTTTACTCGAGCGCCGCATCGCCGAGAACGATGGAAATCAGAGGTGGCGCGGGGACGCTTACGACGGCTGATCCCACGCTTCAACCGTTAAAAGCGACGACGGATAAGATTTTGAAAGGCTTAAAAGGAAGCTTGAAACGCGTGACCGCGGGCACGAGCAGTGTAGACGACGTCGCCGACGAAACCGAGGAATCCTCGTCGAAGACGTCAAAGACAAAATCAGCTTTGAAGAAAAAGTCTTCAACCACGAAGGATGAAGAGGATGAGAACGATGACCTCGACGCAGACGACGACGTCGATGTCGACGTTGATGATGCAGTCGTCGACGACACGGATGACACCGACGAGAAAAAGTCGACAAAGCGTAAGAAGTCTAGCAAAAAGTCGAAGCCATCGGAGGCGTCGCTCGGCGTCACGCCGTCCATCAAAGACGAAGAAGACGAGGAGGAGGAGGAAGATGACGACGTCAAGGCCACGCCATCGTGTGCACCCGTGCAAATTGAGTCTAAGCACGGTATTTATAGACAATACAACAAGGCTTGCATGGAAGATTCCGGCGATGTCCTCGGGTGCGTCGAAAAATCGAGCGAAGGTTGTCAAAGTTGTTACCTCGACGACTCCCCGGCCGCGACGCAGAGCAGTTCGTATTCGCGATGCTCTCATCACGTGTGCAGCGCGTACAGCGTTGAGGGTTGCGATCCCAAACCAGCGAAGGCAAAGAGTGACGACGACGAAAGCGATGCGGAGGATGGCAACGCCGACGACGAAGACACCGCCGACACGGCGCCCACCGTTCGCGCGAAACCCACCCTTGGAGTCACGCCGACGGTCAACGTCGAAGACGAAAACTGCCTGCCCAACCTCGAAGATGCCAAGCGAGGGATATTTCAATATACCGAGCGTTACTGCCGCACATTCGGCCACATCGACGTGGACTACGCCGGGTGCATCGCCATCGGGAAATCGTCGTGTCGCATGTGCGCCACGCGAAGCGTGCGCGGCGCGTCCTCCGTTTTCGCGCTTTGTCCGCGAAGCGTGTGCCAGAACCACGATTTGCTGTTCGAACAGTGCGAGAAGGATGATTAGAGGCCCGCCCGGGCGACCTTAGCCAACGAATACTACACGTAGCCGCGCGTTGTCGCCTTCTCGTCTCGCCTCCTCGGCGCCCACACACCTCGACGCCTCGATCGACTCGACATGGAGCAAACCGACGCTTACGATGCCTACGTCGATGACGGCGATCCCGTGGACCTCGCCATGGCGTGGGAAGCTGGCGAGGCCCGGCGCCGTCGCGAGAACGCCCTGTTGACCAAACCAGACCATGCCGAGGCAGTGCGCGACCGACTGACGAAGTTGACCGACGCCGAACGAGCCGTTCTGGACGAAATCAGCGTCGAAGATGGGCTGCATCGCACACTTCGACACGTCATCGAGGACGCGTCGAACGGAATCGACGACATTTTGGACGCTCCGGGCGATACCAACGTCTTGCGCTGGACGCCACGGCGCTTTGCGATCGGACGAGGCGCGTTTCGCACGCGAGTGGACAACATGACGAACGCCACGCCCGCGCCCGCGTCGGCCGCAGATGATCAATAGGACGTTAACGCGCACGAAAACGACGCGCGATCGAATCGAACACGCGATGACATTAGAAATTTCGTGAAAGAGGAAAGAAATCAGAAATCTGTGGCACTATTACAGTTCGCGAGCGGGCGATTTAGAGGTAGAAGTCGCGTTGTCTCGATTCCCCGCCGACTTCCTTCAACTTCTTCAAAATCTTGGAGAAGTATTCTTCTAAATATTGTTCGAGCGTCGTCACCTCGTCTTCGCTCATCCCCAAAGTCTTGTAAGTCTCCGTCATGTCGGCTTCAAACTTGATGCCGCTCGCCAACACTTCCGCGAAAGCCAGGCGGTCGCTCGCCGCCGAAGACCATTGGAAGAAACGCGTGAAGGCACGGGTGAACTTCAACAAACCAACCGGTACGTTGCTGACCTTGGCTTCGGCGCCGCCGAGCTTTTCGCACAAAGCGATGACTTCGCGCACGCTGTACGACTTCGGGCCGGCGAGCGTCATGATCTTGTTCGCGGCTTCGTCTCTGCGAACGGCGGCGAGAGTCATCTTCGCCACATCTTGCGTGTCCAAGTATGCCGTGCGCGTGTCATCATCCGTACCCCAAAGCGGCTGCTCCTCGAGCACCGGCACGGCGTATCCCGCGATGAGCGGTTGCATGAAACCGCACAATCGCAGCACCGTGTAATCCATCCCGCTCACTTTCAAGTACTCCTCCACGGCGTACTTCATGTTCATCAACGGTACTTCTCGGTGCTTATCGCACTGATCGATGGAGTAAAACACGTATCGCGAGATCCCCATCGCCGCGGCCGTTTGAATCGTCGCGCACTTGGCTTCCCAGTCGATCGCGTACGAGTCCTCCTCCGGTCTCGCCGTCGACGCGTCAATCACCGTGTGCACCCCCACGAACGCCGGCGGCAGCGTTTCGGGTTTCGTCAGATCCGCGCTGACCGTCGTGGCGCCCCAATCCCGCAAGAAATCCGCCGGATTTTGTCTCGGTCGCACCAAGCACCGCACGTCGTAGCCCTCGTCCAGGGCCCGTCTCACCACCTGTCTCCCGAGCGTTCCCGTCGCGCCGATCACCAGCATCGACGTCTTGCGCACCGGCGTTCCGCTCGTCGCCGCGCCTTCGCTCGTCGGCGCCGATTCACCGCCGCTCTCCGCGCGCACGCGCACCGCGCGCGTCGCGCGCCGTCCCGTCGCTTTTCCCGATGTCCCCATCGACGTCGTCGTTCGCCGCGTTCGCGCGAACGTCTCGCGCATCGTCGCGCGGTGCATCGCGAGCGGTTGCATCGTGCGCGAACTTCGGCGCGAGTGCGCGCTTCGGCGAGTCGGACGCGGCGCGCGCGACGGAGTGCGGCGCGCGCGCGCCGTCGTCGACGGGATGGATAAGTGACGTCACGCGCGCGAGACCGATCGAGCGATGCACACGGAACATTTGGACATTTGGAGTTACAGCGTCGGCGAAACCGCGCGCGTCAGAGCATGTCCTCGGACGCGTCGAACGCGCCCGAGGGCGGCGCGCGGCGCGAACGCGGCGGCGGCGCGCGGCGCGAACGCGGCGGGGGGCGAGCGTCGCGCGGCGGCGGCGACGCGCGGACGTCGCGGACGTCGCGGGCGTCGGCGGGCGGACGACGCGCGGCGGCGCGCTCGCGTCTCGCGGGAGGATCCCAGTACGCGTCGACGGTTTCGTACTCGCGCGATTGACGGCGATCGTCGCGGACGACCCAATCGGAGAAACCGGGGCGGTCGCCGTAGCCGCCGTCGACGTCGCGACGTTCGTACGCTTGCGTCGGACGCATCAGCGGGATGCCCTCGCGAACGGGGCTTCCGGACGATTGGCGCTGCTCGACGCCGCGCGCGGCGCCGCCGCGACGTCGGAAGAAGGCTTCGTACTCGTCTACGTCGGCGCGACGGCGCGATCGCGACGGCACGGCGCGGCCGTAGTCGTCGTAGTAGACGTCGTCGTAGTAGGCGTCGCTTCCGAACATCATCTCTTCCTCCTCCCACGGCGGCACGGTCAACGCCAAGCGCTGTAAAACGCTCATGCTGAGTTGTTCGACTCGACTTTCGGCGTCTTCGGCGACGATGATGCGTTCGGTTCCGCAGTCTAAAATCTCAACGACGTCCACGGCGTACGTCGACACCACGCCCTCGGGCACCGTGGGCACGCCCCACGCGTCGACGATCAACCTCGCGATGGCGCCGTCCTCGGGATCGAATTCGAAATCCCGCACTCGACCGATAAACTGCCCACTCTCGGTGACGACGTCCTTCCCCACCACCGCGCTGTATCCGTACGAGCTCCATCGCCGCTCCACCGCGCGCTCGTCGTGTACCAAAATCACGTCCCCGACTTGCCTCAGCGACTCCAGCAGCACGTGGTCTACCGTCCCCACGAACGCGTTTTGTCGAATATCTAACGCCACGACCTCCCACGTATCGGTGTCCACCCACAAATCCGTCGCCACGCCCAATCGCGACCCGCTCGTGCGCGTCACGACGAGCTTATTCAGAATCAACCCTCGCGTGAGCAAGATTTCCGCCGTTTGCGCTCGCGCCGCGTTCGCGCCTCTGATCGCGCTCGCGCCCCCGCTCGACGACCTCGCGCGCGCACCACTTCCTCTCGCCATCCCCGGCGACGACGACGACGCGTCTCTCGCGCGCGAATCCCGTCTCGCGTCGTCGTCGCCGCGCGCGCCGCCGTCTCTTAACCTCTCCCCCTCGTCGCCATTCGCCGCGCGTCCCTCCATCGCGCGTCGGCCCCCGATCGCGCGCCGCGTCGCGCCGTCGCCGTTCACGAACATCACGTCACCGTCGTTCCCTCGCCCGACGCTTCCCGGTCGTCTCTCGTCGTCGTCGTCGACGTTCGCGCGCGCGTCCCCGCTCGCGGGCGTCCCATTCGTCGACGCATTCGCGCGCGTCGCGCGTCGTCTGATCGCGCGCGCACCGCGTCGGTCGTCGAGCGCGATCGGGACGTTTACGCTGCGGCAGAGCGCGCGCGCGTGCGGCGTCGGAGACGCCATGACGCGCGACGCGCGCGGTAATGCGTCGCGCAGCGTCCAATGCGCGCGGCGTCGCCGGCGCGCCCGGGCGCAGGCTGGACAAAACGGGTTTCGCGATTTCGGCACTAATAGATCTAAATCACGGTGAATACGTAGAAAACTCGACGAGAACTTAAGTTATTGCGATGCTCTTAGTCCCTAAGTTTGTGCGTAAGTGTGCAGGCTGGACAAAACGGGTTTCGCGATTTCGGCACTAATAGATCTAAATCACGGTGAATACGTAGAAAACTCGACGAGTTTATAGTTTATAGTTTATAGTTTATAGTTAGGTTTCGACCGGGGTGGCGCGCGGGCGTTACGCGAGCGTTTCGAGCGAACAATCGAATCGATGCGACGTCAGAATCGCGCGACGGAGGAGAACGACGCGACGACATGAGCGAACGCGATGCGGGATCGTTCGGCCCGTTCTTCGAGATCGCGGGATCCGGGTACGCGATCGACGAGCCGAACACGCCGGAGTATCGACAGATGAAGTACGGGTGGCAGTCGGAGTGGACGATGGAGGAGGACGGGCAGGAGCGGTTCGCGCGGCTGAAGAACCCGTGCGTGGCGTACGATTTGCCGGAGAGTAAGAGAAACGCGTCGGACGTGCTCGAGGCGTGCGAAAGAGCGGTGCGCGGGGGGAAGGTGACGCGGTGTTACGTGCCGGAGGGAGAGGATTTCGCGTTCGTGACGTTCGCGCGCGACGAGGACGCGGCGACGTTGTGCGAGCGCGGTCTTTCGTTCGACGACGACGAAAACGACGACGACGGCGTTCGAACGAATGATGACGGCGAAAACTCCGAGCGGTCGACGAAATCGAAGAAGACGTACACCGTGGAGGCGTTGAAAATTCCCGGTCCGGCGCTCGTGGGCTGGCGCGAGCGCGTGCGCGCCAAAGCGACGGCGGCGTGAGCGCCCACCGCCAACGCGCGCGCTCGATTCATCGACGAATCGTTTAATATCAACGTTTTACGTTCGTTTCCGCGTCATCGACGCCCGATGTCCGTCTCTTCGCGCGATGTCCGTCGCGCTCGACGTCGCCCCGCGCGGTCTTGAAATGTGACGTCACTCGCGTTCGTCCCGTGTCCACACTTCTCCGCGCGCTCGCGTCGCGCGATACCGACGAACCGTGTCGCGCGCGATGTCAACCGCGTCTGCACCGCGCGCGGCGTGCGCTCGAGCGCAAAGACGCGCGCGCGCGACGTCGCGAACGCCGTCGGCGGCGCCGATGCGTCGTGGCGTGAAAACATCCGCGCTCGATACGAGCGCGCCGGCGTCGCGCGCGAACCCGCTGTCGTTCCTGGACGACCTGCGAACGCGCATCGAAGACGCGCTGCCCGAGGAAGCGAAAAAGGCGGCGCTTCGCGCGGCGTACACCTCGAGCGCGGGACTTCGGTTTGCGTTTTTTCTGTCCCAAGGCGTGGGGAACTCGCGCGGGACGGATGGACGAGACATCGACGTCGGGGCGATCGCGCAGGCGGTGGCGAGAGTGGTGATGAGTGACGATGGGAATGGGAACGCGAGCGCGGGGTCGGCGACGCCCATCGTGCGGAAGACGATGGATGGGAGCGATATGTCGGAGGAGCAGGCGCAAGAGGTGAGCGAATTTTTGGAACAGCACATGGGGGCGATTTTGGACGTGTTCAAGCGCGAGTGCGAGTTCATCGAAAATGGGACGTATAAGTTTCCGTATGATATGGATCCCAGCACCGCGCCGGCGGCGCAGTGGAATCCCTTGGCGGTGAGCGCGTTGGCGAACGCGAACGCGCGAGATCAACGCGTCGTCGCTGAGCGAAGAAACGCGAAGAAGGGGCAAGAATTGCGCGAAACTTACGTCGCCGATCCGAAGAGATATCCGGACTATTACTTACAAAACTTTCACTACCAAACCGATGGGTGGTTGAGCGCGCAGAGCGCGCGATTGTACGACTTCCAAGTTGAGATGCTGTTTTTGGGATCCGCCGACGCCATGCGTCGTCGGGCGTTGCCGTACATCGCTGATTTCATGCGCAATCGCGACGCGAGCACGACGAAGCACTTGGATGTGGCGTCTGGCACCGGACGTTTTTTGTCTTTCGTGCGCGATAACCACCCCGAGTTGCAAAGTACGGCGCTCGAGCTGTCTCCGCACTACCTCGAGTCCACGCGCAAATTGAACAAGCGTTTCGAAGGCAAGGGCGGTAGCCTGCGCCTCGTTGAAGCGAACGCGGAAGACATGCCTCTCGAGGACAACGAATTCGACATGATCACCAACGTCTACCTCTTCCACGAGCTTCCGCGCGCGGTTCGCATGACGGTGGCCAAGGAAATGGCGCGCGTGTTGAAGCCGGGCGGCAAGCTTTTCTTCGTCGATAGCGTGCAAATTGGCGATGGTAAAGAAAATGGGATGGAAGGCGCGTTCGAGCTCGCCCTCGATCGTTTCCCTGCGTTCAACCATGAACCGTACTACAAGGATTATGCGGTGACGAACTTGGTCGAGCTCTTTGAAGAAGCCGGTTTGCGTCACGAAGCCACCGCCACGGCGTGGGTTTCGAAGACCATGGTCTTTTCCAAGCCATTCGATGGTCAAGAACTCCCGCGCGCCGCCGAGCTCCCGGTAGTGGTACCGCAAGAGGTGGAAACCCCTGCCGCGGTGGTTGAAGCCGTCGCCGAAGAAAAACCCTCAGAAACCGAATCCGTCGGCGACGATGAGCCGGAAATCGGCACCCGCAAGTTTTAAATGAAGGCGCACGCTGTATTTATTTCTCATTACAACATATGTTTTAATTTAACAACAAGCGACTACCAACCACTCCGTGCTAACCTCGCCCGAGCGCGTGCCGGTTGGCTGTGTTGAACGCGTCCAGCGACCACACGATTGCCTCTTCGTTGAAGTGTGCGACGAACGCCACGAGAACGACGATGCCGACGACGTTCTCGACTAAACCCGGACTCGTGCGGCCACTCAACATCAATCGATGGCTCGCTGCGTCTTTGTACCCTCTCGATATCACGGCGTCGCTAATCGCCGCCGAGTTGGCGAAGAGCGAGTCTAAAAGCCGTTCCAACAATCGCCCCGATAAATCTACGCTTCCGCGCCACCCGAGCGCGCGCCAGTCGATGTCACGCGCCGCTAATCCTAAGCTCAGATTCCGCACTTCCTCGAAAACGATCGAGGTGAAGCGAAGCGATAGCAACAGGGTGAAAATTACCTCCTCCACGGGCACGCGAAGCGCGCGAAGCGGCGCGAGATACCAGCGCAACCCAGCCGCCATGGCCTCCGGCGTCGTCACACACAGCGCTAAATGCGCGCTTTGTAACACCGTAAACGTCATCGCCGACGACGTCACAGCTAAATTGATCCCTTTCCTCGTCAGCTGTAGCGGCCCGAGATGAAACAACACGTACTTGTACGAGCTCGCGAGCTCGGGTAACCCCTCCAACCCCTCTAAACTCGCCGGAGGCTCCCTGGTCGACACCACGGGCGCCACGGAATCCGCTCCGATCGCCACCGCGACGAAAAACACCGCGCAAACCGTCATCAACGACTGCAACTGCGGTCTCCACACTCTCCGCGGCAACGCCGCCACAGTCGTCGCCGTCAACAACGCGCACGTCGCAATCTTATCATCCACGCTTCCGCTCGCCGGAAGCAGCAACAGCGCCGCCAACCACGCTTGCTTCACCCTCGCGTCCATCCTGTGCAACGGCGACGTGGGCGAGCTCACGAACGACCCGATCGGCACCGCCGGGAGTTCCAAAAACTTCGTCAGCGCGCGCTGCGCCGCCGGAGGCTTCCGCTCGCGTCGCCGCGCGCCATCGTTCGCGCCCGCGCCGCACGTCACGTCGCGCGCCAACGCTCGCGCGTCGTTCGACGCCGCGCGCGCGTCCCCGCGCGCCGTCCTCGCGCCGCGCGCGCGCCGTCCCCGCGCGCGAACCTCGACCTCGACCTCCGCGCGCGCGTCGCCCTCGCGCCGCGCGCGCGCCGCCGCGCGCGCGCCGCGCGCCGCGCGCCGTCGCCCGCGCGCCGTCGCCGGCGTCCGAGCCGTCGCGCGCGCCGTCGCCGTCGCCGCGCGCGTCGTCGTCGCCATCGCGTCGTCGTGTGCGGCACTCGTCGTCGCGTCGTCGCGCCGCGACGCCGCGCGCGCGCCGCGACGCCGCGCGCGCCGGCGCGGATGCCCCGCGACGACGGCGACGACGCGCGCGGCGTGATCGAGACGGCGAGCGATGCCGCGCGCGCGAAGCGGTGCGTCGACGAAGCGAATTCGCGAGCTCGAAGCGGCGACGATTCGACGCGCGCTGACGCGCTCTCTCGCGCGCAGGGACATCGCGCGACTCGGCTACGTCGACGACGCGCACGTCGAGGCGTTCGCGCGCGAGACGGGCGCGAGCGGCGCGAGGCACGCGCCGCTGGTGCACAGAGGGTACTGGGCGCGGTCGACGGCGACGCGGGCGCTGAGCGACGCGTTCGGAAGCGCGGTCGGCGATGGACGGTTCAACGTCGTGAACGTGGGATGCGGGTACGACACGATCGGATTTTATGTGATGGAACGGTGGGCGAACGCGCGGGTCGTGGAGGTGGATCACGAGGAGGTGACGAAGGAGAGGCGAGCGAGGAGCGAGGCGAGCGCGGGGACGGCGGCGGCGGCGGCGTCGGAGGTGTACGATTTGCGGGCGTGCGACGTGCGAGACGGGGAGGCGCTGGCGCGGATTTTTGAGGAGGTAAAATTGGATTGGTCCGCGCCCACGCTCGTGATCGCGGAGTGCGTGTTGGCGTATTTGCCGCCGGGGAAGTCGGACGAGGTGGTTAGATTTTTCGGCGAACGCGTCGAGCGAGGGGCGTTCATCTCGTACGATCCCATCGAGCCCGACGATGCGTTCGGACGACAGATGGTGCGCAACGTTGAGAGTCGTGGGTGTGCGTTCGCCGGTATCAGGGACGCCCCGAGCGTTGCGGGCGCTCGAGCGAGGTTTGAGCGGAACGCGTGGCGGCGCGCCGAGGCGTACGACATGAACGAAGTGTACGCGAGGTTAGATCCCGTCGAGCGCGCGCGAATCGAGCGAATAGAATTATTCGATGAGTTCGAGGAGTGGAAACTCATCATGGCGCATTATTGCGTGTCGGTCGGCGTGAACGACGACGAAGGGGGGGTTTTAGCAGATTTCGGCCTGAGATAAAGACTGCACGAGCTTCAGCGCGTGTCGTTTCAAAGTAGAAAGAATTTGTTGTGCTAGGTGATATCAAGTGCTAGGCGCGTCGTTCGTGCGTTCAATCGCCCCGATGCGCGCGCTCGAGTTTGGCTATTTTATCTTCCACCCACTTCCCGTCGAACCTTTGCAATCGCAAGAAGCCGGCTTCGCCCGCGCTCGCGAGCCACCAACCGCCGCTCTCATCCTTCGACCATCGCACGCAATGTTGTGCAGTCGTCGGTGTTTCTCGCGTCCCTGGCATCGCCGCACGATCGGTGGGAAACAAATCCGTCCCGCCCTTCAAGCTGACCTGCTCGCTCGAGGTGATGAAGTCGAAGCACTCTGGCGGCGTCACCGGGTTGGCATCCGCGACGCGATTCGTCGCCGCGTCATACGCTAGCATTCCCGCGCACGTATCGAACACGTCGGGTCGTGATTTAATGGTTCTACTCACGTATCGCATCGGAGACACACATATGACGCCATTTGACGACGCACAGGCGACCATGGCGGCGGCGGAGGTTGGATCCGAGCTCGCGCGAGCGTCCACGCTCCAGGGAGAGCCTCGCCCTGGCACGGCGTGCTGCGTCGAAGGCCGCGCTCCATCGTCCGAGGCATTCGCCGTGAGATCAAACTGTTGTACCAGCATCTTCGTCGCACCTTTCTTCTTCCCCGACGATCGATCGGAGGTTTCAAAGCCCACCACGAGGGTGCCTCTGGGGAGCCACGCCATGTCGAGCGTCCACGGCTGTCCTCGCTCGTACGCATCACCGATCGGCGCGAAAGGCGCGCGCAGATCAAATAACTGCGGCTTCACCGCGTAATCGTTCCCACACGCGATGATGTTCGCGCACACGGACTCGTCTTCGGCGAACTCTCGCGGCGGCCATCGCACGGCTCGACACGGTCCCGCCTGCGCCGCCGCCGCTACGACAAACTTCGGATACGTCGGCGCGCCACCGAGCGATTTCTCGTCAATATCCCAAACGACGACTCGCCCACTCGTGCATCCCGCGGCGAGACGTCCCGGAACGACCGCGTTCCAATCCAACCGCCACGGCGCCCCGTACTCTTTCGGCACGACGCCGACGAACTCCGCCTTCGCCTCTTCGACCACCCCGTTCTCTCCCCCTTTCGTCACCTCCACCACGCACACCTTCACCTCACCATCGCCCGAGCTCACCGCCAGCGCCCCCACGGCGTCATCCGTCGCCCGATCTCCTAAAAATTCCATCGTCGGCGACCACTTTACGTCCAAAGCGCACCCCCCCGCGTGCGTCAGCCCTTTCACCATCACCGTCCCGTTCGCCCCCCTTCCCGTCTCCACGCGCCACACTTGCACCATTCCCGTTCCTCGGCACGCGCCGACGTCGCGCACGGCGTGCGCGTGATGTCCCGCGCCTCGCGCCGCCGCCGCCAACCAACCGCCGCCTTCGCCTTCGCGCGCGTCCGCCGTCTTCGCGCGCGCGAGCCAATCCATCGTCCACACCGCACCGCCGAGATACGCGACGTAATCATCGACCACCGCGCTCGACGCCGACGCGCGCGCGCGCTGCATCGCGGCGTTTCCGCGCGTAATCCTTTTGCATTCAAAAAGTGCAAATTCAATCGTCCCCGACGACGTCGCGTCGTCCCGACCGTCGCTTCGCTCGAACGCGCGCGCGGCGACCGAGGGCGAGCGCGCGCGCAAGCCATCCATGGCGCTTCGCGATCGCCGGCGTCGTTTTCGCGCCGCGACGGCGCGAAGCGCGATCGTCACTGAATGACGCTCCAAGACCGCGTGGACGCGCTGTCGGGCGCCGTACGTCCGCTCGATCGCGCCGGCGCGTCGCGCGACCCTCGCTCGAGCTCGCGCCGCGACTGACGACGGTCGACGCGCGTCGCGCGCGCCGCGCAGGTGACGATTCGATTGTCCCACGATGGCGAGTCCACGCTCGTTCGCGCGCCGCGCTGCGCGCCGCTCGGCGCGTTTCTCGCCACGGCGCGCGCGCGAAGCGCGCTGACGAAACTCTTGCGCGTGACCGAGGACTTCGACGCGCTCGAGGCGCGATGGGACGGCGGCGAGGGCGACGGTCGGGCGTTGGCGCTCGGGACGGCGGTCGGGACGTGCGCGGACGGCGCGAGACGTCGCTCGGACGACGTCTACGGCGTCGCGCTGCGCGCGGTGAACGGGAGAGAGCGATTGGACGCATCGGACGCCGCGGCGGACGACGGTTGGGGGCGAATGGAGCGGGAGTGTCGACACGCGTTTTTCAACGGGTTGAAGGAGGCGACGTACGCCACGCGGGCGAGCGCGGCGAGGGCGATGACGATGTCGAGCGAGGACGCGGATGCGATGTGGGACGCGGTGGTGCGCGGGGACGCAGACACGCTGCGCAGGGCGGAGAAAGTAGGGGACGCGGTGCGAGAGGGGAGGAAGCGAGCGGTGGTGCCCGTGCGAGTGTACGAGACGCGAGGCGACGATTTCGCGAACGCGACGTTCGCGAGCGCGCCGGCGAGCGTTGAGCGGCGAGGGACGACGGTGGGGGACGCGTTGCGCGCATTCGGTGTGGACGTAGACGCCGTTGAAATCGTGCTCGCGCAAGGCGTCGAGGTTGGGTTAGATTTTGATTTAGAGCAAACGTACGAGGCGCTGCGGCATGCGGACGCGTTTCTGTACCTCGTGGCGCACGTCGCCTCCACTTTGTAACGTTACAACAATTATTGTACCTAATGCACAGAATCTAATGCGATGGGAATCGTTCTCATTTGAAGAGGGATGTGCGTCCGCTGGACGGCGCCGTCGCGATGGGGGTCTTTTGCTCGGCGCGAGAAAAGTCGAAGAGACCGACGCCTTTCGTCTTCCGCTTTGTCGCGGGCGACGCGTTCGGGCTGACGTAATTCTTCGCCGGTTTGATGGTGAAATCTTTCAGCATGTCCATCGGCGCGCGATCGCGCGGCGTCGCTGTGCGAGTGATTTGGCGAGTGATCGTCTCGTATTTGTTCTTCGCCGGCTTGACCTCTGTCTTTGGTCGGTTTGCGCGTTTGGCAAGCAACGCTTCAGATATCTTTGGTCTCGCCTCCTGCGGTCGCGCCGCTGGAAGTAACGCGGGTCGACGAATGCCACTCGCAATTTCGGCGTTCATACGCGCCTTGTGCCTTCGGTAGGCGCGTTGCAAGGCGACGACGGCCCAAATCATAATTTTCATCTTTCGAATTTGCACGCGACCGGTTTCGGGAACTTGTTCGTATTCACGAAGCGCCGAGCTCACTTGGCCTAACTCGGTGAATGCATCGCCACGGCCGATGACGGCGTTTTCGTGCGTCGCCGTCACCTCGGAACTGTCGGCGAATTTCGTCTGTCCCTCGGACACGCACCCGTACCCGCGCGCGGCGTGCAACGCGTCCTCCTGCAGTTGCATGAACGTCGCCAGTTCTTTCGCGCGCCCGTACGCCTTGACCGCTATGGTGGGGATCTGGAATCCATTCAAATACAGATTTCCAATCTCGAGCCAAATCTTCGGGCTCGTGGGTTCCATCTTGCACGCCTCGACGTAGCACGCGTCCGCGGCGTCGAAATTCCCCGTCTCGGCGTGCACGCGCCCCTTCGTGTACAAGCCTTCGGACGTTTTCTTCACCACATTCGCTTCAGTGAGCTCGCGAAGCGCTCGCGCGGCGTCTTTATCTCGCTCGTACCGGTACCACGCCACCCTGATGACGTTCGTGGTACGAATCGGCTTGTGCAAAGGATCGGAACACACCGACTTCATGCACCGAGACTCCTCCTCGGGCAAGCGTAATACTCTATAACACGACGCGATTTCGCACAAAACATCCCCAGTCCCGAGCGATGCCTCCATCGGTCGTTTCATGACTTTTCTAAAACATTCCAGCGCGTAATCCGCCATCTGCAAGCTCAAATACATCTCTCCGCACGCCAAGTACACCTGCGTCGCGCTCGCGTCTCGCGGCCCGTCGGGTTGCAATACGAGCGCCGTCTCGTACGCCAACAACGCGCGATTATACCTCCCCGCCATTTGACACGCGCGACCGATGCGAAACATCACCTCTCCGTCCACCAATCCCTTGATCGACGCCTTACTCGAGCTCTCGTTCGCCTTGCGCAAGAACGCCGCCGCGATTCGCGGCTTCTCCTTCGCAAACGTCTCCTCGTCCCCCCCGTCATCGTACGTCTCCTCGCACTCCTCGCCGTCCCTTCGCTCTCGCCCGAGCACACCCTCGGGTTCATTCTCTTCGCCCTCGCGCGTCGCGCGCTTCTTCGCGATCAACCCGAGCCCTCGCAGCGCCGCCGCGTACGCGCCGCACGCGCGTCCCGGCTCGTTCGCCCCCGCGCGCGCGTCCCCGAGCCTCAACCGCAGCTCGATCCGTTTCCTTCGTCGCGCGCTCGCGTCCATCGGCGCGCGCGCGCGATCGAGCGCCAGCGCGCGCAGCGCCAGCCCGTAGAACGCCGCCGCGTACGCGCACTCGCCGTTCGCGAGCGACAATTGACCTTCGCGCTCGGCCGCGGCCGATTCGACGCGCGCGACGTCCTCGAGCGGCATCGCGAGCGCGAACGCCGGATCCTCGACGACGCGTCGACGCAGATCTTCGTCCATCTCGATCGCGCGCTCGCGCGCGAACCACGGCATGGCGCGCGTCGCGATGCGCCGTCGCGTGTCCGATTCCGATTCCGCATCGTTTGCAAACTCTAAAAAGCAAAAGCTAAAGCTACCGCGCCGTCGTCGTCGTCGCGATTCGCCGACGCGCGTCGCGTAAAATCTCTCCCTCTCGCGTCGCTCACGTCGATCCTCCCGCGCGCGCGCTCGCGCGTCTCGCCCTCGCGTCGTCGTCCCGCTCGCGCGCGTCCTTGGCCCTGAACGCCTCCGGCGGGAACCACCGCTCGCCGAGCGTCACGTACACCTTCTTGAACGCCGCGCGACGGTGAAACCCGCCGCGATCGCGTCGCTTCGCGCCGTCGTAGTTGCTCGTGCGCACGTCCGTCGTCTTCACGCGCAGCGCGCGCTCGAGGTACGCGCGAACCTCGAGCTTGGTCACGCGCGGGTCGGCGCGAAAGACGACCTCGTCGACGCCGCGCGCGAGGTCGTCGCGCGACAGTCGAGGCGGTTGGAGCGTCAGGCGCAGGTTCGGGAGCGGGACGACGCGCCCGAGTCGGCGCGCGACCGAGGTCATGGCGCGTCGCGACGTGCGGCGGGCGCGCGCGCGGGGGAATAAACGCGCAGAGATTGAAATCGCGCGATCGCGTTTTTATGTAAAAACGTGTGGGTAAACAGTGTGGTGGCAGGCTGGGTAAAAAAGAGGGACTCGATGGGTCGTGACTCGACGGAGGTGCGAATGCGGCGAGGTTCCGAATTTCAGCCGCGGCGTTCGACGGTCGGTCGGTTGGACGCCGCGCGTCGACGACGGGGGCGACGCGCGCGTCGATCGATCGCGCGGTCGCGCGAGGCGAACGCACGACCGAGGTCGATGAATGAATGAAGACGACGATGAATGCATCACGCGCGGGGGCTAGAGGTCGAATCGGGACTCGCGCGCGAGCGCGGCGAGCGCGGTGCGCGAGGCGAGCGGGCCGGGGTCCTCGCGGAGGTACGCGGCCCTTCGCACGCCGAGCTCGACGGCGCGAGCGGCGCACATTCGACAGCACTGAAGCGTGACGAGTAAGGTGGTGTCGGGCTCGATCAAACGACGCGCGCGGGCGTCGTCGGCGGGGAAGAGGAGGTTCATCTCGGCGTGGAGGACGGCGTTGCCGCCGTTCGTGTTCGCGGCGACGGCGTAGACGCCACCGCGGGTGGGCGAGTGAAGGGCGGCGAAAACCTTGCGATCTCGACCTCGACGCGATCGTCCCTCGCCCTCGTCGTCGACGCTCGCCTCTAAAGCGTCGGACGCGGCGAGAAAAAACGAGCGCTCGGTCGGCATCGCCTCCAACGCCGGGAGCGCGGCGCGACATCGCGCGCGCGATTCCTCCGCACCGCGCTCGACGGCGCGACGCGCCCAATCCGTGACGTCTTCAAACTCACCGACATCGATCGTCGAACGCACCGCGTCGTCGTCGTCGTCGTCGTCGTCGTCGTCGTCTCGATCGACTCGAACCGTCGTCGCCTTCGTCGCGCACACCTTCACCAACGCCCGCTCGAACGTCGTCAACGCCTTCGCCGTCGTGAACACCCGCCGTCGCATCCACGCGTCGCCGTAGTTCCGTCCATCGCTCTCGCCCCGCATCATCCGCGCCCGCTCGAGTTCGCGCGCGCCGAGCACGAGATTCGTCACCGCCGACCGCGCGTCCGCCGCGCGCGCGCTTCGCCCTCGCGTCGCCGCCGCGGCCGTCCCGCGCGCGCCCGCCGCGACGTGCGCCGTCTCCGCGCCGCCGTGCGCGTCTCGCACCGCGCGCGCCGCGCGCACGTCCGCGGCCGAGGGCTCGTACGGCGCGCTTCGCCGTCGTCGGTCGCGCGCGCGCGACGATTCCGATTCGCTCGCGCGCGCGCGCGCCGACGGTTCGCGCGCGCGCCGCCGCGACGTTCGCCGGCGTCGCGCGACGCGCGCCGGCGCGCGCGTCGACGCCGACGCGCGCGCGGCCATGGCGCGCGGGCGCGCGCGCGGCGCGAACCGACGCGGTCGGGCGGCGGTGACGTGTGCGCAAACAGTGCGGATGTCGTGATACATGTCCGAATGTCCGAAAGTGCGCCGACGCGCGTTCGCGCGCGCATTCGAGGCACCACATCGACCATCAAACGAACGACGCGAGAAAATACATCCGCGCGCGCGCGCGCGCGCGCGCGCGCGAACCGGGCACTCGACACACCGCGACGCCGCGACGCGACGCGCGAGCGACGATGGGCGCCGACGCGATCGCCGCGCTGACCCCGGGCGCGGTGAATAAAATTCGCGAATCCGCCGGCGCGACCGACGTCTGCGTGCAGGCGCGTGCGCGACGCGACGACGACGGGACGACGGCGAGCGCGGATGGATGCGCGTTCAAACGCGCGCGCGCGTCGCGACGAGCGCGACGACGCGCGCGATCGAGGGGGGCGACGACGAGGGCGCGGACTGATGGGTGGAGTTTTATCGCGCGCAGGTGCTCGACTTTAAGAGCGCGGATGAGGCGTACAGGTGCGCGCGCGACGCGATGATCGCGGAACGCGGGGACGGTCGTTGGAAGTTTGAATTTAAATTCAAGTTTTGAATGAGCGATCGAGCGGGCGACGCGCGTGGGCGGGCGCGGGGGGGACGCGAGGCGAGGCGTGGGCGCGCGCGGGGATGGTTCGTTTGACTGACGGTGATGACGTGGATTTCGGGCGGTGCAGTGCGACGCTGAACGACGGGGAGAACACCATCGCGGCGAAGTTCGCGGCGACGTGCGGGGAGAAGCTGTCGAGCGGCGCGGTGAAGGAGAACGCGGTGTTGAAGCTCACGGACGTGGCGTTCGAAACGGATGGCGTTGAGCGTAAACCGTTCGCGGTGATCAACGGGTTCGAAGTCGTCGACGCGGATGTGAAGGAGAAGGTGACGACGCCCGCGGCGAAGGCGGCGAAGACGGAGCCGAAGACGCCGGCGAGCGCGGAACGCGCGGCGGTGCCGCTCGCGGCGCTTAACCCGTACCGCACGCCGTGGACGGTCAAGGTGAAGTTGACGAACAAGGGGAACGTGCGCGAGTACAAGAGCGCGCGTGGTCCGGGTAAGGTTTGCTCGGTCGACTTTGTCGACGAGGAGGGTACCGCCATCGGCGCGACGCTCTGGCGCGAAGCGATTGAAAAGTACGACTCAGTTTTGGAAGTCGGCAAGGTTTACTACGTCTCCAAGGGTTCTCTCAAACCGGCGGATAAGCGATACTCGACTTCGGGTAACGATTACGAGATGAACCTCGACGGCAAGTGCGAAATCGACGTCTGCAACGACATCGATCAGTCGAGCGCGCAAAAGATGCAACGCGCGTACGCCTTCGTGCCCATCAACAAGCTCGCGAGCAAGATTGGTGCGCGTGGCAACGTCGACGTCGTCGCCGTGGTCAAGGAAGTCAGCGAACTGTCGTCCATTCGCCGCAAGAGCGACAACACCGAGTTGAACAAGCGCGAAGTCGTCTTGGTCGACGACTCGGCGAAAACCGTCAGGTTGACTCTTTGGAACGCGCTCGCCGTCGAAGTCGGCGAACAGTTGGCGTCGATGACCAACCCGGTGGTGGCTATTCGTTCTGTTCGCGTCGGTGATTACGAAGGCGTCTCCATCGGCACCGTCTCCCGCTCTGACATCGTCATCGATCCGGAGGACGTGCCGCGCGCCGTCGAAATCAAAAAGTGGTGGTCTGAGGGCGGCTCCAGCGCCGAAACCACGGCCGCGGGCGAAGGTCTCACCAGCGCGCAGCAAGGTCAAAAGAGCGAAATTATGGCGAGTAACCTCGCCGAGCTCCAGCCGGAGGAAATCGCCCCGGTGACCGACAAGCCGACGTTTGCGTGGGTGTGCGCGCACACCGTCATGTGCAAGCCAGATCAAACCATGTACTACACCGCCACACCCGAAGAAGGAAACAACAAGAAGGTGATCGAAAGCGATGGTAAATGGTACTGCGAAGCGAACGGGCAAACCTACGACACTTGCGAACGCCGTTATATTATGCGATTCAAGGCGCAGGATAGCTCCGAAGGCGCGTGGTTGAACGCGTTCAACGAAGAAGCGACGAAGATGTTCGGCATGACGGCGAACGAAATGCACGAGTTGAAGGAAAACGACTTCGCGGCGTACGAACGTGCGGTGAAGAAGATGACGTGCCAGCACTGGTCCTTCCTCGTCAAGGTCGTCACCGAGGAATACCAAGGCGAAAGCAAGCGTCGCATGACGGCGGTCAAGTGTAACCCGGTCAACTACGCCGCGGAATCAAAAAAGCTTCTCTCCAAGATGGGTGTCGTCTAAATCTCATAAATCTGATAGATATACAATTTGGAACTTTAGCTTTGCAACACGACTACGTACGAAAATTAAATCAATCCATTCCTCTCGCTATCTTCCTCCTCTTGCAGACGACGCGAGTGACTGCTTTTCAACCGCATCAACCTCTCGCTTATCGACGCCTGCCTCACCTTTAACTTATCACTCACGCGTTCCTTCGCGCTCGCCTTCATCTCTTCCTTGACAGAATTCTTCTTCGTCAGCAATGCGCGAACGCGAGCCAAACCTTCGACTCGCCGCGTTTCTTCCGCCTCTTTTCGAGCGCGCTCGGCTGCCTCTTCGGCTCGCTTCTTTTCCGCCTCCAACTCGCGTTCACGGGCGAGCTCTTCGCGCTCCAAACGCGCGCGCTCGGCGTTTTCTGCTTCGACGCGCCGTCTTTCCGCCTCTTCCGCCTGGAGACGAGCGCGTTCGACGCGCTCGGCTTCGGCGGCGAGTCGGCGCGCTTCGGCTTCTTCGACGCGGCGGCGCTCCGCCTCTCGCTCTGCCTCTCGCTCAGCCACTCGACGTCGTCGTTCTGCTTCCTCGGCTTCTTCGCGTTCGCGAACGAGCCTTTCGGCTTTCTCGCGCTTCGCAATCTCGAATGGCGAGACGTACTTTACTTCGGCGCGCTCGCGCGCTTTTTCTATCAAAGCCACGACGGCGTCGACGCCTTCGGACGCGAGCGCGACGCTCGACGCTGGGTCGGACAAAAATTCGCGATCGGCGTCGTCGAGGTACGACGCGAGATCTATGCCACCGTTTGCCCACGATTCAAGCTTCGCGCGAAGGGGCTCGCGAACGTTCTCCGCGACTTCGTTCGAGACGACGTCCCAAATTTTATCGTCGAACGTCATCGCCTCTGGTTCCACGAAATTCGCGGCGACGTTGGTGAGAAACGTTCGCACGACGTCGCGCATGGCGTCCGTGATCTCGTGTCCCACGCCCTTTTGCGCGACGATCGTGCACTGCGCTCGAGCGCCGTACTGTTTCGCACGCGACGGTTGCTCGGCGAACGCCTCCATCACGCCCTCCATAGGATTTCTCGCGTCGTCCGACCCGTTCACCGCGCAAAAGTGCACCCGTTTCGCTCGAATGCGCGCCAACACTCGAGCGCCGTCGCGAGAACCGCCGCAAATATCCGGACACACGCGCGAATAAAAATCCTTGACGTCGGCGAGCGTCGGCGTCTCTCTCGCGCCGTCGGAGACGCGCGACCACAGGCGCTTCGGCAGCGAGATCGCGCGCGCGAACCATCGCTCGTGTTCGACGCCGTACGAAAAACTCGAAAATCCAATCATCGGCGCGCACGCGACGAGCTTAAACCCCCAATCTAGCGACCATCCCGCGGCGGCGCACGCCGCGTACATCCCGCCCAAGCTCTCGCCCGCGAAGCACGCTCGCGTCGTCCCCGGCGCGTTCCCCAACGCCGCGCGCGCCACCCGCAGGCAATCTATCGCGCCGTCCACGACGTACGGCGAGTTCCCGTACCGCTCGCGCGTCTCTCCCGAGCGCTCAATTCGATCGTACGCCTCCGCCAAGACGCGTCCGTACGCGTCGTCCTCGCCGCGCGCTCGCTCGCCGTGTCCCACCGCGTCGAACACCGCGCAATCCCACCCCTCGCGCGCGTACGCCCGCGCCCGATCCAGCACTTCCTCCTTGCTCGATCCCGTGCCGTGCGTGTACACCAACAGCGCCCTCGCGCCTCCGCCTCGCGCGCCTCGCGCGAGCGCGTACGGCGTCGCGCTCGCGTCGACGCCGCGCGCGGTCACCGTCCGTCGTTCGATCTCGATCGCCGCGCCGTCCGCGCCGGCGACGACGGACGTCGACGCGAGCGCGTCCTCGTCGCGCTCGATCCAGAACCGCGCGTCGAACGCGCCGTCGCGCGACGTCCCGCGCGTCGTCGAGCGTCCCATGTCGAATCCGTCCCGCGCGGTCGCCGCGCGCGCGACGGCGCGATCGCGCGTTTCGACGGCGCGGTTCGACGCGCCGCGACGCGCGTCGCGTCGCGAACCGGCGTCGCCGGCGCGCCGGCGTCAGTGCGCGACGCGCGATGTCGCGCGTCGCGCGTCGGTTGATGCCGTGCCTGCCGTGGAAATCGCGCGACGACGACGCCGCGGGCGACGCCGAGGACGCGCGCGCGCGCGAGGACGACGACGACGACGACGACGGCGCGGTGGCGGCGCTCGACGCGCTCGCGCGGCGCGAGGCGCGGCGAACGCGCGCGCGGGACGAAATGCGTCGCGGCGTCGGGACGCGCGCGAAAGGCGCGGGCGCGGCGCGAGGGCGAATCGAGGGCGCGACGACGCGCGTCGTCGACGCGTCGGACAGCGGGCCGGTGGAGATCGCGCTGCGCGCGCTGCGGAGCGAGCAGTACGAGCGAGAGATTGAACGCGAGGCGCGCGAGCGGCGCGAGCGGGACGGCGAACCGCGGTTGCGAGATAAAGTCGACGGATTGGGGAACGCGAACGCGCGAGGGAAGCGAAAGATGACGCGCGAGAGATTCGCGTGTTCGCTGTACGCCAAGCGCGGAGGCGACGATGGGAAGTGGGCGAATTTGGGACGACGCGCGTGCGAACCGAGCGTCGCGCACGAAGGCGCGATGTGTCCGCTGTTCAGGGACGACGCGACGCGACGCGTGCGAGTGCAGCGGTCGCTGTTGTGTTCGCCGACGTGGCGCGCGCCGGGGTGGTGCGACGTCAAGGAGACTCCGTTTCACTTGGTTTTGGAGAGATTGAAGCCGGCGCTGGAGTACCACCGGGACGACGCGAAGAAGGTGATGATCGATAAAGACGCGCTGTGCGCCGAGAAGGGCAAGCCGTTCGCCGACGTGAGATTCGTGTTGATGGATTTGTGTTCGAACGACGAGCGGAGGCTCGAGCTGGATGCGCTCGCCAAGGCTCGAGGCGGCGCGCCGGGCAACAAACTCGCCGACGTCGTCTTACAGCTCACGCCGGTTGAATTCTCGCGCGCGTGGCGATCGACGCGCGCGAGAATTGGAACGAAGCGTGACGTAACGCCGGCGCACGAGATGCCGTTCGAGGCTCTGGCTGATCAATACGACGACGCGCTCGTCCAAGCCAACGCCGTGGTCGGCGTCGAACATTACAGGCAACGTAAAGAGCGACTCAAAGCCGCGCGCCAGAGCAAACCGTTCGTAAAAGACGACCACACGTCGCCCTCTCACCGTCTCATCTCCGTGGACGACGCCGTGGCGCTCGGAGATTTCACCGCCGTCGCGAGCGTCAAGACCAACCGCGCCGTCGGCGCGCGAAGCCGACGTCATCAACCACCGCTCACCGCCGCTCGATAGCGCCTTCGAGGCTTAGCATTTATTCATTTCGCGAGCGATAGCAGAAATTCGTCCCATTCGACGTCGTCGTCCTAGAACCTCTCGAGCGTCGCCTGGCCGTCCCGGTTTGGGTTTGTCGCGGCGCCGCGGTTCCTGCACACGCCGTCGCGCGACCCGTTTCGCGGTCGCGGACGCGCGTCGAGCGCTACCAAAGTTCGATGACACCACTCACCGCTCGCACGCCGACGCTCGCGCCCGCGCGACGCCTCCACGCGCCGTGCGCGCGCGTTTCGTCTCGCCGCGTGCGCCACGAGGCAAACTGTCCCGGTCGACGCGTTCGCGCGCGCTACGTCGCGCCGCGCGCGTCGATAGCGGTGTCGATCGCGGCAAGAGCGCGAACGCGCGCGTGCGCGTCGATCGTCGACGATTCGGAGGCGCCCGCCGCGCGCGCGAGCGATGGGGACCCCTGGTCCGTCGCGCGCGTCGTCGGCGTCCCGAGCGAACGCGTGACGGCGGTGCTCGATCAAGCCCTGCCCGTGATGGGCGGCATGGCGAGCCAAAACGTGCTGAATTTGGCGGATGCAGCCATGGTGGGGAGGTTGGGCACCGCGAGCGTCGCGGCGGTGGGGCTGGGGAGCACGATGAATTTTCAGTGCCAAGCGGCGCTTCAGGGCGTGGCGAGCGGCGTCCAGGCGATGGCGGCGAGACGAATGGGTGAGGGGAGATACGACGAAGTCGCGCGACCGTTGAACGCGGCTTTGATATTAGTGTGTTTGATGGGGGTGCCACTGGCGATATTGGCGTTTGTTTACGCGGACGCGCTGGTTCCGCTGTACACGACGGACGCGAGCGTGGTGGCCAACGCGGTGCCGTATTTACGAGCTAGAGTGCTGGCGGTGCCGGCAGTGGGGATCAATTTCGCATTCAGAGGATTTTGGAACGCGATTCAACAGCCGCAGGTGTACATGAACACGTTGATCGTCATGCACACGGTGAATTTCACGCTGTCGTTGATTTTGACATTTGTGGGCGTGCCCCAGTTGGGCGTGCCCCCGCTCGGAGCTCTGGGCGCGGGATTGGGGACGAGCTTTAGTATCTGGTGTGGGACGGCGATGTACATGTATCAAGGGATGAAACGGGCGACGAAACTTGGATTCTTACAAAAGAGACCGACGATGGCGGATTTGCGCGTGCTCGCCACGCAGGCGTTGCCGACGTCGGTGACCAACTTGCTGTACGCGTCGGGCATGATGACGTTGTATTCAATTGTCGGGCGCCTCGGCACGACGGAAGTGGCGGCGGTGAACGTGCTCATCAATCTGATGTTATTCTTGATCTTGCCGTGCATGGGTATGGGTCTCGCCGCCGGCGCGCTGAGCGGTCGAGCGCTCGGTCGAGGGGACGTGGAAGACGCCAAGCAGTGGCCGTGGGACGTCGCGAAAATCACCGCTCTTTTGATGTCCGTCGTCGGCTTCGGCCTCGCGTTGTGCCCTCGAGTGGTTTTAGGGGTGTTTTTGACGGATCCACACGCGGTGGACATCGCGGTGACCCCGCTTCGCATGACGGGTCTCACCGTGTGCGGCGACGCCGTCAGCCTGACGATGCAAAACGCTCTCCTGGGCGTCGGCGACGCCAAGCGCGTGGCGCTCGTGAGCATCCTGAGTCAATGGGCACTATTTTTACCCTCAGCCTACCTCGCCGTCGCGGTGTTCGACCAAAATCTCACCGTCGTTTGGACTCTGTACGTCGCCTACAGATTCATCCAAGGCTTGGTGTACGCCAACATTTGGCGAGGCGGCGCGTGGGCGAAAATCAAGCTCGCGTAGCCGCGCACCCGCGCGTCACGATCTCGACGACGATGTATTACATCCTACGTGTACTTTTACCCCGCCCGCGGTCGACGTCGCTCGATTTCCTCGCTCCACGCCTCGCCCGTCGCCGTTCGATACCGTCCTCGCGTGCTCTCGAAAAACTCTTCCAAATCCTCCCCCCTCCCCGTGTTCTCCTCCGTCTCGTACTCCATCGCCTGCGCGATCATCTCCAACTTATCCATATCCTTCACCAGCCTCGCCTCGGCGCTCTCTCCCGCCTCGTACTCTTCCCACAGCGCCATCAACGCCTCGCCTCGCGCGCCCAGCGCCGCCGTCATCGTCCCCATCGCCTCCCGCTCCATCGCCGCCTTCTCTTCGTCGCTCACGCCGTCGTTCGGCGTGATGTCTCCCACGACGGCCTCCGCGAGGTCGTGGACGAGCGCCATCGCGACCGCGCGCCCCGAATCGCACGCGTCGTCGCGATCCGCGGCGAGCATCGTCATGAGCGCGACTCTCCACGAGTGTTCGGCGACGGATTCCGCGTCGCGCACGCCGCGCTGGACCCATCCCGCGCGCCTGAGCGCCTTGAGCTTTCCCGCCCGCGCGATGAGATCGACGCACGCGCGCGCGGACGGCGCCGCGGACGACGGCGAGGGCATGTTTGGGCGACGCTCGCGCGAACGCGGCAAATTGTGACGCTTGAATCTCGTACCGTTCGTCGGCATGCGTCGTTGAATGCGCGCGGGGGGGGGCGAGGACGCGTGGTACGCGCCGCGCGTCGCGCTCAGGCACGTGCGCGGCGTCGCGGCGCGGAATCTGCGCGTTCCGAGCGCGAATGGTGAACGATTCGCGAATCGCGATGCGCGCGACGGCGACGGATTCGCGCGCGACGTCGCGCCGCTCGGGACGTACTGCACGCTGCGACCGCACCGCGCGCGAGGCGCGGTGTACGCGCCGACGCCGTACGGCGAGGTGTGCGTGGACGACGACGGCGAGGACGAGGGAGATCGATTCGCGGCGCGCGAGGCGTTCGCGAGCGAGACGGCGCGCGGCGAGCGAGGATTAAATCCGGATTGGGACGTCGCGATCGAGCTCGGACGCGCGTCCGAGCGTCTCGGAACGCGCGATGGAACGAAATTCGAGCTGTGCGTGTACGGCGCGCGCGCGGACGGGCGCGAGGGCGCGAGGGGTGGTGAGACGGCGAAGGCGGGAAGCGCGCGCGCGAGCGGCGCGCGATGGCGCCGCGGCGAGGGCTTGCGAACGACGCGAGAGGGAGACGCGGGCGGGGAGACGACGAGCGATGTGTTGATATGTCGCGCGGCGATCGATCTGACGCGGTTGGTGCGGCTGGGGAATCGCGTGCCGAGCGGGACGGCGATGCCGCCGAACGCGGTGTTTTTGCGGTTGAGCGACGGGGGGGTGTACTCGCCGGAGCCGTCGGCGGCGGATGCGTCGGGACGCGCGGTTCGAGCGTTCATAGACGCCGTGCGGGCGAAGAATGAACAGAACGGTGGTCAGCATCGGCGCGGTGCGTCGAACGGGGTGGCGGTGATCGATCGGATCATCACGGAGGACGAGGAAGACGAGCGCCTCGGCGGCGGCGGTCGCTCGCGAAGTCCGACGACGGCGTCGGCGTCGGCGCGCGCGGCGGACAAGAAGAGCGTGGTGAAAGTGGACGTGCGCGCGATGGTGGCGAAGATAGAAAACGTGATAGAGGCGAAGAGTGCGGAGGAAGATGCGAGAGATTTGCGCGATGAATTGGCGAGGCGCATGCAAACTCGGTTGGGCGATTTCGGCGGCGCCGCGGGAATTTGCAAAAAGCCGGCGGCGGCGTCCATGGCAAACGACGACGGAATCACCGCCGACGAGCGCATCGTCGCGCTGACGAATGAGCTCGCCGAAGAGCGCGAAAGTTTAGCGCTGATGAAGGACGACGTCGGGCGACGCATTCGAGCTCTGCGTCAGGCGGGCGAGAAACTCGTCGAGGCGAACGATCGTCTGGACGAGGCGGAGCGCGCGTTGAACGGACCAAATGGAACAGGAAAGTTGTACCAAAAGCAGCGGGCGCTCGTCGCTCGTCGCTGGCGATTAGTGGGCGATCTCGCTGAAATCTTTCCAATCGAATCCGCGCCTGAAGACCCGTCGAATCGACGAGAACATCCGCTGCTGCAAATCGGAGACGTGCCGCTGGACCTCGGGCCGGCGCCGTCGAAGACGCAATCCCTGACAGTGGAAGATCTCGAGAGCGATGCGGCGGCGTACGGTCACATCGCGCAGATATGTATTCAGCTCGCCGCCATACTCGACGTCCGTCTTCGTTATCCAGTGTGTCCGAGTCTCAGTCGTTCGTACATTTGCGACTTTCATCAAGTCAAGCCCAAAGCGGGCAGCGCTGACGCCGCGGCGATGAAGAAGACGCTCACGCGCATAGAATTTCCCTTATTCATGGACTCGCCGAGCGATCGAACGAAATACACCTACGGTGTGTTTTTGCTGAACAAAAATCTCGAGCAGTTGTTGAACGCGCACGGTTTGAGCGCCGTCGGACCTCGACATACGCTGCAAAACCTCAAGCGCATCTTCGACGCTCGACGAATGATTGCCGCCGACGCGAAAACTCACGAGATCGACGAATGATTTAGATGCATACGCATGCTATTAGACTAGCTAACCATTGTGAAAAAATACACCGCTTGTACTACGCTAATTCTCGAGTGGAACGCGACTGTCGCGCGAAATCGCCATCGGCCCTTCGCTCTCCGTGCACATCCAAACGCTCGGCGAGCCTCCGTACGCCTTGGACATGCCGACATCGATCATGTGAATCAAACCATCGCACCGCGTTTCTATTTTACCGCTCTTTGTCACGGTGTGACCTACGACCATGCGCCGAACGCCGAGTCGACGAATCACCTCTGCGGCGAGCGCGCACGCCTCCGACTCGTCGCCCATGGAAATCGTCCTCGTCCACATCGGCCCGCGGTCGAGCAGTAAAGGATCGTCGCGTCCGACTTCATCCACCGCCAAAAGCTTCGCCCCGCGCGCGTTGAGTTCGTCGACGTCGTCTCTCCCGAATAAGTGTTCGGGCAACAGTCCCGCGTGCGAAAACGCCGTCGCGCATCGTCCGCGTCCTCGCACCGCCGCCCACGGCTTCTCCCGCAGAACGTCCCCTCGCGTCGACCCTTTCGCGAACGTCTGACGCCACTTCAACTTCCCCGCGTAAAAGTACGCCCGCACGCCCAACCCCACGCCCTTATCCGCCTCCACCACGCCCTCGCGTTCGAGCTCCGACCGCCCGAGCGCCGTCAGCTCGTCCCGCGACGCGAACCTGTGATCCCCCTGCAGCGTCATCAGCTCGTGATTCCCCAGCAAGCTCACGAACTCATCCCCGACCGCGTTCGCCTCTCGCGTCAACCGCTCGACCTCGTCCACGGCCTCGATCGACCGCTCGCCTCGGTCCACCAAGTCGCCCGTCTGCACGCACGTCGCGCGCGCGCCGGCGCCCTCGCCCGGCCGTCGCCACCACCCTCGCCCGCGCTCGCGCGTCACCCCCGCGAGCGCCAGCGCCTCGAACATCGCGTCCGGGTCCCCGTGCGCGTCTCCGACCGCGACGAGCGCGTCGTCCGCGTCCGCGCGCGCGCCGAACGCGCGCGTTCGCACCGCGTGGACGAGACACGCCGCCGACGTCATCGCCGCCAGGACCGTCGCGCGTCGCGCGCGCGCCCCGCGACGCGCGTCCGATCGACGGCGCATTATTTTCGCGATCGCGATCGCGCGCGACGACGCGTGCGCGCCGTCGCGTCGCGATGCGCGGCGCGCTTCGACGCGATCGCGGCGGCACATCGCGACGCGATCATCATGTTTCGACGACAGCTCACGAACCGCGCGTGGCGCGACGCGCTTCGAGGCGGGCGACGCGCGCCTCAAACGATCGCGGTGCGCGCCGACGGCGACGCGCGCGCCGAGCGACGCGCGCGACGGCGAAGACGCGCGCGCGAACGATGGACGATCGATCAACCCTACGCGTCGAGACTGACGATGGAAACGCGGGGCGCGCGACGACGCAGAGCGCGTGCCGGGCGTACGGCGCGGGATTTTTGAACGAGGACGAAGTCACGGCGCGCGTGGTGAGCGTGGTGAAGAACTTCGCAAAGGTGGACGCGAGCAAGGTGACGGCGACGTCGGCGTTCGCGGGCGATCTCGGGCTGGATTCGTTGGACACCGTGGAGGTGGTCATGGCGATGGAGGAGGAATTCGCGGTGGAGATCCCGGACGCGGAGGCGGATAAGATACAGTCGATTCCGGAGGCGGTGAGTTATTTGGCCGCCAACCCGAACGCGAAGTAGAGAGATTTTAGTGATAATGGCGTCGTCGCCGCGAAGGCGCTCGCGCGCGGGGTTGTAAGTAAACGAGCAAAAGTTTTTAAGAAACAGAGTTTATGTTGTTACAACACTCTTCTAATGCAAAAATGCAATACAAAAAATATGCTCGCGCGCGCGTGACTTGGTGCTGAGAAAAGAATGGTTACTCGTTAGTGGTCAGCGACGAAGGCGTCGCCGTTTTGATTGCAGAATATTTAGCGCGTCTTGGCGACGTCGACGTCCGGAAGGACGAGCGAAGAGAATAAGATGAGTAATCTTCGCTCACCCGGGACGGCCCAGACGAAACCGAGCTCGGCACCGCCGGTGAGAGATCCACCCTTGCCGTTCAAGACCAAGAGTTCACCCTCGACCCAGTGCGAGTCGGCGAACCCGGGCTTGGCGACGCGGCCTTCGCCCTTGTATCTCGCCAACACGCCGAGCTCATCGGGATAAGAGCTGCCTTCGGTGATTAAGTTTTCCTTGCTCACTTTGGCGCGGAAACTCGCGGCGCCGCACGGGACGTTTTCGTCGCCCGTGAGCTTGACGGCGGTGACGCACTCGTTTGACTCGCCGACGTCGTCGCCCCAGCGCCCGCGAACCATGCGCAAAACTTCCGGACCGTGCGGGCCAAAAGCACCGATATAAAGCCCGTCGAAGACATCGTTTCGCGAACCCGACGCCAGGCGCGGATCGATGCGCTGAAATCGCACTCGACCCGGAAGCGGGCGGTGCAAGACGGCGTCTTGACCGATGAGCGCGAGTAATTCCTCGGCGCTCACCTCGTCGACGTCTTCGTCGTCATCGTCGCCTTCTCCAAAGTACTCCTCGTCCAAATCTTCGTCATTTTCGTCTTGACTCGCAAACATCTCTTGCGCGGCCTCTTTCACCGCGTTCACGAGAGCCGTGTGCGATCCAGCGCCCAAGCCTCGCGACGCCGTCGCGTCAGCGTTGGGCACCATGCTCTCCCACTTTGTGGCCAAGAAGCCTTCGATCTCCTTATCCAGCGCGTGAGAGAACGGTCTGCGGTCGTCGCCGTCGTCGTCGTCGTCGTCATCGAGAGATAACATTTCGTTGTCGCTCGTGAGCACGAACGCGTGCAAACCCTCTTGATGCAACGCCGCCGTGGTACGCTTGATGTCGTACAGCGTCTCGTCGTCGTCGTCGTCGTCGTCATCCTCTGCGTTGATGGCGTCGTTAAACTTATCCAACATCGCACCAATCTCTTCAAGCGCGTCATCGCGCGTCTTTCCACTCGAAGGATCGAGCCCGAGAAGCTTGGCTTTGATTTCTTCCTTGACGCTTTCGATGTCTTCGCGAGCGGCGCCGCGAAGCGCGTCTTCGACATCCGCCGCCGCCGTCGCGTCGTCCACGACTGCGGTCGACGACGTAGACTCGCTCTGCGTCGCGATGAATCCGACACCGCCTTCAATCAAAGCTTCCGACGACGTCGTTTCCTCCTCCTCGTCGTCATCGACGAGAGGAATCGAAACCGGGATGTAGTTTAACCGCATGACGTCGCGACGAAACCCACCCGCGGCGTCGGCGTCCTCCTGCAACATAATCTCCATCACCGGCTGTCCAGCGTCGTAATCGTACCCTTTCGGGTACGCTTTATTTAGTTCCACGATATCAGCCAAGTCTCGAGACGAATACGTCGATCCCACGAGTCGTCCGTGCTCGCGAGATATCCTCATAATCACCCCCGTCGGATGCTCGCGCGCTTCGTCTCCCTCCGCGCGCTCCCCGTCGTCCTCACCCTGCGGCACCTCCTCCATCCCCGCCCACCATCCACACAGCCCCACACCAGCGTCTCTCAACCGTACGGCGTCTTCAAACCTATCCTCAGCGATCGCCTTCGCGTACGCCTCGCACATTTGTCCCGTATCGTCGCTCGCTCGCAGCGCATCCGCCGCCCGCTTCAACGACGCCGCGCTCGCGTAATCTTCACTCTCAATCGCATCCTCAAGCTGCGCCTCCAGCGCCTCCAACGCACTCGCCTCAATCTCCAAATCATCAAACCTCGACACCACGTCCGCGTCGCTTCGTCGTCGCTCCGTCGTCGCTCCGTCGTCGCCTCGCGTCGTCGCCCCCGCGCCGCTCCGCGTCAGTCGCGCCCTCAACCGCGCCGTCGCCGCGTCCGACGCCGCCGCGAACGGATCGCTGGCGTCCGCCATAAATCTCTGCTCCGTCTGCTCTCGCTCGCCCTCGCGCGCGCCGTCGCCGTCGTCGCTCGCGCCGTCGTTCGCCCCGTCGCGACGCGCCGCGCTCCCGCGATCCAAAAACGCGCTCGCCCCGTCGCGATCGACCGCGAAGCGCGCGCTTCGAGGCGTCAAATCCGTGGAGCGAAATTCTTCGCGCTCGTGCTCCGGTCGCTTGCCCGGATCGCTCGCGCCGTCGACGCGGTCGAGCGCGCGCGGGCGCGCGCGGTGGAGACGGCGCGCGCGCGCGCGCGAGGCGCGAAGCGGCGCGCGGGGCGCGAGGACGCGCTCGCGGGCGACGCGCATCGCTCGAGCGGACGAGGGAAACGTCGGTCGCGCGCTCCGATGGGCGAGCGTGCGCGCGAGCGGTCGCGCGCGCGTGTGCGGGGCGGTGCGCGGCGAGGGCAATCGTGACGCGGATAGCGAATGCCGGAACAGTATGGGGGATGATTTAGTGCTATGTGGATGCAGAGGGGTACGTGTAGGATAACATAGTAGTTCGGACATACGGGTATAGGCATACAGATGAAACAATGATATAAATACTTTCTCGGACATCAGGCGTCCAGACCGAGCGCGACGCGACAGCGCGCGGCGCTCGGAACGTCGCGCAGCGCGCGAGAAACGGCGCGCTCGGTCAATTCGCCGCCGTGAACGACGAGATCGACGTAAGACGGCACGAGATCGACATAAGACGGCGCCGCGTCCGCGACGTCGGTCTTCGCGTCGCGCGTCTCCTCGTAAAACGTCTCGCCGGCGACGAGCACGGTCGTCATCCCGAAAATCTCCTTCGCCGCGCGCAAGTTTTTGAGCGAGTCCTCGAAAAACACGCACTCCGACGCGTCCGCGACGTCGACGCCGCAAAACGCGAAGAACTTTTCAAACGCCTCGCGTTCGGGTTTGCAGCACTCTCCCATGCCTCCCGCGCCGAAGACGCGGTCCGCGAAACAGTCTCGCAACCCGAGCGCCTCCAGCGCCTCCAGCGCCTGCGTCTCGTTGCAATTCGTGAACACGTACTTATTCTCTCGCCCGCCCGGTAACGATTCGACGAACGCGCGCACGTCCGCGCTCGGCGCGAGGTGCTCGCGCGCGTCGCCGCGCGTGAATCGCCAATACTCCGCCGCGTCGAACTCGTACCCCGCGCCGTGTCGCAGCGCTCGCAGCGTTTGATTATACCTCTTGAACCATTTTTCCCACACGACGCGCGCCTCCGCGACGTCGTCGACGCCCGCGCACCGCGTCGCCATGAATTCGTACACGCGTCGTCGACACGCCGCCTCGTACCCGTTCGCGATCGCGTACAGCGTGCCGTCGAGATCGAACACGTACGCGCGCGCGCTCGCGCGCGACGCGCCGTCGCCCGCGCCGTCGCGCGCCATCGCGCGCGCGTCTGCCGCGCGCGTCGGTCGGTCCGTCGGTCGGTCCGGGTTCGCCGGTCGCGCCTCGAACCTCGCGCCGTCGATCGACGCGACGATTTGAACCTCGGCGCGTCGTTCGCGAGGCGACGCGGACGCGGTCGACGACGGCGGCGACGACGCGCGGCGCGCGCGACACTCCTCGACGAACCATCACGGTGCGCGTTTCGACGCGGCGCGCGCGCGCGAGGGCGACGCGACGACGCGCGCGCGATCGACGCGCGCGACGCGCGCGCGCGGCGCGAGGGCGCGACGCGAGCGACGCGATCGCGCGCGCGCGGTGTCCCGATAGATCGCGCGCATCTTACGCGCGCGCGGAGCGACTGACGCGCGCGCGAACGTTCGGACGGCGCGACGACGCAGATGCTTCAAGAATTCATCAAGCGGGCGACGCCGGCGAGCCTGTACGCGCCGACGGCGACGCTGGGCGCGCTGAAGGAACGAAACGCGAATCCGGCGTTCGCGGCGGCGTCGAAGAAGGAGTACACGCTGGATTATTACCTTCGGGGAGCGCTCTCGGGCGGGATCTGCTGTGGGTTCACGCACGGGGCGGTGACGCCGGTGGATGTGGTCAAGGTGCGCTCGGAGGCGCGCGCGCGAACCGCGATGGATGAATCGACGAGCGAGCGAGCGCTCGACGGGGCGTCGACGACGACGGACGCGCGCGCGACGTCGCGTGCGGTGCGAATATCGACTGACGAGCGTGATTTAATTTTATATCGGTACAGACGCGCATGCAATTGGATCCGTCCAAGTACGGCGGTATGGTGTCTGGCTTCTCCAAGGTGATTGCCGAGGAAGGCGCCGGGGCTTTGCTCACCGGTCTCGGTCCGACGGCGGTGGGTTATTTTATCCAAGGTTGGTTCAAGTTCGGTGGTGTTGAATACTTCAAGATCAACGCCGCGCAAAGCATGACCGAACGGGAGGCGTGGAATAACCGTAACACCATCTACCTCGGCTCCGCCGCGGTGGCCGAGTTCATCGCCGACGTCTTCTTGTGCCCGCTCGAGGCGACGCGCATCCGTTTGGTGTCCAACCCGACGTACGCGCCGTCCACTCTCAGCGCCATGGCGAAGATGGCGAGCGAAGAAGGCATCATCAGCGGTTTCTACTCTGGTTTCGGTCCGATTCTGGCCAAGCAAGTGCCGTACACCATGGCCAAGTTCGCCGTCCAAGGGCGCGCCGCCGAAGCCATCTACGAGTCCATGGGCAAGTCTCCCAAGGAATGCACGAGCTCTGAAAACGTCTCCGTCTCTCTGTCTTCTGGTGTCGTCGCTGGTGTCGTCGCCGCCATCATCTCCCACCCCGCCGATACCTTGTTGTCTAAGGTGAACAAAGCCGGCGCGGGGGGCACCGGTTCCATTGTGACGCGTCTCGGCCGCATCGCCGCGGAGACTGGCGTTGTCAAGCTCTGCACCCAAGGTTTGGCCGCGCGTTGCGTCATGATCGGTACTCTCACCGCCGGTCAATTCGGTATCTTCGATTCCGTCATGGAAGCGCTCGGCGCGAGCAAGTTCCACTTCCACAACCCGGACGCCGACCATTAAGCAGTCGGCGTCGGTTTCTCGATTCATCATCACTACACCGCGCGCGTCATTCATGTAATCTAATCACAAAACGAACGCGAAGCGCGCTTTAAAAATCATTTAACTGTGGTATTTATTGACAAATCATTCGATCGGCGATCGTGCGGGCGTTTTCGGCGCGACGTCTCTCGTCTATCCGAGCACCGCCAACACGTCGACGGCGTTGATAAACTTCCCCTTCTCACCATCCTCGAACTCAACCTCCGTCCCCGAGAATCCATTGATCAGCACCGCGTCCCCTTTTTTGATTCCCTTCACGTTTTCACCGACGCTCGCCACTTTTCCCGTGACGCTCGATCCCGGTCCGCCCGCGCCCGCGCCGCCCGCCAAAAACAGCCCACCCTTGGTTTGGCTCTCCGCCTTGTCCGCGAGCACGAGCACGCGGTCGCCCATGGCTTGGCACTCGGAAGATTTCATCCCCGCCGTGGTCACCGCGCGTCGCGCGGTGCGGCGCGTCGCGCGGTGCGCGACGAGCGGCGTTTTGATCGTCGCCGCGGTCGGCGAGCGGGTGAACATGATGGCGCGATGAGTGCGCGTCTGTGCGTCTGTGCGACGAGCGCGAGGGCGATCGAGCGGAACGAGGTCGTGCGGTAAAAACCGTGCGAACTTTTGAGCGGTTCGCGCGCGCGGGCGACGAAGTGTGCGGGGGCGACGGGTCGGCGTTCGATGGGAGCGTCATTAAAACCCTCGTGTGTGGGTTTTCGCGGCGGCGCGAAGGCGCGCGCGGCTCGCGGCGACGCCGAGCGCGGAACGAAGCGAAACGAAGCGAAACGAAGCGAAAAATTATTTAAAAAACTTGCCTAAACCCTTGGGGGCGTCGCCGTCGGTGAATCCGCCGGCGCCGCCGTCGTCGTACTCCATAATTTTCGAGCACTTGGCGCGCCCCGACGGCTCGCGCGCGCACGCGTCGATGGCTCGCACCGCGGCGGAGATGCTCGCCTCCTCCCCGCGTTCGCTCCAGTAAAACTTCGTGCCGTACTTATTCGCCAACCGCGTCCAAAACGAGGGCGGGATCTCTAAATCGAGATTCCCACCGACGCTAAAGTTTAAAATGTTCCCCAAGCCCGGATCGGCGACGAAGACGACGGTGTCGTCGTCCACGTTCCAGTACTCCTTCACCGCCAATCCCGGCGTCTGCGGGTACGCCTGCGCGAGCACGCGCAACCGCACGCCCGTGTCTTTCTCCAGGGCCTCGACCTCGGTCGTCAGGCGCGCGACGTCGGATTTCGTGAGGTATCCCGCGACGTCGAGCACCGGCGCCGCGGGTCCCGGCGGCAGCAGCGCCGGGTTGTTCACCCCCTCCAATCGCGCGCTCGCGGGCGCGCACGCGTGCGCGCTGAGCGTCAGCGCCAACGCAAGCGACGCCGCGCCGCGTTTCACCGCGTCGAACGCGTCGACCGGCGCCGCCGCGGCGTCGTCGGCGCGATCGCGCGCGCCGCGGCGGACGATTTCGTCGCGCCGTCGCGCCGTCGTCCCTCGCGGCGTCGCGTCGCGGCGTCGCGCGCGCGTCGCGCCGGCGGTCGCGCGCGTCGCGCGCGCGCATCGCGCCGGCGCGCGCGCGACGGTCGGCATCGGTCGGCGTCGGCGTGTGATGTGCTGACGTGGCGCGGGCGCGGAATTCGCGACTTTGCGACGCGCGATCGAAATGTTCGCGCGCTCGAGCGCGCGAGCGCTGCGCGCGCTGGCGCGCGATGAAAGCGCGATATTTATGCTGCGCCGCGGACGCGCGCTCGAGGGCGCGCGTCGCGATGAGGCGCCGTGGAGCGGCGTAACGACCGCTGGGCACTTGGCGGGACAAGATGGGGAAAAAGCGTTACGACGTCGCGCGTACGCCTCGGTGCGGTTCGAGCACGTGAAAACGCACCGCACGGAGAGCGATTTGCTCGGGTCGATGGAAATACCGTCGGAGGCGCTGTACGGGATCGCCACGGCGCGGGCGATGGAAAATTATCACATCACGGGGACGACGCTGAGAAAGTACCCGGAATTCATACGAGCGCTGGCGTTGACGAAGAAGGCGTGCGCGGTGGCGAATCGGAAGATAGGGCTGCTGCCGGATGATGTGTATCGCGCTATATCGTTCGCGTGCGATGAGCTGATCGATTCGGAGGAACATCATCATCACTTCGCGGTGGACGTCATTCAGGGCGGCGCCGGGACGTCGACGAATATGAACGCGAACGAGGTGATCGCGAATTTGGCGGCGCGGTTTTTGGGGGTGCCCATCGGCGAGTACAGCGTGGTAAATCCGAATGATCACGTAAATTTGTGTCAAAGCACGAACGATGCGTACCCGAGCGCCGCAAAACTCGCGGTAGTGTTGAAGCACGGCATCGTCGTCGAGGCGTTGAAAAAGATGATCGTCAGTTTGCGCGCGAAGGGTGACGAGTTTCAAGGAATAATCAAGATGGGACGCACACAGCTTCAAGATGCGGTACCAATGACGCTGGGTCAAGAATTTCACTCGTTTGCGGCGACGCTAGAGGCGGATTTGACGTTTCTGGAACGAAACGTCGACCAAATGTATGAGATGAATCTCGGCGGCACCGCGATCGGGACTTCGATTTGCGCCGACGAGGCGTTTTCTGAGGAGGCTGTGGCGGCATTATCGGAGCTCACCGGACTTCCGTTACGCTCACCGCAAGATTTTATTGAGGCATCGAGCTCGACGTCGAGTTTTCTGTTGTTTTCTAACATCTTGCGCCGCGTCGCCGTGAAGATTTCAAAAATCTGCAACGATTTGCGGTTGCTGTCCAGCGGCCCGCGATGTGGGTTTAATGAAATCAATCTTCCTGCAGTTGCCCCTGGAAGCTCTATCATGCCAGGTAAAATCAATCCCGTCATCCCAGAAGTGATGAACCAGGTGTGTTTTCAAATCATGGGCACAGACGCTTCGATTGCCCACGCGTCGGAGGCGGCGCAGTTGCAGTTGAACGTTTTTGAACCGTTGATCGTTTACAATTTATTGAATAATATGGATATGATGGAGCGTGGACTTAACACTCTCCGCGTGAAGTGTATCGACGGCATCACGGCGAACGAGGAAGTGTGCAAGAAATCCGTCGAAAACTCCATCGGCATCGTCACTGCTCTCTTGCCGTTGATTGGATACAAAAAATCTTCGGCGGTGGCGAAAGAGGCGTTGGCCACCGGGCGACCTGTCGCTGAAATAGCTGCGACTTACGCAACGGTGGCGGAAATCAACGCGTTGCTGCACCCCGCGTCCATGACGCGCGCGAGAAAGCTCGACGCCAGAGGTGTTTGCTTGGAGACGCCTGCGGCGTCTGGGTAGCGATTTATTTCGTTGCAATATACTGTACAATATCTACTGTAATCCCGGTGCCGCGTGTATCTCCTCGGTTTGCTCCTTTGCAAATCGGATGAAGACCTGCTCTAAAGTCGTCTGCGACACGGAGTAGTCGTCAATTCTTGCGCCGTCGTCGTCCGACTGCTTCAAAGCTTCGACGGCGTCAAAAATACGCCAAAGTTTCATTTCGGGATTCATCACGCGAAGTTTAATTTCTGTGGCGTGTGTTTCTACTATCTCCGCTCCAATGTCTCCGTGTTTGGCTCGTAGCGCTTCCATAACGGCGTTTCCTTTTCCGTCGGAAAAGCGCAGATCGATGGAGTATCCTTCACTAAAGCGCGACTTCAAGTGCTGCAAGGAGCCAAGACACTTGAACTCGCCACTCACCATGATACCGATGCGATTACAGAGTGCCTCACACTCCTCCATAGAGTGCGATGTGAGAACAATCGTGCGTCCAACCATCATGGACGAGATCACGTCCCACATGAACCGTCTCGCTTCGGGATCCATACCAGTTGATGGTTCATCCAAGAAGACGACTTCTGGTTCGCCGACGAGCGACAACGCGACAGAAAGCTTACGCTTGTTGCCTCCACTGTATGTTCCAGCTTGTCTATCGGCATACAAAGTCAAACCCATACGCTGCAGCAGATCTTCCGTCACGCGCGGAATCATCTCCGTCGGCATTCCGCGAATGGCGGCGTAGAATTCAATGTGCTCGCGTGCGGTAAAGTTTGGTTGCAAGCCGTTGAACTGAGGACAATATCCCATCAATCGTCGCGCGTCGTTAAGATCAGTACGCACACTGTGAGACGCACCGTCTCGATCTTGAATGATCGCGTCACCCGCAGATGGTGGGAACTCGCCCGTGAGCATCTTGAATGTCGTCGTCTTTCCCGCGCCGTTGATGCCGAGCAAACCAAAGCATTGATCGCGATGTAGACCCACGCTGAGATTTCGAACGGCGAGCTTTGTAGAACTCGCTGACAAGCCTTTGTACGTCTTGGATAAGCGGTCCATGATGACGCCATCACCGTCGATGTCTCCTGAGAGCACGCGTTCGCGCTCGGCTCGCACGTCTTCATCTTCGTCGACGCTCGGCGATACCTCTTGCGAGTTTCCACGTTTCATCAGTATCCAACTTGCGAAAATCTCTTTATACTCTTTGTAAAACAACAAAGCGCTCCACATGAAAAATGTTCCGATCAAATAGCCCAAATCGTCGGCGATGACGTTGAAAGAACCCTTTGGTACGACGGGGACGAGGCACATGCAATCCTCGCGGAAAATTTTCCGCGTCTTGTCCAAACCATTTTGTGCGATGTCGTATAGACCTTTCCCGAAACTAAAGTGCGGAATGATGAGCGGAAACGTGTAATTGAAGATTTTGCTCACCAACAACGTCTCTTTATTCAAGTCTTTCAGGGCATCGGTGACGATACCGGCGATGGTGGTGATCACGCCAACGGTGGTGTTTGTTCCGATTTGCCCAACAAAGGTGTAGTATTCGCTAGTGTACCAAAATCCTTGATAATGCGCGTGTGGAATAGAGGTCAACATGAAAAAACCCAACAAAACAGTGATCGCCCCGAGTTGACCTTGGAAGTAAGACGCATTGAAACCGGCAAAAATGACGACGATGACGGCGAACGGAATAACGAGCTGTATGGCGTCTGCGACGTAGTGCGCCAGCCAATAAATTCGTTTATCGATTCCACTCACGAGCTGTAAGTGTTTGGAGTTATTGCATCGTTCGTACACTGGAAAGATTGAAATCCCAGCACTGAGAACAGCGAGCCCCATGACGACGAACATGGAAACGATGAACGTAGTTCCAGAGTTGTCCGGCTCTTCGATGTCTCCTTCCTTCAGTGTATTCACCGCGCTCGGATACCAGTGAATCGTAGTCGTGATGCTCGCACTAGAATCGGACGTGCGCTTGCGCAAAATAGCACTATTCACGTTGTTGATGACGGTCGGCATACCGTGTAAGGCTGTTTGATGTCCGTACAGCGTGTGACTATAGCGCGTGCCGTCGTACTCGTCAACGTACAAGACGTCGCACGGCGATCCCGTCGGTTGCATGTCACAAGGCACCGATGGCTCTTGGACGTCTAGTAAGTAACTATCGATACTGTCATCTATCATGGACGAGCACGATAGCCCCATAGAAACGATGTCTCTTTGTACATCGTAGCCTTTTGGAGACTTGACGCAATACGTCCCGCCCGCAAGACGTGCCAATGCCGCTACTCGACACGTTGACTCAATGGTTCTGTTATACGCGCAACACGTCATGGCAGACATCGTGATCGTTTGATCTTTCGCTAAGCAGTTGCACATACACGAAATCTCGGGTTGATACTGAGAGCGTAACGCGTAAGTGTCTGTCATCAAGTTCGTCGTGACGGCGACCGCCTCAGTCGCCGAAGGGGAGTACGTCACGAGGGTCTTCTTGTTATTGAGTAGCTTTCGACTGATTTCTTTCGCCGAAATCGTGCTCCCAGGTTCAAAACTCAACGTGGTCAAATAAAGCGCGAGCACGACGAGCAAACAAGGTACGAGAAGTTGCATGAATATCGACCGCATGCTGCGACGCCAATTGAGCCAACGCTTCCAGAGCAAGCGTTTGAGTTGGATTCTGAGTAAGGCACCACCCTTCGCGTAGGTTTGGCGAATGTCCTTGCGGTTGCCAGCGACCAATTTTGCATCGAGGTCTTCACATTCGTCGGCTTCTTCCACGGGTGCGTCTAAGTCCACAACCTTGCCTTTCGATTGCGCCGTGGACGCCGCCTTCACCCCATGTGCGAGAGATAGAAATACCTCCTCGAGCGTGGTGCACGAGATGCCGTAACTTGCGTACCCTAAATTCCCGATCTGCTCATCGAGAGCCTTGAATAACGCAGAAAAGTCGCCGGTAGACTCGAATGGTAAAGAAAACGATAGCTCGGCGCCGACGTCGCTGTGAACAACGGCTTTGGGTACGAAGTGTTGAATCACTCGCAGCATGGCGTTCGAGTTGTGCTGCGTCATCGACGCGATTTGCGTCGATGACGCGCGACTATGACGCGCAAACGTGAGCAGATAACCAGTGCCGAATTTAGACTTGAGGAATAGTGGCGAACCGATGCATGCAAGATGACCAGCGCTCATGATGGCGACTCGATCGCACAGCAAATCAGCCTCGTCCAAAAAGTGCGTCGTGAGCAAGACTGTGCAGTTGGCGGCTCGTTTGCGAATGACGTCCCACGTGAATCGTCGCGAGTAAGGGTCCATCCCAGACGTTGGTTCGTCGAGAAACACTACGGACGGACTGCCGATAAACGCAATAGCGAGCGAGAGCTTACGCTTCATCCCACCCGATAGATCCTTCGAGTTCGCGTCAATCTTCTCCGTCAGCGCAACCTCTTCCACGACTTGCTTGAGTTCTCGTTCTACATCCTCTTTTTGCATACCCGCAAATGCGGCGTATAATTGTAAATGTTCGCGCACCGTGAGTGTCGGCCAAAGGACGTCGAATTGAGGGCAGATACCGAGACCGGCGCGAATTTCTCGCATCTGGGTTTTGGTGTCGTACCCGTCAATAGTCGCTCGACCAGAGGTCCGTTCAATCATACCCGTGAGAACACTAATCGTCGTCGTTTTACCAGCACCATTGTGACCAAGTAATCCACTCACTTGGCCAGGAACAAAGGTCATACTCAAATTATCCACCGCAGTGACTTCGTCGCCAAACTTCTTCGTCAAACCGCGAACGACGACGCTGGCTGACTTCATCTGTTGCTTCGTGAGCGGCTCGACGGCGTCCCCAGACTCTTGCTCGTGCATTCCAAGCGTTTCATCATCGATGACCTTCGACGCGTCACCGCACCAGTACTTACGCGTGAATAGAAACCAAGGAGGCTGGCGCGTGCCGTATTCGGTTTTCCACACGGCGTCGAAGTAAAAGGTGAGAAACGCGTAAAATAAGCAATCGAAAATCACCATGCCTAAGATACCAGCGCACGTGACGTTCCCCTTGAGCGTTACGTCTTCGTTGAATGTCTCCATCGTGATACCCTTCTTATTCACCTCCAGAATAGCCAGCGCCGCGCCCCACATGTTCATCGCCCCGGATGGAAATATGCACGCTAAGATCCAAGCGCCGCTGCCCTCGGGCTGCGTGATGCGGACCGCGATGGAAGGAACCATGGTGAGGACGTATGCGAAACAGCCGACTATGGTGGCGGTGATCGATTTGGAAAAGAATGTCGAGATCCAAAAGTTCCAAAGCGTTAAAGACGCCACCCAAAACGTGTAAAAGATGAATTGAATGAATTGATTCGTGTACGAAAACGGGTAAATCCCGACCAACGTGATCAAGACGACGGAAATCATCGCCGAAAGCCAGTGCGTGAAGAACCAAGACCACCAGAACATCGTGTTTGACATACCCATCATCTTCATCCCTTCTCGCAATCGCAATTCCTTCTCAACGACGATGGATTTCATGACGAGGACGACGTTGGTTTGAAACGCGAGCGAGCCGACGAAGCCGTAAAAGGCTGCGGCGATGACGCCACCGACGTTGTAGTCGAACCCCAACCAAGGAAATGGCTTGAGAGATGTGTCTAACGTCACGCTATACGCACTGCCTCCGTCCTTCATGTCGATGATCGCCGCGTCGAACGCGTTTTGCGCATACGCAAACGACTTGTACTTTGCCCAATCATCTGTGTTGTACGCGCTGTCCCATCTCCCGGTAAAGTCGTCCTCCATGAACGCCGCCACCGCCTTGTCCTCGTTCGCAACGTTCGTCGAATTCAAGCGCAGCGTGTACGCGAACGCGCGCGTGCTCGCGACGTTACCTCCCGAATCAAAACGCGCGTACGCGAAAACTTCCCCGGGACGACTGGCGACGTACGCCATCGCCGCGGCTTCATCCGCCTTGGTCACGACGACTTCGTCTAAAATAGCGTCCCACGTACTCGTCACGCACGACGAGTCCTGCAGGCACGCATCCGAACACGCCGCGGGCATCGCCGTGACGTCGTACGACAGCGCGGCGAACGCCGATTTGACCCCCGTCGCGACGTTCGACGACGCCTGCACCTGATCATCCATCAAATTCAACAAATTCTTTTTCCCGTCCTCAAAATCGTTCGCATAGCTCCTATCCTTCGCGATCGACCGCTCGCTCAAGCACATCGCGTGCACGTACGCTCGCCGTCCGAGCTCCAGCGTCTCCGCGCTCGCCGGCGCCACCACGAACCGAAACCCCCTCGGCGTCCTCTGGTTCACGCTCTCGATCCCCCCCGCGAGCGCGTACGGCCTCGACAGCTCATCGTTCGTCCTCGAATCCGGCACCAACGCCTTCGGCAGGCACATGAGCCCCAAGAAAATCACCGGCACCAAGATCTCGCACAGCGTGCAGCACCGCAGCACGCCCTTCGTCTTCAGCAGGTAATTTTTCCGCATCAGCGCGCGAAACTGTCGCCCTCGTCTGCGCGCGTCGCCGCGTCGTTTCGCGTCGTCGTCAGTCCCACCGTCTCGCGCGCGCCGCGCCCGCGCGCGCCGCCATCGTCGCGTCGTTTCGCCTCGTCAAACGTCGCGTCGCGTCGTTTCGCGTCGTCGTCGTCGTCGTCGTCGTCGTCGCGTCGTCGTCGTCGTCGTCGTCGTCGTCGTCGTCGTCGCGCACGCACCGCACCACCGATCGCGCGCGCGCGCCGCGCACCGCGTCGTCCATCGCGCCGTCGCTCGCGCGCGCGTCGCCGTCGCCCATCGCGCGCGCCGTCGTCGTCGACCGTCGCCGAGTGCCGACGCGACGCCGACGCGCGCCTCGTCGTTTTACGCGGGCGTTCTTCGCGCTCGAACGCGTATAACATTTGTACAATTTCCAATTGAATTTTTACGACTCGCGCGTGCGGCGTCGCGCGACGGCGACCGACCGTTTATGTTCGCGCGCGCCTCGTCGTTTTACATGGGCGTTTTCGGCGCTCGAACGCGTGATCGCGCGACAGCGCGGGGCCGCGGGCGACGCGCGTCGTCGCGCGCGCCCGCACACGCGCGCGACGCGCGATCACGGTCGTCATGAGGTGCGCGCGACGCGTGCGACGCGGGCGACGGACGCGCGCTCGCGCGATGCGCGCGAACGCGCGCGCGAACGCGCGAGAGGCGCGCGAGAGGCGCGCGAGCGGCGACGATCGTTGAGAATCGTCGCGAAATTCGTGCATCGAATCGTCCGGGGAGTCGCGCGCGCGGACGCGCGGGCGGCGCGGATCGGACGCGCGGCGATGGAGACGCGCGCGAGGACGATGGAGACGCGATCGCGCGCGGACGAGGCGCGGACGCGGACGCGCGCGATGGGTGAGAATGGAGGGAGGGGGGAGGAGGGAGGAGACGCGGCGCCAGGTGGCGACGAACGCGCGACTGACGACGCGAACGCGCGCGACGATTCGACGCACAGCGATAAGGATGAGTTGGATCAACACATGAAAGGACCGCGAAAATGCACGGATATTTTGTTTCTGATCGTTTTCATCGCGTTTTGGATCGCGATGCTCGTGCTGGGCTTTTACGGCGTCGGCACGGGGAAACCGAAGATTTTGCTCTTCGGCACCGATTACCGCGGCGAAGTTTGCGATCAAGGGAAGAACGATGGGTTCAAGACGCGGTATTTCATGAACCCGGGCGAACTCGCTTGGGCGGCGGGTGTGCACACCGATCAATCGGCGAGCGCGACGCGTAAGTACAACTTGCGCGACGCGAAGAGCATTTGCTTGAAGGAATGCCCGAAGCCGACAATGACGGCCAGCTCGGTTGCGTTTGTGTGCGATTACCCCGAAGACGTCACTATCGCGTCCCAACCGAACTACGACAAGAATCAATGGGTGGCGGACAACTACGACTACTACCAGTACTTGAGCGGCCCCCAAAAAACGTCCTCGCTCAAGTGGATGGGGCCGTGCTACCCCGTGCTCTACGAGAGCGTCAACACGTTCTACACTTGCCAACTCTTTGGTGACGGCGATTCGCAAGGAGAAACGAAGGCGGAACGCGAGGAGCCCGAGACAGTAGGAGTACGTCCGTACGTCGATCCTTTCGGCACCGGTTACAGCTCCGGCAATTTGGGGACTTACACCAAGTTGCTCGGCGACGAAATCGACAAGGCGCTCTCTGGTCCGCTCGCCACGGTGGAACGCTACATCGATGACTTCACCACTGGTTGGAAGGTTGTCGTCGTCGCCGGTGGCGCCTGTCCGATCGTTTTGAGCATCGCCTTCTTGTTCTTCCTCCGATACTTCACCAGCGTCTTCGCGTACACCACGCTCTTCTCGGTGAACGCGCTCGCCGTCGTGGTCACCATTTACTTGTACCTCAAGGCCGGTGTCATCGGTTCCGATCAAGTCAACGCGTACGTGAGCAAGGTTTCCGATAGTGCGTCGGCTTCTATCACCAACTACGCCGATCCGGCTGAGAGCGGTCAAGACACGCTCAAGATTTTCGCGTACATCTCGACGGCGCTCACCTGCGTCATTTTCCTCTTCACCTTGTTGATGCTCCGTCGCGTCAAGGTTGCCGTCGGCGTCATCAAGGTTGCCACGGGTGCTCTCGGAAAGATGCCGCAGTTGACTCTGTTCCCGATCTTGCCCGCCGTTGCCATGGTGTTGCTCTTCGTCTACTGGCTCATCACCTTCGTCTACTTGTTCGCGGCGGGTGAAGTCAAGCAACAAGATTGCACCTTGGCGGCGGGCGAACCGCCGTACATGTACTGCGCCACTCCTTCGACGACGCCGACTGATGACTGCCACTGCGGTTACGCGACCGTCTGGGACCGCAACTTGCAAGGCGCTCTCGCGTACTACGTCTTTGGCTTCCTCTGGGGCTCGCAGTGGATCGTCGCCATGTGCTACTTGATCATCGCGTGCGTCTTTGTGCAGTACTACTTCAAGGGCGGTAACTACAACGGCCTTAAGAACAAACCGATTATCACCTCGACCAAAAGGATGATGTGGTACCACACCGGTACCGCCGCCGTCGGTTCTTTCTTCGTCGCCTTGTTGCAGTTCATTCGACTCATCGTGCGCTTCATCGTGCACCGCATGAAAAAGTTGTCCAAGGACAGCAAGATTATCAAGTACGTCGGGTACTACGTGGAATACTGCTTGTGGTACTTGCAAAAGACGATCGAGTGGTTGAACCGCAACGCGTACATCATGACCGCCATCGAAGGCACGTCCTTCTGCAACTCTGCCTGGAACGCCTTGGCGCTCATGGTGAAGAACGTCGCGGCCGTCGCCACAGTCAACATCGTCGGCGACATCATGCTCGTCCTCGGCAAGCTGGTCGTCGCCTTGGGCTCTGGTACGATCGCCTTCTTGATGCTCGACGCCGACACGTTCAACTACGGTGACGAAAAGGTTTCTTCCCCGCTCTTCATCGTCATCGTCGTCGTCTTGTTTGCCTTCATCATCGCGAACGTCTTCATGTCCATCGTCGAACTCGGTATCGACACCATCTTGCTCTGCTACTGCAAGGACTGCGACGACAACAACGGCGCTCCGGTCAACGCCCCGCCGGCGCTCGTCAAAACTCTCGGCATGTCGAGGAAGATCGCCAAGATGAAGGCTGAAGAAGCCGCCGCTCGCGACGAGCGCGCGGGCCAATGAGCGCCGCGCGTCGCCGATCATTCGCGCGCCGCGCGTCCACCACGCGCTGTTAATTCCCTATAACTACTAGAAGTCTCTCGCGAGTGACTGACTTTTTATTTGAACTCAATTATTACGACTCGAGATCGTTCCCGAAGACGTCGTCGTCGTCGTTCGCCCCCGCCGCGCGATCCTCTCGTCTCGTCTTTACGCGATGACACAAAAAACACGGCCCTTTTGAGTCCCTCCCCTTGAGTCCCAGACCCTCAGTTCGACCCTGAAAACCGCCCCGCCACTTCGCGCCGCGTCGCGCCGCGGCTCGCGCCTTCGCCGCGCGCGTCGCGCGTTCGATGGCGTCTCCTCACCTCGCGCGCGCGTCCTCGCTCGTCCGCGGCGCGTTCACCGTCGCCAGCGGTGGATTCGCCGGTTCCGTGTCCGCGGTCACCGGCCTCGGCGGCGCCGTCGTCTTCATCCCCGCCCTGAGCAAGCTCGGATACGAGGCGCGACACATCGTCGGCACCGCCGTCGTCGCCGTCACGGGCGCGACCGCGGCCGGGAGCTTCGCGTACGCGCAGAACGGCGTGAGCGATGTCCCGGCGGCGGTGACGGTGGGCTGCGTCGGCGCGGCGTGCACGCCGGTGGGACAGTTGCTCGCGAAACGGTTGAGCGGAAAGACGCTGCGAAAGATGCTCGGGGGAGCGTTGATACTGTGCTCGCCGAGCGCGATGCTGAAGAAGCACGCGGAGGAGGTGGAGGAAGCGGGGAAGGACGCGAAGGAGGGCTGGGCGATTAAACGCGAGCGGGAACCGGCGACGAATACGTGGGAAATCGTGCGGAATCAGTTTTTAGATCGACACGATAAGTGGGGCGGATGGATGGAAGCGCTGCGTGGGGAGCGGGAGATGCTGGCGCTCGGTGTGGCGTGTGGGTTACTGCAAGGGACGGTGGGCGTCGGCGGCGGGGTATTGGTGTCGGCGTATCTCACGGGGATGACGGATATGGAGGTGCATAGGATTTGTGGGACCGCGCTCTTGGCGACGGTGTTGACGAATTTGGCGGTGAGTACGGCGCACTTTAGGAACGGGAACGTAAAATTCCGATCGGCCGCGCTCTTGGCGGGATCCGCGATGGCGTGTTCGTATCTCGTGGCGAAGAACCTATCGCTGCAAATTCCCGAGGCGCACGTGAAACAATTCATCGTCGTCGCGCTCATTTCCAGCGGGGTTTCCATGCTGAAATAAATCGCTTCACGCTCCCGTTGTTTTCATATTATTGCCCATGCCGCCAGATTCCTTTGCAAATCCTTTCATTGATTATCAGACGCGTCGGCGGCGCGCGTGCGTTGTTTAAATCTTCAATAAGAAGTCGTTGTCATTAACATTACTCACGGTTCTAATTTGCGCGTGAAATCCATCGCTGGTTTTCAATATCCAAGATACATATCGCGCCCTAATATCGTTTCATATCAATGACGACGTCGGTTACGCACCGCGTCGCTGCTATATTTTACGGGTTTGCGACTCGCGCGAGTCGCAAAACATACACACTCTCTATAACTCTCTCTATATACCCACCCTCTCTATATGTTACCTTCAGCGTCTCGTCGGGTCACCCTCCGAGTTAATCTCACTGAAAACAAAGTTTGAACATCCTTCATACTTCTCGTTCACCATCAAACCTTCGCCCCACTCCTCGATCATTTGCGCGTCTCGCGCAACGCGTCGCAAGAAATCAATCGGTTCTTTGAGCTCGTCTGAAGTGTATCCGACGACTTCTTCCAGGATCGGCACCTCGTCCCAAGTGATCTTCAAGTACGATAGCGATGAAGCCACAGCGGCGGCGGCGAGGAGTGATGGCGCGAATTTCAATCCCTCGTGTCCGTACGCCGAGAGCTCGACCAAGTAGTACGTCGTCTCCTTGAAGCACGTCGGCATGTCACCGTAGTCGGCGAACCCGGAACCGCAAAAGTCGATTCGATCGGGGAATCTTCGCAGTCGATTCGTCGAGCGCAAAACGCTCTCGACGTAGGCTTCGGCGAACGAAAACGCCGTCGGGCGGATCAGCGCGTAGTTCATCTCTCGCAACAGCGCGCGCTCGGCGAGCAAGAGCTGCTCGCGCGTGAACGACGACACTTGTGCATAGCGCGCGAAAACGTTCGCCGAAGGCGTCGTTACTTCCGTCACTTTCGCCGCAACGAATACACACGTGATGCCCAAGCGCTTGAGCTTGTTGCACAAAGGATGTTGCGCATCCATAGCGTGCAAAACTCTGTCGCCGTCGAGCGCGCGCAGCGGCTTGGCTTCCACAGGCTCGCTCCCGCTTCCGTGTCGCTGCAAAAACGTATCCGGAACTCGATGCGTCAAGAACGTATCCACGTACACGATCGCAAGATGTAACGTCTCATCCGTGAGCGACATCGCATTGTGCTGTTCCGCCATCCAATCGACGAGCTGTTGTCGAATCGCCACGCTGCGAAGGTTGAACGAGTTTTAAACGCGTCGTCAGTCTCTCAAACTTGTAAATGTACCGCCACCCATCCACGTCGCGAAATCCCCCCAACGCCCGCGCGCGCCCGCGTTTGATCACCAACATCTCGCGACGCCCATCACGATCGACGACGCGTCGCATCACCCTCCGAATTCTCATCCTCGAATCCGTCGTCGCCGTTTCGAATTCAAACGTCTTCGCGTTCGCGCGCGTTCGCTCGCTCGTCTCAAATCACGCACTTGAAATACTTCCCATCCACCACGTACGGCGCCAACACGTTCGCCTTCACCCGTTCCTGCTCCCGTCTTCCTCCCCTGACGCTAAACGGATAATCCACGCTGTTCGTCGCCACCATTCCTCTCGCCGTCGCTGTCGTTCAAACACCGCGCGGTCAGTCGTTTGAATTTTTTCAAACTCTTCGAGCGCGAATTCAAACCCGCAATGCGCCCTTCCCATCAAACGTACCTCTCGTCGCGTCCATCGATTCCGTGCATCGAAAATCATTCTCTCGACTCCGCGCCCGCTTCGTCGCCTTCGCCCGCGCCTCGCTCGCGCCGTCGTCGTCGCCCCCGTCGCCGCGCGCCCGCTTCGCCTCGCCGTCGCCCCTCGCCTCGCTCGCGCCCGTCCGCGCGCGCCCCCGCGCGGCGCCGCCGCGATTCGTGAGATCGATCAACGGTTGAGAATTTTGTCGCCCGCGCGTCGCCGTCGGTTTCCCCGTCGCCGCGCCGCGCGCGCGCGCGGACCGTCGAACGTTCGCCATGGCGACCGCGCGTCGTTTAAACGCGCCTCGCGCCGTTCGACGCGTTCTGTCCGTGCCCGACGGTCCGTTCGCGCCGTGCGTTCGCGCGCGACGCGCGTCGCCCGCGCGAGTATTATTCCCGCGTCGTCCCGCGTCGCCCGCGCGTGAGGCGCGCTCGCGGGCGCGCGCGCGCGTGTCGCGCCGTCGGTTCGCGCGCGCGTCGGTTTGAAAAACGTTTGAAAAAGCGTCCGTCCGACCGATGTACAAACCATCGTCTCACTGTTTACGCACACGATTCGAACACGATTCGGACATTCGGCGTCCGAACGTCCGTCCGACCGATGTGCAAACCATCGTCGCACTGTTTACGCACACGATTCGAACACGATTCGGACATTCGGCGTCCGAACGCCCGTCCAACCGTCCCCGGCGACGCGCGCGACGCGGCGACGCGCGACCGACGCCGCGGGCGTCGCGCGCGCGGTGATCGACGCGCCTCGTCCACCACGACGCCGGCATGGACTCGCCCGCGCGCGACGCGCGACGCTCGAGCGACGACGCGCGACGCGCGAGCGACGACGACGCGACGACGACGACGCGCTCCTCGACGCGCGCGACGCCGTATCGACGCCCGTACGTCGCGCCGTGGATCGCGAACACGCCGACGCCGGCGACGCGTCGATCGCCACGCGCGCGCGCGCGCGCGCGCGGGCGCGACGAGGGAGGGAGGAATCGCGGGCGCGCGCGGACGCGGCGGACGCCGGCGCGCGCGCGGGCGACGGCGTTCGCGGCGACGCTGCGCGACGCGGAGGCGCTGGCGATCGCGGCGCGCGCGGCGATGAGCGCTGGGGATCCGGTGAGACGCGCGGCGGCGACGCGGGCGCGGGCGAAGTGCGGGATGGGAGGGAGAGACGACGAGGCACGGGGGGCGGGCGGGACGCGCGAGGCGACGGCGGCGACGACGGGGCGGGGGATCAGGACGCGGTATCAAGGGGATTGGTTGGACGTGGGAGGGAAAGATGGGACGTGCGCGGTGGAGGAGTGCGTGGAGCGGTGGCGCGCGGCGCCGTTTGAGCCGTACGCGGGGAGAGGGAAGGATTGCGCGTACGCGGTGTGCGCGGGGGAGACGACGAGCGAACGCGCGAGACGCGGCGCGGCGACGGTGATGCGAGAGATTTCTCGCGAGTACGCGGCGCTGGGGCTGGGGACGCACGCATCGATGGTCGAAGGCGACGACGCGGGCTTGTTCGACGGCGCCGAGGACGGTGCGAGCGCGTCGACGCTTTCGGCGTTGGAGCGGTATTCGAGAACGTTGAGCGCGGCGGCGCAGCGCGCGGCTGAGCTCGGCGCGCTCGGTCCGCGAATGTGCGTGATTTACGTCGTCATTCCCGACGAAGTCGAAGATATCGACGCCTTGACCGTGATCGCGCTCGCATCGCACGTCATGAGCGCCGCGACGGCGTCGGTGGCGCGACGCTTCTTGTCCGTCTCCGTGCAAGCGATTCCGTCGTCGTGGTGCGAAGACGCGTACTCTTGGTCATCCACGAGCGTGCGAGCGATGGCGTTCAACGTCTTCACTAAACTCACCAGACCTACGGTGACGCGGGGATTGTCGCTCCCGAACGATCATCTCAACGATGCCCCGCGAAGTTTTCGCACCTCCGAGACGACGGACGGGCGCGAGGGCGTCTCGGGCGCCGCCGTCGTCGGCAGGCGAACGCCGCACCCGTTGTTTAGGATTCCAGAGACGTCGAGCGAGCGCAATCTCCCACCGTTTCCCGCGTACGAGCCGCTATACACGTTGACGCCCGAAATCGACGACGACGACTCGCGTGTTCGTGGCTTGCACTGCGCGTACGTCGTGGCGGCGTCGCGATGGATCGTCGCCTCGTGGTCCGACTCACACGGCGAATTCCTCACGCTCGAGGCCGAACCGTTCGCGGACGAGGCCGACTGCCTCGCGACTGGCTTGCGATGGCTCATAGATCGAACGAGCGCACTCGCCGAGCAGTTGGCGTTCGCGTACGGCGCGAAAGCGAATGAGCGATTAAAGTTTCAGCGCGCGGCGATTTGTCGCCTGGGTGCGCCGTCATCGGCGGAGCGCGCGGCGCTGGAAACAGCGTGCAAAGCTGCGCCCGCACCGCTCGATCGCGATTTCTTGACGCGTCTGGAGATGACATGCTTTGAGCCCGACTCCGTGCCCGCGCGCATCGCCGCCCTGGTGCCGACCACGGCGCGCGATGTGTCATTCGTCGCGGAGAGCGTCGAGGAGACCAAGACCGTCAAGACGTACGCGGCGCCGCCGTGTGCGCAGAAATCATTCCGCGTCGCATTCAACACCAACGTATCGAGCGCGCGCGTGCGAGCGCTCGACGCCACGACAGATATGAACACGCTGAAGCATTTGGCCGCGCTATACGCCACGCGTCTGTCGCAGCTCGGAATGATGTGCTTGAGCGAAAACATCGCGGATGAATTTGGAAGCATTCGCGCGCCGCTCCCGCTGCACGCCGAGGTGTGCGTGCGGTTCGCCAGCACGCTCCAGACGCTCGAGGCGAACGGGGAGCAGTAGTAAGTAGGTAGAAGGGAGTTACACTAGGGGGTTTAGAATTGACAAACTACGCAGCAAAATCTATTCATTCTCTGGAAATCTCGATCGCCGGAGCGTCCGCGTCAGAAGACCAACGAAACGCGCTCGCTTGCATTTGCTCCATGTCTTCCTCCTCCTCCTCGTCTTCTTCATATTTCGCCGCGGACGTCTCGGAGTAATACCCTTGTTGCGCGCCGAAATCGCCTCGACCCTGCCCGCTCGGCGCGTCGATGACTCGCAGCGCGAGCAGCGAAATCATCGCCGTCGCCCCGCACCCAATCAACGTTTTCCTCAACATCTCCACCACCGGTCGCACGGTGTACGTCCCCAAAAGTCTATCCCTCGCCAGCATCTCCGGATCCTTCACGTACACCTGCCCATCGTACCACCCCGTCTCCTCGTACTCCACCGTCGCGCTCAACAACCTGTCGCGCACGTACGACCACCCGTTGTACATGTTCAACACCATCGCCGCCGTCGCTCCCGACGCCCCCACGAGCGCGCTCACGCACGTCTCCGTGAACTGACTCGTCGGATCGTACGACTCACACGCGATCGGGTACGCGACGACGCCGTAAAAGAACCCAAACAGCCCCGTCACGCGCGCCGCGTAGCCGGCCGCGCCGCGCGTCGGCCACGACTGCACCACCCCGTCCCTGAGCTCCTCGTACTGCGCCCGCGGCCGCTGATCCCGCGGCACCGGGCACGCGTCGTCCATCGCGTCCAACAGCGATCCCTCGCGCGCGTCCGACGCGCGCGCGACGACGCGCGCGCGCGCGACGCGCGACGTCATCGCGTTACGCGTCCCTTCGCATCGCCGCGTCGTCGCGCGCGTCGCGCGTCGCGTCGTCGCGCGCGCGCCACCGCGCGGCGGCATCGCGTCACGCGCGTCGCGCGGGCTCGCGTTCGCACGCATCGCGCGTCGCGGTCTCGCGTCGACGCGCGCGCGATGACGGGCACGCGCCGGTCGTCACGAAAATCCCACACACATGGCGTTCCGCGGCGCACAATACGCAAACGGCGACCGACCACCCCGAGAGATGTTCCGTGTATCACCCACGACGACGCGAGACTCGGATAAGGTCGGCCGACGCCGCGCCGCGCGCGACACTCTCGAACGACGCGCGCGATGGCGCTCACGGTGCGTCTCGCGCGCGACGCGCGCGCGACAAAAATATTCGCGCGCTCGATCGCGTCGCCGTCGCGCGCGCGCGTAGGGACGCGCGCGCGCGAACGGCGGGAAAAACGCGACGCGCGGCGATCGACGCGCGGCGATCGCGGGTCGACGGCGATCGCTTCGACGGGACGCGACGACGAAGGCGAACGCGCGCGAGACGCGCGCGGAGGACTGACGAATGGAATGAAATCGTGCGATCGCTTCCACGAGCGCAGATGAACGTTTCCGCGAAGGTGCGCCGAGCGATGCGCGATGGACCGAGCGGGCGGGCGATCGGGCTTTGGAACCCGGCGAGACGCGAGGCGAGCGCGACGCGCGCGACGAGACGCGCGCGGAGGCGCGAGGGGGATGAATGCGAAGGCGCGCGATGCGATGCGCGCGGAGACTGACGATGTGACGCGCGTGATGACGCGGTGCGATAGGTTTCCGCGTTCGCCGGCGCGAAGATCAACGCGGCGCGCCAAACCAAGGCGCGCCGCGCGACGGCGGTGGTGCGCGCCGAAGGCACGGACTACGGTCTCGGCTTGCAGTGCTCGCCGACGGCGAACAAGAACATCGACCCGAAGGGACGCGCGAAGGTGCCGCTCGAGCTCGAGGACATGCCGCTTCCGTTGAACACGTTCAAGAACAAGGAACCGTTCACGGGTAAGGTGCGCTCCGTCGAGCGCATCGTCGGCCCGAACGCGACTGGCGAAACGTGCCACATCATCATCGAACACGGTGGTAAGATGCCGTTCTGGGAAGGTCAATCGTACGGTGTCATCCCGCCGGGTACCAAGGTGAACTCCAAGGGTAAGGAAGTGCCGCACGGCGTGCGCTTGTACTCCATCGCGTCGTCCCGTTACGGCGACTCCTACGACGGCCAAACCGCGACCTTGTGCGTTCGCCGTGCGACGTACTGGGATCCGGAAATGAACGCCGAAGATCCGGCCAAGAAGGGCATCTGCTCCAACTTCTTGTGCGACGCCAAGCCGGGTGCCGAAGTCATGATGACTGGCCCGACTGGTCAAGTCATGCTCTTGCCGAAGGACCCGGCGACGCCGGTCATCATGGTCGCCACCGGTACCGGTATCGCCCCGATGCGCTCCTACATTCGCCGATTCTTCCTCGAAGACGTCCCGAACTGGGAATTCAAGGGTCTCGCGTGGTTGTTCATGGGTGTCGCTAACTCTGACGCCAAGTTGTACGACGACGAGTTCCAAGAGTGCGCCAAGCGTTTCCCGGATCAGTTCCGCATCGACTACGCGCTCTCCCGCGAAGACACCAACAAGAACGGTGGTAAGATGTACATCCAAGACAAGGTTGAAGAGTACAAGGACCAAGTGTTCCAACTCCTCGACGGCGGCGCTCACATGTACTTCTGCGGTCTCAAGGGTATGATGCCGGGCATCTTGTCCATGTTGGAAGGCGTGTGCAAGGAGAAGGGCATCAGCTACGAAGAATGGCTCGAAGGCCTCAAGAAGAAGGGCCAATGGCACGTCGAGGTGTACTAAGCGCCTTAGCCCGCGAATCGCAGCGTTTGGTTGATCCCTCAATGCGGAAACGCGTTGAAGTTTGTTATCCGAGAAAAAATATCCACTACTTCGTCGCGCCACGCGCGGCGTCACTCTTCCCCTCGTACCATCGTCGACGATGAACGCCCCGCGGGCGCTCCAGCGCCACGAATCTATGGAAATCGCATTCTCTCGCGCGCTCGAACTCGATCGTCACCGCGCCGCCGTGGACGACGCGAAGAAGCGCGCCGCTGAGCAACGGTGCGACTACCAAGCCTTTCGCCAGCTCGTGCTCGGAGCCAACTTGAAACCGATCGAGAAATCGCGAACGGCGGCGGCGACGACGACGTCGCGAGTGTTTCATGCGGCTCAGAGTCACGACGTTCAGATCTCGAACGTCGCGTTCGATCTACGTCGCCCGCGCGCGTCCGAGGTCAACGGCGGCGGTTCGTTGACCGCGCCGTCGCCGCGCGCGCCGCGCACGGCGGATGAATTCGCGCGCGCATGGCGACGCACGTGCGGAACCGACGACGCGTTGAAGACACAATTCTTGTTCGACTTTCCGCTCGACGCGTTCGAGTCAGTGTTCAAGGTTGAGATCGGGTTGGACGCGTTGCGCGATTTCGTTCGACTGATTCGCGCTCGCGTCGAGCGAGACGAAAATTGCGTCGAGCGTGCGGCGAGCATTCTGTGCGCGCTGACGCGCTGTGGTTGCTTTCGCGCGCACTTACGTTTGGCCGGGACCGCGACCGCGACCGCGGCGTTGGAAACGCTGCGTCTCGCCAAACCGAGCGACGCCGTCGAATGCGCGCGCCAGGCGTGGGGCGTCGCCGAGTAGGAGGAAGTTGATGGGACGATTGTTTTTGATGATGCTTTTGTTGTGTTTACATACAAAACAAAGCGCTGCTACTAGCTAAATGTCAACCCGCTTAGAACGGAGAGACGCCGCCAATGTTTTGGAAGTTCACGAGCAAGTTGTGGCCGAACGGATCGGAGACGTGGTCAATCAAGTTCTTCACCGGGCCTTCACCCGTCATCACGGCTTGCGCGCCGCACGCGAAGCACGCCATCATCGCAAGACGACCGTTCTTGATTTCCTTGACACGCATCTTCGCCATGTCGGACTTGCCTTGGCCCATGATGTTGAAGAAACCACCCGGGTATGCCGGTTCGCCGGAGCCCCCGAGCATCTTTTCCCAGCCGATGAGTTCTTGCTTGCCCATGGAGCCCGGGTTCCAGTAATCTTGCGCGCGGCGAAGTTCAGCAAAGTTCATCAACGCGGCGTTGATCCAGAAGATCGTGAACGGGTTGGCCCAGTAATCGTACGTGCCTTGCGCCGGGATCATACCCGCCTTGTACCAGACCAAGCCGGTTTCTTGCGGGATGATGCCGAGGCCGCCGAGCACCTCCGGGGCAACCATACCGGCCACACCGAGCATTGCCCATCGACCGTGGATCACTTCAGAGTACGCCAACCATTGCGGGTTGATGAAACCACCGGCACCTTCCGGGTCGGACAACCCGAGCGGATCGAACCCGTAGTCGCCCGGCAAAGAGCCGTCGAGGTAAGACAACGACTGGTCAGAGTTCCCGAGCACGTACAACGGCGCGAGGTCATCCGTCTTGCGCGCCGCCTTCTGTAAAACACACAAAAACACGCATTCGTCGTCAGTCACCGCGCGTCTCGTCTCGTCTCGCGCGCGCTCGCCCAACCCCCACGATTGGCGAGTCACGACTCAACAAATCACCCAAATCTTTGAACCCCGTCGCGAGATACGGTGCGCGATCGTATCAACGCCCCGATCGCCATCGCCCCTCCCTCGCGCGCGCGCCCTCGCGCGCGCGCCCTCGCGACGCCGTCGATCCGCCGCAAACTTTTCCCATCCACAGTTTCGCGCCGTCGTTCGTCCCACCGCGCGTTCGCGCGCGTCGTCACACCGCCCGAACGTCCGAAACGCGATCCCGCATCGCGCGCGCGCGTCGTCGAATCGTCGCACCTTGACCGGCGCCGGCGCGGCCTCGGCCTCGGTTTCGCCCTCGGCGCGCACGACCACGGTCGCGCGCTTCGCGCAGCGCTTCGTCGCGCGCGCGGGGGCGCTCGCGAGGGTGACGGTGTTCAAGGTTCGCGCGAACATCGGGGTGCGTGCGGGAATGAGGCCGCGCGCCGCGCGCCCGCGCGCGATCGATCGACCGCGTCGTTCGCGCGCGAAACTCGCGTCGAGGTTCACCGCGCGCGAGCGAAACTCGGCGCGCGTTTCGCTCGCGCGCGGTGAACCTCGATCGATCGATCGCGCGCGCGGGCGCCGCGACGACGACACGGCGCTTTCGCGCGCGCACTACGAACGATGGTTGGGAACGATACTGGGCTTAAATCATCGTCGTATGCGTGCGTTATCACACGCCACCAGATTATTTACACACCGCGCTACAACGGCGGCGACCGACGCGCGCGCGCCGCCGTCGCCATCGCGCGACGCGCGCGCCGCGCTCGAGCGCCCGCGCCGCGCGACGATCGATCGAACGCGCGACGTCGATGTCGCGCGCGGCGCAGGCGGCGGCGCAGGCGGCGGCGCGGAACCGCGCGCGGGTGGTTTTGGAACACATCGAAAAGGCGGACGGCGGCGACGGCGACGGCGACGGCGACGACGCGCGCGGCGCGGAGGGCGCGCGCGCGGACGCGCCGGGAAAGCGACGACGGTCCGGCGCGAGCGAGGACGCGGAGGGAGGGGAACGGGACGAGGATGGCGACGCGCGAGGACGCGCGGGCGCGGGACGGGGCGACGGCGCGAGCTCGTCGAACGCGTCGAGACGCGAGGGCGCGCGAACGGGCGTGACGGAGGACGAGTTGGCGACGATGCTCGGGCAGGAGATGTCGGTGGAAGAGCGCGCGGAGGCGATCAACACCTTGCTGCGGGAGAAGAAGATTGACGTGTTCGGACGGGGCGGGGGGTTGGTGTACGCGCGAGTGCGCGAGGCGCAGGCGGCGAAGTTTAAGGGTTTGAGCACGGAAGATATGCTGGTGTATCAGATCATTCAGCACGCCGGGAACGCGGGGATGTGGACGAAGGAGCTGAAACAGCGGTCGAATCTACCGGTGCCGCAGATTACGAAGATTTTCAAGACGCTCGAGGCGAGAAAGTTGATCAAATCCGTCAAGCACGTGGCGCAACAAAATCGAAAGGTGTACATGCTGTACGAGCTCGAACCGAGCCGAGAGATCACTGGCGGGGCGTGGTACACCGAGCAGGAGTACGACGCCGAATTTATCAGCGTGTTGCGCGAGCAGTGCGTGAAATTCATCTACTCGCGCGAGCGCGTGACGCTGAAAGAAGTGAGCGATTTCGTTCGCGCGAGCGAGCTCAGTCGCATCGATCTCGGACAGGATGAAGTTTTACAAATAGTCAACACGCTCGTGTACGACGGCAAGGTGGATGAAATCAAAGACGAGTCTCAGGACGACGGGATGGGTAAGGCAGACGAGGATTTCCAGCCGATCACGTTTTACACGCGAGCGGCGCTGCCGGTTCCCGAGTCCAACGCCTACACCGACATCCCGTGTGGGGTGTGTCCGGTGATCAACGAGTGTCGCCCGGACGGGCTGATCAACCCATCGTCGTGCGAGTACATGACGGCGTGGTTGAACTTTTAGCAATCGAGTCGCGACGCGTCGACGCGTGCAATACGATGTTCCGACCACCGCGACGAACCAAACGAACGAACGCGCGCGCACGACACGCGATGCGCGATGCGGTTACAACGAAAATCGTCGCTCTCGCGCGAAGCGGTAAAAACGCGCGCGTCGGCGCTGGATGCGAATCCAGTCTCGTCTCGCCTCGCGCTCATCGCCCCCTCGGTGTGTCGGCATAACGAACCGCCGACCGACCGACGATGCGCGCCGCCGCGCGCCCGCGTCGCGTCGCGCCGCCGCCGCCCGGCGCGCGCCGCGCGCGCGCGCGCTCGCTGCCGAAGCTCTACGTCCCCGGCGACGCGATGGGCGGCGAGAGCGCCGAGGCCAAGGCGGCGAAGACGCTGCGCCGACTGTTCACGTTCGTCGCGATTCGCGTCGTGCAGAGCCACCTCGAGGGCGCGGGAAACGACGGAGGATTCGCGCCGCAGGTCACGGGGCGCGACGGGACGTGCATGTGCCCGGATTACGACGACCTGCGACGCGCGATGGAGGGCGTGCCGCTGGGCGATGGGGACGAATGGTTGGACGCGTTCTTCGGGACGAATCCGGAGGTGGCGCTGCGGATTTGCGCGTGCAGGGAGACGTACATGGAGGAGTTTGATTACGCGCGCGCGAAGACGTTGGTGGAGGATATGATACGCAAAGGGAACGCGCAGTTGATGAAACGACACGCGACGAGGAGCTTTGGTTTAGAGGGTTCGGGAGACGAGCGAGAGACGTCGTGAAATATTTACGTTTACATAGACGCGTCTTCGTCTTCGTCTTCGCGTCGTCGTCGTCGTCGTCGTGCGCATCGCGGCGCTTCGAGAGGGCGTCACGCGTCCGAGATGTGTCGATCGAGCGCGGTGAGAATTTCGCGGAACGCCGGTCGACGCTCGGAGTCGCGGTGCCAGCACGCGCGGATGAGCTCGGTCGTGAATTCGGAGACGTTTGGCGGCAACGGTGGTCGAGACGTCGCCTCCGAGTCGCCGAGGATCGTCGAAGCGATTCGCACCGGTTGAATCCCTTTCCAGGGCTGCTTACCGCTGAGCGTTTCGCAAAGAATCATCGCAAACGAATATACGTCCACTTTTTCATCCGCGCGACCGTCGTCGAAGAGTTCGGGCGCCATGTAGTTGACCGTTCCCGCGCCGAGCGAACTCGGCGACAAGCTTGTGCGCACGGCGCGCGATACGCCAAAGTCTGAGAGCAACGCGCGAAGCGTGTCTTGCTCGATCAAAACATTCTGAGGCTTTAGATCTCGATGGATGATTTTTGGATTGAGTTCGTGTAGGTACGTCATCGCGCTCGAGATGTCTCGAGCGATGCGAAGCGTTTGCGTCTCCGCCAGAGGCGCTTCGGCGGCGGTAGAGCAGTGCAATACCTCGTGAAGACTCCCCCCATGAACGATTTGTAACATCAGACACATCGGTGACGAGCACGCGCCGTAAATTTTGACGATCGATGGATGGTTCACGGCGCGCATGATCTCGATCTCGCTTTGCAGCGTCATTCGATCGCTCTCGTCGTGCATGATTTTCAGCGCCACCTGCCGTTCGTTCCACTTCGCGCTGTACACGGTCGAATGACCGCCCGAGCCTAGCTTTTCGAAAACTTGCACATACCGTTCAAATTCATCGCTCGTGATGAACGCGAAAGAGGTGTCATCGACGTCGAGGGACTGCGCGATTTCGTGGGCAAACTCCGCCGCCGTCAATTCCACCGCTTCGTCGTCTTCGTCGATCGCGGATGCAAAAATCGCGGAAATCTCAGAGCCGCTCCTCGACTGATCGTCATCGTCGTTTTCGTCTTCCGCGTCGTCGTCGAACGCGCCCTCGCCATCGCGCGTGCGATCGCGAATGTCCACGGCGTGCTGATGAAACTCTTCGCTGTCCTGGGTGCGATTGACGTCGAGCGCCAAGTGCTCATCCACGCCGTCATCGGCGTCGAGCAAGGAATCGTTGCGAAGCCCCGCGGTGGCGACATCGAGCGAGTCCAATCGCGACACCACGTTACGCGTCAACGCGTTGGTGTGTGGAAAAATTGGCGCGTTGGACGCGCGATTGGACGCGACGAATCTATTCGGCGGCGGCGTCGGCGACTTCACGGGCGTTCTTCGTCGTCGAACCTCGCGCGCGCTCGTTTCGATCTTCGGTGCCGGTTCATCATCAACCTTCTTCTCGGTCGCCATCGCGAGCTCCAGCGCGCGTCGTCGCGCCCGTCGTCGCCGCGCGCACGCGAAACACGAGACGAACGACAGAAGCGCCGCCAGCGTACCGATCGTCGACCAAACGACGGCGATCGGCGCCGAAGCATCGTCACCGGGATCGATCACCGCCGACGCGCGCGCTTCCCTGATCACCTCCGCCATGGTTTCCACCGCGCGCGCGTACGCCTCCGCCTCCTCCGCCGCCGTCGTATCGTTCCCGCTCGCGAAAAAGTACCCCGCCGACGCGTCGTCGTCGTCGTCGTACGCCGACACCACCACCGCCTCGTACACCGTCCCTCGCACCACCGTCGACGCGTTCCCAAACCCTTCGTTTTCGCCATCACCCACCGGATCCACCGAAAAGATCAAACTCTCCGTCCAATTCCCCCGTATTCCTCCCTCGAGCGCCACCGCGCGATCGATCGCCGCGCTCCGCGCCCGCTTCGGCGCCCGCGCGACCCCTTTCCCCCCCCCGCGCTCGCCCAACCGCCCCAGGTGCACCTCCCGCGCGACCCGCTCGCCGTCGTTCCTCACCACGCGCGCCTCGATGCGCGCGTCGAAGCTCGCGTCGACGTCGAACCGCAGTTCGATCGCCGCGTCGAACGCGTCGACGTCGCCGCGCTCGCGCGTCGTCGTCGTCGTCCCGAACGCCCCTCCCGACGCGCCGTCGAACGCGAGCGCCAGCCCCGGTCGGACGTCGTCGACGCCGCGATGCTCTTCGAGCGCGCGCGCGTTGACGCGCGCCGTCGCGGCGCCGTCGCGCGTCGCGCCGCGCTCGACGTGCGCGCGCGCGACGCCGAACCGGGCACTCCTCGGCGCGTCGCGCGGTGTCTCGTCGTCGTCGCGCGTCGTCATCGCTCGAGATCGCGCCCGGACGCGCGAAAAGACGCGTCGCGTCGCTCGGCGCGAGATCGCGGCGATCGGGGCGCGCGCGCGCGCGCGTCGGCGATCGAATCGCGCGTCGGCGAGTGCGGATTGGATTCGCGAATCGATCGATTCGCGCGCGATTCGCGCGCGCGGGGGGCTCGAGCGTCGCGATCGCGCGCGATCGACGCGCGACGATCGACGCGAGCGGTGCGTCGCGCGCGAGGTCGATCGGACGCGCGGTGACGGCGCGACGCGCGCGAAACGATGGAGACGGCGCGAAGGGATGAAACGATGCGCGCGCCGAAGACGAACGCGCCGGCGCGACCCGACGCGTTCGCGGCGATCGACGCGCGCGCGGCGTTCGCGGTCGGCGCGCGGGTGCGCGTGCGGGACGGGGCGAACGAGGCGGACGGCGCGGACGCGCGCGAGGGCGTCGTGGCGGCGAGGCGGGGCGACGGCGCGAGCGCGACGGACGGCGAGGTCAAGTATTACGTGCGGTACGACGCGACGGGGGTCGCGGACGAGTGGGTGAGGGTCGAAAGGTTGACGAGCGCGGGTGGGGAGAGCGTGGGAGGGAGCGAGACCACGGGCGGGGGGTCGAGATCGGACGCGGCGACGGCGGCGAGAGCGGCGGCGGCGGCGGCGGCGGCGAGAAAGCGGAAGACGACGGGAGAGAAGGACGGGGGCGAGCGCGGCGAGGAGGGGGGGCGGAAGGTGCGGTGGATCGAGCTCGGGCGGTACATTTGCGATTGCTGGTTCGACTCGCCGTTTCCGGAGGAATACACCGACGAGCGAAAGCTATTTGTATGCGATTTTTGCTTAAAGTATCATCGGAAGCGGAGGGCGTACATCGCGCATAAGAAGACGTGCGAACTGCGACATCCGCCGGGGAATGAGATTTATAGGCATCCAGAGCGACAGGCGACGGAGAAATCGCCCGCGCGCGCGCAGTTGCGCATGTGGGAAGTGGACGGGTCGAACGCGACGACGTATTGTCAAAACTTGTGCCTCATCGCGAAACTCTTCTTGGATCACAAGACGCTGTATTACGACGTCGCCGCGTTTTACTTTTATGTCTTGACCGAACGGGACTTTGACGAGAGTGGAAAGCCGCTCTATCGAATAATCGGGTACTTCAGCAAGGAGAAGGGTCAAGTGGAGACGAATCTGGCGTGCATTCTCACGTTGCCGCCGTACCAGCGTCGCGGCTACGGGGGGTTTTTGATTGAGTTTTCGTACGAGCTCGCCAAACGCGAGGGACGCATCGGCACCCCGGAGCGACCTCTGAGCGATTTGGGGTTCGCTTCCTATCGAACGTACTGGAGCCGAGTGATTTACGAAAGTCTCAGCAGCACCAGCGCCGGCGGGGTGAACGTGGCGGAGCTGAGCAAAAAGACGAACATTCGCGTCGACGACATCGTCTCAACGCTACAGCCGTTTAGTTCGATTCGATTCTTCAAAGATCAAGGCTTCTTGAACATCACCAAGGAAGGTAAGCAGGATTTCAAAGCCGCGCAAGTCAAGCTTCGCGAAAAATGGAGCGAACTGCGCGTCATACCCGAACGACTACAGTTCGAGCCGAAAATCAACGCCGTCGTGGAAGTAGCTGAGAAGCGCCGCCGCACGCGTTTGTTCCAACGAGACATTTTGGAAAATAATGAGAAATGATTAGCTACGTAATATAGAGTTGTTATCACACACGATGCGTTGGATGTGACGGGATCGGGTTCATTCGCACACGCCGTCCCAAGGCGCGAGGCCGCAGGTGAAGAACTTGCGCCTATCGAACACGTCGCACCCCGCGTTCTCTTCCTCCGTCGCGGGTAAGATCTGGTTAGGATTTTCGGCTAATTGAGACACGCGCGACAAGAACGCTGACTTTCCGGAGATTGAGCCGCAATACGCGGCGTGTACGATGTACCCGCGATGCTCGCCGCTTCCGTCTTCGTCTAGATCCAAGTGCTGCGAGACGTCGAACGTCAGGTACGACGGTGCGACTTCCTGCGAGAGGGCGGTGATGATAACACCGTCTGCGCGAGCATTGGGCGCAATGTTCCATGTGAGCGAAGCTTGCTCGGTATCCGTCGCCTCGGGTTCGAGCGCCATCCAATCCTCCAGCAATTTCCCGACGTACTCATTCGGCCGCGCCCCGATTAAGCCCGTGTTGATGGCCTTTTGCTCCAGTGCGCCGCCAAAGTCCGAAAGCGTCACCAAGAGTGCGCCAGCGTCGAGCTTTTGCTTGATCAGCAAGCGCGGATCGCGCAGCAGCAGCGTCGACGCGTCGAGGAACAAGCACCCGTAGCCGGCGTTCACGAGAGTGTACACCACGTGCACTTTTCGCCACGTCCACACTACGCGCAAGGCTTTGCCTAAATCTCCACTCATATCTTCTTGTCCGGCTTGGATGCTCCCGTCTTTGTTCATGTGTTCGCCGAGGACGTCGATCATATCCGTATCTAAGAAGCACATCACCCCCGTGGCCACGCACTGCTTGAGCGTCGCGCGGTCGCTCACCATCACCGTCAACGCATCGGCCAATCCCGGTATGCGCTGGGCAGACTCGATGAAAAGCTTCGCCATGGGCCAATACGCGGAATTCGTGTACGTCATCAGACGCATTTGGCCGACTTGAGCGCCGTTGGCTTGCAAATGGTCGATCAAGCCCGGAATCGCTCCGGGTCGGTTGTGCAAGGACGCTAAACTTTGGTGCTTCGCTCTGTCGTGTCTCATCATTCGTCCGATATCGTCGCCTCGCGTCGTCTGTGGCGCGGCAAAGTAACCGCCGTTGATGGATTTAAAGTACTTTTGTTTCGCGCTCTCATCCGCCGGCTTTGACGGCGCCGCCTCTACGAAGTCTTCGTCGTCGTCGTACGCGTCCATCGTCGCACCAGGTTGATCCTCGACGGCATCACCCTCCGCCGCATCCTTCCTCTTTGTTTTCTCTTCCTTTTCGTCTTCGCGCGATTCCACTCGCCGTTCGACTCGACGGTCGTGACGAGCGTGTTGTCGCTTCGCCTCTCGCACGTGCGCCGCGGACAAGAAACCGCCCTCGCCGCCGTCGTGGTGCTGATGCGCCGCGCCGTGCGTCGTCGCGCGCGCCGGCGCCGGCGGTGTCGGCGCTGGTGGCGCCGGCGGTGGTTCGGACGTCGCGGCGCTCGCGCGCGCCACCGCGCGCCGCGCCGCCGCTCGATGCGCTCGCCTTCGCGCCTCTCGCCTCCGTTCGAGCTCCGAAACCGGCCCCGCGCGTCTCCCCGCGTCGCGCAGAAAATCACCCTCCCTGGAATCGTCCTCGAAATCCTCATCCACGACGACCGCCATCGCCTCTCGATCCGCGAGCGCATCCGCCTCCTCCGCGGTGTCCACGTCGCCGCTCGCGCGCGTCTGGTGATAACTCGCTCGCATCAACGCCGCCCCGAACGCCTTCCTCGCCGTTCGCATGAACGCGCTCTCCGGCGGCGGCGTCCCTCTCGCGTCGGGTTGCACCCCGAGCGCGCTCGCGCCCGCGCGTCCGCGCGCCGTGGACGCGACGCCCGCGCCGCTCGCGCACGCGCACGCCGTAACACCCAACGCCAACGCCGCGCACCGCGCGCGCGTCCAAAACCCACCCCGTCCGCGCGTCCGCCGCCGCTCGCCGCGCTCGACGTCGTCCGCGTCGTCGCCGTACCACCCATCGCGCGCGAGATCGCGCGCGAGCGCCGTGCGCGCGTCCGTCGTCGTCGCCGCGTCGTCGCGGCGCAACACCATCGCGTCGATCGCCGCCTCGCCTCGCCTCGCCGGCGCGCCGCGCGGTCGCGCGCACCGCTCGAGACGCGCGCCGCTCGCGCCGCGCGCGTTCGGCGCCCTCGGCGCGCGCGCTCGACGATCGCGTCGCGCGGTGCGGCGGCGACGGTCGCCGACGCCGCGAATCGACCGTCGAACCGTCGCTCGAGGTTCGATCGCGCGCGCGATCGAACCTCAGCGCGAGGTTCGACCGCGCCGCGCGAACCTCGACGTCGATCGACGCGACCGGCCGCGTCACATCGCGGCGCCGCCGACGTCGATGGCGCGCGACGACGCCGGCGCGCGCCGGACGACGCCGACGCGCGCGACGACGGCGAAGGGCGACGCCGAGGGACGCGCGCGCGCGCGCGATGGGTCGAAGAGCGGCGTGACGACGCCGAGTCGCGTCGATGAAGATGATTTCTGCGGCGACGACGGCGCGACGGAGGCGCGACGCGCGCGCGAGGACGAGGACGAGGACGCGCGCGAGGGCGCGGATCGCAGGCGGGATGATTTCGCGCGCGATTTTCTGGCGCGGAGCGGGTGCGTGGGGGAGGCGCGAAGACGCGCGGCGACGCCGCCGGCGACGCTGCGGCTGGAGTATTGGACGAGGGACGAGACGACGACGGAGGCGAAACGCGCGCACATCGATAGGTTGGACGACGAGCTGGGATATTACGGCGTGGAGGAACACATCGAGCGGACGGTGCTGAAAGGGAAACCGGTGGCGATCGAGACGAACATGTTTCCGTACGAGACGCCGCGCGGGGTGACGCACATGACGCTGTGGAGTCGGGAGGAGATGGACGGGGAGGCGATCGTGGATTGGACGTGCGCGTGGCTGCGGGAGAATAAACCGAACGTGACAGAATGGAATTTCGATTTAAATGAGAACCATTCCGTGGACGTGCCACATTATCACGTGTTTACGTACGAGCCCTCGGAGACGGCGCCGAAGACGAATGCGAAGAAACGAAAATTGAACGCGAGCGCGAGCGATCTTAGCGCGATTTGAAGACGACGAATTGAAATATAGGGACAGCTACATTCTAGAAAACAAAACAAGGCTACGCTAGGTTCTAAGGCTATCGCGTCGTCGTCGTCGTCGCGACTTCGAGGCTGGCGCGAACGACTTCGGCTTCGGCTGTCGGCGACGCCTTGTTGGCGTCGCTCCACTCGTTCCTTCGCTTCGTCTTTACTAAGGCGAATACGCGTTCGCCACGATCCACGAGCGATTCGAACGACGCGTGACGCCATTTTAAGTCCCCGCTCGGGGCGTCGGCAAACACCGGTCCGTGCGCGAGGAGAAGCAAAAGCGCGCTCGCGCACTCGGATCTGTTCAAAATCGACAGCTCCGTTCGACCTCCGTCGCGCGTTTCGGCGGCTGTGCGCTCGAGCATCTCGTCGAAAACGTCGAGCACGGACGCGGTAAATGCGTTCCAGTGCGCTCTGACCTCATCGCGCGACGCCGCATCGACATCGCTCCAACGCGGAGGCAAGGCGTACGGGTCTTCCTCCGAGTCGCGCCGCGTGGCCATTCTGTGCATCGCCACCGGCGCGACGATGATAGCGAGCCATTGTGCGACACTAGATTTACTGATATCGTCTGAGACGTGTCCGTCGTACGCCTTCAAAGCGTCGAACAGCACGCGCGCGCCGCCGTCGAAGTCGCGATTCGGCGATACCAAACTCTCCAAGTCGTACGTCAACGACGATTTGTTGGGCAACCGCGGTTTGAAAAATTCGTGCTGCACCGGAAACGCGTACTTCATCAACGTCGAGTGCCAGAGTAGCTTGAAACTCGCCTCGGAGTACCCGTTCTGCATCAAAGTCTCGATCTCTGACGCCACGCGACGAGGAGACGCCGACGCGAGCGTCGCCGCGTACGCCCTCAAAGCCGCTCGCAACTCTTTCGTCATCGTGAATCCATGACGCGCGGCGAGACGAATGGCACGCAACATCCGCACGGGATCTTCCCTCAAACTCACGTTCGTGTCGCCCACCGTACGAACGACGCCCGCGTGCGTGTCGTTCATCCCGCCGTGAAAGTCTAAAATTTCATTCCTCCACGGATCGTAATACATCGCATTCACCGTGAAATCGCGCCTCCTCGCGTTATCGTGCACCGCCAACAATCTCGCGAAATCATCCCGCGATCCATCCTCCGCGATCGTCTCCGTCGTCGACGCTCGTCGCGACGACGTCGTCGACGTCGAAGTCGCCTCGCGCTTCGCTCGCTCCGCGCGCCGCCGTCGCAACATCGCGTCGTAATCCGTCTCCCCACTCGCCGTCACCGGCGCGCCCTCCGCGTCCGCGCGCGTCGCGTCTTCCTCACTCTCGCCCTCGCCCTCGCCCTCGCCCTCGCTCTCAAAGCTCGCCACCTCGATCCACCGTCCCGCGTTCGCGCGCACCAGCGCCACTCGAAACCGTCGTCCCACCACCTTCGCCCGTCCATCCATCGCCGCCTCGATCTCCTCGTACGTCGCGCTCGTCACCAGATCCACGTCTCGCGGTTTCGCCCGCTCCCCGAGCGCGATCCAATCCCGCACCGCGCCTCCGACGACGTACGCGTCCGCCCCCGCCCGTCTTCGCAGCCGCTCGAGCGCGCGCGTCGTCCCCCCCGGCGCGTCTCGCGTCAATCGCGTCGCCCTCGGCACGCCGTGCTCGCGCTCCCGCACGACGGCGCATCGCGCGAATTGCTCTCGCAGCGATCGCGCGTAGCGCTCGCGGTCGCCCGGTCGCGGCGTCAGCGTCGTCGGCGGGAGTCTCGGCAGCGCGCGCTCGGTCGGCGGTCGGCGCCGCCGCGTCGCGCCGCGCGCGCGCGTCGACGCGCGCGCGTCGACGGACGTCGACGTCAGCGTCGTCGCCGCGCGCGCGCCGCGCGCGGCGCCGAGCGCGCGCTGGCACGCGCGCCGCGCGCGACGCATCGATGCGTCGGCGTCTGACGCCGCACACCGCGCCGTCGCGCGCGCGTCGACGCGCGGGCGTCGACGGAACGGAGACGCGCGCGTCGGCATGGCGCGCGCGGCGTCGCGCGCGGCGCGCGCGCGCGCCAAACGCGTCGACGGGACGCGCGCGGTCGCGCTGCGATGCGTCATCTTGTGCGCGTGCGTCGCGCGCGCGCGATGCGTCGCGCGCGGCGGAGGCGTCGCGACGGCGATGCGACGGACGACGATCGAGCGCGACGCGCGTCCGAGCGCGCGCGCGCGATCGACGGCGGCGACGGCGAGCGCGGCGACGCGACTGCGCGGCGGCGTGCTCGGGACGGGGACGCTCGTCGCCGAGTACGCGCTCGCGGATGGACAGACGTACGATTTGATCGTCGACACGGGAAGCGCGCGGACGTACGTGCCGTGTAAGGGATGCGCGCGGTGCGGGGAGCACGCGCACGGGTATTACGATTACGATCGGTCGATGGAATTCGAGAGGTTGGACTGCGGCGAGGCGAGCGACGCGACGCTTTGCGAGGAGACGATGAAGGGGACGTGTCAGAGCGATGGGAGGTGTTCGTACGTCGTGAGTTACGCGGAGGGGAGCTCGAGTCGTGGGTACGTCGTGCGGGACAGAGTGCGACTGGGGGAGGGGACGTTGAGCGCGATGTTGGCGTTCGGGTGCGAGGAGGCGGAGACGAACGCGATTTACGAGCAAAAGGCGGACGGATTGTTTGGATTCGGACGGGGAACGGCGACGGTGCACGCGCAATTGGCGAGCGCGGGATTGATTGAAAATGTGTTTTCGTTCTGCGTCGAGGGGTTCGGGGCGAATGGGGGGGTGTTGACGCTCGGGAGGTTTGATTTCGGCGCCGACGCGCCGGCGTTGGCGCGGACGCCGTTGGTCGCGGATCCCGCCAATCCCGCGTTTCACAACGTACGAACGAGTTCGTGGAAGCTGGGCGATAGTTTGATCGAGCATTTAAACTCGTACACGACGACGCTGGATTCGGGGACGACGTTTACGTTCGTTCCGCGAAGTGTGTGGGTCAGCTTCAAGACGCGATTGGACACGCAGGCGACGCAGGCGGGACTAGAGATCGTCGCGGGACCAGATCCACAGTACGACGACGTGTGCTACGGCGTTTCCGCGGCGGCGATGAACATGACGTTGAGTCAAAGCACCGTGAGCGAGTGGTTCCCGCCGCTCACGATCGCGTACGAAGGCGGAGTTTCGTTGACGCTCGGGCCGGAGAATTATCTCTTCGCGCACGAGACGAACTCGGCGGCGTTTTGTGTGGGTATTTTTGCGAATCCAAATAATCAGATTTTATTAGGGCAAATCACCATGCGCGATACGCTCATGGAGTTTGATGTCGCGAACTCTCGCGTAGGTATGGCGCCGGCGAATTGCAGGCGACTACGAGAAAAGTACACCCACGATTCCCCCGAGCCGACGCCGTCGAATTCATCTACGCCGAGCGGCGGTGGAGACGCATTGACGGAGGTGTTTGTTTCACTAGGGGCGTTAATCGTAGCGATTATAGGCGTTTGCTTCGGTTCAAAGAAGCTACAAAGGTCTGACGTGTTTGCGAACGCGTTTACGTGGGCGTCGAGAGGCAACGAAAGACAGTGGCAGCGGCTCGAGGACGACGTGTCGATCGACGCGCAGATAGAGATGAGTGATATGCCGTAGACAGTGGCAGCGGCTCGAGGACGACGTGTCGATCGACGCGCAGATAGAGATGAGTGATATGCCGTAGCGCGCATTGTGATCACAAATCACCATCTATTCCAGCGAAACTTGTTCCATTTGACGCTCATGTGCCCGCGGGCGTCGCCGTACGCCGTACGATCTCGCCACGATTCGCTCGCCCACTCGCACGGCGGTGCGACGTACGGCGACCACAAGATTCGCATCAAAAGCCGCGGTTGTCGTAAAAGCGTCTCAAGCTTTGGGAAGATGTACGGCGCGAGTAGAAACAGGTACTTCATTCTGAAGTACTCGGCGAAGTGTTCGTGGTGCGAGCTCGTCTGGAATCGTTCGGCGAGCACGGACATTGTTTCAATCGAAGGCAGTGGAATCGTCCCATCGTGCACGCGGGCGAGGTAATTCGCTTGCAACTCGGCGACTTGCCAGTGCGTGCCGAAGGGTAGAACGAATAGAATGTACCCGACGCGCGGCTCTGTAGGCAGCACGCAGTGCTCGAACAATCCGCTCGTCGGTCGGAGATTTTCCGCCATAAAGTTGAACTCGCGCCGGTACCCAGTGGCGAAAATGATCGCATCAAACTTTCCACTCGTGCCGTCGACGAAGAATACTTCGCGTCCTTGAATTCGATCGACGAGTGTGGCCCGCTTGATGCGTTGTAGCGCAAACTCTTTGAGCAAATCGCCCGAATCAGTCACGCCCGGGGAGATCCTGTGAACACACGGCCACCAATCGAAATACGTGTATCCAACGACGCCGAGCCAAGCGGGCGTGAATAGCGATATCCAATTCAAAAACGTGGCTATGCCATGCTTCAACCCACGACTCATGACGTATCGCTCGGTGCGAATGCTCAGGGTCACCGACGCAGCCGTCGTCGAAAGATCCTGCGCGATGTCCGATCCGCTCGCGGCACCGAGCCCGACGACGAGCACGTGACGATTGAGAAACGACGTCGGCTCGGTGTATTCACTCGAGTGCATCACGTCGCCCGTGAAAGAATCCAACCCGCGCACCACCGGAGTCTCGGGTTTGGTCAATTGCCCGGACGCGACCCACACGAAGTCGAACCTCTCCACGCGATGCGAGAGGTTCGAGTCTTTCCGCGGCGTCCCGCTCGCGATCGTCACTTCGAACTCGCCGTTCGCGCATTTTTCGACACTGATCACCTCCGCGTTCAGTTCAATCACTGAAGTTAACTGAAAAGCCGCAGCGTAGCCGCAGAGGTACTCCATCGTTTTCCGCCATCCAACGTAGGCCGGAAAAGATCGGGGCGCGGGATAGTCCGCGAAACAATTCGCCATCTTCGTCACGTTTTGTAAAACAGAGTTGAAAACTTTGCCTGATCGCCGCCCGTAAGCCCAGACGCCTCCCGGCGAGTCGCTTTTCTCGTAAGTGCACACCTTGAACCCGCGGCGTAACGCTGCTCTCGTCGCGCACAAGCCGGCGGCGCCGGCGCCGACGATGCATAGCCTTTTCGCACCGTTCGATCGCCCCTGGAGCGGATCCGCTTCGCCGACAGTCTTTCGACGCACACCAAGCGGAACCGACTCGCGCATTTTTTTCGCGTTCACGTACGCCATGACGCACCACGCTGGAAACATCGCCGCGAACGCGAACGCGATGTACTTGCAGCAGAGGCACAAGGCTCGAGCGAGCTCGACGCATACCCAAAACACCGGCGGTAAAAAGACAGCCCAAGCCAGGACGAACGCGGCGTAAAACAATAACGCGTCTTGCGTCGTCGGGAACTCGCGGTCGTCGAGAAATCGCATCGTGCGCGCGTAAATGTGCGGTCACACGTCCCGTCACATGTTGGCCGTCACATGTTGGTACGTCCAATGATGCGATCGAAACCGCCCGAGATCCGTCGATTTCGCGTTGAAAGCGCGCGATCCAAGAGATGAAAATAATTTCGATCGCCTCGATCGACGCTCGGTCGCGATCGACCGCGCACGCGCGCGCGAACTCAAACATTAGCGACGCTGCGGGGTGACAACCAACAGCCAACCGCCCTCCGCACACGTCGTCACGCGCTCGCGCGTCGTCGATCGCGCGCATGGACCCGCGCGACGTCGCGGCGTACATCGAACGCCAACGCGCGCGGCGCGCGCCGTGCGTGGTCGTGCTCACGCCCGACGACGATGCGCGCGCGCGCGAAAGTTTGAGCGCGGCGCTGGATGTCCCCAGACTCGTCGACGTTTTGCGCCCGTTTCGCGTCGTCGACGACCTGAACGTCGTCGTGCGCGCGGACGCGGAGAACCCGCAGCGAGCGCTGAGCGTGCGGGCGCTAGAGGTGCGGTTTAAGAGCGATTCGGGGGCGACGTCGGCGACGCGGGACGACGCGGAAGCGCGCGGCCGGGACGCCGTCGCGAGCGAATGCTTCGATGTTTCGACCATGACCGACGATACGTGCGGACGGGCGCGACGAGAGACGGGTGATGCGTGCGTGCGACGAGCGAGAACGGAGGCGGAGACGAGCGGGAGGTTTGAGAAATTCTTTGACGCGAACGAGCGGGCGACGGCGTTTAACGAGTGCGAGGCGTTTGATCACGCGCTCGGAGCGATTCTTTGCGTGCGCGCGGGAAAATCTTCGTACGAGGACGTGCTACAATCATTCGAGGACTTAAAACAGCAGTTTTTGCGACTGCCGGTGTTCGCCACGGGTGGAGCGGATCCAGAGACGTGTTTCGGGAAGGTGCTCGTGTGGGACGCGAGAGATGGAGCGACGACAAAGGAAGAAGCGGAGGCTTTGTTGCAGCGCGTGCGTCAGACAGGGGCCTGGGACTGCGAACTATTGACACTGAATTCCGATCTCGAAGGCACGTGCGCGTCTGGGGTCGATTGGAACGAGCATAGGGAAACGGTTATTTCCCGCGCCGCGGCTGAGCGCGCGGGCGTGGCGAACGAGGCGAGTAAAACCATGGGGCGTTACATGAGCTTGGAAGACGTCGATCGGGCAAAAACGTACGTGCGAGTGTTCGTAACGAAAACCTTACTTCCACACATGGAGCGAAAGCTCTTCGCGCTATCGACACAGATTTACAACACGAGAAAAGGTTTAAGAAATCAATTCAAGACCTTTTGGGGACGAAGCACGGCGACGGCGACGGCACATCGAGATGGCGAACAAGGCCATCGATCGCCCGAGGGACAAATTCGGCTCGCCGGAGATTTAGCGTTCATGCTCGGCGATTACGACACTGCGTTGGCGAATTTCAAGCTCGTACATTCGGATTACAAATCGCAAAGTGCGTGGAAGCGATTGGCGAGTTCGTACGAAGCCATGGCGCACGTGTACGTAGCGACTCGTCATTTGCGCAATAAGGCGGATTTGAAAAAAGACATCAACCACGCATATGACAGCGCGATGACGAGTCTGTTGAAGTACGAAACGATCGGTGGGGTTGGTGATTTGCATCTAGCGCACGTCGAGATGTTGAAGGCGCGTTCGGCGGTGGAACATGCCAAGGCGCTGACAGCCATCGGTGCGTATCGGGAAGCGCACGCGCCACTTGTTTCGGCGTCTGCATTTGTACACTCCGATCTGCGAGCGGCACTCTTGCTTGAGCGCGCCGCGTTCGCGTTCGTCCGCTGTCACCCTCCTATGGTGCGCAAATTCGCGTCGTACATGATTTTAGCCGGCGCGAGGTACGTGCGTGCGGGCGCTATAGCGGCTGCGACTCGATGCTACTCCTTCGCTCTGCCGGTGTCGAACGAGTATGGCTGGAGTGCGGCATTAGAGCACTTGAACACCACCCTCGGTCGTCTCGTGGCGAACATCGGACACACGAAAGCGGCGCTGGAGTTTTTCAGAGACGCGGTGGGGTGTGCGGCATATTTACCGGCCGACGCACAAACCGTTCGTATCGATGCGCTCGAAGAATTCGCTGCGAAATACGCGAGTGAAGTGCCCGCGGAGCAGCGCAACGCGAAAGACGACGAGCTGGCGTGTCCCTTGCCCGAAATGAACGTCCAAAAAGTCAAAGTGATATTTGCGGACGATCGTGAGTCGAGCGAATCGACTTCTGATCACGGTGAAGAAGCGTGGAGCGCCATTGAACGGGGTGGAGTTATCCCACAGAACTTGCTTGCGGCCGCACCGGGAGCGAATTGGCTGAGTGGTGGTCCTCGCACGATTGAGATCGAGCAAACAGCAGTGTGCGCCTCCGGCGAAGACGTGAAAATAGACGTCGATTTGAAGAATCCACTCCGCTTGCCTTTGGACGTGAATAATCTGCGTTTGCTGTGGGAGTTTACGCCATCGAATGGGACGTTAGTATCAAACGACCGCGGCGAGACTTCGGACGCACTCGTGCGAGCAAAGGTGGAGAATAAAGTTTTCGCGCCGCAGTCAGAGCAAACGATTCGGCTCACCATCACGCCGAGCGCTTCGGGTGTCTTACGCGTGTCAGGCGTGGCGTGGACCGTGGGGTCGAAACGGGTGCTACACGGCCGTCGATACTTCGATGTCAGTGCGCCTCGAACGCGTCGTGGGGCAAACGGCGAGTGGTTACGCGACGTCACAAAGCACAAACGGTTGGTGTTTAACGTTTGCGAGACGGTGCCAAGATGTGATGGCACGCTCGAAGGCGTCCCCAAGCGCTCAATGGATGGCGCTCTGCAGAGAATAGACTTAGTCATCTCCAACGTCACGCAACCGATGGCAAAATGGATCCGGGTGCGTTTGCCGAGATCCGTTCTCCGTCCAGTTGACGCGTCTCACGTGCCCGTGACCGAACCGACCGTGAAGCGTAATTCGAGTCGAGAGGATCTCGAAAGAGACTCGATAAATCGCGGTGATGGTGACGGTGGGGACGATGACGTCGTAGATAGCGATGGTGTGATCTACGCGCTGCCTGCTTGGGAGACGCTCGAGTCTGGGTCAACGATTCGCTGGCCACTGTGGTTTCATCCAAACGCCGTCGGTCGCACCGCTGTGCGCATCTGCGTGTGCTATCAGCCCGAACCTCCAGCGCCAAAGTTATTGCGCTATCGTACGATTCGTATCTTTGAAAGCGTGGAGGTCACACCTTCCATGCGCGTGAGCGCGATGACGATACCGTCGCCTTCGCATCCGTTGGCGCGAGTCATTCGATTGTCCATTGCGAGTGGGCGAGAGCAAACGGATATCTTCAAACTCGGAAGCGTGCGGCTTGGATCGAGCAAAGATCGCGTGAAGTACGAACTGATACCTCTCATGAAGCACGCCACGGCACCGCGATTGATTGCTCCCGGGGAGACGATCGAGACGCTCATAAAATGTTCGCCGAGCGAGGAGGCAAACGCGAAGGAACTGCTCAACTTTGTGGACGCCATCCCGGAAGAAAGCGCGAAACCCTTGTTTGCGTTTCACAATTCATTCAAAAAGAACGATGCAAAACGTGCGTTGAAAGTGCGCAACGAAGCGATCACGGATGGTTTGATGATAACATGGTCGTTGAAGGGTGGAGATGTCGTCGGCGCGCAGCACGTACGCAACGTCGTCGAGCTCACGCGGTGCACGGATACTACCCGCACACCCAACGAGCTGAAAAGCAAGGTGACCTGGACAATCAATTATGCTAGCACGATTAAGCTCGACGAGACGGCGCCAGGTAACATGACGTACTCATCCGTCACCTTGAGCGCTCGGAACGAATCCGACGACGCGCTCGACATTGTCTTTGTCGCCGACGCGACGTCATCGGCGCCCGCCAACGTTGAAAGCGGCGGCTGGTCTCTGGAAATCGATAAGAACGCGTGGCAAAACCGAGAAACGCTACCCACAAGCGAGGACAAGCGCCGACGGCCGATTCCCCTGCCGCCTGGCAAACCTATTGTGTGGGTTGGCCCAGTGCGCCGCGTCGCCAAAAACGTCGCCCCTGGCGCGGTTTTCAATTTCCCCCTCACCATCGCGTGTTTCGCCAAAGGCGATCACATTTTAGATGGTTACACGCTGAGCTGGACCGAAACTGCGCCCGCGCCCTCCGCGACGCCGGGATCGATGTCCATATCCTCGGTCTCGCGAGCCACCGACGGCGCTCGCGTCGCCGTTCCGACGGATGCCCGCAACGCGCCATTCATCATCACCGTCACGTAGCGCAATAGATGAAGCATGTAAATACAACTCTAACTAGACACGCGCAACACGAGGTCTCACACCATGGGTAAGAGCAATTCCGGATCGTCCCACGCCTCGACAGCACGCGGGCATCGCGCGCGACGCTCGCGCGACGGGACGGCGGCCGCCACACAGTGCCGCGTCGCGTCGACGATGGCGGGGAAGATTCAGCGGCAAAAGCTCGCCAAGGGCGGCAGTCGCGGACGGTACGGCGTCTCGGGACTGAGCGCGTTTCGCAGCAAGAGCCGACCGGCGCGACGGGCGCCGATCGCGCGGAATCGCGGCGCGGACTATCAAAAGTTTGTGGAACTGCGAGCCAAGGTGGACGCGCTGAGCGCGGAGGAGGCGAAGGGAACGCTCGATAAGGCGACGGCGAAGGAATTGAAGAACTTGCGAGCGAAGTTGACGCTGAAGGAGCGCAAACACGGGGGCGGGGCGTGAGGGCGAGGTCGCGGGAACGCGAGGGCGGGACGCGGCGGCTGAGAGGCGAAAAAGCCGCGGGATCGCGAAAACGACGCGTCGATCGCGCGAGGATGTAAAATACCGAACATCGTATACTGTAGTGTTTTGTGTGCTACTCGCTGTGTGGTCACAGTACAACCCGCTAATAAGTTTCACGCTAGGGATGACGAACGGCGTCGCCTCGTTCGTTCGTTCGCTCCGTCGGTCGCCGATAGCGCCGCCGGGGTTATAGGAAATAACCGGGCAACGTCGCGCGAGGCGCCATCATGGTTGAGTTTTCGGTGGTTTCCGTGAAATACTTAACCTCGCGATCGAGGTTATCGTCAAAAGCTAAGATGGAGGCGACGTTGCCGCACCGGTAGCAATAATTCGGCGCGCTCCAAACCGTCACCAAATTCTTATCCGGAAACATGTACTTCAACCCTTCCTGCACCAACTGATGCGCCCTACAAATCAAGTTTAATCCATTTATCTCGTTGAACTCGTCCGTCACCCTTCGGCCGAACAACCACCCCGCCCCTCTCGGGCTCACCGCCCACGTCTCGATGTCCTCCGGGTCGCTCCACATTAAATCACAAAACGGTCCCTCGTGCGGAATCTCGCACAACCGATCGATCGTCCGCACTTGATCAATCGTTCGTATGTCTGGACTCAACCCACCGTGCACGCACAGCACCTTCCCATCGATCACGCACGCCAACCCCAAGTAATCGAACACGTCCGTGCACCACCGCCACGCGTTCGCGCTTCCGTACTTCCTCTGACACTCATCGTAGAACCCGTACACCTGCGTGATCTGTCGGCTCTCGTGATTTCCTCGCAACAGCGTCACGTGCGCGGGCCAGCGCGCTTTCAGCAGCATCAGCAGCGTGAACGACTCCAGACTGTTGTATCCGCGATCGACGAAGTCGCCCATGAAAATGTAATTCGTCCCCGGCACCTCTCCGCCGGTCTCGAGCAGTTTCATCAGGTCGTGAAACTGTCCGTGAATGTCACCGCACACCGTCACCGGGCTGTGCACGCTCTGGACGTTGGATTCCTCGACGAGGAGCTCTTTGACGCGGGCGCAGAGATTTCTCAGTTCGTGCTCTTCGAGCGGCTCGCAGCGGCGGATCTTGGCGAGCCAGGCGTCGAGGTCGAGCGGGGACATCGCGCGTGGATCGATTCAGGCGATCGCGGCGTCGCGAATGCGCGCGCGCGCGCGTGTGCGCGCGCGGGCGGCAATCTTTACTCACCGTGAAATCTTGGGGTTTAGTTGCGTCGGAGGCGCGGAACGGGGCGTGAAAATACAAAATACGCGCGCCGTTCGATCTCACGCGATGCGCGCTGTGACGACGGATAAATACTCGCCGAACGCGTACGCGGGGTCGATGGGCTGATCGCACCCGGCGCCGCGGATGGAGAGCATCGTGGCGGAGACGCCGCTGGCGCGCGAGGCGTTTTCGACGATTTTGGGAAGCAACCGCTCTTGCGTCACCGCGCCCGAACACGAGCAGGTGATTAAAATACCGCCCGGACGAAGCAAGGTCATCGCGCGCTTGTTCAACCCGACGTACTTCGGGATGGCTTTTTTGAGCGCGGGCTTGGTCGGCGCGAACTTGGGCGGGTCCAAAACTACGACGTCGTACGATCCGGCGCGGCCGGCGTCGATCTCGGCTTGCATGAAATCGAACGCGTCTGCGCGAACAAAGTTGACTTTGTCCTGAAGACCGTTTAACTCGGCGTTCTTTTTCGCCATGTCGAGCGCGGACTCGGAGCTGTCGACGGCGACGACGTCCGAGGCGCCTCCGAGCGCCGCGTTCAGCGCGAAGCCACCGGTGTAACAGCAAACGTCCAAAACGCGTTTTCCGCGCGCGATCTCGCGCATCACCTTGCGATTATCTCGTTGATCGACGTAGAATCCTGTCTTGTGACCACCGGCGATGTCGATCGCGTATTGCACGCCGTCTTCGAGCACCTTCACGTCGCTCGGCACCGCTTCTCCGACTTTGGCGCCCGTCGCGGCGTCGTAATAATCAATCAAGTTTTCCCCTTCCCAGGGCGTTCCCTCGACTTCGTACATTTTCTCGTCTCGTCGCCACACCACCTTCGTGTTCGCCCCCAAAACGTCCGCGAACGCGCGCAAGATGACGTCTCGTCTCTGCTCCACCCACGCCGCCGTGGAGCTCGCCACGACGATTTCGCCGTACACGTCCGCGTTTAACCCAGAAATCTTATCCCCCTCCGAGTTCAGCAGCCTGTAACACGTCGTTCGTTCGTTCCCGACTAACCCTAAATCCCGTCTCAACTCGTACGCTTCGCGTATCCTCTGCGCCACGACGCCGTCGCCGTCTTCGCATCCTCGCTCCCACGCCTGGCTCAGCGCCCGCACCGAATACGAGCTAGTCTCGTTATAAAATCCGTAGCATATCGGCGAGAGCGCGTGATCGGTGACTTGCACCCAATCGCCCGTTCGCGCTTCGCCCTCCACGCGTTCGATCGCGCCCGCGTAGACGATAGGATTACCGTCCAAGAACATGTTCGCCTTGCCTCGAGCCACCACCACGCGCGTCAGCGCGCTCCGCCGCGCGTCCTCCAGATTCGCGCTCTGTTCGCCGTCAAAGTTCCGTCGCTGGCGCTGCACAACGTCCGCGCTCGAGGACTGCGCGCGACGGCCGCCGTCGGGGCGTCCACGACCGCTCGTCGACGGTTTTCTCGGCGCGGTGGCGGCGGCGGAGGTTACGAAACGTCGCGTTTGCGCGCGCGATGGACGCGCGCGCAGGGCGAACGAGGCGCCGCGCGCGAGGCGTTGCATCGTGTGCGCGCGTGCGCGTGCGTGCGAGCGCGCGGGTGCGCGACGCGCGTGGAAGTGCGGACGACGCGCGTTCGCGCGCCAAGAATTGGAACTCGAGCTCTGGGCGACGGCGAAAACGAAACGAGTAAAGTGGTTAAAGTTACAGCCGTGCTAAATGATACTTGCGTCGCTCGCTTGAGTCGCTCGAGTATAAGTGCTTAATCTCCGCGGACGAAGAAATTAAGAGGCGGCTTCGGCGCCGGCCGCTTCGGCGTTTTCGCGTAAAATTTCATCCAACGTCGGCTCGAGGGTGTTGATGCAGTTGTCCTTGTTCATGATTTTGTCCAAGCCGAACAAACCGATGCGGAAAGTGTTGTTGCCGGCGGGTTCGTTGATCATGAACGGAACGCCCGCGGCGATTTGGAAACCCTTAGACTTGAACTTGGCGAACATGGTGGCGTCATCCGTGTACGACACGACGACGCCCGGCGCCTCGAACCCCTTGGCGGCGACGGATTTCAATCCCTTGCTCGCCATCATCTTGCGGCACTCAGTGCCGAGATCCCATGCCATTTGCTTGACCTTGTCGAAACCAACCTTTTCGGTCGCCATCGCCGCGCGTTCGAACAAAGTCAACGCGTCGGTGGGCATGGTGGTGTAGTACGCGAACCCGCCCGCCAAGTAGGCATCCATGACTTCGAGCCACTTGCGCATGTTGATGACCATGGAGGTGGATTGCGAGTTGCGCGTCGCGTGCACGCCGCGTTCGCCGAGCATGATCACGCTCGCGCACGCCGGACCAGTCCAGCCCTTTTGCGGCGCGCTCAAGATGGCGTCCACGCCGGTCGCCTTCATGTCCACCCAAATCGTGCCGCTCGCGATGGAATCGAGCACGAACAGCCCCCCGTGCGCGTGCACGGCGTCGGCCACAGCCTTGATGTACGAATCCGGCAGAATGATCCCAGTCGACGTCTCCACGTGCGGCGCGAACACCACCGCGGGTTTTTCCTTGTTGATCATCTCCACGACCTCCGCCAAGGGCGGTGGCGCGAACGCCGGCGTCTTTTCGTCGTCCACCGCGCGTCCTCGCATCACGATCGTCTCGCTCGGGATTTGCGTTTGCTCAAAAATATCCGTCCATCGATAGCTAAAGTACCCATTACGAATCACGAGCGCCTTTTTCCCGCTGCACCACTGTCGCGCGACCGCCTCCATCCCGTACGTCCCGCTTCCCGGCATGATCACCACGCCGCTCGCGTTGTACGCCCGCTTCATCATCCCGTCGATGTTCTTCATCGTCTCGCAGAACACCGGCGACATGTGATTGATCGCTCGATCCGTGTACACGACGGAGTACTCCTTCAATCCACCGTTGTGTTCGAGCGCGAGCGGGCGATCGTGGAACCCCTTATCGCTGAAGTCGCCGAGGTGGTGCGCGCCCGCGCTCTTCGCGCGCACGCCCCCCTGCGTCGTCGCCATCGCGACGTCGCGCGTCGTCGCCGCCGTCGCGTTCGCCGCGGACGCGCCGCGAGCGAGACGCGCGTGGATTTGTTCGCGCGCCGCGCCGAGCGCGCGTCGTCGGAGGGCGTACATCGTCGCCGTCGTCGCGCGCGTCGCCGTGTGCGGGGCGCGGCGACGCGCGCGCGCGCCGAACCGACGCGAGACGACCCGTTCGGACACGCGTGGCTGCGCATACAGTGTAATTACAGTTACACGCATCGAGTCGTGGCACACGGCGACGGATAACGGATTGAGCGCGTATAACGATGTGAATGACGCTATGAAACGATGCGAAAATCACGCGACGGTGCCGACGGAGGGGGCCTGGCGCGCTATAACCGCGAAACGCCGTGACGTCACGACGCGCGCGCGCGACCCGTCGAGGCGAGTTTCGCGCGCGCGGCGTCGATCGACGGCGCGAGGTTGGGCGACGGGCGATCGGCCGGGTTCGCGACCCATCGCGCGCGGCGCGCGCGCGCGGCGCGGCAGACGGCGGCGATGGCGGCGCGCGCGCGCGCGCGCGTCGAGATCGGCGCGCGCGGCGTCGCGCGCGACGGCGCGCGGCGCGCGCGCGCGCGGGCGCGCGCGACGGCGACGCGACGGCGCGACGACGCGACGACGGCGACGGCGACGGCGACGGCGAGACGCGCGCGGGACGCGCGGGACGCGCGCGGGACGCGCGCGAACGCGCGACGGCGCGCGAGAGACGTCAGACGCATGTTTTTCGGGTCGGGGACGTACGACTCGTTCGACGACGTCGACGGCGGCGCGCGAGGGACGGGGCGGGAGAACGACGACGACGACCCGGAGCGCGCGGCGTTCGAGCTCGCGGAGTGGACGTCGCAGTCGCTGGCGAAGCGCACGAGGGATTGCTTGAAATTGGCGGATTCGAGCGGGATATGGACGGTCGGGACGACGGCGCTGGTGTTCGTGATCGCGGGATTCGAGTCGTTGGAGGCGGAGGCGGCGACGCGAGGCGTGTCGCTGGAGTACGTGCTGCCGCAATTCGTGCCGAAGGCGTTCGCGCCGGCGCTGGCGGACGGGGGGATCGAACGCGCGGAATCGTGCTTGCAGGCGATATTCTTGTTTGAGTACGTCGTGCGGGCGTGGAGCGAGGAGTTTCAGTTGAAGTATTTGCGCTCGCCGGTGGCGCTCATCGATTTTTTGTCGCTGCTGCCGACGTTTGGGTTCATCTTGAGTTTAGTCGGGATCGGGGGGGCGGGGCAGGGCGCGACGGAGCAGTTCCGCCCGTTGCGTTTGTTTCGAGCGCTGCGCTTGCTCCGGGTGTTAGATCTCGACGGAGAGAAGACGCGCGAGACGACGAAGCGGGAGAAGACGCAAAACGAAAAAGTCGTCGCCGTCGCCGTGGAGTTTTTGTGCGTGTTTTTAATCAGCGGGGAGTTGTTTTATGATTTAGAAGTCGACACGAATCCGAACATTTCGGACGTAGGCGACGCGATTTATTGGAGTTTTTTGACCCTGACGGGCATCGGACAACCTTTCGAGGCGACGACGGCGCAAGGGCGCGTGGCGACGGTGGTTTCGATTTTAACCGCCGTCGTCGTCGTCCCGTTGCAGCTCGCGGTTTTAGTGTCCGCGCAAACCGAAGCGCAGGCACGAATAGGAGAGGGAGGCGCGACATTGAGTGCGCCTCCGCCGTCGATGGCAAAAATTGGACTCGCGGGGCCGCCGATCGCGCCGAAGAGGAGGTCGCCGCAAGAGGAAGAGGCGATGTCGACGATGGCGTCTGACTTCGGTAACGATTTTTGGAGCGGGACCATGGACGAAGATTCGCAGTGGTTGCGCCTTCGAGAGCGCGAAGAGTTGAGAGATGCGAGAAAGAAGATCAAATCTCAGGAGATCTCCATCGCAGCGCTGAGGACGGAGAATAGAAAGCTCCGAAAGGCGTTGGACGAAGCCGATCTTTTGGCGGGCCTGGACGGTTTGGAGCTCGAATTAGAGGAAGACGTAGCGTTTTAATGCATTCATTCATTCATTCATTCATTCTTTGCTTTTATGAAGTGTCGTTTTTAACAACTTATTCGCTATCCGATTGAAATTTAATAGAATTCACGGCGCTGTCGTCAATGGCTCCGCCAAAGTAGCTTCGTTTACGTTTGTTCTTCTCGTGTTGAAAACGCGCGCCACGCACTTGTCCGAGGACTTCCTGCGCCTTGGCGCCGTATCCCGCATCACCGAATGTACCTTCATAAGACATATCCCACGAGCCTTTCTTGCCCAACCATTCCGCGCTATTAACTCTGTGCGGTGAAGAAAACGAATAACGCGTCGCCGTCAGTCTCAGAAACGAGTTAATAGTCGCGAGTTTTTCAAACGAGACGAGTGTCGATGCATCGATGAGGGTGTCAAACGCGCCACCGAGGACAAGAAGGCTCTCACCTTTGAAAAGGCACACCCGGTTGCTTCTCGCCCGGAGGCGCGCTCTTGCTTCCCTTCGCGCTATCCTTGCGTACCTTGTCGCTCGAGCTCGACGAGCTGCTGGAAGACGAAGACGAGGACGACGAAGACGACTTGGACTCAGATTTCGCGTCGGAGGAGGAGCTTGAAGAGCTTGATGACGAGGAAGAATCATCCTTCTTCGCCTCTTCTTCCGCCTTTTCCGAAGAAGATGAAGATGAAGATGAAGATGAAGATGAGGACGACTTGGACTTGGACTTGGACTTTGAGGAAGAGCTCGAAGAGCTGCTGGAAGACGAAGAGTCATCCTTCTCCTCTTCCTTCTTTTCTTCCGAGGAAGAAGAAGAAGAAGAAGATGATGAAGAAGAAGATGACGAGGAGGCGTCATCCTTGGTCTCTTCCTTCTTTTGTTCCGAGGAAGAAGAAGAGGAGGAAGAGGAGGAAGAGGAGGAAGAGGAGGAAGAGGAGGAAGAGGAGGAAGAGGAGGAATCCTTCTTGGCTTCTTCCTTCTTTTCCGACGAGGAAGAGGAGGAGGAGGACGACGATGAGGAGGAAGAGCTTTCTTTCTTCTTCTCTGACGAAGACGACGAAGACGACGAAGACGACGAAGACGAAGACGAGTCATCCTTCTTGGCTTCCTCCTGTTTTTCAGACGAAGACGAAGACGAAGACGAAGACGAAGACGAAGACGAAGACGAAGAGCTACTCTTGCTCTTGCTCTTGCTCTTGCTCTTGTCCGATTCGCTATCGCTCGAAGATGCGCTCGACTTCTCCTTTTTCTCCGAGCTACTACTGCTGCTGCTGCTCGACGACGAGGAGCTGGACTTTTCCTTCTTCGCTTCCTCCTCGCTGCTGCTGCTGCTGCTGCTGCTGCTGCTGCTCGACGAAGACGACGACTTCGAACCCGACCCACTCGCGCTTTTCTTCCCCGACTCGCTCGACGAGCTCGAATCCGCCGGTTTCGCCTTCTTCGCCGCCGACCCTCCGCTAGAATCATTCGCCTTGCGCTTCGCCCCTCGACTCTCCTCCCACGCCTCCACGAGCGCCTCGGCGCCGCCCTCGCTCGCGTCCGCCCCCGCCGCCTCGCTCGCCTCCACCAGCGTCCGGTGCGCCTTCAGCTTCCGTTCGCTCCGCATCGCTTGCACCGTCTTATTCAGTCCACACGCGCGCAGATACTCCTCCACGGGCGCCAGCAACGGCCCGAGTCGCGCGTCATCCACCGCGCTCGCCGGCGGCGGCGCCATCGTCACGCGTCGCCCGTTCCCGTCGTCCCCTCGCGCCCGCTCGCCCGCTCGAGCGCGGTCGTCGCGATCGCGAGGCGTCTCGATCGTTCGCTCGCGTTCGTTCGCGTCCGCGCGCGCGTCCACGCCCGCGCGTCGCGCGCGTCGGTCGAGGAATGCGGCGCCGCGACCGGGCGCCGCCGCCAAGGGGACGGATTTTAGCGGCGAATCAATCGACGAGTCGCGAACCGTCGAATGAGTCATAATGGACGAACGCGCGCGCGATATCGCATCGCGATGTCTTAAAGGCCGATGAGACGAAAAAGTGCGCGCGTCGCGCGCAGGTTTTTAGCGCGTCACTGTTTGCGCACGCGGCGTCGTTTGCGGAGAGCCGCCGCCGCGACGCGCGAAAAGCGTCGCGCGTCCGCACAACGAGACGAGACGAACGTCGCTCGACATGGCGGCCGCCGGTGCGTGACGACCTCGAGAACGAGGCGTGGGAATTTTTCGCGCCGCCCGCGGATCGCGCGGCGTCGCGCGCGGCGTCGCGCGACGCGCGACGCGCGCGAGTTATCCGATGACGTGGGCGAGTGCGGAACCCGGAAACGGCGCGCGTGGCGGCGCGGTGCGGCGCGCGCGACGACGCGCGCGGGGCGGGAGGCGATGATTTGGAGGGAAAATAATACTGACGATGTTTCGCCGCGCGCAGGGTACGAATTGCGCGGGATTTACGGCACGGAGGAGTACTGGCCGGAGAAGAAGCTGAAGATTTGCGTGACGGGCGCGGGAGGTTTCATCGGGTCGCATCTCGCGAAACGATTGAAAGAGGAGGGACATCACGTCGTGGCGTGCGATTGGAAGCGCAATGAACACATGGAAGAGGCGATGTTCTGCGATGAGTTCATCTTGGCTGATTTGAGGCTGTACGAAAACTGTAAAAAGGTTCTCGAGGGGTGCGACCACTGCTTCAACCTCGCGGCGGACATGGGAGGGATGGGATTCATTCAGTCCAACCACTCCGTCATCTTCTACAACAACGTGATGATTTCCTTCAATATGATGGAAGCGATGCGGGTGCAGGGCGTGACGCGATGCTTTTACGCGTCGAGCGCGTGCATCTACCCGGAGGGCACGCAGTTGAGCACGGAGATGCAAGACGGGTTGAAGGAAGCGAGCGCGTGGCCGGCGCAGCCGCAAGACGCGTATGGTCTCGAAAAGCTCGCGAGCGAGGAAGTGTACAAGCACTACCAGCAAGATTTTGGTATTCAGACGCGCATCGGTCGATTCCACAACATTTACGGTCCGTACGGCACGTGGAAGGGCGGTCGCGAAAAGGCGCCGGCGGCGTTCTGCCGTAAGGCTGCGACGGCTGAAAGCGAAGTCGAAATGTGGGGTGACGGTAAGCAAACGCGCTCTTTCACCTACATCGACGATTGCGTCGAGGGCATCTTGCGTCTCACCAAGAGCGACTTCGCCGAGCCGGTGAACATCGGTTCCGACGAAATGATCTCCATGAACGATATGCAAGCCATGACGTTGAAGTTCGCGGGCAAGGACTTGCCAATCAAGCATATTCCGGGTCCGGAAGGTGTGCGCGGTCGCAACTCCAACAACGAACTCATCAAGGAAAAGCTCGGTTGGGCGCCGTCTGTCAAGCTCGCGGACGGCTTGAAGGTTACGTTTGAGTGGATCTCGAGCAAGATTGCCGAAGAGAAGGCCAAGGGTGTTGACACCGCCGCCGCTTTCGGTAAGTCCACCATCTGTGGCACGCAAGCGCCGACCGAACTCGGTCAGTTGCGCGCTGCGGACGGCGACGAAAAGCTGTAAGTGTATTGTTGTGTTGAGCGTCACCAAACCTTTCTCATAGAGTCGCTAGTCTATAGTGAACTATCGCACTTTTATATTCATTCATCTCTCCTTCAACAACTCTACGTACTAGAAGAACAATGGCGACAGCTGCGTCGAGCCATCGCCAAAACTTTTGAGCGTTCCAGAGTGAACGACGGCTCGACACACCGGGCACGTCTTCTCCCTACTCGCTCCGCGACTTGGCTGTCGGTCGAACCACTCTCCTATACAGTCTTCGCAAAATATGTGCGAACAGCGCAGTTTCGTGGCGTCCACGCACGGTTCTCGGCAAATCGCGCACACATCGCCCGCTTCCATCAAGTCTTCACTCGTCGCGATGTCGCCCGCTCTTTTGCTCGCCGTCAACCACATCGACGCCGCGTTGATGAAGTCGAATCCGCGCTGAACGACGCCTCTGAGCTTGAAAATCACGTAAAGCCCCGTGACGAAGGAAGCAAACAAGCTTGGAAGCTCTCTCTTGAAGTAAGCTAACCACACGGGCGCGGGAATCATCGTTCGACACGCCGCGTTCGCGTACTCGATCGTGCTCAACAACGACGCGCGCCGTCTGTACACGCGCGCAGTCGGCATCTTCGCCGCCGCCTTGCTAGAAATTCTCAGCACGCGCTGCAACACGTGCATAGGCAACGCCACGATCAACAACTTCGCGACGATGAACGCGTACCTCGCGCACAAATCGAGCGCCGCGACGTCAAACGCGCACGTCCAAAATCCCGCCGGTTCCTGAAACATCCCTCGCGCCCGTCGCCCGGTCGGTGTCATCGTCCACACGACGAGCAAGTGCGCGAGCAGCGCCACCATCACCGCTCCCACGTCCGCCACCTTCCTCGCCTCTCTTTTCGCCACCTCCGTCACCGTCCGTCCGTTCGCCCGCAGCAGCGCGTACGTCAACCACCCCACGAACGCGAGCTGCGCGAAGTGTTTATAAAAGAAAATCATCAAGAACAGCGCCATCATCGGCGTCCCGCGCTCAAAACTCGCCAGCAGCGAGACTATGCGCCCTTGACTCTCCAGCGCTCGCGTTCCGGCGTCGTCGGCGTCGTCGGCGTCGTCGGCGTCGTCGGCGTCGGCGCCCTCGTTCGCGCGCGCGCTCGCCGCCGTCGTCTCCGTCGCCGCCGTCGCCTCCGTCCCTCGAGCGATGCCCAGCGGCCCCGCGAGCGCGCCCGCGAGCGCGCTCGACGACGCGATTTCGCTCACGGCGTCCATCGCGCGCTCGTACGTCGTCGTCGCGGCGTCTCTCGCGTCGCCATCGACGGACGACGCGAGCAAAACTTCTCGGTCGCTCGCGACGTCGTCGTCGCGCGCCCGGCCCTCGCGCGCGCGAGGGAGGTCACGCGTCATGATGCGCGCTCGCGCGCGCGCGCGACGCGACGCGCGCGCGTCGGCGCGCGCGCGCGCGACGACGAATGACGAGTCGAGTCAACGGTGGACGCGCGCGCGGCACATTCAGACGCGCCGCGCGTCGCGCGCGAGCGCCCGCGGTGCGAGCGCGCGCGGTCGACGGGCGTGACATCGATCGCGCCGCACGCTCGCGCGCGCGCGCGGCGAGCGAGGCGCTGGAGACGACGTGCGCGCGCGGTGAACACGAATCGAATCTATCGAATCTATCGAGCGCGACGGCGCGCGACGGCGCGGACGCGCGAGGGCGAGGATGGCGCGGCGCGACGCGCGATGGTGCGCGAGCGAAGTGTTTGCGTCGCGCGCGCGCTCGCGAACGGCAAGGGCGTCGACGCGCGCGCGATGATCGCGCGGTGTCCGTTCGTATTCATCACTGACGACGCTCGCGAGGCGCGCGCAGGTACATTCGAGCGCACGGATTGGCGCGGTATCGCGATAATCTGAAGCATTTGGAGTTCGGTGAGGTTTGTAAGCTGCGCGGAGACGATTTGAGCGAGCTCGGGATACGGGACGTGGCGGATCGAGCGAAGGCGATGCGGATGGTGAAGGAAATGTGTCGGGATTTCGCGAACGCGAGCGCGACGGCGGAGGCCGAGCCGAAGGATGGCGATGAGGGCGGCGACGCAGGTGGTGACGAGGATGACGATGCGAAAACTAACTCGGAGATGGATGCAGACGAACGACGAAACGTCGAGGACGGTGGTGACGTAGACGAAGACGAATCGACGGCGCCGTCACCTCGAAAGTCAACGCCGAGGCCCAAGTCGCCGCAGCGAAAGTCAAAAATCCGAGTTTCCGTGCGTAAGCGACCGCTGAACGCGAAAGAACAGTCGAGAAAAGAGCGCGATATTTGTACGAGCGATGATATTTCGCGCGAGCTCACGGTTTGGGAACCTAAAGTGAAGGTTGACTTGACGCGATTCGTAGAGAAGCACGCCTTCTCGTTTGACGCCGTCTTCGACGAGTCGGCGTCCAACGACGACGTGTACGTGAGCGAGGTCGCGCCTTTGGTGGAGTTTGCGCTCAGCCGCGCTAATGCGACGTGCTTTGCGTACGGACAAACGGGAAGCGGGAAGACGTACACGATGCAGCCGTTGCCGGGACGCGCGGCGAGGGATATTCTCGCCGCCGTCAATCGAGCCGAATCCGCCGACAGTCGCGCAGATCTGCAACTCTGGGTCAGCGCGTTTGAAATCTACGGCGGACGCGTTTTCGACTTGCTTAACGGACGACGAAAACTCCGCGTGCTCGAAGATTCCAAATCACAGATTTGCGTCGTTGGATTGCAAGAGTACCGCGTTGACGCCGACGACACGTTCGATCGACTCGTCGAGCACAGCACAAAGGCTCGATGCGTCGGTAGCACGGGTGCTAACGCAGAATCATCTCGATCGCACGCAATATTACAGCTCGTGCTGAAGAAACCGATCGAATTAAAGCATCGAAACGCAGTGGCGGCGGCGCTAGCGCCGAACGACGCGCCTGCAACGGAAATCTTTGGCAAACTTTCCTTTATAGATTTGGCTGGGAGCGAGCGCGGCGCGGACACGACGGATAACGATCGACAAACCCGCATCGAGGGCGCGGAAATCAACAAATCTCTGCTCGCACTGAAAGAGTGCATACGTGCGCTTGATTCAGGGGCGTCGCACGTGCCGTTTCGCGGGTCAAAACTCACGGAAGTGCTTCGGGATTCGTTCTTGGGGGATTCGCGAACGGTGATGATCGCGAACATCTCCCCGGCGGAGGGTTCGTGCGAGCACACGCTCAACACGCTGCGATATGCCGATCGTGTAAAAGAGCTCACGCGTGGTACTAGCAGTGGGGAACCGATCGTGGCGCCACCATCGTTGACCACGGCATCGACACCGACTCGGGATCCGCGCACGATGGCGTTTGCGCCGCGAGCGTCGACGCCCGGCGCAACGCGACAGTCGCTGATTCGATCCACGCCTCCACAAGATGGTTCGAGCGCGCCTTCGCGCGTGAATGGTCGAAAATCCACGACGAGTGCGAGTCGGCGCGCGAGCGTGAGCGCGACAACGCTTCCGACTTTCGTCGACTCGACGGCGAGCATGTCGCGAGAAGAAGCCGAGCAAGCGCACGACGCGCTCATCAATGTCATTCTCGGTGAAGAAGACTCCATAATCGCCGCCCATCGAGGGCACATCGAGAGATCAATGGAGATGGTCAAGCACGAGATGGAGTTCCTCGCTCGTGTGGACAAGCCAGGATCGGCGGTGGACGCGTACGTCGACGAACTAGACGCGGTGCTCGCGGAACGCGCCGCAGATGTCGAACGTTTGCGCGCGCGCGTCGATAAATTTCGCACGCTCCTCAGGCAAGAGGAGGAGTTATCGACCCTGGTTTTATCCACCACCGCAGCGAAGTGCTAGAACGCTATTCCATTTATTGACAAATTCATTCCTAATTTCATCGACGCACGATGGCCTGTGACATCGCGACGTATTGTGCGCGCGCGCGGTCGCTGAGCGGAAGCTGAAACTCGCTCGCCGACCACACGGAGTCGTCTGGTATCCAACCTTTTAGCATATCGCCGTCATCACTCCCGAGCACGGGACGAGCGACGTTGGGGTACCTAGCGTAACCGCCGTCGACGCCGCGGCCGTCAAACATGAGAGGCGAAATCCCCCCCTTCAAGCCAACCCGCATGTTCACGCGCGCCGGCTGAAGCGTGTAATCGATCCACTGCTCTAAGACCGGCGATGGACCACCGCCTTTGTTCGCCACCGTCGCGGTGGGCACGACCCAACAATCGCTCCACAGCGTCGTTCCCGAGCTCGGCACCGCGAGACCGATCAGAGTCGATCGACGGGCGACGGAAAATACATCCTCCGAAGGCCCGATGACGACGGCGCAATCGCCACACGCGATCGCTTGCGTGTATTGCAAGTCATCGAATACCTTGACGTTTTCGCGCAGCGCGCGCACGCGCGCGCTCACTCGCCCGTCCGCGCCGCCGATGTCGCTCGCGTTCGCGGACATCCCCTCCGCCTTCAGCGCCGCGCTCAAAACCAACCGCGGCGCGTTGGGCATCCCGATCAAACCCTTCAACCTCGGATCGAACAAATCCTCCCAATCTCGCGGTGGCTTCACCCCCTTCGGCAGCTTATCCTTTCTGTACGCGATCACCGCGCATCCAAACCCGTACGGCGCGCCGTAAATCTCCCCCCCCGCGCTCACCCTCCCCGTGCGCGCGTCTCGCCGCACCAGCGTTCGCCACACCGGCGACAACCTCGCGAACCACGCCGAGGACTCCGCCCCCGGAATCGGCCGTATCAACCCATTCGCGATCGCCGGCGCCAACCACTCGTCGCCCAGCGTCGTCGCGTCCGCCCCCCTCGTCTTCTTCCCTCCCCTCGCCAGGCTCCCGTAAATCTCCCCCACGCTCGCCACCGCCGTCATCTTAAATTTCACCCTGTTCGTCTGCGTCCTCGAGAACTCGTTCGCCGCGTTCGGCGGCGCGCTCCGCCGCAGCGTCGCCACCCGCAGCGCCGCGTCGAACGCGTACGCCGGCCGCGTCCTCCCCTCGTACGTCACCGTCGTCGTCGCGCCCGCCGCGCGCGCGCGCCACGCCATCGCCGCGATCGCGCTCGACGCCGCGTCGCGCGCGAGCGCGCGTCGCGTGCGCGCGCCCGTCGTCGTCGTCGTCGTCGTCGTCGTCGAATCGTTCGCCGCGCCGTCGTCGTTCGCGCGCGTCGTCCATCGCGTCGCGCGCGCGCCGCGCCCGCCGGCGCGCGTCGCGGTCGTCGTCCGTCCCGTCGCGGACGTCGTCGACGCCCGCGATGCGCGCGCGCGCATCGGAGCGCGTCGCGATGCGACGTCGATCGAGGTTTCGCGATCGTCGCCGCGCCGCACGCCTCGACGCGCCGACGCGCGCGCCGACGACGAAAGCGCTCGCTCGAGACGGCATGCGCGCGACCGCGACGGCGCCGCGCGTCGCGACGGCGCGCGCGCGACGCGATCGCGCGACGCGCGCGACGGGACGATGGACGCGCGCGCGCACCGCGACGGCGCCGCGCGCGCGCCTCGGCGCGCGCTCGAGCGCGAGCGCGGTGGAGACGCTGCGGTTCCTGACGCCCGAGGACGCGCGCGACGTGGCGGAGACGCACGGGACGCCGACGTACGTGTACGACCGCGCGACGCTGGACGCGCAGGCGGCGCGGGCGAGGGCGTTTCCGAACGCGTACGGATTGACGGTGCGGTACGCGATGAAGGCGAGCCCGAACGCGGCGATCCTGAAGACGTTTAAAAAGGCTGGCCTGCACGTCGACGCGTCGAGCGGATACGAGTGCGAGCGAGCGATGAAGGCGGGATTCGAGGGGGGGGAGATCTCGCTGTCGACGCAAGAGCTGCCGAGGTTTTTCGAGGATTTGGTGCGACGCGGGGTGAAGGTGAACGCGTGCTCGCTGGATCAGTTGGAACGATTCGGAAGGGCGTTCCCGGGAGGGGAGGTCGGCGTGCGGTTTAACCCGGGGCTGGGCAGCGGCGGGACGGGGAAGACGAACGTGGGGGGGCCGAGCTCGTCGTTCGGGATTTGGTTCGAGTCTCTGCCGCGAGTGAAGGAAATCGTGGAGCAGTACGACTTGAAGGTCGTGCGCGTGCACACGCACATCGGAAGCGGAAGCGATCCGGCGGTGTGGCAAAAGGTGAGCGGGATGTCCTTGGATTTGTGCCGAGAGTTTCCGAGCGTCGACACGCTCAACCTGGGCGGCGGCTACAAGGTCGGGCGGATGTCGTACGAAAAGTCCACCGATCTCGCCGTCGTCGGCGTGCCGGTGAAAGAAGCGTTCGAAGCGTTCGCGAAGGAGACCGGACGTAAGTTAAAGCTCGAAATCGAGCCCGGTACGTTTTTGTTGGCCAACTCGTGCGCCGTCGTCACCTCGGTGCAAGACAAGGTCGTCACCGGCACCGCCGAAGGGCACACGTTCTTGAAACTCGACATGGGTATGACCGAAGTCTTACGCCCGAGCTTGTACGGCTCTCAGCACCCGCTGGTGTCGGTGAGCAAGGCTGGCGAATTGCCCGCCGCGCAAGCCGATTACGTCGTCGTCGGGCACTGCTGCGAATCCGGAGATTTGCTCACCCCGGCCCCGGACGAGCCGGAGACCATCTCCGAGCGTCGCATGGGCGAAGTCAACATCGGCGATTACGTCGTCATCGAGGGGTCCGGCGCCTACTGCGCCGGCATGAGTTCCAAGAACTACAACTCCTTCCCCGAGGCTCCCGAAGTCATGCGACTCGCCGACGGCGCCGGTTTCGCCGTCATTCGTCGCAAGCAAACCCTCGAGCAAATCCTCGCCAACGAGGTCGATTTCACCGCGTGATCACTTCGTCGCGCTCGTTCACCGTCGCACGCCGTCGTTCGATTTTCTTATCTCATCGTTATCGTTATTCAATCTCTCGCGCGCTCGCTCGCGCTCGCCGCGCGAGCCCGCGCGTCACACCGAGACGCGCCGATCCGATCGATGTTCACGTTGACGTCGTCCGCGCGCGCCCCCGCGCCGGCGCGGCGTCACGCGCGAGTCATCGCGCGTCGCTCGCGCGTCGTCGTCGCTCGCGCGTCGCCCGCGGCGTCGTACGACGCCATCGATGACGTTTTATCCAAAGTTCGCGCGCTGCCGCCGAGCGAGCGCGCCGAGGCGCTGGAGCGCGCGACGACGGACGTGCGCGCGGCGCTGAAGACTTTGAAAGACTCGGGCGCGGTGAAAGTGTGGAACAGCGCGGGCGAGGCGCCGATGCAGCGACGAAACGTGTTTCCTAATGAACTGAAGCGGCTGCTGAAGTGCGCGCCGGAACAAATCGCGCGACCGAGCGACGCGAATGACTTTAATCTCATCGTCACGGTGACGCTGAGCACGAGCTTGTTGGCCACGGTGGTGGGGGCGACGCTTCCGGGGGATTGGGGGGCGTTCGGGGCGTATTTGATCGGGGGGATTTCGTTGGCGGTGCTCGCGGTGGGGTCGACGGCGCCCGGGTTGCTGCGCGTGGCGACGGATCGGTTGGCGAGGGTGAACCCGGAGTACCGACGAAGGATCGCGAGACACGAGGCTGGGCACTTTTTGGTAGGGTACGCGCTGGGCGTGCCCGTGGGGTCGTACGATCTCGGCATCGATCAGTCGCACGTGAATTTTATGGAGTCCAAGCTGGAGCGGAAAATTTTTCAAGGCGCGAAACTGAGCGAAAGCGAGATGCTCCCGCTCGCCGTGGTGAGCATGTCTGGCGTCGCGGCGGAAGCGATGGAGTTCGACGAAGTCATGGGTCAGAGCGCGGATCTGTACGATTTGCAGAGAATTCTCAACCGAGTCGACCCGAAGCTCTCCGACGCGTCGCAGCAAGAGCTCACGCGATGGGCCGTCTTCCAAGCCGCGAGCATTCTTAAGACGAATAAGAGCGCGTGGGACACGTTGACGGAAAAGATGCTCGATGGCGCGAGCGTCGTGGAGTGCTTGAAGACGATCGAAAGCACCGCGCCGTAAATTTATCTCTGATTCTTTTCAACCCGACCCGTACACTACACAGTTTTCGTTGTCTACAACATCCTATCTATCTCGCCATCGTCCTAATCGTGCCTTTTCACGTCCGTTACGCGCCGTCCGGGCCGTGCTCTGAAGCACGACCGCGATCGCGATGCCACTGAACGCGCCCTTCGCCATCGCCTCTGCGTTCTCGCGCAAGAGCGCGTTACTGCGTCGGCCCAGTCGGCCCACCACCGATCGTAGTCGTATCGCGAAAGCGCGCGCCCCCGAGCGCGCCGACGCTGGCTTTGCGCGCCGCTTCTTGCGCTTGCATTCGTCGCTCTGCGGCGAGAGCCTGTTTCGTTAGTAAACGTGATCCAATGATGAGTCGACCGATCGAGGGTGAGAAAATCGCCGAGAAAAACGTCGAGGAAAACATCAAGAAAAACGAGCGATGACGACGTAAACACTCACCATTTGTTCGCGGCGATCGTTCGAAACTTTGTCCACCTGCTCCACCAACGCCGCGGATTTCTTCTCCGCGACACCGCTCGAGGCGGGCGCCGCCGTTTTCTCCAAGAGTGCCGCCGCCGCTGATTGTTTCTTCTTGCGTTCCTTCTGCGCCTTCTTGCGCTCTTTCTCTTTTTCCTTCCGCGCCGCTTCGTATTCCGCTTCTTTAGCGGCCTTCTTCGCTTCGAGTTCTTCGGTCAACGCACTCGGCACCGCGGCGCGACCGATCCAGTCCCACGCGTCTGGCTTTTGCGCCATCGCGCGGCGGAACGCGTCGCGCGTCTCTCTGTCCTTACTCACTACGTACGGCAACTTTCCTTTATACGACTCCGTCGGATCGGCGTTCTCTTCGATGAGGAGATGAAGCACTCGCTCGGAATCTCCCGCTCTCGCCGCCGCGTGCAATTCCGGCTCAGGGATGATTTCGACTTCTGCCTCTGGCGGTGCCTCGATTGGCGGCGGCTTCGGTTTCGCCGCGATGACAAACTTTGTATCCGCCAATCCCGCGAGCGCGTCGGCGTCTTCGTCCAATCGTTCTTCTTCTTCAACGACGTTTAAGTTTACGGTGGCGAGGCGACCGATGACGCGTCTCGTCTCGTTGAACGTCGGCCGGCCAGTCATAAACGGCACGCGCCGCACGCGCGGATCCTTCCTATCGAGCATCGGGTTCTTATCGTTGAAAATCGTCCTCGCGTCTACTTTACTGACGCTCACAAAAATCAGACTCGCGCTCTGCCGCGGTCGACGAGTACAAACGCGCGTCAGTCGGTGAATTCAGTACGCGAATCGCGGTCGCTCGCCGAAAAAATCAATCCGTCAGCTCTCATAACGTAACCGCTCATAGACGACCTTCACGCGACGCAACGCGCGCGCGAACGATCGCGCGAGAGCGTGATAACTCCACCCGCATCCGTGCTCGAAAAGGCGGAGCGACGTCGTCGAGACAAATTTGACTTTGCCTCGTCTTCGCCGCCCACCGACTCTGGCGTGAACACAGATTTCGTCTACTCTCGCGCGCGTTCACGCGCGAGCGCACCGCAGCCACTCGGACGACGCGCGCGCCGTCCGTCTCGGGAGCAAGTTCTTCATCATCCGGATCGTCGTCGCGACGCTCGCGAAAACGCGCGTCGTCTCGCACCTCCAACTCAGTCTTCATCGAAGCGAACGCCTCTCGCATGTCCGCCTCCAGCGCCCGCTCGTTCGCCCGTCGCATCGAGCTCCCCGCGCTCTTTATATTCTTCACCCCGTCCTTGCTCACCTGCCTCCCTCCCGCTTTCGCTCGCACGACGTACCGACTCGCCGTCGCGCGTCTCTTCGCCGCGCTCGCCCGCGCGTCTCCCTCCTCCCCGATCTCCCTCGCGTCGAACGCGCTCGCCGCGAAGTGCCCCCCCCGCGCGAGCACCACCACCCACGGCCGCTCTTTCCTCGCCACCAGCGCTCGAAACGCGTCCTCGACGCTCGCGTCGTCGTCCCTCGCGTCGTCCTCCGCGAAGAGCGTCGCGCGCCACACCCCTCGCGCGACGCCGTCCGCGCCCACCACGCAGCACTGCGCCCCGTCGCCCGCGCCCGCGACGCTTCGATACCGCGCGCGTCGTTCGCTCGCGCCGCCGTTTTCGTCGCTCGCGTCGTCGCTCTCGCGCGTCGAATCGTCATCCGTCGCGTCGTCGTCGCTCGACGTCGCGTTTTCGCCATCGTTTTCGCGTCCGCGCGGCGTCGGGCGCGCGACGCGTCGCCGTCCGGGCGGTCCGGGCGGTGCGACGTCGTCGCGCGGACGCGCGCGCGGCTCGGGGACGTCGAACACGCGCATCGCGCGCGCGAACGCGGCGTCGACGGTCGACGCGCGGGACAATCGCGTCGCGAAAATCACACCGCGCGCGACGCCGACGCGAAAAAAAACGCACGAAAACGCCGACGCGTCGACGCGCGCGCGCGACGCGAAAGCGACGCGAACGCGCGCGTCACTCGCGCGACGCGAACCGAAAACGAAAGCGACGAAAGACGACGACGGCGCGACGCCTTCGTCGGCGCGACGCGAGACGCGATGGTGAAGACGCGCGTGACGTGTTACTTTCCAGTGGAAAACGCGCGCGAGGCGAAGCTCGGGGCGTTCGCGGTGTGGTACGTCGACGTGGACGTCGAGGCGACGGACACGAAGACGGACGTGCGAAAGGCGATCGCGCTGGCGACGGGGGCGAAGTTTTCGAGGCTGAAGATACGGCTCGGGATGTTTAACGAACTGTTGGCGTTCGAGGACGGGCGGTACGGCGCGGTTTTAAAGGTGGGGTCGTGCGGGGCGAGCGCGGCGACGCGCGATGAGAGGTTGTTGACGGCGCACGAATTGAATGATCTCGGCGCGGGAAGCGCGAGTGATTTACCGGACTGGGACCCGTCCAAGTACGATGGAAGATACGGCTGGGTGCAAGAGGTGAAAGAGCATTGGAAGTGAGCGTCGCAGTCTCTTCGCGTTCCGTTTCGAATCGAACGCGCTCGAGGAGGTTTTAATTTAAAACGAACGAACGAATATATGACGCGACGCGCGCGTGTTTGATGAAGTCTCTGTGTTGTATTTCTAGCGTTTCGTCCTAACCTTGAAGTGCCGCCTGCAGCGCGGCTTGTTTCTCCGCGCTCAAGATGCCCCACGCGGCGCTGAGCTTGTCTTGAGGAAGGCTCGATTGCATTTGCACGAGGAACGCCTTCATCTTTGCCGCGACTTCGGGCTCGACGAGACGGAGCTTCGCGCTCAAACCGGAGGTTGGTAAAACATCCGCGAGTACACTGACGACGCGGGGAAGGTGCTCGTAAGAGGCACCCATCAAGGCTTGCCCGTTGCTCTCGAGCAGGCGCATGAGTTGCGCGTGCACGTTTCTCGCCTCAACCCTGTCCTCCGTCAGCGGCAAGCTCGCCAACCACGAAGGCAAGATGACGCTAGCGTCCAAGGCGGCGTTCTGAAATTCACACATCTTCCCGAGCGCGGCGACCGCGTTCTCGAAGGCGTAGATGTTCTCATCGTCTCGAGCGCCCGGCGCTTGAATGACGCTCGCGAGCGCGCTGAGCGCGCTCGGCACGTGAGCGTTAAAGCTTTGGCCGCAGTGCTCGGACATCACGCCGACGCCGTAAACAGACGCCTGGCGCACATCCGCGTCGTTGTCCGTGCATCCAGCGATGCAAGGCGATACGAAACCGTCGAGATATTTGAGAGCGCCGCCACCGTCACTCGCGTGTTCAAAAATGTCATCGAACACGCAAATCGCAATACGTCGCTCGGCGGGGCTCCTGTTCTTGTCCAGCAGCGGCACGATGAACGCGAGCAATGGCTCAAGAGACGGAAGAATCGCGCTGTGGAAGCTTTTCAACAAAGACCCGACGCATTCGGCGAATTGATCAAACACTTCGTCCTCGGCTTCTTGTTCCTCCTCCAGCGCGTGCATTTCCTCTTCATCGAAATCGTCCGTGCCCGCGCGCTTGTTCCGCTCCGCACGTCGCTCCAGCGACTCCGTGAGCAATACCTTGAATGTTTCTAACATTGCCGATAAGTGATCGCGCACGAGGTCACCGGCTTCACCGGCGGACTCCGCGAGCGATTCGAGCATGCGAGCCTGCGTGGCGAAAAAGAAAAGAGGGCGCTAGGTCAGTACGACTGTATTTTCGAGACGGAAAAATGCAAAAAAAAGAGGAACAATCAGAAACATCAGGGACTGTTATCGGATTTATCACCAGAGCCTCAAGGCGTCTTGAAGGGGAATCCATAAGTCTCATCACTTGTTTCTTCTCGTCGACGTCGACTTTGAGTAACGCACCTGAATCTCGATATCCGGTTCCTTCGCCATCGCTTGAATAAGGGGGGGAATGATATGATTGACGAGTTGCTGGAACCAAGCTTTATCCTTTGCTCCCTTGCTCACAGCAAGCTTACCGGCGCGGAGAAGATCCGGTAACGACGCCACGGCGGCTCTACGCACGTCCTCATGGAAATAAAACTCGAGCGAGGGAATCATGGTTTGCAGAATTTGCTCCAAGTAGGGCAAAATACCGTCCTTGAGCTCGTCGACGTAGCAGCACAACATGTTGCACGCGGTGGCTTTTTCTTCCAAAGCCGCCGTGCGAATGGAAACTCGCTTGTCGCCGACTTCGACCTGTTCGTAATCGTCGTTTTCCTCTTCCTCCTCCTCGCCCCCGTCTTCATCGTCCTTGTTCGTGACGATGACGTCCGCCTTCAAATTGGCAGACTTCAACAGCGGCTGCATCACGACTTCAAGATACGGGACGAATTCCTCGCCAAGGCACTTGCACAAACGCGTCCAGGCTTGAAGCATGTATTGCACCGTTGGGTCGTCGTCTTCGAATCCGCCAGATTGGAGACGCATCAACATGTCCATGACTTCACGCGCATCTTGAGCGAAGCGGGCGCGTCCAACGGCCATACCGACGAGAGAAATGCACTCCACAGCCTTGGCGCGCAACATGCGGTACTCCTTTCCGTTGGCGTTCACCAAGATGGACTTCAAGTACGGAAGGACGGTGTCGTAGTACTTGATGAAGGATTCTTGCGCGTTGTCCGCGGTCGATGCGAGCGCCGTGAGCGCCGCTTCTTGCACAGACTTGTTGCCAGACTGCAGTAAGCTCAAAAGCTTGTTCATGAGCGTGTCCAAATACGGCGCCATGCACTCCGGAGGGCAGTCTTCGCTGAAGTTTACCGTCGCGGCGGCCGCGTGCGCCTGGCAACGCGGATTCTTCACGTCATCCATGGCGTTCAGGAGCAACGGTACGACGTTAGCGTGCGCCTGTTCTTGCAATCTCGGGCCAAGATCGGTGCACATTTGCCCCAACCCGTTGATGGCGGCCCAACGAACGCGAGGATGGGGATCGGTGGCGAGCGCGTGTAAGCACGGCTGAATGGCGCCGACAACGTCCTTCTTCATTCCCTTGGCGCAACCTTCGGCAATTTGCGAGAGTGCGATGAGAGCGGCGTGACGACGCTTCCAATCCGCGTCGCCAATCAGCGACGGCATCGTTGCGGCGCACGCGGGTAACATGGAGTTGGCGCCGAGCGCGATGGAGACGCGGTCCAGGCACTCTTGACCGACGTCGTACAAATCACCTTGACCGATACCCTCGTCCTCTTCGTTCTCCGTCGTGTGCCAATCTTCATCGTCTTCGATGTCGTTGACCAAGAAGGAGACGAGGCAGTTGTACAGGCGCTGGACGAAATTTGGAACCTTGCGCATCATACCCGGCGCACGATCTCTCGCCTCGGTGAGCGTCACCAAGAACTCAGTCGCCAACGTTCGCGTGCCATCCTCGAGGTCGTTATGTTCCGCGATGCTGAGCATCGCTTCCACGAGCTCGACGAGATGATTGCGCACGAATCTCGGATCGGCTTCAGCGAGCTCGATGAACAACGCGAGAGCCTCTTGCGCCGACGTCTCATCTTGACCTCTCAACGCCGAACCGATCGTGTTGAGCATCGCCGGCAACAAATCTTGGAACTTCATTCGATCGCTCGGATTTTCCAACGCATCGACGAACGCACACGTCGCTCGTAACGCCGCCAGTCGCACATTCGTATCCGCCGACGCCAAGCACGCGCTCAGCGTCGCGTGCAGCGTCGGAATTTGCGGCACCAACGCATCGCTCATGTAACTCGCGAGCATCGCAAAGATCATCAACGCGCTCTCCTTCAATCGGTCCGACCCTTCAGAAACCGCACCGAACATGAACGGCATCAACTCCGCCCACGGCTCTTCCCGTTCCATCGCCCCCGCCGCGACTTCGTAAATCAAATCGCACGTCTTTCGCGTCACCCTCGCCTCCGCCTCTTCCCTCAGCGCCATCAACAGTTCACTCTTAAACATCTGTTTCACCGATTCGCTCAATTTCGTGTACAATTCGCCGTCATCGCTCGTGAACGCCCGTCTCGCCAGCACCGCGCTCAGCTCTCGCAGTCGACTCTCCGTCCCTCCTCGCAGTGTTCGCACCAACTGCGACGCCAGGTGATCGGGCTGCGCCTTGCACCGTTCGAACACCTCTTCGCACATCGTTCGGTGCGCGTTATCGGCGCTCTGCAGCCCTTGGAGCAGGGAGACGAAGCCATCGAGCGATTGGTGATCCAGGACCGCCGCCAGGTCGGCGCTCATCGTTCGCGGTTTTCGTCGTCGCGCGCGCGGTTTTCGTCGTCTCGCGCGCGGCGCGCGTCGGTCGCGCGCGTCGGCGCGTCGGCGCGGCGCGAGAGCGGCGCGCGTGGGCGACTGCGGCGCGCGCGCGGCGTGCGCGGACTCGACGTGGTTTAAAATCTCTACACTATGGGTCTTCGATAGCGCTCGGGAGCGCGCGGACGCGACGCGCGCTCACGCGATGGCGCGCGCGGACGCGAGGTCGAGCGCGCCGAAGATGAACTCGCGATCCCTGTGACGGGCGAAGAGCGCGGCGGCGGGATCGGGGGCGCGCGCGGTGAGGGCGGCGGCGAATTCGCCGGAGGAGAGGGCGCCGAGGAGGAAGACGACGACGACGTCGCGATCGGATGGTTTGGGGGCGGCGGTGACCTTGTTGATGAGGTTGCCGAGACGACCCATGGCGCCGGTGACGATGGATGCGGTGGCGGTGGCGGCGGCGTGCTTGAGTAAGCCGCCGAGGGAGGCGGCGACGTGGACGAAATCGGCGCACGCGCCGCCGTCGTCGGCGGACGTCTTGACGCGGGAGATGATGTCGAGCAGGATGGAGTTGGGTAGACCGTTGGCGTAGAGTGAGTTAGACTCTGGGATGTTGTGCTTGAGCGATGCGCGGCCGCGATGCGCGGCGAGGGCGAAGTTGTGAAGCGCGCGCTCGACGGCGTCTCGCGCCTCGAGCGCGGCGGCGGCGAGTTCGGGATCGTCGATCGCCGTCATCGCGTTCGTCGTCGTGGATTTACTCGGCGCCGTCGGAGAGTTGCCCCATTCATCGTCGCCCCAGTCGTCGTCGTCGTCGTCGTCCCAACCGTCGTCATCTTTCGAGGGCGTCGGCGTCGCGTCGGCGGCCGCGGCCGCGGTCGCGTTCTGAAGCGCTTCGAGCGCTTCGAGCGCACTGGCGTTGAAACTTGGAACTTGCTTCTTCACATCGGCGAGATCGCTCGCCAGTAGTGCGCCCAAAAGTGCGTCGCGCACGGACGCCTCGTCTTGCGCCGTGAACGGCGACGCGGCGTTCGTCGGCGCCTGCGCTTGAACGTTCGCCTCCGTCGCGAGTACATACGCCGCTAAGACGAGCGCCAGCGCCTCGCTCGGGTGACCTACGGCGGTACCTCCCGCAGAATACATCACTTTCAGTATCTCTACCACCGTCGCGCACACGCCCGTGGCTTGGCGCTCGAGCGCAGCGGCGGTGAGTCGTTGCAAAGCGATGATTTGCCTATTCGCCTTCATGTCGTTCTCATCCGTCAAACTCCGCGCGGTGAGCTTTGCGCGCTGAATCAACGCGCGATGACGCAAAGCAACGCTAGGATCAACCTCCAGCGCTCGCACTAAGCTAAGAATATCGTCAGCACCGACGACGCGCGCGCTCTTTCCATCCGCCGCCGGCGCGGCGACGGATTCCACGCGAGCCGCCTCGCGCAGCAACTTCCGCACGTGCACAGCGCCATCACGCGCAGTCTTCGCGCACAGAGCTTCATCTAACGTGAGAACATTTTCATCGCTCAAGAGCGGGGACAACGTCGCCGTGACGCGGTCGACGTAGGTCGATGAAGACGCCGCGTCTTCGTCGTCCGTCGTCTCCAACACGCGCTCGAGCCAACCGTCTCGACTCACGCTCGGCGTCATCAAGTCCACCTCGCGATCGACGACGATGATCGCCGCCGTTCGTGGTTTCACCGTCGTGTCCACGCCCACGGGATCGGTCTTCGCTTGCGCTGCGACGCGCGACACGGCTTCGGCGTTCGGACCGAGGGCGAAATAATCCGGCGCCAACGCCCAGTGCGCGGCGATTTCAGCCAAGTGATGCCCGATGACGCGATTCTCTTTCGACTCCCCCGTCAACGCAGCCGCGGCATCGTTCACCAACCCCATCGTTCGCGTTCGCGGAAGCGTGAACGCACCGTCGCCGAGCGCGCGATACATCATAGGAGGGAAAAACTTGACCGAAAACCGACCCGCGACGGCGTCCGCGGCGGCGGTGCGATTTCGCCCTTGTTTCGACGTCGGCGTCGGCGCATCGTTCCACCCATCGCCCGTCCCCTCCCTCGAGTCCTCCACCGGCGCCTCGTCTCTCGCCTCGTCCTCGTCGCCCCAACTCCCCCAGTCCTCTTCGTCGTCTTCGTCTCCTTCTTCGTTCCGTCCCACCCCCGAACGATTCCCCGTCGGCGTCTCCCCGAATTCCGCCGCCGCGTCGCTCAAAATCCTTTCACACGCCTCCGTCAGCGCCTCCACGCACGCCCCGTGCGCCTCATCGCCCTCGTCGCATCCGACGAACACCGTCGCGCGCGTCGCGCGTCGCCGCGCCCGCACGCACCGCCGCACGTTCGCCGCCGCCTCCCCCAGCCGTCCCGCGACGCAGATCACCAGCGGCGCCTCCGCCGGCACCCGCTCCCCCCTGACGTCCCAGACCTCTTCCTCGTCGCCCATCGCGTCGTCCATCGTCGCGTACGCCTCGAGCGCCCGCGTCGCGCGCGCGCGTCCCGTCCCGCTCGTCCCGCCCCAGCCCGCGTGCGCGCGCGCCTGCGCCGCCGCCTCCGCGTCCAGCGCGACGACCGCGTCGCGCGCGAACGGCGCCATCGCGTCGTCGTACCATCGCCGCGCGGCGTCGCGCATCGTCGTCGCGCGCGCGTCCGCGCCCATCGTTCGTTCGTTCGTTCGTCGGTTCGTCGGTTCGTCGGTTCGTCGGTTCGTCGGTTCGTCGCGCGCCGTCGCGCGACGGTCGCCGCGCGACGGTCCCGCGCGCGTCGCGGTCTCGCGCGCGCGCCGCCCGTCGCGCGCGCGCGCGCCGTCCCGGCCGACCCGTCGCGGTCGCGCGTTCGCATGCACCGCTGTTTTTCGTCCCCGCACTGTTTCCCCACGCGACCGTCACGCTCTCCGTGTGTCCGAACACTCCCCGCCCACGCGCGCCGTCGTATTCGCGCTCGACGTGACGCCATCGAGCGTGACGTCTCGCGCGCGATATAAACTCCCCACACGACCGTCACGCTCTCCGTGTGTCCGAACACTCCCCGCACACGCGCGCCGTCGTATTCGCGCTCGTCGCGACGCCATCGAGCGTGACGTCTCGCGCGCGACATAAACCCATCGCGACGTCCCGCGCGACGCCGGTCGACGCCCTCGTATTCGCGCTCGACGTAACGCCATCGAGCGTGACGTCTCGCGCGCGACATAAACCCATCGCGACGTCCCGCGCGACGCCGGTCGACGCCCTCGTATTCGCGCGCGCCGTAACGCCATCACGAAACGCGAGACCCGGGCTAAAAAGCGGCGTCGCGCGCGCGTTATCCGAACGCGGCGGCGGCGACGTCATCCATCCATCCATCGAACGCGCGCACAGCGCGACGCGCCCGCGTCCGACGCGGCGCACGGCGGTACATGCGCGCCGCGCTCGCGACGACCGCCCGCTCGCAGCTCGCGCGCGCCGGCGCGCGACGCGCGACGATCGCGCGACCGTCGAGAGACCGCGGCGCGACGGTCGCGAGGGCGAACGACCAACGACGCGCGACGCGCGCGCGGTCGAGCTCGAGCGCGAGCGACGCGACGACGACGACGACGACGACGGTCGGGATGACGATCGAGCGCGCGAGCGAGGCGAGGTACGATTTCGGGGCGAGGCGGTTGGAGGAGGTGACGACGCCGACGCCGAGCGACATCGAAATCGCGAGCGCGGCGAAGGCGCTGCCGATCAGGGAGATCGCGGAGAAGATGTGCGGATTGACGGAGGATGATTACGAGATGTACGGACGGTATAAGGCGAAACTGTCGGAAAAGCTGAGCTCGACGCTGGGAGGGCGCGAGGGCGAGGGCGACGGGCCGACGTGCGACGCGACGGCGGGGCACGGGTATTACGTCGTGACGGCGGGGATCACGCCGACGCCGTTGGGAGAGGGGAAGTCCACGACGACGATCGGGTTGGTGCAGGCGATGCAGGCGCACACGAACGCGCGGGCGGTGGCGTGCATTCGACAACCGTCCATGGGACCGACGTTCGGCATCAAGGGGGGGGCCGCGGGCGGGGGGTACTCGCAGGTGATTCCTATGGAGGAGATGAACTTGCACTTGACCGGGGACATTCACGCCATCGGCGTCGCGAATAACTTGCTCGCCGCGGCGGTGGACGCGCGCGTGTTCCACGAATCCACGCAAAGCGATGAGGCGCTGTGGAAGCGCTTGATGCCGCAAGCCAAGGATGGTTCTCGCAAGTTCTCAGCCATCATGTTCAAGCGCTTGAAGAAGCTTGGAATCGACAAAACCAATCCCGATGACTTGACGGAAGAAGAGCGAAACAAATTCGTGCGTTTGGACATCGACCCCGAGCGCATCACGTGGAGACGCGTCGTCGACATGAACGACCGCTTTTTGCGCGAAATCACCGTCGGCGAATCGCCGACGGAGAAGGGCAAGACTCGCAAGACTGGTTTCGACATCACCGTCGCCTCGGAAATCATGGCGGTTTTGGCGATGACGACTTCGCTCGCGGACATGGAAAACCGTCTCGGAAACATGGTCGTCGGCCCCGCGCGCGACGGCACCCCGGTGACGTGCGACGATTTGGGCGTCACCGGCGCGTTGATGGCTCTCATGCGCGACGCCATCAAGCCGACGTTGATGCAGACTCTCGAAGCGACGCCCGTGCTCGTGCACGCCGGCCCATTCGCTAACATCGCGAGCGGTAACTCGTCCATCATTGCCGATCAAATCGGTCTCTCCATGGTCGGTAAGGGTGGCTTCGTCGTCACCGAAGCCGGCTTCGGCGCCGACATCGGCCTCGAAAAGTTTGTCAACTTGAAGTGCCGCAAGTCTGGTCTGAAGCCGAACTGCGCCGTCATCGTCGCCACCGTGCGCGCGTTGAAGTGCCACGGCGGTGGTCCGCCCGTGACCGCGGGTAAGCCCCTCGATCACTCGTACACGACTGAAAACGTCGACATGGTGCGCGAGGGCATGTGCAACTTGGTCCGCCACATCGAAAACACCAAGTCTTTCGGTATCCCGGTCGTCGTCGCCATCAACGCGTTCCCGACCGACACCGAAGCGGAACACGCGGTGATTCGTGAAATCTCTCTCGCCGCGGGCGCGGAAGACGCCGTTCTCTGCACCCATCACGCGCACGGGGGCAAGGGCGCCGTCGCGCTCGCCAACGCCGTCAAGGCGGCGTGCGAGGCGAACGAAGACTGCAAGGACTTCAAGTTTGGATACGAATCTTCTCTCGACATCAAGAGTAAGATTGAAACCGTGGCGAAGAACATCTACAAGGCTGACGGTGTTGAGTTCTCTGAACGAGCCGAAGAAAAGATCAAGCTCTTCACCGAGCAAGGCTTCGGCGATTTGCCGATTTGCATGGCCAAGACGCAGTACTCCTTCTCTCACGACCAATCGTTGAAGGGTGCGCCGAGCGGGTTCACGTTGCCCATCGGCGACGTCCGCTTGAGCGCGGGTGCTGGTTTCCTCGTCCCGCTCGTCGGCGCGTTCCCGACGATTCCGGGCTTGCCCACGCGACCGGCGTACTACGAAATCTCTGTGGACACCGAGAACGACCAAATTCTCGGCTTGAGTTAGACGGCGATGTGTGCGATAAAATAACATTAATTTCTTGATTCATATTCCGAATTTGCAAACTACTTCGTGCGATAACTTGATGATTACTTTTTAGCCTTTTTCGCGGCGCCTCCCTTCGCGGCGCCGGCTTTCGTCTTGGCGCCAACCGCCGGCTTCGGTTCTTGGTCCGGGCCGGGAGTGAATGCGGGCAAATCCTTGGCGTCTTCCTTATCGACCAGGAAAAGCGTGTAGCCGTTCCCACACGCGACGCGACGCGTCGTCTTACCCTCCAAAGAAGGCACCAAATCGGGATTGGCGCTGGATTTCTTTCCCTTGGGCCCGTACCCGAGTTCGCCGTACGCGCCTCCGCCCCACGTCACGGCCGACTTTTCAGCGCACCCCGCGAAGGTGACGCTACCGCACGCGAAGTCGCGCAATACCCAACCTTGCAGATCCATGAGCGGAACCGGGTACATGGTGTTATCACCAGTCGTTTTCAGTTTACCGAAGGCGTACATTTGTCCCTGTAACGCGGAGACAAACGTCGAAGTCGACCCGGCGCCGAGGACGGCGTCCGCGGGAACGAGGTTGCGGTCGCCGCCTTGAATCTCAACCATTTTCGGCGCGAATTCATCTTTCTGCACGCGATGACCGAGACGGCCGTAACCACCGTTCCCCCAAGTCCAAATTTTGCCGGCATCGTCGAAGCACGCGACGTGATTCGTCCCGCACGCGAGTTTAACGATTTTACGTTCGCCGAAGCCGTTGGCGACGACGCGCTTCGGGTGCGGTTGCGGTTCGTACACAATCTTAATAGAACTCGCACTGGTGTTATATTCGTGATCAGTCCCATGTCCAAGCTGGCCGTATTGCGGCAAACCGTACGTGAACACCTCCCCATCGCGCGTCACCACCGCGGTAAACTCCGCCCCGCACGACGCGCTCTTCCCGTTCGTCACGAGCGCCTTCACCGGCGTCAACTTATCATCCTCCGCGTCCCCCTTCTTCATCTGTTTCTTCATCGTCCCGCATCCCAACTGTCCAAACTTATTCGATCCAAAGCCGTACACGTCCCCGTTTTCGCACACCACCACCGTGTGTCCCTTCCCGCACGCCGCGCTCGCGCACCGCGTCTCCCCCAGCGCCTCCACTCGCGTCGGCGTCCCTCGGCTCACGTAATCCCCGTGTCCGAGCTGTCCCCGCTCGTTCCGTCCCCACGTGTACAATCGTCCCTCGTCATCGATCGCCGCGCAGTGCGTCGCCGCCGCGCCGCCGGCGACGCGCGTCCACGTTTTATCCGCGAGCGTCGCGTAGCGATGCGGTTCGACGAGGTCGGCGTGCGCGCCGGATTCGTTCGTCTTCTGTCGTCCGACGCTCGCGAAATCGGTCGCGCCGCAGTAGAGCAGTTCGCACGCGAGCGTCGCGTCGGCGCGGTCGGGCGCGTCCATCGCGCGCGTCGTCGTGCGGCGCGCGATCGCGCGTCGCCGCGCGCGCTTCGATTTGAATCCGCGCACCGACGGGGCCGTATTCATCTATGTATACGTATCGTCTTTATATGAACTCTGAGATAATATAATAACTACAATGACGGTATATAAACACTATTGGCGGCAACAGTGACGCGCCGACGACGTGTCTCACTGTTTGCGCACACGACGACCGACCGCGCGGAAAAAGCGTCGGATGCCCTGTCACGTTGACCCCGATCGCGCGCGCGGCGAGCGCACACGCGCGCGCGCTCGATCGCGCGATCGCGCCGACCGCCGCGCCGCGACGCGTCACATCGCGATCGGCGCGCGATGAGCGAAAAGGAGGATCTGAGCGCGCTCAAGCGCGAAGATCTCGTGTACAAGGCGAAGCTCGCGGAGCAGGCGGAGCGGTGCGAGGCGACGCGAGGCGACGCGACGGACGCGCGGACGCGCGCGCGACGCGCGGACGCGCGCGGACGCGACGCGATGGGACGCGGCGCGGGACTCGGGACGGGCGATCGGGGGCAGCGAACGCGATGGGCGCGCGAGGACGGGATCGGGAGACGCGCGATCGGGACGAAGGGGACGAGGCGGCGATCCGGCGCGACGACGGGCGAGGGACGACGGCGGGGCGAGACGTGGGGCGCGCGTCGACGCGCGCGCGACGAGGGACGCGCGCGGTGGGTCGAGGCGCGAGGGGTCGGACGCGAGGACGACGACGACGACGACGACGACGCGCGCGCGGGGAGCGAGAGGACTGACTTTTTCCGTTTCGAAACGAAATAGGTATGAAGAGATGATGGATTACATGAGCGAGGTGACGCTCAAGTCGAGCGAAGAAGAGTTGAGCGTCGAAGAGCGAAACTTGCTGAGCGTCGCGTTTAAGAATGTCATCGGCGCGCGACGCGCGTCGTGGCGCATCGTGAGTTCGATCGAAACTAAGGAGGAAGCGAAGCACTCGAAGGAGAGCGATAAGTGCAAGTTGATCGCCGCATACAAGGCGAACGTTGAGAAGGAACTCACGGACATCTGCACGCGGATTTTGGATTTACTCAAGAACCATCTGGAGGATCGATGCTCCGCGGGCGAATCGAAGGTTTTTTACAAAAAGATGAAGGGCGATTACTGGCGTTATCTCGCCGAGTTCAAGGGTGGATCGGAACGCAAGGAGGCTGCGGAGGAGACGCTCTTGGCGTACAAGAGTGCCGAGCAAACCGCCGAAGCCGAACTCGCGTCGACGCACCCGATACGGCTCGGCTTGGCGCTCAACTTTTCCGTCTTCTACTATGAAATCTTGAACGCCCCGGAGCGCGCGTGCCAAATGGCGAAGAAGGCGTTCGACGAGGCCATCAGCGAGCTCGATACTCTCGGTGAAGAGTCGTACAAAGATAGCACGCTCATCATGCAGTTGTTGCGAGATAACCTCACTTTATGGACGTCGGACATGGACGAATCCGCGCAAACGGGGCAAGACGTCGATGAGGAAGACTAGGTCCCACGGCGAGTTCCCACGACGCTTCGTTCGTAGTAACTCCGCTCAACTTTTCACACTTCTTTATACGAATGGACGAACGTTGCAATTAAAGTGAAAATGCTACAATATGAACCAACGCGAACGTATCTAGTGCTTAATCCCAAGCGGCGAAGTTCCTGCGCCCGCGACCTTGGGCTTGCGCAGCGGCGCCTCCGTGTAGAGCAAACCGAACCCCACGCTCGCGATTAAAGCGAGCGTTTTAACCACCGAGAAATCTTTAGGCCAGACGATGATGGTGAATGTGATCGTGGCCATCTTATTCAGCACCCCCACGAGCGTGAAGGTCGTCGCCGTGATGACGCTTCTGCACTTCCACCCGCTGTACGAAATCGCCACGCCGACGACGCAACTCAAAATCAAATAAAACATCGCCCCTTCGCCATCCTCCATCTCGAGCTCGTTTTCCCCGGTGGCGTAATAAAGAACTATAGTCGGCGGGATAGCCATGGCGTTCGTGTAAAACACTCGCTCCCACTGCGTCATCGCGATGTTCTCCGTCAGGTGTTTTCCGTACGTCATCTGCACCGCGAGCAACAGCCACCACACGAGCAACCAAAACATCCCCGCCCCGCCTTGAATGTCCACCCCGGTATCGTTCGCGATGTAAATCCCGGCCGAAACCACGACTCCCATGAGCGACATCACGCTTCGAGCGTTCGGGAACGCTCGATTCATGAAAAACCACTCGATCGAGCACACGATGAGCGGCAGGCAGCACCTCGCCGAAATCACCGCCCCGACGTTTGTCAGCATCAGCGCCTTCATGTTCGAAAACAACCCCATGGCGAACATCGTCGTGTACAGCACGAACGGCACGATCCGCTTCTTCTCAAACGGTCCCAACACTCCCGCGCCCGCGAATTCCATCACGACGACCACCGCCGCCGACACCGCGAGCTGCGCGCCCGCCACCACCGTCGGCAGCCCGTTCGCGCCCACCGCGAGCTTATTGATCACCAGCATCGTCGACGAGCACAGGGAGTAGATGATGATCCACAGCAACTTATCGCGCGCGCTCGCCGCGTCGCTCGCGCGCTTCGCGTCGTCGCCGGACATTTTCGCGTTCGTCGCACCGATCGTCGCCGCGTTGGATAACCTTTTCGCGCGTCGACGCGCGTCGTCGCGCGCGCCGCGCGTCGCGACCGCGCGCGCGTCGCGCGTCTCGCGGTCTTCGCGCGCGCGTCGAGCGGGCGCCGGCGCGACGGTGTGGCGCGCGGCGCGCCGTCGCTCGGCGCGTCGGTCGACCTCCCGGAGGCGACGTCCGCGCGTCACACCGTCGCGCGCGCGGCGCCATGGCGCCCGCGCGCGCGCTGCTGATCAACAACTACGATTCGTACGCCGAAATCCTGGCGCACGTGATCGCGCGGTGCGAGGGCGCGATGCCGTGGGTGATTAAGAACGACGAGGTGCACTTTTCGGAGCTTCGAGCGGCGCTGCGAACGACGGTGACGCGCGTCGTGATCGGGCCGGGGCCCGGGACGCCGGGTCGGGCGAGCGATTTGGGCGTCGGCGACGCGCTCGTGCGGTCGAACGCGGCGGAAGCGCGCGAGATGCCGATCTTCGGGGTGTGTTTGGGGCACCAGGCGCTCGCGGCGCTCGCGGCCGGCGGCGTCGCGGAACGGAATCCGCGCGGAGCGGTGCACGGACGCGTGTGCGGGGTGCGACACGACGGTGAGAGCGCGCTGTTTGATGGCGTGCCGTCGGGAGGGGACGCCGGGTTCGTGGCGACGCGGTATCACTCGTTGGCGGTGACGGCGTGCGGAGAGGAGTATCGAGCGCGCGCGTGGGCGGAGGACGACGGGACGATTATGGCGATCGATCATCGCGAGTTGCCGCGATTCGGCGTGCAGTTTCACCCGGAAAGCGTGAGCACGACGTACGGGGATAAGATCTATGCGAATTTTATGGCGATCAGCGACCGGTGGTGGAAGACGCGAGGGCGGGCGCCGCCGAGCGGCGAAGCGATTCCTCGCTCGCTGGGCGCGGCGGACGAGCCGACGACGCGCGCGTCGATCCCGATGACAGCGCGATCGCGCGTGCGATTAGAGTTTAATAGTTTGGATGTCGCGTCGTCGAGCGCGTTCACGACGGAGGGCATATTTTGGAGTTTGTTTGGCGGCGTCGAAGGCGACGCGGGCGACGTGGCGCGCGACTGCTTTTGGCTCGATTCCGCGGACGAGTCCAAGGGGCGGTTTAGCTTTATGGGCGCGCGTGGGGGGTCGATGTGGCGACGCGTGCGATATAATCTCGCGTCCGCGCCCGAGCGCGACGCGGACACGGTCGAAGATAACGGAAAGGTGTGTTGGCGCGTGGGCGGCGCGTCGACGCGTCGACGCGCCGCGGGGTCGATTGAGATTTTTGACGGCGAAGCCTCAACAACGACGACGCTCGAGCGTGGATTCGTGTCTTGGCTCGACGACGAGCTTCAGAGAAGAACGCTCAACGAATCGGACGCCGCGGCGTTGCCGTTCGATTTCCAAGGTGGTTTTGTGGGGTATTTAGGCTATGAATTGCGCGACGAGTGCGATTCGCTTCCGCCGAAGTACGATTCGCCGCTCCCGGACGCGGCGTTCTTCTTGGCCGATCGCTTCGTCGCGTTCGATCACGTCGAGCGCCAGGCGTACATCGTGGGTGTTTACGAAGAAGACGACGCTCGCGGACGCGATGCGACGCAATCGTGGGTCGCGGCGACGACTCGCGAGGTCTCGCGCCTGGCGACGGAGACCGTCGAGGCTTCGGATTCGCCGCCGACGACCTCGCCGCCGATGTCATCGACCGAGTTACTCGAGAAGACCGGTTTCAAGTGGCGCCGCGATCGCGATGAGTACATATCGGACATCAAAGCAAGTCAAGACGCCATCGAGGCGGGGGAAACGTACGAAGTGTGTTTGACGAACATGTTGCGCCGAACTGGTTCGCGCGCGGAGCCGCGCCGGCTCTATTCTGAGCTTCGCCGTAGTAACGCCGCGCCTTATGCCGCGCTTCTGAGCATTGGCGGCGACGAACACCCGTTGGTGATTTCATGTTGCTCCCCCGAACGGTTTTTACGCCACACCACCGAGGGTGCGCTCGAGGCGAAGCCGATTAAAGGCACGTGCAAGCGTCTCGAACCGCTCGGCGGCGCCGCAGACCGCGCCGCCGCGCTCGCCCTCGAGCGCAACGTCAAGGACCGTGCAGAAAATTTGATGATCGTTGACTTGTTGCGAAACGATCTCGCGCGCGTGTGCGACGTGGGCACTGTCGAGGTCCCAGGATTGATGCAAATTGAATCCTACGCCACAGTGCACCAACTCGTCAGCACGGTTCGAGGTCGCCGACGCGACGACGTCACCCCGATGCATGTCGTCCGCGCCACCTATCCGGGCGGTAGTATGACAGGTGCGCCAAAAATACGTACTATGGAAATCATCGACGCCTTGGAAACCGGTCCGCGGATGGTTTACAGCGGTTCGATCGGATTCTTTTCGCTTTCGCGCGCCTTCGATCTGAACATCGTCATCCGAAGCGTGCTCTCGCGCGGCGACGAGCAGTGGATCGGCGCGGGAGGCGCGATCACCATTCTCAGTGATCCAGTGTCGGAGTGGGAGGAAATAGAGCTCAAGGCGAGCGCCATCTTGCGCGCGGTCGCGCGTGTAGACCCATAGATTCCATAGACTTAGATAATGTGAGCGTCGTTTCGCGAGAACGAAACGAAAACGCCGCCGGCGTTGTCACACCTCGACGCTCGACCGATCGTTTCGTCCAAAACCATGCCCCAAAACGACGCAAATGATGACGATGACGCCCCTGACCGGTGGTTTCTCGATCCTTTCACTTCGCGCGACGTCGCCGGTGTTGCGTCCTCGGCGCGCGCGGAGCGCGCCGCCGTCCTCGAGGCCGCGTCGAAAGAAACCGCGCTCGCGCTCGCGCGAGACGCGATCGTGCGCGCCGTGCTCGATGGCACGATCGCGACTCTTTACAACGCGTTCATCATCGCGATGGAGGCACTACAGCAACGCGAGAGAATGGCGGTGTTGTCGGGTTTGGTCAAAGCGGCGGACGACGCGTTTGACCGAGCCGAGATCGACGACGTCACGAAAGAGTTGTTTCTCGACACACAGATCGAGGACGAGATGAAAGAGATGTTCGACATTGCGAGACGAATTCAATTTTTTGATGAAACGGGAAAGTTGGAAGGCGCTCTGGAGTTGGTGAAGGATTTCGAAAAGTACGCGCGGAGCGAGGATTCGAAAGTCGTCGCAGTCGCGGTGTGGTGCGGGGCGTGGAGCGCGATTCAAAATGAACTTTTTAGACGTAGCGAGTGGATACGAGTGCTCGAGAAACTGTTTTGGACGATCCACACGCTCTGTTTGAGTCATCGCTTCAGCAAAATCCGCGCGTGTGCGGCGATTCAGTGCGGGGAGTTGGCCACCGCCGCGATGTTGAAGTTGTGCGATTTGCGCGTGCACGAGGCATATGCTCGTGATATGTTACGCTTGAGCTTAGATGAAAAGTGCACAGTACGACACGCCGTGTCCTGTAGCGTCTCCATGTGCTTCGTTAGACGCATATATTCTGGGCTTTTCACCGTAAGAGAAGCGGATGCAGCTTTGCTGTGCGCGATGTTTGTGAGTGCCGTCGGGAAAAGAAATCCTTTTGCGCACATCGATTACGTGAACAAAGCGCACTTGACAAAAACTATGAATGAAGGGTTTGCATCAGTGACGCACTATACCTTAGAACGAATGATTCAGTGCATGTTAAACGATCAGCTGTGGCGCACGGATGACAAAGACATCCTTGGACGGCGTCTCCGCGCGTGCGCGCTCATCGTCGAACACGTCGGCGATCGCGTTGCCCCGTTCGTCGATTCAATCATCAAGATGTTGCTAGATACTTTGACCAAGAGTCTTGTTTGGCGCGATGCGGAATATTTGATGGAAATATTGATGATTCACGCGCCCTCGACGCGTAGGACGTGGGTTGAACCGACGATGCTGCACGTAAACTCCGAGTTTACTTTGCACATGGTTGCTTTGTGTGTATGCGAAAAATTTCTCTCTAGAAGAAAGCAGCATGGCGTCACACATGCACTCAACTTGGATGATGTTGCGTTCATTTCAGAAAGTCTGGAGAAGACTATGTTTCGATTGGATTCATGTGACAAGCTAGATGATTCAAGTGGCGTCCTAAATTGCGTCGAAAGTATCCTTGCGTCATGTTTAGAGATTCTTCGTCAGCAGAATAAGGCTAGCATGGCGACGCGAAAGTTCAAGAAACTTGAAGCATGTGTGAAAATTCAGACTATGTACTTTTGTGTGTGCGGAATGTCTTCCATCGACGTAACTGGCGAGATGTTGATGGCATGCACTCCAAAGGATGAAGTTGAGGCATCGGAGATATTTCGTCTCATCGTCGACCGTAACGTACCACTACGTTCGTTCCGGGCAAATACACTCACGGCGCTTTTTTGCCTTCTTCGCGGTACGCAACTGGTTGCTGAAATATCGGAATGTCTCGCCCAACAAATCGACCCAGCGACGTGTGATGCATCATTGGATTCACTTCTTACAGTCAAAGACTTCATGGTACCATTCATCTTGTACTTGCGATCACGCGGCGATGAGACACTGAATAAGGCGGATTTTGTCACAAATATCGCTCCAGTTCTGGACGCTTTGCTCGATTGGATGCGATGGAGACCGGGTGAAATGACGGCGCAGCTTGCCGATATAGCCGCCACGTGTTTCGCCGTTCAAAATTCATTGAGTGAGCCAATTTCGTATAATGATGAAATTGGCGAGTTTGTGGAATCCCTGACAGATGAGCAATCCGAAGAAAGTGCGTTGCAAACATTCTTGACGCGCTGGTTATCACTAGAAAATCGTTCAAAGCGAGTGATAGACGTGATATGTTCGATGTCATTCGAAAAAACGTCGTCTGTCTTTTGCCGGCAAAAGAGAGACGCCATGTTGCATTTGCAAAAATGTGCATGTTTGGCAGACAGACAAAACGCAGTAAAATTTCTCGAGCGCGTCGCATCCAGATATTTAGAGCAAGTCTCGACTTCCTCAAGTACTCAGGTTCGTGTTCGTTCGTTGTTAGCCTTGGGGAAAACCATTGCACAGTTGATACGCGATTTTAACGACCATCAGACGGCTAAGAAGTTTGTGGGAGACATCTTCGTGTTCGCCGATGACGCCGACAAAGCCGTTCGAGTGGGAGCATGCAGAGTGTTAGGTGCTTTGCAACATTGTCACTCACAAGTCGCCACAATCGTGCGCGGACTCTTAGACTCGGCGGATACTAAATTTTTCATACACAAGGACGCCCTGCAGTGTCTTGAACATCCCGAGGCGCTTGAGAAGGAATTCGGGAACGACGCGCGATAGGCTACACAGCGCTAGTATTACATAATCGCTACGAACTACGGATTTCTAATGTGACTGAACAAAAAGTCGAAGACCGCATGCCCAAAACTGGCCTCGTCCCACTCCAAAGCTTTGGAGTGGGCGTTTTCGGCGACGACGCGCGTGCGCGCGTCGAGAAGAATTTCTTCGATTTTATCAGCGAACTCGCGCGTCGGAGCTTCCACGTCCACACCAATGGTCTGTAATAACTCACTCGCTCCGACCGCGCCCGCGTGATGTACGACGGAGGGCGCACCAAACGCTGCGCTTTCGACGATTGTCATCCCGAAGGCGTCGTGTGTCGGCGGGTGAATGTTCAAAATCGTCTCGCTAAACAATTCGCCCAACTCTTCCGGCGAAAGAAAGTGCTCAATCACTCGACCACTGGGCGCACACTTTTGAAAGCGAGCCTTCAGATCTTGTGCGTACGCGCTCGTTTGACACAAGCTCGCGTTGGCGCAAAACACGGGCGAGAGAGCTTTGGAATCAAAAACGCCTCGCCTCGCGAGTTCCTCGCACAGCTCGACGAACCTGTGCGGCTCTTTCTCTTCGCTCACGCGCACGACGCACGTCAAGTACTTCCGTCTTCGAGTCTCTCCGCGCCGCGCGCGCGCAATCTTCAACACGCTCTCCCTCAACGGTGGATGGACGACGAGCGGCCGAACCGCCGCGCCGAGCCGCTCCGTCACGAAATCCGCGTCGCTGGCGCACAACGCCAGCACCCCATCGCTCCTTCGCACGCCATCGCACTCGAGCGCGTGATGCCCATCGAAATCGCTCCGACTAAAAATTCGAAATGGCGACCAAATAAACGGAACGTCGCCGCCACACAATCCAGAATTCGTCGCCGCCGCGACGGCGCTGAAATCGACGCCCACGCACGCGCTCGCGCCGAACGCCGCCACCGCGTCTCGAATCGCCCGCGACGCGCACCCGCGCGCGAACTGCTCGTGCGGACCGAGACGGTCGAGTCGGTGCCACGTGTCGACGTCGACGTACGCCGTCGTCGTCGCACCGTCGCCGCGCGTCACCACCGGGACATCGTCCTCCCGTCCCGAACCTCTCGGGCGCGCGCACAGCACGAGGACGTCCGCGTGCGCCGCCAAAGAGCGGGCCAGACCTTGACACAGTATCCCGTTCCCGCTGAACGCGTCTCGGTCGTATTCGAGGGCGACGACGGCGACGCGAGGGCGAGGCATGGTGTGACGAGCGTTTTCGCGTCGGCGCGAGGCACTTTGCGACGCACGACGCGCGCGTCGCGACGATTCGCGCGCGTTCGGCGACGCGGAGGCGCGAGGCGAAAACCGCGTCGAGCGTCGCGCGCGCGCGCGGCGCGAAGGCGCGTCGCGAAGGCGGTGAGACGGGCCGCGCGCGCGAGGCTTGAGAAAACGCTCGAAATGTTAGAGTTGGAATACGAGGTGCGTCGTCGACGACGCGTCGCGCGCGCGGCGCGAGCGATGCGCGCATGCGCGGCGTTATTTCGCGTCGCGTCGTTCTCACCGCGCGCGGTCTCGGTCGCAGGAATTCGCGAGCACGTCGAGCAGCAAACATCACGGGTACAAGGTGCGCGTGAACGAAGCCGCGGCGACGCGACGCGCGATCGAGGACGCCGAGCTCGCCATCGCGAAAGCGTACGCGGTGATCGATCGAGGAGATGACGTGAGCGATTTGACCGCGCCGGGAGCGGTGAAGAGGATACGAGAGATGGATCGATTGGGGTTGACGTACGAGACGCCGACGTACTTGACGTATCCGGAGGAGGACGTCGACGCGCGCGACTCCGAGCATCCAAGCGACGACGTCGACGACGCGAACGACGCGGACGACGAACCCGGCAAACTCGTCGTCACGCCGACGGCGATCGCGTTGAAGCGCGCGGAGGCCTTCCCATTGGTCGCGTCGCGCGCGACGACGTCCGCGAGGCGTCCCGCGAGACGCGTCGAGCACGACGTCTCCGCGGGCGTCGCACCGGAACCGCGCGTGGACGACCGCGAAAAAGACAAAGCCGCGCGCGCGCTCGACGCCGACGGTCGCGTCTCCGACGCGGCGTACCGCGATCTAGACGCGCTCGATTAATCGCACTAAATTACGTTACAAAATAATCACGGCACCTGCGCCGCGACCCAAACCGTGGTGGCGAGCACGGCGAAGACGACCAATCCCAAAAACGGCGCGTACGCCAAATCGCCGACGAGCTCCGACTCCGCGTCCACGTACCCAGCCTCGACGTATTTACCCTTGACGTCCACGCTCTCCCCGAAAAATCCACCCTTCGTGCCTCCGACTTTGCGTCGCAGCGCCCCGTACTCCTCCGTGGACATCTTATCTCCCTTTTGCATGCTCTTCGCGCGCGCCAGCAATCCACGATCGGCGGAGATGTCTTCTTGGAAATCTAGCGCGCGCGTCACGCTGAAGATCGCCGCGCTCAGCCCCCCCTTCTCCTTCGCTTCGAATTCCGCCTTTCTCCGCGCGCGCTGCTTGCGAATGCGCGCGTAAGACTCGCTCATCGACTCTTGCGCGTTGTACTCGAAGTCGCGCACCTGCTGCTGCTTCGGCGGCGCCGGCGACGACGCTCGCTCGGCGCCGAAGCCGAAGCGGGACTTCTTCGCGGGCGTCGGCGTCGGCGGCGGCGATGATTTCTTGGCGCCAAAGCTAAAGCGCGACTTCTTGGGCGCTTGCGGCGGCGGCGGCGGCGGTGCCTTCTTCTTGAACAGCGCGTTGACGCCGGTGGACGCTTTACGAGCGCGCGCGCGCGGGCGCTGGAGCGCGGACGCGCCGTTCGCGGCGAACATGGCGTCGGCGAGTGACGACGAGGCGTGACGTCATTTCGGAGTTTTGGATAAAACGCGCGCGGACGACGCGCGCGCGGCGAAAACGCCGGGACAAAGCGAACGCACGATTAGGAGTTACAAATTAAGGCGAGAGCGCGCGGTGAAAGCGGACGACGACGGAGGACTCGTCGCGGCCGGATCGCGAGCGAGCGCTCGCGACGTGCGAGGCGGTTTTCTCGTCGGCGTACCCGAGTTGAGACGCGTACGAACCGTCTTCCTCGACGACGATGGAGAACCAAATACCCACGGGAAGTTGCGTCGCGTTGGTGGGAAGGGTGAAATCGGCGTCGACGCGCGCGACGACGTCGGCGGCGTCTCGCGGATACTCGGCGAATTTCGCCACCGCGCTGTTGCCGCCGCACGACGACGCCAACGAGCCGCCGTCGCAAAACGGTTCATCCATCGCTTCTCGCCACACGCGCACCGCACCACACCCGTCCGCGCGATGCTTCATGCGCACGCGAATCGGCGGATCGAGCGCGTCGTTCACGACGCAGTGCTGTACGATTTCTACGCCTTTTTGGTCCTCGTAACACGCGCTGTACCCGCCGCGCGCGCCCGCCTCCACGGCCACGCGCTCGATCGCGATCGCGTCGCGCTCGAAGCTCTCCACCGTCGACGCGTCGGCCTCGCATCCGACCACCGGAACGAACCGGGCGTCTTTGCAGTACAACTCCGTCCCGCTCGCGGCGTCCCGAACCGTCGTCGAGCACTGGCTCTGCCAATCCTTTATGTCCATCCCCCACTCGCGGAACGCGTCCGGAACCATCGACGACGGCAGACTCGAGGGTTCACCGCTGATCGGATCGAAGCTCGCGCAGTGCCCGATCCATTCGCCGCTGATTTCGCGCGCGAACGCGTCGACTTCGGCGGTGGTGGTGGTCGCGCGCGCGCGCGTCCGGTGGCGTCGGCGCGCGATGGCGCGCGCGGGCGCGCGCGCGGGCGCGCGGGAGATGGCGCGAGACATCGTTCGTCGGAGTCGCGCGGTCGAAGGTGGGCGCGCGTCGGCGCGGCGGCGTGTGAAGCGTTCTATCCATAGAGTTACAGAGCTACGACTTTGTCGGAGTCGCGACGGATTTGATGTTGGCGTACACGGATCCCGACGTGAGCGACCGGTGCGCGCCCTCGGCGCGTCTAGCGAGCCTGTTTTCGCCCGCGGCTTCGCATCGCTGACGAAGATCTTCGGCGAAGGCGGCGATGGCGGTGACTTCTTCGGCGTCGTCGTGCGTCGCGCTCGCGGCGACGACGGCGCAGAAACGAATCGCGCCGCGAATCGCGAGGGCGTGCCCGAGTCGACCGACGCGCTTGTCGGCGTCGTCAATGAGGTGGAGAAAGGCAGTGCGCAACACGGAGCGTCGCGGCAGTTTTGAGATGGCCTCGGCGAAGATGAGTTCAATTCGCTTTTGAGCGAACGGGCTCTCGGGGAACTCGCGAAGCGCGGCGAGCCAGAGTTCGCCGGCGAACATTTCGTCGTACACACGCTTCCAAGGATCGGGTGAGTCCGGTGGCGCTAAGGCCGACACGAGGTTTAATGCCGGTGCAGATGCGGTAAACGTGGCGATGAGCGTGGCGGTGAGACCTTCGCACACTTCGTCCCGCGATATTCCCCAGCCTTCCTCCGCCTCCTTTGCCTTTGTCGTCTTCGAGAGCGCGTTTTGGGGCGCCGCGAGAAGAAGCTTGACGTACGCTCTCGCGAGCTGGGCTAACATCGACGCGAGCTGCTCTCCAGGTCTAGAGTCGGGAATCGGCTTTTCAACGTGCGTCGAAGGCTTCTTACGACTCGTTTGCACGCGAATAAATTTGGCGTCTTGTTCGAGAACTTTTCTGGTGCACTCGATGACACTTTTTATGCCGCGAGAGAGCGTTAACGCGTCCGCCTTACGATCAGCGAGCAGCTTTAAAGATGAACACTCGGCAAGTAAGGTGCCTGCGGGCCACTTTGACGCCGAAGAAAGCGCGGCTGCGATCGCCGAAGCGGCGACGCTCGCGTACTCGGCTTCACGCGAGGATGACTTCTGAGTGTCTGTCTCTTCAGTCGCCGGTGCGCTCATGGCCTCTTTCGCCGCGCCGAGCGCTGACTTCAACAACCTTCGTGCGTCGCTCGCCACGCGCGCGTGAAGCTCGAAAGGTAAATTTCGTCGCACCCGATCCGCCGCCGCGAACGCCGCCGCGTCAGCGGCGACGCCGCACGCTGCTCTCGTCGCGGCGCTTGATCCCCCAGTCGCGGCTGCTCCGCCTCGGCTCGTGTTGGCACCTGAAAGTGCCGCAACCGCGGCGGCGGCGCGTGCACCCGCGTCGTCGGCGGCGGTGCTTGCTACAGAAGATATGACATCTCTCGTCACCGACATTGCAGATCGCTCGACTGCACGCTCAAACTCTGGTGTCCAAGCTTCTTCGATGACAGAACTCGCATGGGAAACGAACGACGTTCCGTTTCGTTTCGCCGACTCGGCATACTTCATCGCTGCCTGCGTCGCCGCTGCACTCACAACCTCTTGCGCGCTCTCTACCGCGCTTGCGGTGATAGCCGCGGTGGCGTCATCGACAGCAGCGAGCGTTGCGGCGTCCACGGCAAAGTCGACGAGACGGCGCAGACCTGGAACGTTCTGCAAGAAAGCACGCTGCAGTGCATGTTTAATTTCAGTCGAGGAAGATTTCAAATCCATCGACGGCATTGTTGCGAGTGCACTCTCCGCGTTTGGCGAAGTCACGCCAAAGGTTGGCGAAAGCGTGTTTTTGGCTTCAAAGACGCCGCCGAAGTCTTGTGCTTGCGTCGACTTGCTCACAGAAGTTGGTTCTACGCGCTGTGGCTGCGCTTGCATTCGACGAGGCACATTCGTCGGTTGCGATGGCGTGTGCATCAAAGAACGAGGTGCTTCCTTTGTGAGTTGTTCTTTCTCTTCGACGAGCGCTTGCGCGATGGCACCTCGTTGTTTCAAAGTTCGCACCGCACGGTCGACGCTTGGGCACACAGTTTCGACGTAGCGACGATCTACGCCCACACGACTCAAGTCTGGCGCAGTTTGTGTTTCGATCCTCGAGTCCGACTCGGAGGGCGAATCTGGTACTTCTTGAGAATTCGCCGTGGCGCTAGCGTTCGCCGAAGCCGATGGAACCCATTCCCTGCCCCAACTGTCAATCGCTAAAGGATCTTCGTACGATTGCATAATCTCCTTGCTTGTCGTAGGCAACGCATCCATCACCGCGAGCGGTGGTGGCGGTAGACCCATCACGTTGTTGGAGGTCCAAGTCGAGGCTTGCACTGTCGTAATCGGCGCATTCACCGACAAACCATTTGCTAAAATGGATCGCAAACACATGCGCGATGAATTGAAGTCGCCTTTTACAGCGAACGGATCTAAGCATGGTGATGCCGCGATTGCACGCAAATACGCCAGTGCTTCGGCGTAGTGCGCGATATCGAGCGAATCTGCGTCCCACATCAGGAAGCGCAAAAACGCGAGCACCCACGGCGCGCTCACGACGAGCTCTCCACGTCTTCCGGCTCGCCGAAGCGTCGACGTCAAATCAATACCTTGCAGTGCCATATTATTTGACGCCACACGCGCAGAAGTCGCGCCTGAAGCGAATCCAAAAGTGAGTAAACCCAAGAAAGAGCCCATCGCGTGAGCAGCCAACATGCGTTCCGTTTGCCCAGCGTTCGATGAACTCGCCGGAGACTGCGCGGCGTCTTCACTCGGGTGCGCATTCGGGTCAAGAACATGTAACGCTGCGACAAGCGAGCGTTGAAGTGCGACGCAAAACTTGTGCGAATCCGTCGTTTCGATGAATCGCACGAAGGGCTGTTGCGCAGGCGGGAACAAGCACACAAATGACGGCCACGTGTGCGTCACTTCAGCGCCAAACCCGTTGGTCTGCGTCACTCCGTTCGTGGATTTTTCTCCACCTCCTCGACCAAGAGTACGTCCACGTCCTCCTCGGCCACCTCTACCATCGACTCGCGCGCCCGCGCCGCTCCTACCTCCTTGCGGCGCTTGCGTCGCTGCGTTACTTCCTACTATGCGCTCGTGTAGGCGTGATAAGCGCGCCGGCGTGATGCTGTTTCCAAGCTCTTCGTCTACTTCGCCTACCGCACTGCTTTGTGACAGACGGGCGACGAATAAATCGGCAAGCCACCGCATATTTGCCGGATGCGTGTTCGCGATGAGCGTTCGAGCGCGGCTTGCGATGGACGCATCTTGACCTAAACCCACCGATCGGCTCGCCGACGCGCGTAAGAGCGCATAGAACGCATCTCGAGTGCGTTCACGGTTGTGTTCTATCGCCTGATTTTCCGTCAGTGGAATCGCACGACCTGGTCTGGCGTTTGCGCGACCCCGTCGCTCGTCCGCCTTGGCCAAAGCGTCGAGCAAGTCGAATCCATACAGCTTGCTTCCCACGCGACCGTCTACTTGATACGCCCGCTCGCACTCGCCCGAAGCGACACGCACGGCACCCAACTCACGGACTATTTCCCTATGTAACGCACTAGCGTGCGAAGCTAAAACGTTGGACTCGGCGAGCGCTTCGAGCGCGCCTTCGCCGAGCGCGCACGCGAGCGCCGGCACGAGCGAAAGCACTTTTGAAGCGTACGCATGCGCCTCGCGTCCAGTACGCATGACGAGCTTTGCACTACCCTCGATCGTTTCGACGACCAAGTCTGAGGGCGCGCCCAAGAGCGCACACAACCACGCGAGCTCCGGAGACTGATCGAGCGGAAATCCCGCGCGCAGCGCCGCCGCGTGCAGCGTCGCCAACATCGCCAAGGGCGTCGGCAACTCTATCGGCTCCATCGGTCTCGGCTCGTTCACATACAATCGTTCCAGCGTCAGCGCCGTCGCAGTCGCCGCCGCGCGTTTCATCATGGACGACGGCGACGCGGATAAACTACTCGGCTTGCTCGCCGGCGTCGCCGCGCCCGACGCCGTAAACGACGACGACAAATCCCCATCCACTGGTCTCGAAACCATCGTCGGCGCGATTCGTCGCGCACCTCCCATCGGCGACGCACAGTGCGTCACTTGCGCGTGAAATCCGTTCCCCACGGGCGGTCTCGCTCCGTTCGTTCCGTTCGTCTCCACCGGCGTCGGCGCCACTCGCCTCGGCTTTCCGTCCCCGCTCGCCGTGCCGTCCAACGCCATCGCCAGGTTCCTTCGCGCCCCCGACGCGAGCGACGGAAATTCACTTTCATCCGCGATCGACAACCGGCTCGTCGTCTTACCGCCGTGCCGCATCGCGTCCGCCGACTCGGCTGAGTCGTCGCCGCGCGCGCCGTCGAGCGTCGTCGCCGCCGCCGTTCCCGCGTTCGCGCGCGTCGTCGTCCGCGCCGTCGCGCGCTCGAGCGCCTTGACGCGATGCGTGACGTTTGCGGCGACCGAGCGCGCGCACTCGAGGACGCGCAGGGCGAGCGCGGCGCGCGCGCGACGGTCGATCGTCGACAGAATCCGTTGCCGCTCGAGGATTTCAATCATCGTTCGGTAATCCGCCTCGCTCGTGCTCGCGTCGGCGTCGTTCGGCGGCGCGCACGCGCGCGCGACGGTCGAGGCGTCCATAGACTCCATCGCGACCGCGCGGCGCGCGACGAGGTGTGCGGGCGGCGCGCTCTGGTGGGTTCGCGTGAATCGGGCGGCGGCGCGCGACGTCGTAGAAGGCGCGACGTCGAAGTGCTCGCGGTGTTTGGGACATCTAGTGGAATTGGGACATCTAATGGTGTTAATCGCTAAGACGGTGGCGTCAGGGCAGCGCGACGCGCAGACCGACGGGGCAGTGGTCGCTGCCGAGCACGTCGGGCAGCGCGTACGCGTCGACGATGGAGTCCGCCAGGCGCCGACTCGCGAGAATGTAATCGAGACGCCAACCGCGATTTTTTTCGCGCGCGCCGGCGCGATAGCTCCAATACGTAAACGCACGCGCGTCGGGTCGATGCGCGCGAAATGTGTCGACCAAATCGCACTCTTCGAGCAGCCGCGTCATCGCCGCGCGTTCCTCGGGCGTAAATCCCGCGGATTTGCTGTTTTCGGCGTGCCTACCCCATAAATCGATTTCTTCGTGCGCGACGTTCAAGTCACCGCAATAAATCACCGCTTTACCTCGCGATTCCAACGCGCGCACGTGCTCGCGAATCGCGCGTTCCCAAACCTCCACGCGCTCGGGCAAACGCTTTAAATCCGCGCCCGAGTTCGGCACGTACGCGTTGACGACGAAACACGAATCCAACTCCGCCGTCAGCACGCGTCCCTCGTCGTCAAACCCGCCAGCGCTCAACCGCGTCGCCTCGACGCGTTTCATCTTCGCCCAATCGCCGTCTCGGATGAACATCGCCGTGCCCGAATACCCCTTGCGCGCGGTGGACGTCGCGTACTCGCGCGTCCCGTACTCGCGCAAAAACTTCGGCGCCTCTCCCTCGCCGTCCACCGCGCCGCGTCCATCCGCGCCGAGTTTTGTCTCTTGCAGCACCAGCACGTCGGCGTCGGTGCGTCGCGCGAGCTCATCGAGCGCGCGCGGCGCCTTTTTGAGCAACGACCGCAGCCCGTTGACGTTCCACGAGACGACGGACAGCGTCGTCGCGGGCGACGACGAGGACGCGGCGCGCGGCGCGCGCGCCTTCGCGCGTCTTCGCGCGTCGCGCGCGAGCGCCGCGAGCGCCGGTCGCGCGACGCGCGCGGCCATCGCTCGGCGCGCGTCGACGTGACGATTCGGCGGCGACGATTCGGCCCTCGCGTCGTCGCGCGGCGCGCGAAGCCGCGCGCGCGCGAAGAGCGCGACGACGCGAAGACAAAAAATAAGCAGCGTTCGACGTCACGAGGCGGCTCGCGCCGCCCCGTCGTCGCGGACGCGGTCCCGCGACCGCGCGCGTCGCGTCGTCGCGCTGGAACTCGACCGCGCGTGCCGCGTTCGCCGCGCGCGACCGACCGGTGACGCCGCGCGCGATTCGGCGGCTCGACGAGACGAACGCCGCGGGGCGTTCGGCGTCCGCGCGCGCGCCGTGCGCGCGCCGACGCGGTCGAGCGACCGAGACGCGCGGCGAAACGTGTCGTCGTCACGGGTGACGATTCGGGTCGGACGCGCGCGCGCGCGAGGGCGACGGTCGCGACGCGCGAGCGATCGTAGGCGTCGCGCGACGTCCCGAACGGCGCACCGCGTCGTGCGACGACGTTCGATCGTCGCGATCGTTCGTCGCGCCGCGGGAACTCGGGATCGGGACGCGCGCGCGTCCGCGCGACGATTCGTCTCGCGCGTCCGTCGTCTCGCGCGCGTTCGCGACGCGGTTCGAGCGCGGTTCGAGCGCGCGACGATCGCGACGCCCCGTCGACGATTTCAATGCGCGATCGTTCGCGCACCTCGGCCCTCGCGACTGTGTTCGGTGAGTCGGTCGCGTCGCGCGCGCGTCGTCTCGACGCGCGGCGCGCGCGGCGCTCGCTTCGCCTCGCGTCGCGCGACGCCCCGGACGCGACGCGGCGACGTCGGACGTTTGTCCGCGGAGCGCCGCCCGGCGCGCGCTCCGCGCGCGATTCGACGGCGGTAAACGTCCCGCGAAACCCGCTCGTGGTCGTGGTCGAACCGACTTCGCGCCTCCGTCGTCGCCCGCGGTCGCCCGCGGGCGTGTATTAGGGTTTAGGGATCCAGCACCGTCGCGGCACCGGCCGGTCGCCGCCGCGTCCGTGGGTCGCGCGTCGCGATCGCGCGCGCGTATTGCGCGCGCGAACAGCGCCATCATCGGCGCATCGCGCGCGAACGCGCGCGCGCGCGACGCGACCGCGAGGGCGGTCGAGACGCGTGGTAAACAGTGTCGAGGAAATTTCCTTCGCGCGACGCGCGCGCGACGACGGATTTCGTGTTACGGGTTCGCGGTCGCGCGGCGCGCGCGCGACCGCGAGCGCGCGCGCGTCGCGCGCGATCGCGACGGCGTCGATCGACGGCGCGCGCGATCGCGACGACGCGGACGTCGACGCGCGCGCGCGCGCCCCGTCCGCGATCCGGGCACCGTCGATTCAAAATCGCGCCCGCCGTCGCGTTCGACCGACGACGACGCGCGACGCGACGCGCGAACGACGCGCGAGAGCGCGAAAACGACGAACGCGAGCGATGGTTTAACGATCGAAACGCCGCGCGCGGCTCGAGTCTTACAATCCGACGCGATCGGTGTCGCCCATCAGCGGCGTGGGGTCGCGACCCAAAATCTCCCCCGTCGCGCCCGCCCATTCCGTCGTCCCGAGCGAGTACCCCCAATCGCTCTGCGTCTCGATCTCCACGTCCCCGACCGGTCGCGCCATGCACAGCAACACCATCCCCGCCTCGATCTCGTCCTCGCCGAGCGTGAACTCGAGGTCGGCGATGTCGCTCTGATCGACGTCGCCCGACGCGCAGCGCGCCACGCACGCGCCGCAGATGCCTCCGCGGCACGTGAACGGAATCTCGATCCCCGCCTCGAGGCCGGCGTCGAGGATGTACTGATTCGATCCGCACTCGACGTCGACGCGCGAGCCGCCGGCGCCGAGGAAGGTGACCGTCACGACGTCGCCGCGGTCGTCCAAGTCCTCGGCGAGGCGGCGCTTCGACAGGTCGATGGCGTCGCGCGCCGTCTTATCCTTTTTTTGTCCGAAGAACGCGCGCGTCGCCGTCGCGCGTCGCGGCGCGCGTCGAGCGCGTCGTCCGTCGTCGCGTCGCGGTCGCGCGAGCGCGCGCGCGACGCGCGCGACGCGCATGGCGTCGCGAAGTGCCGTCGAGCGGGACGCCTTATCCGCACTCGACGACCGACGCGCGAGGGCGCGACGCGCGCGCCATGCTCGACGGCGTCGTCGCGGCGTGGGACGACGTCGTGCGCGCGACGTCGGTCGCGATCGCGATGCCGCGCGGATCGACGCGGTTTCTGCTCGCGCTCGCGCTCGCGCCGGCGATCGGGCTCGGGTTCCCGGCGCTCGATCGCGCGCTTCGCGTCGCGGGCGTCGAGCGCGACGACGCGCGCGCGCGCGCGAGGTCGGCGTACGCGCTGGTGACGGGGACGATGCTGAGCGCGGCGGCGTTCGGGCGCGCGACGGTGGTGTGCGCGCACTTCGGGGCGTGCGCGTACGCGACGATGCTGGCGACGCGGCGGCGGTGCGGATACGTCGTCTTCGCGGGGTCGTTCGCGTATCTGATGCGGTATCACTTCGTCGCGGACACGGCGACGGCGTGGAAGAGCGGTGAGGTGGACATCAGCGGGCTGTTGATGGTGCTGGTGCTGAAGGTGACGGCGTGCGCGTTGAATTATCAAGACGCGGCGACGACGAAGGCGAGCGAGATGAGCGAGTTTCAAAATCGACGGCATCTGAAGCGGTTGCCGAGCGCGCTGGATTACGCGAGCTGGTTGATGTTTCCGTGCACGCTCGTGAGCGGGCCGGCGATCGAGTTTAGGGATTACTCGGATTGGTTGCGCGATCGAGGGGTGTACGCGCGAGGGACGCCGAATCGCGTCGCGCCGGCGACGCGCAAGCTTCTCGGCGCGATCGCGTGCTTGGGGATCTACCAGGCGGTCGCGATGAGGTATACGATAGAAAATACGTACTTGAACCCGAGCTGGGCGCAGTACTCGCTCGCCGAGCGCATTTGGCACGTGTACGTGTACGGTCAAGGTAATCGCGCCAAGTATTACTTCGTGTGGATGATGGCGGATTTCGCCGCCACCGTCTCGGGACTTGGCTTTAGCGGGTACGACGCCATGGGTAAGGCGCGTTGGGACACGGCAGCAAATATATACCCGATCGGCGTGGAGAAGTCGGTGACGTTGAACGCCATTCCGTTGTCGTGGAACGTGAAAACTGGATTGTGGTTGCGCCACTACGTGTACGATCGGGTGACGCCCAAGGGTAAGAAGCCCGGTTTGTTGCAGATTTTGATCACGCAAATCGTCTCGGGCGTGTGGCACGGACTGCACGCCGGTTATTGGCTGTTCTTCGTCTCCTCCGCGTTCGCCGTCAACGCCGGTCGTTTGATGTACCGATGGAAGCAAACGCGCGTGCCGGAGAAGTATCGCGTCCTCGTCGACGTCCCTCTCTGGGCGTTTACGCACGTCGCGCTCAACTACATGTGCGCCGCTTTCATCTTGGTCGATTTGAAGCAATGCATACAATCGTGGTCATCGATGCACTACTTCGGCCACGTCGGCATCGCCGTCTTGCTCGTCTTCGGCGCCGTCTTCGCGCCGAGGCGCTCGTCCAAGCCCAAATCGGCGTAATCGACGCGCCGCGCGCTTAGCACTCCGCGCATCGCGCGCATCGCGCGACTTTTAAGGAATCAATCTCACCCGAACGATCGAAGCGTCTCGCGTCTCCGTCTCGCGTCTCCGTCTCGCGTCTCGCGTCTCGCGCGTCCCGTCCCGTCGCCGCGCCCTCACACGCCGCCGCGTCCATCATGAGCGCGCCTCCGCGCACGTTCTTCGCCCGCGTCGGCGCGCTCAAGCTCAAGGAGCTCCCCGAGTTCGTCGTGAAGACCGCGCGCGAGTACGACTACGCCGGCCGCGCGGCGACGTTCGCGAGGGAGTACAACGCAAAGTACATTCAAACCGGATCCGCGGCGCCGCTCTGGCACTTCATGGGCGGCGTCTTCGGCGTCGCCTACGTCACGGTGTGGCCCACGGAGTACAGACACATGATGGCCGAGCGTCGGGGCGGACATCACTAGCGGACGAGCGATAGCGGCGACGAAGACGGCGATCTCGCGAGGGCGAGGATAAAGCGGCGCGGCTCGGGCGACGCGCGCAGACGCGAGACGCGAGACGCGACGAGGTCGACGAGACGAGACGACGTGTAAAAACAAAACAAAGAATTCATGAATTTATCGCGCGGTTCAGCGCCGCGTCGACGGCGCGATCGAACGCGGCGTTGGTCCAGTCGACGCGCGCGTCGTCGAAGTGGTCGTCGAAGTCGCGCGCCGCCAACGCGTCCGGGTCCGCGTCGTCCAGCGTCCGTCGCACGAGCTCGCGCACGACGCCTAAATCTTCATCGCGCACCACCGCGCGCGTCGTCGACGACCGTCTCCACGCGCCGTCGTCGTCGCGTTCGACGACGCCGAACGTCGTCGCGTCGCCGCCCTCGCGCGTCTCGCGCGCCGTCCCCAACCGCACCAATCCCGCCGCGTCCAGCGTCACCTCGAACGCATTCGCGCGCCTTCCGTTTCCGCCGTTCTCGCCGCGCGCGCGCTTCAGCGCGCGTTCGATCGCGTCCAGCCTCGCCTCGCTCGTCGCGCTCGTCGTCGCGTCCTCGTTGTCGCCTCGTCGCGCGCGCGCGCGATACGTCCCGACGACGACGCGTCCGCGCGTCGCCGCGCACCGCGCCGTCTGTTCCAGCGCGATCTCCTCGTACGCCGTCGCGGCGCGGTCGCCGTGGAACAGCGGTTGCGCGTCGACGACCGCGCGCGCGTCGTCGTCCATCGCGCGCGCGTCGACGAGCAGCGCGCCCGCGCACTCGCGCGTCGGGTGCGCGAGCGCGTGCGAGACCGCCTTGGCGATCGCGCGCGGGCGCATCGCGACGTCGCGCATCGCGAGGCGCGTCACAGTGCGGCGCGGCGCGAATCGGATGCGAATTACATTAAAATTAAAACGATGACGGTCGACGACGCGATCGCGGCGTCGCGCGCGACGGACGCGAGCCGCGTCGACGAGATCACCGACCTGTTCGTCGCCGCCGGGTGCCACCGCGCGCGCTTCGCGTCGCTCGCGCCGTTCGACCGCGTGCTCGGCGCGCTCGCGTGGGCGGTGCGCGCGGCGGACGGCGCGCTGGACGACGTCGACGCCGACGCGCTGTACGCGACGATGGGCGAGCGATTGCGCGCGTGCGAGGCGATCGAGCGCGCGCTGCGGGACATGGGCGCGCCGGGCGCGCTCAGGGCGCACCAGATCGGGGGACTGGACGCGGACGCGCTGCTGCCGACGGCGCGGTGGTTGATAACGCGGGTGTTGGAGACGCGCGAGCGGCGAAAACGGGACGCGAGAGCGCGGGCGATGTATGCGTACAAACGAACGTGCGGACGGGAGGCGCTGGGGACGGCGCGGACGCGCGAGCGGGCGGCGAGAGCGAGACGCGCGCTGCGCGAAGAGTACGGCGCGAGACGGCGGTACAAGCGCGCGGCGGGGAAGGAACCGCCGCGAGAGAACGCGTCGCGGTGGGCGAAATCGGTGATGATGGAGTACGGGCATAAACTCGCGGGGTTGGAGGCGTTCGCGAGCGCGGCGACGGCGGTGTTGGCGGCGACTCGATGGAGGCGGAGGACGCGGGCGGGTAAGGCGGCGGGAGCGACGCGGGCGAGCGAGGCGGGAGAGGGCGGGCGAGAGGGCGCGGCGTCGTTGGTGAGCAAGGTGAGCGCGCTCGTCGTCGCGCCGGGAGCGGGGGGGGCGGGGGGGGACGAGGACGACGAGGAGGAGGACGAGGCGGCGGTGAGCGAATTGAACGCGTTGCGGGATTTGGAATCCGAACTCGCCGTCGCGGACGGCGAGGATACGCTTTCGAGCGCCGTCGCGCGCGCGATTTTAGGCGCGCGCGGTGGCGAGGAAATTTTAGCGGCGGCGGAGAAGTTCGGGGGGGAGATCGCGATCGGTGGGACGGTGGGGAAGATGCTCGCGGTGGAGCGGAAAATCGCCGCCATGGAGCGCAAGCTCGCGGCGGAGACCGCGGCGGCGAGCGAGGCGCGTCAACGCGCCGAAGCCGCGCAAGCCGAGGTCGTCGCCGCGCTGGAAGAGTTAGAAAAGGTGACGGCGTACAACGACAAGTGCGAGACGGAGACTAAAAGTCTCATGGAATCCGTCGCCGATCCCGGGCAACGCGCATCCGTCGAGCGCGTCATGGCGCTGATAAAGAGAGCGTCGAGCACCAAGGCGGACGAAAAAGAGTTCAAAGCCGAGTGTAAAAAGCGCATGCTCGAGCTTAAAGACGAAATCGAACGCGGCGGCGAGCACACGCTCACCGAGGAAGAGCGCGCGCAGATTGAAGAAGTGGACGCGACGCACCGCCGCGAACGGGAAAAATTTGAAGGCGAACGCGCGATGCTGAACAAACGCTCGCGCGCGGTGGCGCTCCTGCGGCGCAAGCTCGAGGACATCCCAACGCGTCCGGAGTTGATTCAATACGAACGTCGCTTCGAAGAGCTCTACGACACCGTGCAGGCCAAGCTCAAGGAAACGCGCAAGTACTTTGCCGCGTACAACGTCCTCGCCGACACGAAAAAGTATCTTCGAAAAGAAATCTCCCTCCTGAACTCCGTCCAGCAGCAAGTCGCGCCGGCGTTGGAGACGTTATCCGGGAAATCGTCCCTCGTCACCGCCCTAGCCGCGATTCAGGACGGCGTCACGGCGAACATCAAGCTCGTCGACGCCAAGCTCAAATCCGAGCGCGACGCCGAGGCCGAATGTCGCGCGCGTCACGACGACGCCGTCCGTCTTCAGCGTCAATACGTCGCCCTCGTCAAGGAGCTTCGCGACGCCGTCGCTCGCGAGCGCGAGCTCAGCGCCGCGCTCGCGCCGTCTTCGTGACTTTGTATTCGTATTCGCGTCTCGCGTTCCGCCCGACCCCGCACTTATCGCCTCGCCGCGACATGTCGCCGTCCTCCATCGCGCCGTCCGCGCCGCGCGCCGCGCTCGCGCGTCCCCGCGCGCGTAAAGAGTCTCGCGCGTCCGCGCGCGCGTCCCGCGCGCGCGTCCGCGCGTCGAGCGACGACCGAGACTCGATCGAAGCCCTCGAGGCGAGACTGAAACCGAAGCGCGCGAACGCGAAAACGACGGCGGACGCGCGCGACGCGCGCGCGCGAGGCGCGAATCCCGCGTTCGGGTACCTGGACACCGCGGCGAAGAAGAATCGCGTGCGCGCGGGAGCGAACGGGCAGTACGCGATGTGGGAGGCGGACCCGGCGGCGTGGGAAGAGACGCCCGCGGGCGAACGCGCGTGGACGGTGTGGACGGGAGAGAAAGGATGGATGTACTGGATGAATCAAGCGTCGCTGTACGGCGCGGGAGGATTGGCATTTTTTTGGGTGGTGTTCAGGTTCATCGGACCGGCGATCGGGTTGTACACGTTGAATTGAGGGACGCGAGGGACGCGGGTGGGACGCGCGAGGGACGCGGTTTCGTCGACGCGAGGTCGCGCGTTTATACATTTTACATTTCGTACTTTTAGCAATACAAACAAATGAATACATGGCAGCATACAGAAGAATCGAACAATCGGTGAGCGAATGAATGAATGTTTCGTTTTTGCGCGCGCGGTCGTTGCCGAAGCGACGCTCGATTCGTCGCGCGTTACGCCCAAACCACGATGGCGCCGTCGAGAAGGGTGCCGACGACGCCGCCGGGCGCCGCCACGGGGGAACCGAAATCGTCGTCGCCGCGCTCGTGCACTCGGTTGTGGACCTTGAGTTCGGCGGGCGTCACTGTCATGACGCGACGTGGATCCCACACCAGGGCGACGTCGGCGGATTTGGCGAGTTTGCTCTGTGAGAACATCTTCCCGTTCCGCGCGATCGTCTGCAAAGCGCGCTCGTAGGAGCTGGCGTCATACAACGCGTGGACTTTGGCAAACTTTTGAAACAAGTGTCTGAACTCTGGTCTCGAGCGCCACGTTCGCAGATAATCCGAGAGAGCGATAGTGAGCAACCCGCGAACGCGGCTCTGTTCTACGCAAATCGACAATCGCGCGTCGCACGTCATCACCATCGTCGCGAGCTCGTTCGCCACGCCGGCGTCATTCGCGTCTCGCGCGCGAACGTATACGTCGCTCATTAACCTCTCATCCGCCGCCTGCGAGACGTCGCTCACTTCCACGATGTCGACGCCGGCGCGCGTCAACCGTTCGCGCAATCGCGGCGCGGAGAGCGTCGTCTTATTCGCGTACGCGCGAACCACGCACTTCTTCGCGAACGATTTCGACGCTTCGACTATTCTCGCCGCCCAAAGCGCCTGCGAGTGAAAGCGCGCGTCAGTAATTCGTTCGCGCGCGTCGGCTCGAAGAAATTCGTCGCGCCGAGCGCGTCGCGCCGAGCGCGTCAAAGATGGAATGTCGCGACCTCATGAACTCATTCACCCACGGAAAAGGACGAGCGAGCTTCTGATGATCGACGTCGATGTTGCCCGGCCGTTTAACTCGCGGTTCATTCGGTTCGGAACGTGGAGCTGGTAAGCCGGGCGCGCGCGCGACGAGCCAAACGAAACGCGTCGACGAACCGCGCGCGAGGCGTCGACGCACCTCCACGCCGCACGGCGGTCGCATGTTATCTAAATCCCAGTAGCACACGAGCTCCTCGCGGCGGTTTTCGCGCGCGGTCGAGCGCGACACCGCGCGGACGGCGCCGCCGCCGACGCGCTTTCGACGCGCTCGCGCGCCGCGCGCGGTGTCGCGCGGCGCGAGCGCGCGCGAGGAGACGCGCATGCGCGATGCGCGCGCGCGAGAGGCGGCGCCGCGCGGCGATCGGCGCGCGCCGCGCGAGCGCGGCGACGCGGCGCGAGGCGCGAAGTGCGGCGACTCGCGACGGCGAAGGAAAAAGTCGAGTCGGACCCGTCGCGCGATGCGAGGCATCGATTACACCGTCTATAAATCAAGTCAATTCGCTCGGTTTCTCCCACTGGGACACACCGGTGAGGGCGTTGTAGTAGTAGACGTTGCCCTTGCCGTCGTCGAGCGCGCGCCACGGGTTGGCGGCGGCGACGGGGGCGACGGCGGCGTACTGCTGCCCGTAGTGCTGCGCGTACATTTGCGCGTACATCGCTTGTTGCTGCGCGTACGCCGCGGGATTGGCGTAGGCGGCGGCTTGCGCTTGAGGCGCGCCCCAACCGGCGGCTTGCGCGCCGTATCCTTGACCGCCGAATCCTTGACCGCCGAATCCTTGACCGCCTCGAGCGATTTCGTTAAACACCGCCGTCGAGCCGCCGTCGATGATTTCTTGAACCACCTGCGCGCCAGCTTCCACGCACGCCTCGGAACCGGCGAGGATGACCTGACACGGCTGACGGGTCTGATCGATTTGCATGCGCGCGCCGGTGGCTGTTTGTATCCCGCGAATCGTCTCGCCGCCGCGCCCGATGAGTTTCCCCACCGATTCCTTCGGGCACTCGATCGACCGCGTGATCTGTCCCGGGGTGACCAACAACCCGCCTCCCACGCCCGTGCCCAGGAGCAAATTCTCCACCAACTCGCTCGCGACGTCCACGCACGCCGCCGCGCCCGCGATCGTAATCTTCCTCGGTTCGCCCTCGCCGACGTTTTGATCGATCGCGACGTGCGCTCCCGACGACGCTTGCAGCCCCTTGATCGTCTCCCCACCCCGACCGATTATTCTCCCCACCATGCTCTGCGGACAATCGATCGTCCGCGTGACGAGCGCGTTCGCCGCCTCCTCCGCGCGTCTTCGCGCCGCCTCCGCCTCCGCCGCCGCCGCCGCCTCCGCCGCCGTCGGTCCCGCGCGCGCCGCGTTTTTCGCCGCCGTCACCGCGGGGTCTTCCCCGATCACCGAGTCCTCCGCCTCGTCGTCGCGTCGCGTCGTCCGCGCCTCGTCGTCGTCGTCGTCGTCGTCGTCGTCGTCGTCGTCGTCGTCGTCGTCGTCGTCGTCGCGTCGTCTCGCCTCCCGCCCCTCCCGCGCGTCCGCGCGTCGCCGTTTCCGCGTCCGCGCGTCCGCGACCTCGCCGTCGTCGTCGCCGTCGTCGTCGCGCGCGTCGTCGCGCGCTCGCGCGTCGCGCGTCGTCGTCGCGCCGTCGCGCGCCGAATCCGAATCTTCGCGCGTCGGCGCCGTTTCCGCGTCCGTCACCGCGTCGCCCGCGCTCGCCTTCGCGCCGCACGCGTCGTCGTCGTCGTCGTCGCTTCGCGTCGACGCGCGGCGCTCGCGCATCGCGCGCGTCGCGAAATCGCGCGTCGCGCGCGTCGTCGGTCGCGCGCGCGAAATCACATCGCGACGCGCCGGCGCGTCGACGCGCGTCGAATCGCGCCGCGCGCGCGCGGCGATGCTCGCGAGGGACGTCCTCGCGCTGTGCGTCGCCGCGCTCGCGTGCTTCGTCGCCGCGCGCGCGCGGGAGGGCGTGACGTTCGCGCCGAGCGCGCGATTCGACGACGGATTCGGCGCGCGCCGAGGCGCGGGACGCGACGAACGGGGGCGCGCGATCGCGGGCGTCGCGCCGGCGATGTCGCGGACGCACGCGTACGTCGCGGGCGCGCGGATTCGCGAGGGCGTGACGCGCGAGGCGCGGGAGGACGCGCTTGGGCGAAGACGTATGGGTAAACAGTACGGAGGGGTGGTTGGTCGGACGCGGTCGACGCGCGCGACGGCGAGTCTGGCGCGCGACGACGACGACGACGACGACGACGACGACGACGACGCGTACGGCGCGATCGTCATCGAGCGTGGGATCGTCGGACGGGGGCGAGAGAAGCGCGGGATCGTCGTGGCGGCGACGCGAGACGCGCGCGCGGTGGCGTTCGACGACGGGCTGCGCGAGCTGTGGCGCGCGGAGACGGCGCCGACGGGACGATGGCGAGCGACGGAGGCGTCGATCGTCGTGACGAACGAGGGCACGGAGGTAGGGGACGATGGGCTGGTCGTCGTGGGCGTGCGGCGCGAGAGACGGGCGAGACGCGGGTTGAGCGACGAGGCGCTGCGGCGGATGACGATGGAGACGCGACGGGGACGAACGCGGGGATTCGGGGGGGTCGACGCGGTGGATGAGGTCGAGCGCGAGGTTCTCGAGGACGAGGAGGGCGGAGAGTTTGAATATTACGCGTTCGACGCTCGCACGGGCGCGAGGCGTTGGACGGAGACGAGCGGCGAGGACGAACACCGTCGGCGCGCGCGCGCGAGGTTGAGCCTGAGAAACTTGGACGACGACGAGATCGACGGCGCCGTGGAGCGCGCGTGTCGAGATTTTAGAGAGAGCATCGTGCAGGATGGGCTACCGCATCTGTGGCGGCACCCGGTGGATACGAAGATGCGTTTGGCGCACTTTAGACGACACAAATCTCGCGCAAACGCGATGGCGCGCGACAAGGCGAGCGCGGGCAAACGCAAACGCGGCGCGGCGGCGGCGAAAGCCGTGCCGTCGAACGCGGCGACGCGCGCGTTCGGACGCGCGTTGGACGCGCTGAAAGGCGAGTCGAAACGTAGACTCGACGACGACGACGCGCATCCGCCGCACGCGTCGACGCACGCGCGGCGCGTGAGAAAACGAGAACCACCGAACGTCGTCGTCTCACATCACGCCGAGGGCATCGACGTGTTGCACTTGTACTCGGGCGTCAAGGTGTGCGAAATGAAATTGAAGAGTCCGGGATTGCACGTCGATCTCGACGGCGACGGCGTCGTCGACCACGTCGAGGCGCACGGCCGAAACTTACGCAGCGCCGAGGACATTCCGCACTGTTGGGCGACCGTGACGTCGGGAGTGCCCGACGAGGGACGCACGCTCAGTGCGAGTATTTGCAGAGGCGGGAGCGGCTTGGCCGGTCATCGCGCCGCGCAAGCCGCGGGGCGAGACATTCGCGCCGTCGAAGTCGTTTCGCCGATTTCGCTTCGCAGGTTACCGGAAACATCGAGCGAGCTCGCGAAACCGCTCGATCGCATGGGAAGGGACGCGATTTTTCTCAACAGTCGCGGTGAGATGACGTGTTACAACGCGCGAGACGGTGAGCAAAAGCGTTGGCAAATTCGCACCACCGCGGATTGGACGCCGAGCGACGACGTCGTCAAACCGTCGCTGACGTCGTTCCCCATACGCGTCGATGGATACTTGGACCTCGCCATCGCCACCGGCGCGAGTTCGATGGTCATCGTCAACTCCAAGGGCTACCGCGCGACGGCACCGATCGAGCTCCCCTCCCCTCCCGCGGCTCCGCTCGTCGCTCGAGACGTCGACGGCGACGGTTTCACCGACCTCGTCCTCCACACGAAATCCGGCGTCTACGTCTGGATCCAGACCCCCCGCGCCGGGAATTTACCCTTCACCTTCCTCATCGGCGCCCTCGCCGCGTCCGCCTCCCTCGCCCTCGTCCTCCGGCTTCGCGACGCTCCCGACGCCGTCGCTCGTCGCGACGCTTCCTTCGTCGTCCGCGCGCGCGCCTCCTCCCGTCCGTCCTCCTCCTCCGGCGACGACGACGTCCCCTCCGACGCCGATGATTAATCGATCGATATCGACCATGCGTCGTCGCTCTTCGCGCGCGCGTCACCCGATCTCGCGCGTCGAGCGTCGCTTGAGCTCGCGCGCGCGCTTCTTCGCGCTCAGCCTCTTCCTCGGCCTCGGCGTCGGTCGCGCGCGCTCGGCGCGCGCGAACAGCGCGACGCACGCGGCGAGGAACGTCACCGTGACCGCGACGCAGACGACGACGATCGTCATCGCGGGATTGTCGCTCATGACGGTCGGACCGAGCGGCGCGGAGTGACGACAGAATCCGACGCCCGCGCGAGCGACGCCCGCGCGAGCGACGCGCGACGCGCGAGCGAACGCGGACGCGCGACGCGCGCGACGCGACGCGACGCGGGACGCGGGCGCGACGCGACGGGGCGCGACGGGACGGGATCGCCGACGGTCGAGCGATTCGCGTCGCGATGAGCAAATCGACGACGCAGTTCGCGCAGCCGCACAATCTGCTGAAACCGGGCGCGCGATTGGGCGCGGACGGACGGTTCACGGTGGCGTCGGCGCCGAAGCTGGGACGAGGACAGTTCGCGGAGGTGTACGCGGCGAACGACGCGACGCGGGACGGCGCGCGCGTCGCGGTCAAGGTGGAGAGCGAACACAGGACGAGCGCGCGAGAGGCGCGGGTGATGCGAGCGATGGCGGGGAAGGAACACTTCGCGGAGTTACTGCTGGAATCGTCGCACGAGGGGAAGCCGTTCCTGGCGATGGAACTGGTGGGGGAGAATTTGGCGGATTTGCGAAGTCGCGCGCGGGGCGGACGGTTCGGGCCGAGGACGACGTGCGCGATCGCGATCGCGATGCTGGACGCGCTGGAGAGCATGCACGGCGCGGGATACGTGCACAGAGATATTAAACCAGGGAACGTGTGCGTGGGGAACGGTAAAGAGGGGATGAAGCGGTTGTATTTGATCGATTTCGGTTTGGCGCGCAAGTTCACCGACGACGACGGAAACGTGTTGCCGGAGCGGGACGACGCGACGTTTCGAGGGACGACGACGTACGCGAGCGTGTACGCGCACGAAAACAAGGAACAGAGCGCGCGTGACGACTTGTTTAGCGCTTTGTACGTCTTGGTCGAAGCACACGAGGGTGTTTTGCCCTGGAAGGCGGGCGAAGAAAAGATGAGCAAGCAAAACGTCGAGCGCGAAAAGAAGAAATGCGTGAAGAATCCGGCGTTGTTGTGCCCGAAACACGGGTGCCCGACAGCCATAGAAACTTTCGCACGCGCGATCGCGACGTTGGAGTATGGGCAAACCCCAGATTACGCCGCGCTGCGGGCGCCGTTTGAAGACGTCGTGCGCAACGCCGGCGACACGCCTTTGGACTGGGAAGCGGGCGCGGCGCCGCCGCCGTCGCTGCAAACGACCAAGGGAGCGCCACCACCGCCACCGGTGACGACGTACGCCGCCGTCGCGGCGGCGAATGCTGATGCAAAAATTACGGGTCATAAGCGAGAGCGAGACCAAGCGCCGCCGCCGTTGCCGCCCGGTCAGTTGGTTCGCGCCGCGCGTTTTGAGCCGAGCAGTTTACCGCCGCACATCGCGGACACCGTGCGGAATATTTGTTTCAAGTTTTCGGCCGAAGAAGCTCTCGCGATCGCCTCCGGTGCTGCAGCTTTCGTGCTAGAGAATGCGCTCGAAGGCGCCGAAAAGTATCCGCTACCGCTCGTCGAGCGAAACTTCGTCGAGCTTCGAGAAATCATATTCGAAGGCATCGGCGAAATTCATCGAAGCGATATGTGGAGGGATGGTAATTACAAACTGAGCCAGCCGAGTAAGTTTCGCCAAGGCGGCGGGCGCGGCGACGGCGGGCGCGGCGGCAGGGGCGGGCGCGGCGACGGCGGGCGCGCGGGCAGAGGAGGGCGCGGCGACGGCGAGCGGCGGTTCGGCGGCGAGCGTCATCACCGCGATGGGGATAAAGGGGACAAAGGAGCCAACGACCCGCAGGAAAATAGAAGCAAGCAGCAACGACGCTCGAATTGATAATCATCACCGAACCTTTCACCACCGAACCGAAGCCGGGTTGGCCTCACAATTAGCAGCGCCATGCGCGGCGTCGCGCGCCCACCGGCGCCCACGCGAGCGGGGCTTCGTTGCCGCGCGCGTGCGCCGGGAACGCGCGCGCACCGTCGTATCGTTTCCATCCCTGCTCGCGCGTCGTCCCAGGGCGACGACGATCTGCCGACAGATATGTGGAAGACGAAACCCGCGTGGTGCCAGCCGTACTCAATCGTGGCCACTGGCGTGCTCGCCACCGCGACGCCAGTGAACGTGCTCCACCTCGACGAGCGCGTCGCCGGCTGGTTCGGAACGCTATCCACCACCATCGTCGGCGCCGCCGTCCTGGCGTGGTGGTTCCTGTTCTTGTACGTCGTTCCTCGCGAGTACGAGCGGAGCGTCGAGGCGTTTCGCGAGGACCGACGGCGACGAGGTGGTGGTGACGCGCCGTAGCGCGACGACGAAGCGAGGCGCGAACGCGTCGTTAGCGATTTAGAAGCGCGCGCGGGCGCGCGCGCGAGTAGCTCAAGACAATAGAATACCATTACACCGACGAACGCGTCTCCGCGTTCGTCGTTAGCTCAACGCTTTCCCCGCGCTCGCCACCGCCGCTTCATCTTAATTCGACGACAGCACGAACGCGATGAACTCATCGTAATCAACCTCTCCGTCTCCCGTGGTATCCGCCAACCGAATCGCGTCCTCGATCTCTTGCTCCGTCAGTTTCTCCCCGATGACCTTCATCACGCTCTTCAGCTCATCCGCGCTAATCGTCCCGCTCTGATCCTTATCGAACACCGTGAACACGTCCCTGAGCTCCCTCTCCGGATCACCCTCGTTCATCTTCCGCAGCATCATCGTCAAAAACTCTGGAAAATCGATCGCCCCGTCCCCGTCCGCGTCGATCTCCCGCACCATCGCCTCCAGCTGCGCCCTCGTCGGTTTCTGCCCGAGCGACTTCATCACCTCCCCGAGCTCCTCCGCCGTGATCGTCCCGCCGCCGTCGACGTCGAATATATCGAACGCCTCCTTGAACTCCTGCACCTGCGCGCGCGTGAGGTACGGCCACGCGCTCGCGAGCTCCTCGTCCGTGAGGTGTTTCCGCGACATGCCCGCGCGCGATCGAACGCGCCGTTTTCAGCGCGTCGCGTCGTTTTCAGCGCGTCGCGCGCGCGCGCGCGCGTCGAGCGCGGCGTCGCGCGTCGCGACGCGGCGCGTCGCGTCGAGCGGCGTGTCGCGCGGCGCTCTGACGCGCGCGATTCGCGAATGCGAATGCGGTTTCGATTCGATTCGTCGGCACAGCGGCGCGCGCGCGCGACGCGCGGCGCGCGACGCGCCGGGATTCGATGAACTTTCAGTTCACGGACGCGTTCGTGTCGCGCGCGCGCGACGCGCGCGAGGCGCGCGCGCGGAAGGTGGACGACAGCGCGCGCGCGAGCTCGACGAGCGACGACGACGACGACGACGGCGACGCGCGCGACGCGCGCGACGGCGCGCGCGCGCGCGACGACGACGACGACGACGCGCGCGACGGCGACGACGACGCGGGAGGCGCGGTGACGCGACGCGTCGCGAGGACGCTCGAGCGATGGCGCGCGAACGACGCGTCGCTGTTGATGTTCCGGCGCGACGGCGCGACGCGACGGTTCTGCGCGCGCGCGATCGAGGCGCGCGCGTTTCACGCCGTCGTCGCGATGTGCGTCGTGGGCTCGAGCGCGATCGTCGCGGTGGTGAAACCGGCGAGGGATGGCGCGGCGGAGGCGACGGCGGCGACGGCGGCGAATTACGTCGTCGCGGGGGTGTTCGCGGCGGAGGCGCTGGTGAAGAGCGTGGCGCTGGGATTCGCGCTGGGCGAGGGGGCGTACTTGACGACGAATTGGCATCGGTTCGATTTCACGCTCGTCGTGCTGTCGTTGATGTTGATGCCGATCGGAGGCTCGCAGGTGGTGACGGTGCGACTGTTGCGGTCGTTGTACGCGTTCAAGTTGTTCGCGAAGTACCGCAGCGCGAGGTTGGCGATGAAAACGATCGCTCGAGCGCTGCCGTTGTTGGGGGACGTGCTGTTGTTTTTGCTGTGGTTTTTAATATTCTTCGCGGTGAGCGGCGTGACGATGTTCGGCGGTCGGATGACGGGACGGTGGTACGGGACGCCGCCGGATCAAGCGACGAACGCGAGCTACGTGTTTCCCGTGGGGACGGGGAGTGAGACGTGTGCGAACTTGGTCGGCGCGTGGATGGGCGCTCTCGCGTTGGGCGCCGAAGGAACGTACCCAAATGAGTACGACAGCACGTGCAACTACAAGGAATGGAACACAAACAGAAGCGCGACGGAGTGGTGCTGTGATTCGGGCATCGAGCCGTATGACGGATTTCTGAGCTTTGCGAACGCTGGGAGAAGTTCAATTGTCGCGTTAAATGGAATGACCATCGACGGTTGGAATGAGTTGCTCAATCCCACGGCGTACGCGGTTGGCTATCCCGCGGCGTTTCTTTGGTTCATCGTCGTCGTTCTGATGGGTGGGTTTTTTATGATGGAACTCTTTACATCCGTCATTTGCGCGACGTTGACGCAAATGGGTATTCGCGACGAAGACGAAGCGCCCGAAGACTCGAGCCAGGCGAAGACAGAGAAAGTACTAGAAAGCTTGGACGACGAGACGGCGCTCAGTCGCGGCGAAAGCGATGGACGCGGAAACAACTTTCACAAGAATGGTGAGCGTTTTTTTCGTCTCTTTGTGTCTGATGCAACGCGTCAAATGTGCTGGAAAATCGCTGAAGACCGACGTTTTGATGCCAGCATCACGGTGGTTATTATATTTAATACAATTTTGATGATGTCGCAGCATCACGCGGCGTCGTCGGGATTCGTCAAGGCTTCTGAAATTTTAGAATATGTTTTCCTCGGATGTTTTGCTGTAGAAATGGCGATTAAACACATCGGATACGGCTTTAGAGGATACTGGAGCTCAAAGCAAAACGTTGTCGATGGGTTGATCGTGTTTACCGGTGTCATCAGTACGGCGGTGACGAGTCAAGGCGTGAGCGCGTCATTCATTCGTCTCTTGCGAATAGGAAGGGCGCTGCGAACGTTTCGCGTCATCAGAAACAACAGAGAATTTAGGAAGATCATTTCAAGCGCGTATCTCGGTTTCCAAGACATGTGGCCGTTTTTGATCGTTTGGCTATTATTTCAAGTCATATTTGCCATTTACGGATTTCAACTCTTCACCGGGTTAGGAGCGCTCGACGACGAGCGCTTGACGTTTAGGAACTTTTTGCGCAGCGCGTTGACGCTGTTTGTTGTCGCCACGGGAGAGGACTCGTTTGTTGTCGCGTGGAATACTATGGTAGCGTCCGGTAACGACGTCGTCGTTCTGTACACCATCGCGTGGATTTTTTTATCCACCGTCATCTTGTCGCTCGTGCTCGGGATTTTAATCGACTCGTGTTCGCTCGTCGACATCGAGGAAGAGCAACGCGCGCAAGACGAGCTTGAAGATGGCAGACTGAGGTCTGCCATCGAACGTGCGGGTGATATCGTGCTAGATCCGAATCGGAAAGCGAAACGGGTACTGCAAAACATGACATTCGCGGCGAACGCATTCAGGAGTACGTTGCGAAAACATGCGCGCAGCAAGCGCGGCGACTCGATAAAAGACAGAGGTGATACGAGCTTCAAGTTTAATCTTTTGGATGCGGCCAGGAAACAAGAATGTGCCGAACAAGCAATACAATCGCAAGCGAAAAAGAGTTTAAAGACGGCCGATGGCAGTACGCCTACGGCGATTTCATCCGTACTCGCAGCATTAAAGCCTCCGGATCACGGTGGCAAGCTCGCGCAGGTCAAGAAGGACCGCTTGAGAAAGCAAACAGTCGAAGATGTTGCTGCGTGCAGGATATTTCTAGATTCGATCGGATTCAAGTTGAAGACACCGGCGCAAGTACTGACCATAAGCGAGCACGCTCTTAAGGAGGCTCAACTTCGCCTGACGCCAAAGTTTGTGGAGTATCAAGACTATCAAGACAAAGCGTTCGGGGTGACTAGCTCTATCAAAAGTTCTATTAGGCACAGTATGACGAAAAGATTTGCGGCGCAAAACAATCGTTTAAGCATCGAGGATAAGAGTAAGGAAGACGAGCATGTCGTCTTTGACGCGCACGGTCCTTGGGCGGCGACAATCACGAGATCCATCTCCTCACGCGTGAAGAAACAGTCGTCAGAGATACCGGGCGTGATCGTCACAAAAGATGGCGACTTTATACCGCTGTACGACGATACGATTCCCGTCGAGAGATACAAATACTTGGTGCACAAAATTGTTTCACACAACCTCTTTGAGAACGCCATTCTATGCATGATCATCGCTGGTAGCGTGTTACTCGCGACAGAAACAAAGACTTGGCCAGTGGCGGGATCTCATACTGCAAAAGTGTACACCGCGGTTGATATTACTTTTACGACTTTATTTGGCGCAGAGATGGTATTAAAGTTATTCGCCTACGGGTTGTACGAGCGACCGACTGCGTATCTGAAGAATTCCTTCAACATTCTCGATGGCGTCGTCGTCTTTACATCAATCATTTCGCTCACCGCGGCAGACGATGGCAGCGGAAGCGTGCGAGCACTTCGACTTTTGCGAATCATGCGCCCGCTTCGATCCATTCGTCGTTTCCCTGGTCTCCGCCTTGTCGTTAACACTGTACTTTCCGCGATCCCAGCCGTAAGTTACGTGTGCTTCATCGGTTTAGTTTCCATGTCAATTTTCGCACTTCTTGGTATGGAGCTCTTTATGGGTAAGTTTTGGTCGTGTCGAGTGGTGAATGATGCGAGTAGCTACACTACACAAGCAACGTGCGAGGCAGCGGGAGGAAAGTGGCGAAATGCAAAGTTCAACTTTGATAACTTTGGCGCTGCACTTTTATCGACGTTTCTACTGCACGCCGGCGATGACTGGCAAGAAATCATGTGGGTCGCCATGGATACCACAGGCGTCGGGACCGGCTTGAAAACAGATAACAACCAAGCCGCCGCTCTTTATTTTGTATTGACGGTCGCCATCGGGAATTTCTTTTGGTTGAATTTATTAGTCACGGCGCTCGTGGACAACTTTAACAAGATGGCTTCGCAAGACAAGCTTACGTTTGTCACCCCAGCGCAGCGGCGCTGGCAGCAGGCTATACTACGTGCAAGCACGCAAGATTCAGAGGCATGGCGCAGAATCGTACCGCCGCCAGGCAAAAGCCTTTGGTCGCGAGCTCGTCTACTTGCGCATCATATCTCAAAGCCGAAAAAGTTTGCGTACTTCATCCTCGTGGTAGTGTGCGCAAATTTAATCGAGCTCTTGACACAAACGGCGAATATGAGCAGTTCAGCAGAATATGCTCACTTCTGCATGTCTATCGCGTTCACTGCGGTGTACTCTTTGGAAATGATGCTTTTGCTCATGGCGCAAGGTCGGACGCGTTACTTTAGGAATTATTGGAATTGGCTGGACGCCTTCGTCGTCGTAGTTTCCATCGTACAGGCGATCGGACAAAGTCTAAACGCAGGCGGTGTCATGAATTACCTACAATTGGTGAGATTGTTGAGATTACTGAAACTGGTAAAGGCACATTCTGGGCTGCGGTCGCTCTTCAACACGTTCATAATGAGTCTTCCGGGTGTCGGAAACGTCGCCGCGCTATCGTCCCTCGCGATCTTTTCGTACGCCATCATGGGTGTTTCACTTTTCGGCGATGAAACCGGCCCTTTCGAAGGCGGCGTGCTATCGAAGTACTCGAACTTTCAACGATTCACCACAGCTTGCTCATCTCTCATCGGGGTGTACACGGGTGGCTGGGTTGGCACGTTCGGCGAGGTGTACCAAACAGAGGCGTGCTTACGCACAGAAGCACCGTTCATGTTGGAATCCAGCATCGACTGCTCGTATAACGCTGCTGCGGTCCCATACTTTATATCATTTGTCATCATCTCTATATTTTTGCTCGGAAATTTATTTGTGGCGATCATTCTCGAAAGATTCTCAGTATCAGCGGACGACGAGGGACTGTACGACACCGAGGAGGTGGTGGAAATTATCAAGCACACGATTCAGCTTCGACGACTCGCAATCAGAATTAAAAAGAAAGTCGTGCGGTCGCGCGAACCTGGTGGCGCGTTATTTGACGCATCAACCAAAGCGCGTAGCGTGATTGAGAGATTCACCCACAGCGCTCAGGAAGAACGTGCCGTCGTAAAGGGTCACCGAGGCGGGAGTGTCGCTCGCGATCACGTCGCGACGCTCGCCGCATTCGAGACGAATGGAGAGCAGGGTAACGTCGTGCCCGGACGGAACCAGTCCATCTTAGATCTCGCACCAGAGACGGATGTGACAGCAGAACGGGAAGTGCGACCGGAACCGGAACCCGAACTAGAACTGGAACCACCGGAACCTCTACGCGGCGCCGCATTTTTTGGTGAGAACAGGTTTGAGTCGCGGCGTGCTTACGCATCTTCCACGGATGCTGACTCGGATGACGATCATTACGCGTTTGAGATGAAAGACCCATCTAGTGGACGCCAACCAGGGCTGAATACACCGAATGATGGACTGAGTGAACGTGAACCGAGCGAACTGGCGTATTCCATGGGTGAATCGTACGACGCCGAAGAGAGCGCGTCAGATGAGGACAGATTCGCTCAGTCATCATTTTCTCCCGAGTCGTATAGATTTAATGCCTCAGGAGAAGAAGCGACGCGGGTGCATTATGCAAGGCATAGCGATTATCTCTACGATTTTCGGGACGCGGACGATTCGCCTGAGCGCCGGCGAAAGGCGTCTTCGTTGCTCGGAAGCGAAACGAGCGATGACGGCGCGACGGGGGGGCAGACGAGCGACGCGGTGTCCGACGGAGAGTTCGCAAAGCTATCTTTTAGACTATAGATTTACAATATTAAGACTCAATGCGCCACACAGCCGTAACGTTTTGCCGTTGATCGTGCGTGCGTTTTCAAGGTGCGTGTTTCGGCGACTCGTTTGTCAGTGTTACACTGACGCGCGTTCACGTCGTCGCACTCTTTTTCAATTGTTCCGGAACGACACGACCGTTTTCATCGGTCCAATCTGTGTCGTACATGTGCTGATCGTGACGCTCACCGATGACAAGCCAGCTGATGAGTGCCGTCGAAGTGGGGTTTTGACACTCAATGGTGAGGACGTTGCCCACGACAGAACCTCGGACGGGGTCCCAGTCGCTTTCATTTGACGTGAACGACTGCACGTCGCGATTGAGTGCTTCAAATGTCCCTGTCGTCATGTTTGATGCGGCATCGATGTCTATCATCGCCCTACCGTTCTGCAAACGAACCTTGCCTCTGTAGATGAGATCCGCCCGTGGTCCCTCGATGAAGGAGTGATACAAATTATGCGTGTCTTTCATTTCAGGAAGTGGATGATCGATCTTGAAAGAGCCACTTCCCTTGCTCAGTGCGCCAGACACGTGCGCCGCTCCATTGACTTCGAGAGCGTAGGAGGGATTCGTGACTCCGACTCCTAATCGAGGACCAGAGACGTCACCGCGAATGGTGACAAGGAGAGTCCCGCTTCCGCCTGGATCAAGAGCGGTAGAGCTATGGCCGCCACCTTTATAAAAGCCAAACAAGTCCTGTGAACGAAAGTATACAGTGTTCGACTGCGTTCCGATGCCGCCAGTCGCGAGCGCAGCAACCTGACGGTGCTGGGTACCAAAATTTATTTGCTGAGTACCGGTATTGAGGCGCAAGTCGCCGCGAATTGTCGCGTACGACGCCACATTAAGCGTCGTGCCTACGTCGAGCGCAGCGGTCGCTTGCGCCGACCCGGTGACCTTAAAAGCGTAGCCACTATCTGTGTCTGAAGATCCAATCGCCATTCGAGCACCAGAGATGTCACCGCGAATGGCGACAAGGAGAGTCCCGCTTCCGCCTGGGTTCAGATCGGCGCTGTTGTGACCGCCATTTTTGTAAAAGCCGAAAAAATCCTGTGAACGAAAATACAGCGTCTTTGACTGCGTTCCGATTCCACCGTTATTCGTTTCAATAAACTGACGCGCTGTGCTGCCAAACGAAATCTTATTGGTTGTACTTTGGATCAATACGTTACCGCCAACGGTGAGTTGGTCATCGATCGTCGTCGCGCCCGTGAAGTGTCCTGTTCCAGTGACGTCCAGTTTGTAGCTCGGATTCGTCAGCCCGATGCCGACGTTACCGCTACTACGATACACGTTACTGCCGCTCTCCGTCCAGGGGGAGGGGGACGGGAACAGAGAACCGCCCTGATAGAGATTCCCAGAAAAGTTGATATCGCCTACCACGTCGAGATCATAGCTCGGATTCGTCCGCCCGATGCCCACCTTCCCGCCGCTCCTGATCACCAGACGCGCGGTGCCACCGTTCGCGTCCAAGTCAGTGGTGCTGTGCGTTCCGTCTTCGTAGAACGCAAAGTGGCCCGGAGAGCGAAAGTACGTCGTGTCCATCTGCGTCCCGATCCCGAAACCCTCGGCGCCGACGCGGAGGTTGATCATCTGACGATGCGTCGCCGCAAAGTTCAAGTCGCCAGCCGTGTCGATGGTTAAATCTTGACCCACCGATAGCGTCGTACTAACGCGCCCCGTTCCAGCAACGTGCAGATTGTAGGTCGGATTCGTCAGCCCGATGCCGACGTTACCGCTACTGCGATACACGTTACCGCTGCTCTCCGTCCAGGGGGAGGCAAACAGCGAACCACCCTGATAGAGATTCCCAGAAAAGTTGATATCGCCTACCACGTCGAGTTCATAATCTGGACTCGCCGTCCCGATACCGACGTTGCCCGTGGTTTTCTGAATCATCATGCGCAAAGTGCCACCCGAACCCGGATCGAGCTCTGTGTTGGTGTACACGCCGCCTTCAAAAAAGGCAAAGTTATAAGCACTACGAAAATACATCGTGGACGATTGCACGCCGATGGCGTTGTTTGTTCCATATAAGTTGATCATCTGCCGGGTTGCAGAACCAAAACTCAAAGCCGAGGAAGTCCCGACGCTCACGTCGCCGGTGAGCGTCGTAGCGCCAGTCACGCCGAGCGTCGTGCCGACGGTGGCCGCGCCGGTCACGCCCACGGATGCGAGCGTCGTAGCGCCAGTCACGCCGAGCGTCGTGCCGAGCGTCGTAGCGCCAGTCACACCTAAAGTCCCGCCGACGGTGGCCGCACCGGTCACGCCCACGGATGCGAGCGTCGTAGCGCCAGTCACGCCGAGCGTCGTGCCGACGGTGGCCGCACCGGTCACGCCCACGGATGCGAGCGTCGTAACGCCAGTCACGTCAAGCGTGCTACTCAGCGTCGTCGCGCCACTCACGCGCGCCGTCCCGGTGACGTCCAGCGTCTTCCCCGGCGTCGTCGTCCCGATGCCCACCTGCCCGGTCGAGTCCACAGTCACGGCCGCGCTACCGCCCGTGCTCAGCGTCAGGTCCTGCCCGGAGTGCGTGTCCAGACTCACGGCGCCGTTCGCGTCCACAGAAACACGCTCACCGCCCACCCCCTGGCGAAGCGTGATCGAGCCGGCGGTGCCTAGACCAGTGGCCGAGTCCACCAGAACGTCACCGTTCACGCTGCCAGCGGGCGCGCCGCCAGATTGCAGCGTCAAGTCGCCGCCGGTGTTCGAGGACGTCCCAGTCGTCGTGCCGCCGGACACGCTCACGGCGCCCGCGTTCCCGGCCGAGCTGAGGCTCGACACGCTCAGGGTCTGCCCGCCTAAGGAGTTCAAAGTCACAGCGCCGGTGTCGGTCCAGCTCAAAATACTCGTCCCGCCCTGCTCCAAAGACAAAGCACCGGCGGCATCGATCGTCACATCATCGGCAGCATCGAGCGTGATGTCGTCCGTCGACGTCAACACGATGCCACCCGTACCGGCGCTCGTCAAGCTCACGTCCGAACCACTTGCAGAGGTCAAACTCACAGCGGCATCAGATGTCACAGTAAGCGCACCGCTCACGGTCAAGTCGTTGCTCATCGTCACGTCGCCGGTGAGCGTCGTAGCGCCAGTCACACCTAAAGTCCCGCCGACGGTGGCCGCACCGGTCACGCCCACAGATGCGAGCGTCGTAGCGCCAGTCACGCCGAGCGTCGTGCCGACGGTGGCCGCGCCGGTCACGCCCACGGATGCGAGCGTCGTAGCGCCAGTCACACCTAAAGTCCCGCCGAGCGTCGTAGCGCCAGTCACGCCAAGCGTCGTGCCGACGGTGGCCGCGCCGGTCACGCCCACGGATGCGAGCGTCGTAGCGCCAGTCACGCCGAGCGTCGTGCCGACGGTGGCCGCGCCGGTCACGCCCACGGATGCGAGCGTCGTAGCGCCAGTCACACCTAAAGTCCCGCCGACGGTGGCCGCACCGGTCACGCCCACGGATGCGAGCGTCGTAGCGCCAGTCACGCCAAGCGTGCTACTCAGCGTCGTCGCGCCACTCACGCGCGCCGTCCCGGTGACGTCCAGCGTCTTCCCCGGCGTCGTCGTCCCGATGCCCACCTGCCCGGTCGAGTCCACAGTCACGGCCGCGCTACCGCCCGTGCTCAGCGTCAGGTCCTGCCCGGAGTGCGTGTCCAGACTCACGGCGCCGTTCGCGTCCACAGAAACACGCTCACCGCCCACCCCCTGGCGAAGCGTGATCGAGCCGGCGGTGCCTAGACCAGTGGCCGAGTCCACCAGAACGTCACCGTTCACGCTGCCAGCGGGCGCGCCGCCAGATTGCAGCGTCAAGTCGCCGCCGGTGTTCGAGGACGTCCCAGTCGTCGTGCCGCCGGACACGCTCACGGCGCCCGCGTTCCCGGCCGAGCTGAGGCTCGACACGCTCAGGGTCTGCCCGCCTAAGGAGTTCAAAGTCACAGCGCCGGTGTCGGTCCAGCTCAAAATACTCGTCCCGCCCTGCTCCAAAGACAAAGCACCGGCGGCATCGATCGTCACATCATCGGCAGCATCGAGCGTGATGTCGTCCGTCGACGTCAACACGATGCCACCCGTACCGGCGCTCGTCAAGCTCACGTCCGAACCACTTGCAGAGGTCAAACTCACAGCGGCATCAGATGTCACAGTAAGCGCACCGCTCACGGTCAAGTCGTTGCTCATCGTCACGTCGCCGGTGAGCGTCGTAGCGCCAGTCACGCCGAGCGTCGTGCCGACGGTGGCCGCGCCGGTCACGCCCACGGATGCGAGCGTCGTAGCGCCAGTCACGCCGAGCGTCGTGCCGACGGTGGCCGCGCCGGTCACGCCCACGGATGCGAGCGTCGTAGCGCCAGTCACACCTAAAGTCCCGCCGAGCGTCGTAGCGCCAGTCACGCCAAGCGTGCTACTCAGCGTCGTCGCGCCACTCACGCGCGCCGTCCCGGTGACGTCCAGCGTCTTCCCCGGCGTCGTCGTCCCGATGCCCACCTGCCCGGTCGAGTCCACAGTCACGGCCGCGCTACCGCCCGTGCTCAGCGTCAGGTCCTGCCCGGAGTGCGTGTCCAGACTCACGGCGCCGTTCGCGTCCACAGAAACACGCTCACCGCCCACCCCCTGGCGAAGCGTGATCGAGCCGGCGGTGCCTAGACCAGTGGCCGAGTCCACCAGAACGTCACCGTTCACGCTGCCAGCGGGCGCGCCGCCAGATTGCAGCGTCAAGTCGCCGCCGGTGTTCGAGGACGTCCCAGTCGTCGTGCCGCCGGACACGCTCACGGCGCCCGCGTTCCCGGCCGAGCTGAGGCTCGACACGCTCAGGGTCTGCCCGCCTAAGGAGTTCAAAGTCACAGCGCCGGTGTCGGTCCAGCTCAAAATACTCGTCCCGCCCTGCTCCAAAGACAAAGCACCGGCGGCATCGATCGTCACATCATCGGCAGCATCGAGCGTGATGTCGTCCGTCGACGTCAACACGATGCCACCCGTACCGGCGCTCGTCAAGCTCACGTCCGAACCACTTGCAGAGGTCAAACTCACAGCGGCATCAGATGTCACAGTAAGCGCACCGCTCACGGTCAAGTCGTTGCTCATCGTCACGTCGCCGGTGAGCGTCGTAGCGCCAGTCACGCCGAGCGTCGTGCCGACGGTGGCCGCGCCGGTCACGCCCACGGATGCGAGCGTCGTAGCGCCAGTCACGCCGAGCGTCGTGCCGAGCGTCGTAGCGCCAGTCACACCTAAAGTCCCGCCGACGGTGGCCGCACCGGTCACGCCCACGGATGCGAGCGTCGTAGCGCCAGTCACACCTAAAGTCCCGCCGAGCGTCGTAGCGCCAGTCACACCTAAAGTCCCGCCGACGGTGGCCGCACCGGTCACGCCCACGGATGCGAGCGTCGTAGCGCCAGTCACGCCAAGCGTGCTACTCAGCGTCGTCGCGCCACTCACGCGCGCCGTCCCGGTGACGTCCAGCGTCTTCCCCGGCGTCGTCGTCCCGATGCCCACCTGCCCGGTCGAGTCCACAGTCACGGCCGCGCTACCGCCCGTGCTCAGCGTCAGGTCCTGCCCGGAGTGCGTGTCCAGACTCACGGCGCCGTTCGCGTCCACAGAAACACGCTCACCGCCCACCCCCTGGCGAAGCGTGATCGAGCCGGCGGTGCCTAGACCAGTGGCCGAGTCCACCAGAACGTCACCGTTCACGCTGCCAGCGGGCGCGCCGCCAGATTGCAGCGTCAAGTCGCCGCCGGTGTTCGAGGACGTCCCAGTCGTCGTGCCGCCGGACACGCTCACGGCGCCCGCGTTCCCGGCCGAGCTGAGGCTCGACACGCTCAGGGTCTGCCCGCCTAAGGAGTTCAAAGTCACAGCGCCGGTGTCGGTCCAGCTCAAAATACTCGTCCCGCCCTGCTCCAAAGACAAAGCACCGGCGGCATCGATCGTCACATCATCGGCAGCATCGAGCGTGATGTCGTCCGTCGACGTCAACACGATGCCACCCGTACCGGCGCTCGTCAAGCTCACGTCCGAACCACTTGCAGAGGTCAAACTCACAGCGGCATCAGATGTCACAGTAAGCGCACCGCTCACGGTCAAGTCGTTGCTCATCGTCACGTCGCCGGTGAGCGTCGTAGCGCCAGTCACACCTAAAGTCCCGCCGACGGTGGCCGCACCGGTCACGCCCACAGATGCGAGCGTCGTAGCGCCAGTCACGCCGAGCGTCGTGCCGACGGTGGCCGCGCCGGTCACGCCCACGGATGCGAGCGTCGTAGCGCCAGTCACACCTAAAGTCCCGCCGAGCGTCGTAGCGCCAGTCACGCCAAGCGTCGTGCCGACGGTGGCCGCGCCGGTCACGCCCACGGATGCGAGCGTCGTAGCGCCAGTCACACCTAAAGTCCCGCCGAGCGTCGTAGCGCCAGTCACACCTAAAGTCCCGCCGACGGTGGCCGCACCGGTCACGCCCACGGATGCGAGCGTCGTAGCGCCAGTCACGCCAAGCGTGCTACTCAGCGTCGTCGCGCCACTCACGCGCGCCGTCCCGGTGACGTCCAGCGTCTTCCCCGGCGTCGTCGTCCCGATGCCCACCTGCCCGGTCGAGTCCACAGTCACGGCCGCGCTACCGCCCGTGCTCAGCGTCAGGTCCTGCCCGGAGTGCGTGTCCAGACTCACGGCGCCGTTCGCGTCCACAGAAACACGCTCACCGCCCACCCCCTGGCGAAGCGTGATCGAGCCGGCGGTGCCTAGACCAGTGGCCGAGTCCACCAGAACGTCACCGTTCACGCTGCCAGCGGGCGCGCCGCCAGATTGCAGCGTCAAGTCGCCGCCGGTGTTCGAGGACGTCCCAGTCGTCGTGCCGCCGGACACGCTCACGGCGCCCGCGTTCCCGGCCGAGCTGAGGCTCGACACGCTCAGGGTCTGCCCGCCTAAGGAGTTCAAAGTCACAGCGCCGGTGTCGGTCCAGCTCAAAATACTCGTCCCGCCCTGCTCCAAAGACAAAGCACCGGCGGCATCGATCGTCACATCATCGGCAGCATCGAGCGTGATGTCGTCCGTCGACGTCAACACGATGCCACCCGTACCGGCGCTCGTCAAGCTCACGTCCGAACCACTTGCAGAGGTCAAACTCACAGCGGCATCAGATGTCACAGTAAGCGCACCGCTCACGGTCAAGTCGTTGCTCATCGTCACGTCGCCGGTGAGCGTCGTAGCGCCAGTCACGCCGAGCGTCGTGCCGACGGTGGCCGCGCCGGTCACGCCCACGGATGCGAGCGTCGTAGCGCCAGTCACACCTAAAGTCCCGCCGACGGTGGCCGCACCGGTCACGCCCACGGATGCGAGCGTCGTAGCGCCAGTCACGCCAAGCGTGCTACTCAGCGTCGTCGCGCCACTCACGCGCGCCGTCCCGGTGACGTCCAGCGTCTTCCCCGGCGTCGTCGTCCCGATGCCCACCTGCCCGGTCGAGTCCACAGTCACGGCCGCGCTACCGCCCGTGCTCAGCGTCAGGTCCTGCCCGGAGTGCGTGTCCAGACTCACGGCGCCGTTCGCGTCCACAGAAACACGCTCACCGCCCACCCCCTGGCGAAGCGTGATCGAGCCGGCGGTGCCTAGACCAGTGGCCGAGTCCACCAGAACGTCACCGTTCACGCTGCCAGCGGGCGCGCCGCCAGATTGCAGCGTCAAGTCGCCGCCGGTGTTCGAGGACGTCCCAGTCGTCGTGCCGCCGGACACGCTCACGGCGCCCGCGTTCCCGGCCGAGCTGAGGCTCGACACGCTCAGGGTCTGCCCGCCTAAGGAGTTCAAAGTCACAGCGCCGGTGTCGGTCCAGCTCAAAATACTCGTCCCGCCCTGCTCCAAAGACAAAGCACCGGCGGCATCGATCGTCACATCATCGGCAGCATCGAGCGTGATGTCGTCCGTCGACGTCAACACGATGCCACCCGTACCGGCGCTCGTCAAGCTCACGTCCGAACCACTTGCAGAGGTCAAACTCACAGCGGCATCAGATGTCACAGTAAGCGCACCGCTCACGGTCAAGTCGTTGCTCATCGTCACGTCGCCGGTGAGCGTCGTAGCGCCAGTCACGCCGAGCGTCGTGCCGACGGTGGCCGCGCCGGTCACGCCCACGGATGCGAGCGTCGTAGCGCCAGTCACACCTAAAGTCCCGCCGACGGTGGCCGCGCCGGTCACGCCCACGGATGCGAGCGTCGTAGCGCCAGTCACACCTAAAGTCCCGCCGACGGTGGCCGCACCGGTCACGCCCACGGATGCGAGCGTCGTAGCGCCAGTCACGTCAAGCGTGCTACTCAGCGTCGTCGCGCCACTCACGCGCGCCGTCCCGGTGACGTCCAGCGTCTTCCCCGGCGTCGTCGTCCCGATGCCCACCTGCCCGGTCGAGTCCACAGTCACGGCCGCGCTACCGCCCGTGCTCAGCGTCAGGTCCTGCCCGCTCACGGAGTTCACAGTCACAGCGCCGGCCGCGTCCCAGCTCAAAATGCTCGTCGAGTCCTGCTTCAGCGCGAGCGTCTTACTCGCCGCGGTGGTCACCACCACGTCGTCGCCGGACGCGAGCGTCAGGTCCTGCCCTGCGGCCGAAGTCACGGACAGCGCGCCGCTGCCATCAGCGTGCACTCGCACGTCTCCTGCGTTCGCGCCTTGCCTTATCGAGACCGGAATCGTGGATGTGCTGCTACCTATGTAAACCGCCGTTGCCTCGCTCGGAGCGATCACGACGTGTTGCTGACTCCCTCGCATGCCAGCGTCTAAAGTCAACGTGCTCGTTGGAGTGCCCGTGATGTCCTCCGCGTCCAGACCTGTAATCTTTGGCGCGCGCACTTCTTGATGAAACATGCCGTCTTGAGAGGTTGAAACCTGCACGTAACTCGTGTAGCTGTTCGCGTACACCACATCATTCGTTGTCAAGAGATTTCCGTGCACCGTCAAGTCGCCGAAAATATCGGTTTGAACTTGCTTATTTGAACTCTCGCCGACGCGCACAAACGACGCAGAAGTTGGACCTATGTGAATGATGCCCTCGTACGAAGATGCTTGTGTCGTGCTATCTCCGGCATCTATGACGACGTCGCCGCCCGTTCCTGAGTTCGACGTGCCGCCACGTAACTTCAAATCGCCACCGTTGCCGCCAGACGCCGACCCCGCCTCGATCACGACGTCGCCGCCCGCCCCCGAACCGCCCGTTCCGCCGAGAATCTTTACCGATCCCCCCTGATAGGTCGCGTTCGCGCCGACGATCGACAAAGCGCCGCCCGGGTTGCTGCTCGGTGCGCTCGGCGATTGTCGCGTGATGGCGTAGTACGTACTGTCCGTCACGCCGAGCTTGAGCTCTCCTTTCGCCGTCACCGAATCGGTGTACGCGTCGCCGAGGATGACGTCGCCGTCGACGGACACATCCGCGGTGAATCCCGCCGCCGCGCTCGCGGTGAGCGCTTCTTGCAGTATGAACTGATTTCCAGATCCCGAGCCAACGCTCGAGACGTCGCTATCGGTGATTCGAAATCCCGTGCACGGATGTTTCCCGGTAAACATCGTCGTGAGCGCTCGAAGCTTGTACGTGCTGGACAGCGCGCCGTACACGCTCACGTAATAGTACCCATTCACCGGACTCGTGATCGTCACCGAATCCAACGCATTTCCAACGTTCACGCTCCGCTGTTCGTACGACGAAGTCGTCGGCTGCGCCGATCGAGACACGTACAAGTTCGCGTCCCCGTTGCTCGTCGTCAGCTCCAACGTCAGCGGCTGCGCCGCCTCCACGCACGCCACATTCACCTTATAGTACTTATACCCGCTCGACGACACGAAACCATTCCTCGCCACCCCCTTCGTGAGCGCCGTCGACGCGTCCACGCCGACGCGCTCGACCGTCGCCGCCAACGCCGCCGTCGCCGCCGCCGCCGCCGCCGTCCCGAGCCGTCGACGACGCCTCGTCGCTCTCCCTCGTTCCCGCGCTCGCCGGCGTCCGCTCGCGCCCTCTCGCGCGCGCGTCGTCTCATCATCGCGCGTCGTCGTCGTCGCGTCGTCGTCGCGTCGTCGTCGTCGCGTCGCGTCCGGTCGCGCGACGGCGTCGTCGTCGATGTCATCATCGGCGGCAGCGGCGTCGACGACATCGCCGCGCGTGGTCGCCGCGCGCGTCGGCGTCCGCGTCGCGCGCGCTCGAACCGCGCGCGCGTCCCTTCGTCGCGCGTCGTCGCCGTCGTCGAGCCGCATGCGCGTCGTAGCGCGCGACGGCGCGTCGCGAAGTGCGCGACCGCCCGCGGCTCGCGCGCACGGTTTAAACTCGACGGGGGTCCCGATGGGTCACGACTCGTCAGGGGTGGTTAGGCGGGAGCGACGGACGCGGGACGCGAGGCGCGAGGGAGGCGAAGCGATGAAAATGGGCGTCGATGGGCGTTACAGCGAACCGTCGCTGAGCTCGGCGTCGTCGAGCGCGCGAGCGCGAGAAGTCGGGGGCGGGGGGGGCGCGATGGGGACGACGCGCGCGGCGGACGCGGCGCGGTCGATTTCGGCGCTCCTGTCGTTGAAACGAACGGAGAGCTTGCGAGACTTGGCGCGATCGGCGCCGGCGAGGAGGACGTCTCGAAAGGCGTCGGCGTCGGCGCGCGCGGCGCGGGAATCCTCGAGGGATTGACGCTTCTTTGATTGTCTGTGGCCGACGCGCGAGACGTCGAGGGTTTCGTCTCGGGCGAGCGAGGCGGCCATGGCGGCGTCGAATTGGTCGCGTAAATCGCGCCCGCAGAGGACGTCGCGGATCCAGTTTTGCATGGTTGATTCCTCTCGCTCTTGTTTCGCGATGTGCGGGTACACGTGCGTTTGCTTGAACGACTCGCTTCGCTCGCTGTACTTGGCCAGTTCAAAGTTTTCGTGCACGCCGCCGAATTTGTCGTTGTACGCCTTGTAGATGCACTCGCAAAGGAAGAGCCCGAGTTCGGGCGCCATGGGCGTCGGCACGAATTCGTGCGTGAGCAGTGCAAATTTCTGGTCGTCCTCGGTCAGCTCACCTCGAACGACGGCGAGCATGGTGCCGATGAGCTTGCGAATCTGGTGCAACATGAACGACTGCCCGACGACTTGGCACCGAACGAATTGCTCGCCCTCCACCTCAAACGGCGCCGAGCATTCGAAGCTTATGATGTAGCGCTTCGCTTGCGCGTCCGTTGGTTTCACCTTAACCGTATAGTTATGAAAATTATGCGTCCCGCAGTAATTTTTTAGCACACCGTCCACCCGCGAGCGCGTCTCCTCCGTAAACGCGAACGCCTCCGCCGCGCCCTCGGCGCCGAGATTCGGATCAAACGCCCGCGTCGGTATCACGTACTCATACCGTCGCCGATCGCACATCGTCTTCGCGTTAAACCCCCCGGTGACTCGATCGATCCCAAACACCTCAAATCGCTCCGGCAAAGCCGCGTTAATCCTCTCCACCATCCCGCTCGGTTCCAACACCATCTTCAGCGCCACCACCTGCCCCACCGCCGACACCCCCTTATCCGTCCTCGCCGCCCGCGTCCACTGCACTTTCGCGAAATCGCCCGCATTCGCATCGGATATCCCTCCCGCGCGCGCGATCGCGCCCTCCAGCTCCCCCTCGATCGTCCGCACGCCCGGGTTTCGCTGCATGCCCGCGTACCCGGCGCCGACGTAGGCAAACGTCACCGCGCACTTCCGTTTCTTATTCGGATTCGTCGGCGGTTTCCGCGCTTCGTCCGCGCGCGGTGCGTCGATGTCACCGCCATCGCCCGTCTCGCGCGTCTCCGCGCCGTCGATCGCCGCCGTCGCGTCGTCCTCGCGCGTCATCGCCGCCGCCGCCGCCGCCGCGTCATCATTCACCAACGAATCCATCTCTCTCGCTCGCGCGCGCGTCGCGTCGCGCGCGTTCGCCGCGCGTCGGTCGCCGCGCGTCGGTCGCGCGCGCCTCGCCGCCGTCGCGCGCGCGCGATCGCGCGCGCGCGCGCGCGTCGTCGTGTGCGGGGTGACGTCACGCGACGCGAACCGTCGGGACACGCCGACGCGCGAGCGACGCGCGCGATGCGCGTCGTCGTCGTCGGCGGCGGCGCGGCCGGGTGCGCGGCGTCGTTCGCGCTCGCGCGCGCGGGCGCGGACGTGGAGACGCTCGAGCGCGGCGACGCGCTCGGCGGCGTCGCGACGAGCGAGGTCGTGGGCGGGACGACCATCAACGACGGCGTGCAGGGCGGCGCGACGAGCTACGCGAACGCGCGAGCGATCATGGAGGCGTGCGGGACGGAGACGCCGCATTGGGTGGACGTCCGAGTGAGCTTCGGGCGAGGAGAGGCGCACTGGCGGAATCACGGGGAGGCGACGGCGCTGACGCGAGCGCTGCGAGACGACATCGCGAGGTTTGAAAAGACGCTGAAACGCATAAAACGGTTCGAGGCGCTGTACGCGTTCGTGAGCGTGGAGCGAGCGCTGCGATGGCACGGACACTCGAAGGCGTTTCGGGATCGGATGGTGTACGCGACGACGGCGTTGTTTTTTGGGACGGGGAACTGCACGCGCAAGGTGAGCAGCATCGTGCTCGCGCGCGTGTTCAACGATGATCGATTGCGGTTGTATGATTACGATCCCGTGCGGTTTATGAGCGAAGCGCCGAAAATGTTTGCGTTTCCAAAGTTTTCGGAGATGTATCGTCGGATCGGGGAGGACATAACGAGTCACGGGGGTCGGGTGACGTTGAACGCGCGCGTGGTCAAGGTTGAGCGCGAGAAAAAGTGCGTTCGAGTGCACTTTGAAAACGCCGAAGGGGCGATCGAGGTGCGAGAGTGCGATCGCGTGATTTTCGCGTGTAACACCGAGCAGTCGAAGGCGATGCTCGATGCGGGCACGGGGACGTCGATGATGGAGCGCCACATTTTCAACAACATCGAGTACTTTGACGACGTCTCCGTCACGCATTCCGATGAGGCTTACATGAAGAAGCACTACGAAGTCGCGGAAGACGTGCGCGATATGTACTTTATCAAATCTTACGACGATGATCCGTCGCTGTGCGAGATGAGCTTCGACCTGACGGCGTACCAACCGTTCGCCAAGGGCGCGAACGGCGAGCGAGTGTATCAATCCATCTTCTTGAACGCCGCAAAAGACAAATCGCGATGGACTCGCGACGAAATCGACCCAAATCGCGTTTTACTCGTCAAGTGGTGGCGACAATTCGGCCACACGGTTCGGCATTTCACGCGCGCCGTACCTTTTTGGCGTTTCGTCCAAAACAAGCGTCGTACGCTCTACGCCGGCTCGTACACTTCGGTCAACACGCACGAGATCGCCATCATTTCCGGTCTCGTCGCCGCGTACCGCTGTGGTGCGCCTTATCCATTCGCTGACGACGTCGCCGCGAGCTTTCAGTTCGATTTGTACGCCTCCATCATCCACGGCGTCAAGCGGCGACGTTGACGCTTGCATTTTTTACTCCAACTCACCGATTCTTTAAACCACCTCACATCTCCGCGCGCACCGCCCCACGCTCGCCGAATGCGCGCCACCGCGACGACGACGTTCGCTCCCATCGCCCGCGCGCCCGCGCACCGCGTCACCGCGCCGCGCGCGCGCGCTGTCCCGCCGCGCGCCGTCCCGACGACGTCACCGCGGTCCGACGCCGCGCCCGCGCTCGTCGCCGCGCTCGCCGCGCTCGCGATGAGCGCGTCCGCGGCGCCCGTCGCGCTGGCGATCCCGCAGACGAGCGAGTGCGCGACGAACTCGTGCGATGGGTACGACTACAGCGGGAAGAACTTCGAGGGCACCGGCGAGTACTTCACGAAGGGGTCGCTCAAGCGCGCGAACTTCAACGACGCGAATTTGACCGGAATCACGCTGTTCGGGGCGGATTTATCCAACGCGACGTTTGTGAACGCGAATTTGAGCAACGCAAACCTGGGGCAGGCGAACCTGACGGGAGCGGATTTCACGAACGCGATTCTTAGCGGCGCCATCGTGAGCAGCGCGCAGTTGGACGAGGTGAAGCTTACGAATAGTGACTGGTCGGATGTGATCGTGCGAAAGGATGTGCTGACGGGACTGTGTAAGGTGGCTGATGGGGAGAATCCGGTGACTGGGAACATCACGGCGCTGAGTTTGATGTGTCCTTGATTAGTTTTTTTGTAACACGAGACGCGGCTTTGCGCTAAATTGCCAGACAAGTTTTTTTGTGCGCGACGTTATTTTTACAAACGGTGCGCGCGCGCGCTAATGATTCGTCGTACGAACGACGTGCGAGCGACAGAAAGGATCGGAGTACTAGCACCATGCAAGTCATCAAAACCGAGGCATCAGAAGACCGTCGTGAAACAATGGTATTTCGTCATGTCCTTGCGCCGCTCGCGAAGTCGTTCGCGCTCGAGTCGTAACCAAATCTCTAATCATCTATGCATCTAACCGTCTATATCCTATGTGTACTGAGTGGAGCGCAAACCCAAACGATCGGGGTCAGTATGGTGAAATTTGTTCGCCACGAGTAAAGAAAAAAGATGGTCAGCGACAAGCCTCAGACAGCGGCGTAACCGCGCGATTTGTGCCAAGCCGAGAACGGATTCTCATACGCCGCGATCGAGGAAGGTTCGCCTGGAAATCCAGATTCCCCGACGACGTACTGCGCTGCACACGAAATTGCTGCATCATCGGCTGTGCCGACGAGAGTTCTTAACATTGAAGTGATGATTGCTCAGCGAAAGGAGAAGTCGTTTTTGAAGTGATTGAGCGCACAGGCACATGGCCTTCTAACAAACAGCCTCGAGGTTATAATCATCGCAATCATCACCATTTCATCACTCTCGCCATGACGCGCATCCATAGAAAATAAACGAAACATTCGCGCCGTTCGACGATGCACGCACCTATAAAACTTCTACCCGTGTACGCTCGCGTCGTCTTGGAAAGCTCGACGCTAGCGATTTCTGCGATGGGAAAATTAAACAACTCGGTGAGTGACCGAGAAAACGCGCGAGATGAGAGATTCGAAAACAGAGGTAAGGCAGAAGTAGGTGTAAGCCCGGTTTCCAGAGCAAACTGCATCGGGGCCGAGATAGTAAGTAACTTCCCCGCGGCCGCTCAGAATGCGAGCTCGTTACTTTACGGGCTGATTAACGCCAAACATGGATGGGATTCCACGCCCGGCTGCCTGAAGTAACAGCCCGCAAACCACTCGGCGATCCCGCGCGACGAAATGGTCATCGTAAATGCATCGATAGATGTCTGGCCTCAATGTATTTACCCGCGGTAAGCAGCGAATAAACATAGCGAGAAACCAGTTGCGCGACCGAACCCGAAGCTTCGATTCAACGGGCCGACCTATCGTTCTAGCTTCTAGGGAACGGGGCAAAGAAACACTGACGGAGTAAAGTGCCCAACTTAGCGAAGCAAACAAACGAGTGATGTGAAAACGCGAATAACGTGGACGACGATGACGACGCATCGACCAATGGGGGCCTTCGAGAACGTAAACAGATCGGAACTGGGTTGTCACACCCGATGTTTGTTGTCTCATCACCGTAATTCGTAAACACGGACCATCAATTTCCTCATCTCCACTCGCGCGACGCCCCAGAGAATCTTTGGGCGCGCTCGTCGCGCCCGCGTCGTCGTCCGCGTCGTCCCTCGTTCGGTCACAGAAAAAAGAAAAACCATTCTTCGCCGAATGCGTTCGGCGAATCGTTGACGGATCAGATAATACTGGCAAGTATAGCCGGTGGCACCGGCCTTCTATATGCTTTTCATCTTCGATCAATTGGGGAAAGAGAGGTCCTCATTTCCGTAACGATTCGCTTTTCGGCGAAGAAGAGAGAAAACACAAGAACGTCCGAGACGCACCTCATTTAACCAAACAAACGTCCACCCGCCTCTGCGTCTCCGAGCGCGTTCGTTCTCTGCGATTTCGCGAATTCGCGACGACCGAATCCAACGTCAGTGCGCGAAACAAACAAACTTCATCCCGTCTCATCTCCCGCGTTCATCGATGCATTCATTCGTCCGTTCGTCATCTTCCTCGTTCCCGCGCGCGGGTCGGCGCGAATTTCGCTCAGACAATTGTCGTGTAGTTTGGAACAAGTCTCTTCAAAGCCGAGGCTCAAAGCGAGCTGGGTTAATAGCGTTCGATCTTCCTCGCGATTCTTCACGACGCGCATCGCGCGTTCCCGAGCTCAGATGACGAACGAACGAACGAACGAAAAACGCGCCGCGCCGCCGCGCCGCCGCGTCGTCGCCGCCTCCATCTCCACCTCTCCATCCTCGCGCCCCTTCCGCGCCGACGTCGCGAACGAACGGTCCGATCATGCGTGCATGACTGTATACTTAAACCAATCACCACGTACGCCGAAACGTCGTCTGACTGGGGCGGCATGTGTGGTCGTCACGCCGTTCATTCGCGCGTCGTCCGGCGGCGCGGATGCGTTCGCGCGTCGCCGCATTCACCCCTCGTCCACCTCGCGCGACGTCCTCGACGCGCCCTCGCGCGCGTCGAACGCACCGAAACATTTTTTCGCGTCGAACGATCGCCTCCGCGCGTCGCGCCGCGCGTCGCGCCGCGCGACGACGACTGACGTTCGCCGTCCGACGAACGAAGCCCGGTTCGCGCCACTCCCACGCGCGCGACGGTCGCTCGCGTCGCGCGACGGCGTCCGCGGCGCGCGGCGCGTCGACACGCGCGAAGCATCGCTCGACGCGCGCGCGCGAGATGGCGTTCAGCGAGCGACACGCGGCGCGCGCGACGGGGAACGCCGCGATCGCGGGGGCGCTGTTGACGTTTTGCGGGGCGGCGTACTGGTACACCGTGATGAAGGTGCGAAAGGACGAGATGGACGTCGCGATCGAGCGACGCGAGGCCAAGGCGAAGGGCGCGCGGTAGGCGCGAGGACGGCGCCGGGACGTCGGGCGGCGATCGACGCGACGCGACGGAGCGGCGCGGGCGAGGACGCGTCGTCGGCGCGCGAGCGCGTCGCGCGGCGTCGTGATGTAATGAAATATGTAGACGGTTGCGCGCGCGGAAGCGTGCTCGGGCGATGGCGTCGGAGGTGCGGCGATTCGGTGATTCGTTCGATCGATTCAATGAACGCGCGTCGTGCGTTACAACGCGAGCGCGCTCGCGGATTTTAAGGTGTGTTCGTTGCTAAGCCTACTAACGTCTCATGCCAAATAAATGTGTGTTCGCTCAATCTTCACGCTCAGCCATCTTAAGCGTGATGCTCGCCGTGCGCTTACGGATGGAGAACGGACGCCCTTGCGCGCGCGGGCGGAAACGCTTCATCGTCGCCCCGCCGTCCGCGTAGCACTCCGAGACGTACAGCTTCGCCTTGTTCATCCCCATGTTGTTCTTCGCGTTCGACGCGCAAGAGAACAGCGCGTTAAGAATCGGTTCGCACGAGCGGTACGGCATGAATTCAAGCATGATCAAGCACTCCTCGTAGCTCTTCCCGCGAATGACGTCCAACACGCGACGAATCTTCGACGCCGACATGCGCACGCCTCGCAAGTAGCACACCGCCTCCTTCTTCTCGGCTTCAACCTACGCGCGGTAAAACATCAACACATCGTCAGTACTCCATATCCCACGCGCGTCCATCGCGCGCGCGCCCCTCGCGCCCGCGTCCTCGCCGTCCTCGCCGCCGAGCGCCAACCCTATCGCCTTCTCGTTCTCTCGCGCCTCCCACCCCTTCCTCGCGCGCGCGTCGTCCCCCGCATCGCCCGCGCGATGCGCTCGTTTCTTCTCCACCGCGCGCGCGCGTCCGCGTCGCCCCCCCCGCGCGCGTCACCGCGCCATCGCGCCATCGCGCGCGACGCCTCGAAACCCCATCCAGGGTTTGTTCGCGCGTCGTCTCGCCCCCCCCCGCGCGCCGCGCGCGTCTCCGCGCCTCCCGCGCCTCCCCGATCGCTCGCGCAAATTTTTGTCGATCGCATCGCTCGCGCGCGCGCACCTCCGTCGCCGCGACGACGCCTCGCGGCGCCGCCGCCGTCGTCGTCGTCATCCGTCGGCGCTGCAGCGCGACTCGGCGCGGCGTGTCGCCGAGCGCGAGCGCGTTCGGCGTCGTCGACGCGCGCATCGTCAGCGCGACGGCGGTCGAGCGGCGTCGGCTCGCGGTCGGGACGCGCGTCGCGCGCGTCGTCGTCGGGCGCGTCGCGAGCGTGAACATGTCGACGGGCGTCGACGTGTGGCGACGCGCGCGCGCGCGGCGCGGGGGCGGGCGACGTCGGCGCGCCTTCGTGTGGGCATTCAGTGCGCGGTGATGTATGAATTCGGACATTCGGATATATATACACGGCGTTCGAACGCGTCGAATACGCGATTCCCGGCATTTATCTCCGAGGGGGCCTCGATTTGCCCTAACGACCTCGACGCGCGCGACGCCGCACACGCGCGCGCGCGACGCTCGACGCGAACGATGCGCGCGGTGATGAGCGCGAGAGCGATCGGCGCGCGCGTCGACGCGCGCGCGCGCGACGGCGCGACGAAGGGACGACGCGCGCGAACGACGACGACGACGACGGGACGACGCGCGCGAACGACGACGACGGCGACGACGATGGCGCTGCCGACGACGCGCGGAGACGCGCACGCGCGCGCGTGCGCGTGTGCGACGTGCGCGAGCGCGCGAGGCGCGGCGGGCGCGACGCGAGCGCGACGGCGAGAGGCGGTGGTCGCGGGCGCGGCGCGCGCGGCGAACGCGAGCGCGGCGGCGACGCCGTTCGTGTGGAAGGGAGCGAATTTGGTCCCGCTCGCCGCGTCCGTGGGCGTGGGGTTGGTGGTGAACTTTATTGTGCCGCGACCGGAGGCGGTCGTGCCGCAGGCGTGGGCGCTGTTGAGCATTTTTTTGTCGACGATTTGCGGGCTCGTGTTGGGGCCGTTGCCGGTGGGGGCGTGGGCGTTCGTCGGGTTGACCACGGCGGTGGTGACGAAGACGCTGAGCTTTCAAGCGGCGTTCGGAGCGATGACGAATGATGTGATTTGGCTCATCGTGCTCGCGTTCTTCTTCGCGCGCGGTTTCGTGCGCACGGGGTTGGGCGACCGCGTGGCGACGATGTTCGTGCGCGCGCTCGGCAAGTCTACGCTCGGTCTGTCTTACGGTCTGACCATCTCTGAGGCTTTGCTCGCGCCCGCGATGCCGTCCACGACGGCGCGCGCGGGTGGGGTGTACTTGCCCATCATCACGTCCCTCGCCAAGCAGGCGGGGTCAGAGCCGGGGCCGACGTCGCGCAAGCTCGGGGCGTTTTTGGTGCAAACGCAACTGCAATCGAGCGGACACTCGAGCGCGATGTGCATGACCGCGGCGGCTCAAAACTTGTTGAGTCTCAAGCTCGCGGCTTCTCTCGGCATCATCGTCGCTTCGCCGTGGATCACGTGGTTCAAGGCGGCGTGCGTCCCGGCGATCATCGGTTTGCTCGTCACCCCGCTCTTGGTGTACAAGTTGTACCCACCGGAGGTGCAAAGCACGCCCGACGCTCCCGCGGAGGCGGCGGCAAAGCTGAAAGAACTCGGTCCTTTGTCTCAAGATGAGCTCATGGTCGTCGCTACGATGAGCATCACGGTGTTCATGTGGATTTTCCAACCCTTTGGCATCGCGCCCGTCGTCGCCGCCATGTTCGGGATGTCCCTTCAACTCATCTCCGGCGTCATTTCCTGGGCCGAGTGCTTGAACGAAAAGGGCGCTTGGGATACGTTGTTGTGGTTCGCCGTCTTGATCGGTATGTCTGGTCAGCTCAACGCCCTGGGTTTCATCGATTATCTCTCCACCACCGTCGCCGGCGCATTGACGGCGGCCAACTTGGCGTGGCCGCAAGTCATGCTTTTGCTCCACGGTTGCTACTTTTCCATTCACTACTTGTTCGCGTCTCAAACCGCGCAAGTCGCCGCGCTTTCCACGGCGTTCATGGCGATGATGATGGCTGCCGGCGCGCCGCCCATATTGGTCGGCCTCACCATGGCTTTCCACACCAACCTCTTCGGCGGCATCACGCACTACGCCTCGGGGCAATCCGCGTGCTACTTCGGCGCCGGCTTCGTCGAGCTTAAGGATTACTTCCGCATCGGCGCCATCTGTGGCGTCGCCAACGTTCTCATCTGGCTCGTCTTCGGCGGTCTTTGGTGGAAGGTGATCGGTCTTTATTAGTGGGGCGTGAATTTTTCTGTTCTCGGTAATAATCACATCTAATAACATATTTTTCCTCTCCTATGTGGTCGCGCGATCGGTCGTACATCGTTTCGTGCTCGCTCGCTCGCGCGCTCGCTCACGGCGACAGTAACTGCCCGGAATCGTCCTCGTCCAGTCCCTCGGCTCTTTGTTTCATCTTGAGCGCCGTCCGCGAAGGCTTGAGATCCGCCTTACTCACCTTGTGCCTCGTCCCCGCCTCTGGGCAATCCACCGATTTTTTCGACCCGATGTACCTCATGATCGCGTCCTTCTCGTAGATGAATCCCATCTTATCCTCCACCGGCTCATCGATCGCCTCGATCCGTTTCGCCGTCAGCGGACACTTCGCGTTTCTCGCCCCCGCCGTCCCGTCTTCTTCGTCCAACACCAAATCCGCGTCCAAATCGTCCCCATCCACCCCCCGCACCGCCTCATCGAACGCTATCAAGTATTCCAACTCTTGTCGACGCTTACTCGCGTAATGTTTCGTCTTCTTCGTCAGGTATTCCTCAAAATTAAACTCCGTCGTCGCCGCGCACTCGTACTCTCGCCGCAGCGCCTCCAGCGCGTCCACCCGCGCCAGCTTCTCCCGCTTCAGCTCGCACAGCGCCTCCACCTTCGCTCGCAGCGCCTTCGACGACCCTCTCGCGTCCCGTTCGGCGATCCGCGCCGCCTCCGTCGCCGCTTCGCACGCGATTCGCACGTGTTCGATCGATTCGCGCGTCTCGTCGATGCGCGCCTCGACGCTCGCCGCGAGCCGCACCGCGCTCAATCGCGGCGACGCCGACATCGCGACGTGTATTATGGCGCCCGCCGACGCGCGCGTCGGCGCGAAGACGGCGCGTCGAGCGATGCCGCGCGCGTCGAGCGATGCCGCGCGCGTCGAGCGATGCCGCGCGCGTTTGAATTCGAACGCGCGCGTCGTCCGCACGTCGCGACGCGCGCGCGACGACCGACGCATGGGCGACGCGCTGGCGAGACTTCGCGCGCGCTTGCCCGCGGCGAACGACCAGGCGATGGCGAGCGCGCTGAACGCGCGGGCGGCGCGGACGGCGACGACGCTCGACGCGCTGTGCGCGAGCGCGGAGGCGAAGCTGGGCGCGGCGGCGCGCGCGCTGCGAGAGGCGGAGGCGAGGACGGCGCTGTTGGAGCGCGCGCTCGAGGCGGGGACGGCGACGACGACGACGACGACGGCGGAGGCGGCGACGCGCGAGGACGACGGTCGGGGCGCGGACGCGGCGGACGCGGCGGACGCGGCGACGGCGGAGGCGGCGACGGCGACGGCGGCGGCGGCGACGGCGGCGACGGCGACGGCGGAGGCGGCGACGGCGGAGGCGGCGACGGCGGCGACGCCGGAGACGAACGCGCGCGCGAGCGATCCGAAGTACTCCATTTACTTCAAGATGCTGAAGATGGGCGTGCCCGCGCAGGCGGTGCGCAATAAGATGAACCTCGACGGCGTGGACGCGAGCGTTTTGGACGGTCGGTAGTTGAGATATTTTTAGGTTGTTGTAATTGAATGCGCGCGGGTTAAGCCCGACTCAGTTCTACAGGATGAATGATTGTTCGACCTCGACGAAACGTACGAAGACGTTTACGCCTTGGCCGCGGCGGCAGCCTGACGACTCCACTTTTCCTTCGCCGGCAAAACTTCCGCCGCACCGCCAGCCGCGGTGAGCTTCTCCGAGGCGCTTTGAGAAAAGGAGGCCGCCTTCACCTTCAAGCCCGACACCTCGCCCTCACCCAAAACCTTCAACGGCAAGTTTCTGTAGTAGCCAGTCGCTTTGATCACGCCGGCGCTCTTGAGCGCTTCGATCGTGATCTCGGCGCTCGCGTCGAGTTTCTTCGCTTGGACGGCCGCCTCGAGGTCGCCGACGTTCACAGTGACAAACTTCGGTTTGCCGGCGCCCATGCCGCCGGCGATGCCCTTGAGTTTGGGGAAGCGGCGGTACATGGGTGTTTGCCCGCCCTCAAAGCCGGGGCGCACGCCAGGGCCGCTCCTTGCGCGTTGACCGCGCATGCTAAGTTCCCGGATTTTGGGCGTACGTCAGTCTCGCGATGTCAGGACGAGGTCGCGCGCACAAAAAAACCACAGTTGTCCCGCGATGTTCCGCGTTTGCCCGACAGGTCGCGCACGCAAAAACAATCCACTGTTGTCTCGCGATGTCCGAACGAGGTCGCGCGCGCGATTCAGCGCGCGCACAAAAACAAAAAAACCACTTACCCGTCGCCGCAAGAGCCACCTTGACCCGCGCCGTAACCGCGACCGATGCGCTTCTTCTCGCGACGCGACCCCTTGAGCGGGCTCAAGTTGTGCAATCGCAATCGTTCATCATCCGACGCGACGACCGCCGAAGAGAAACTCTTCGTCGGTCGCACCGCGCGCACCCGGAACGTCCCGCGAGCGTTCCCACGCGAGCTCAACGAGAGCGCGGACACCTGCGTCGCGTCGCCGTACCCTCAGTCGTCAGTCGTGCGTTCCAGCCTCTCGCGCGTCCTCGATTCGCCGTCGCCGTCGCCCATCGCCCGTCGCCGCGTCCGCAATAATTTTTCCCGCCGCGCGCGCGTCCCGCGCCGCCCTTCCGCGCGCCGCGTCCGCGCCGCGCGCCGTCGTCATCGCGTCGTCGCGAAGCCCTAGGGTAACGCGCGACGTCGCGCGGCGTCGCGTCCGCGCGTCGCGACGCGCGCGCCGTTCGCTCGCCGCGTCGCGCGAATCGATGCGTACCGTGTTCGTGAGCGCGGTGATCGACATCGCCGTCGTCCGTCGTCCGTCGTCGCGCGCCGAGCGTCGCGATTTACCGCGCCGACGGCGCGCGTCGTCGCGCGCGCGCGCGATAACATAAACACACGTTACCGGACATTCGACACGTATACCATCAAAGTCAAACACCGTGTATCTATATCTCGAGTTCGCACCATCATTACTCTACGAAGCCCACTGGACTCGTATTTGCATTCTCACTGTTTGCCTGTAGGACCCCGCGCATCGCCCCGTCGCGTCGCGCGCGCGCGCGTCGCCGTCGCCGCGCACCGCGACGCGCGCACGCGTCGACGCGACCGCGACGCGCTCGACCGCGCCTCATGTCGACGATCGCGCTCCACTTCAAGCGCGCGAACGGCGCGAAAATCACGCTCGAGGACGTCGACGCGACGACGCTCACCGTGCGCGACGCGCGCGCGCGCGTCGCCGCGCGACTCGCCGAGAGCGACGCGACGATCGACGCGAGCGCGAACGTGCGGTTGATCTTTAAGGGGCGCGTGCTCAGGGACGAGGCGACGCTGGCGGCGTGCGGATGCGCGAACGAGAGCGTGGTGCACGTCGTGACGTCGACGACGACGACGACGACGACGACGACGACGACGGCGGCGACGGCGACGGCGACCGCGGCGGCGACGGCGGCGACGGCGATCGGCGGTCGAGGGACGGCGACGGCGAGCGACGCGCCGTTCGGGGGATTCGGCGGCGGCGGCGCGGCGCTCGGCGGTTCGGGGGCGCTCGATTTGATGAATAATCCATTCGTGCGGTCGCAGATGGAGGCGCTGTTGAGCGAGCGGCCGGAGACGTTGAGGGAGATGATGGAGAGTCAGCCCGGGATGCGGGAGGCGATGGCGGCGAATCCGGAACTCGCGAGCGCGTTGACGGATCCGGAGACGTTGAGGCGGATGATGAATACGATGACGAATCCGTCTTTGATGGCGGAACAGATGCGGAATAACGATCGCGCGATGTCGAACATTGAAATGATGCCGGGTGGATTTAACGCGCTGCGAAGGATGTACACGGATGTGCAAGCGCCGATGGAACGCGCGGCGGAACGCGATATGGACGCCGCGGCGCCGACGGCGACGAGGACGGTGAATCCCGATGAGCCTTTGCCGAACCCGTGGGGCGGCGCGGGCGGCGGCGCGGGCGGCGGCGGCGCCGCGATGCCGCCCGCGGGCGGGGGATTTTCCATGGGCGGTATCGGCGGCGGCGCTGGGGCTTCGCAGATTGAGCAAATGGCGGAGATGATGCAAAATCCGCAAATGCGCGCGGCGATGGATAGCGTGATGTCGAACCCGCAAATGCTAGAGTCCATGCTGAACATGCACCCCCAGGCGCGTCAAATGATGGAGGCGAACCCGCAAATGCGCGAGACGCTCTCCAATCCGGAATTTCTTCGCCAAATGATGAATCCTGAAAATTTGCGCGCGATGGCGCAAATGCAACAGTTGTTCGGCGACGCGATGCCGGGCGGTGGATTGGGCGGCGGTCTCGGGGGATCGATGTTCGCGCCTCCCGTCGCACCGGCGGGTCCACCCGAAGAAGTGTACGCTTCGCAACTCTCGCAATTGAACGACATGGGATTTTTCTCGCAAGAGGAAAACATTCGCGCCTTGCAGGCGACGGGCGGCAACGTCCACGCCGCCGTCGAACGCTTGCTCTCCAACCCCGGCGGCGGGTTCGCGTGAACGCGATAACGCTCACCACTTAGTCAATCGTTCTACAATCTACGTTCTATCATTCTACGCGCGCACGCTCCGCCGGCTCACACCTTTTTGTGCGCGTACGTCGAAGCTCGCAGTCGCCGAATCGTTCGCGTCTGCTCCGCCGTCGCCGACGCCACCGACGCGCACAGCCACGCGTACACCACCGGTACCGCCGCCTGCAACGTCGTCGCGCCGCTCGACGACGACGCCGCGATCGCCGCGACGACCCACAGCCCCCCCGCGACGGCGCCCAAACGCGTCGCCGCGCGTCCCGCGCGTCTCGCCGCCGCGTCGCCGGCGTCGTCGCCGACGCGCAACCGCCAACATCCCGCCCCGGACAGCGCGAACGTCCCGCCCGCGAGCGCGTCGCACGCGAGCACCAGCGCCTCGGCCGACGCGCGTTCGCCGTACACGCTTCGGTGCGCCGGGCACCGCGCCCACACGTCGCCGCCGCCGAGCGCGCCGAGCGCGCACCGTCCCCAAAACCATCCCACGCCGATCGCGAGTCCGCTCGCGCCCAGCAGCGCGCTCGCGCGCCGTCGATGCGTCGCGATCGCGTCGTCGAAGGCGCGGAGCGCGTCGCGCTGTTCGCTCGAGTCCAGGAGCGGCGGCGCGTCGTCGTCGTCGCGTCGTCCGAAGTGCGCGTCGATGACGCGCCGCGGATTCTCGTCGCGCGGGACGTCTCTGTCGCGACGCCGCATGCCGATCGCGACGAAGACGGCGCCGGCGTCGCGACGAAGCGTCGATGAGTGTCGGTGACGGTTCGCGACGAAGCACTTCTGAGGTATTAAAAGACGAAGCGTCGCCGGAGAGGTATTAAGAGACGACGCGCTCAATCGCGCGCGTCGTCGACGACGGCGAACGAAGCGGAAGATTGTATCGAGCCGCCGGTCCAACCCTCGCGCTTGATGGCGACCGCGGCGGCGATGGGTTCGATGGAGACGTCGCGGGCGCGATTCGCGAACGCGCGCCAGAGACGCGCCGCGTGGCCGTGGGAGACGCGCGAAACGTCGGTGAGATCGAGCGATTCGTCGGTGAGATCGAGTGATTCGGCGACGATGGCGTCGTCGGCGTTCGTCGATGGAACGTATGGATCTTCGGACGACGGGGCGAGCGCGATGGACCACTCCGCGGGTTGCCATTTGATCAACGCCTCCGGCGCGACGAAAGGCGCGACCAGCGGCGCTTCGTACGGACGCAGCGGACGCGCGGCTTCGCAGTACCACGCGCGGAGCAGTAGGAAGACGGCCGTGGCGCGAACGCCGCTTAGGCCGCGATTGTCTTTCGGCATTTTGGGTGGTCGGCGTTGTGCGGTATGGTCGTCACACGATGCCGAGTTCGATTTTCCGAAACATGGCGTTACTCTCAGCGCTCCGCGAGCGTGAACCCGACGTCGTCTGCAGTTGCGCGCTCAATCGCGGGGAGGAAGACATTCTGATTCATGAAAGCGCTGAATCGCTTCGCGTAGACATCGGGTCGTTGACACGAAACGTCCCGACCGCAGCAAATTTGGCTGGTGAAAAATCGCTCCAACTTCTTCCTCGGTCCCCACTCAGTCAAGATGTCGATGATGCCGCAAAACACCGCGCCCTTGGGTTTGTTCACCATGCGCAACTGGTTCAAGCGCGCGACGTCGTGCAAGAATGGAGTGAACATCGAGGCTTTTTCCAACATCAAGAACTCTTCGCTTTTTTCGGATACGGCATCGCTGTCCGCCAAGCTATTCGTGTCGCTCTTGCCTTCGTCGGATTCGGCGACGGCGACGGCGGCGGCGCGCTGGTCCTTCCAATCCGCATGATCCGTCTCAAACTCTTCAAACGCCTTGTTAGCCTCGAAAATATCTGTTGGCGTCACCGCTTGGTACTCGCCGAATACTAGTGAATAGTCTATGAGATTTCTCTTGGCAAGAAACTCGCTGTCCTTCTTCAATACGTCGCAAATATTTTGCGAATGTCGCGTGTGCACGGCGTCCTCCTCGCGAAAATCGTTGTCTTTATAAATACACACCGAGCCCTTGGCGAGCTCGCGCGCGCTTGCGCGCCGACCGAACGTGCTACCTTTGAGATCAAACCTCTTCTGAATGATTTTCGTCGACGCGAACCAATAATTCATTACGATGAAGGACAACGGCCGCGTGCCGTTGAATTTAATCGTGTACAATCCATAAAATTGCGGCAGCATGCTCACCGTGCTGTTTTCTCTCACGTACTCAGTGTATTCAGGCAACATTTTCAGTAGCGTCCGTTTTTCCGCTACGTTGCACGTCTTCACCAGCAGTGTGCCGTCTTCGCTACAAAAGAACCAACTCCTCGACTTGCCGCTCGCGAGCGCCTGCGAAATCACCCGCAACGACGTCGACGTCGCCTCCAACTTCCCAGTTTCCGTGCGCATGTTCCCGCGGATCTCGCCGTTCTGAGTCTGTACGTCATCACAAACCGTCCTTACATCCGGAATCGCGAACGCACTCCTGTACGAGTGCGCATCCATTCCCCACAACAACCTCAACTCCTCGAACTTCTTCGGCGCCTCCACCGTGTACGAGAAATTCGGCAGCAGCTCCCCGTTCGCCATCTCCATCTTCTTCACCGCATACACTTCCCGCTTCACCGTTTCCTCCGCCGCCTCACCACCACCGCTAGCGTCACCACTTGCACCCCTACTTTGCGCCGTGAACGCCAACTGGAGGCACAATCCGAGATGATTCGTCAGCACGTCGCCGTCCGCCGTCCCCAACCGGTTGCCGCGGTGCACCTTTGTCCACAGTCTTCGCATTTGTTTCGTGCGCCGACTCGCCCGTCCGACGTTCAGGCGCTTCATTTGCTTAGTAATCCGTTGTTTGGTGAAGCTGAACCCGCGCGTGAGCGCACCGGCGGCGTCGTCCACGGCGTCTCGCGCGAGTTTGTTGATCAGCTTCAGTCCTTTGTTGCTTTTCGTGCGTTTGGGTGCGGCGTTCGCGGGCGCGCGGGCGCGTTCGGCAGATTGCGAACGTGCGGCGGAATGGTCGTTTGCGTGCGCGTCCTCGGGCGCCATCGCGGCGAACGCGCGCGCGAGGCGCGATGTGAGGTGCGCGATCGGTTGTGGAGTGCAGCCGGAGATTTTCCAGCGGGACGCGTTCGCGACGGAGGGCGGCGGCGATGGGCTGCGATAGGTGTGGATTAATAACGTGTGCGATGATGACGCGATTTAACGGGAAGGGAAGCCGCTGCCGAAGGCGCTGGCCATGCGACGGTGTTGACTACCGCTCGAGACGTCGTTGACGAGGACGTGTCGGAAGTGGGATTCGCCCGTGCGCAAAGCCGTGATGGCGGTGTTGATCTCGCTGAGCGGACTCACGGCGACGGAGGCGCCGATCTTGTGTCGGGCGCAGAATTCGAGCATTTGAACCATGTCCTTTTTGCCCCCGGTGTTACTCGTTGTGATGTTGTTCATGGTGAAGCCGAGAGTGAAGACGTCGGCTTGGATGGGAGGGCACATGCCGACGAAACAAATCGTCCCACGCGGGCGTAACAAGGGGAAAAACTTCGCGAAGTCCACCTCTTTATTCGTGGCGATGGTGACTAGGATGAAGTCGAGCGATGAGGCGGCGGCATCCATCTCTTCTTGGTTGGTGTGCACCAAAAAGCGCGACGCGCCGTGCGACAGGGCGTCGGCGCGCTTCGACGCCGAAGACGAAATCGCGGTGACTTCTCGACCGAGCGCCTTGGCGAACTTGATGGCCATGTGACCGAGTCCACCGAGGCCGAGAATGCCGACGCGATCGCTAGACTTCGTTTGCTCGTTCAAAGGCGTCCAAACGGTTTGGCCACCGCATAGCAACGGCGCGACTTCCGCGGAAGACAGCGCGTCTGGGATTTTGTAGCAGAATTGCGAGTCGTTTAAGCGCATGCGATCGGCGAAACCACCTTTGTTACCTTCGCAGCATGTACAACCGACACTAGAGCACAGCTGCTCATCGCCTCGCGCGCACCACTCGCAATCGTGGCAAGACGAGCTCTGCCAGCCGACGCCAACGCGTTGACCGGCTTTTAGCGTCGTCACCGCCGTGCCAACTTGGGTGACCGTACCCACGACTTCGTGTCCGCAAACTTGCGGCCACACCGCATATTCACCATAGTCACCCACGATCAAGTGATCATCACTTCCGCACAAGCCGCAGTACTCGACCTTCACCTCGACAGACGTCGGGGTCATGTCTGGGAGGCGATACTTGAACGGAACCAAATCTTCGCCTTGCGCCAACGCGGCGAAGCCGATGGTGGTGTCTTTGTCGTCATTTTGAAGTTCGCTGTAGAGTTCGAGAATTAGCGCACCGACGAGGTTCTTACCCCACGCTTCGTCCACGGAGAAGAGCGCATCTGACGCCGCCTGCGAGTTGAAGTGCTCACCCTCCGCTCTGAGTTCGACTTCCATGGAATCAATCGTCAGGAGCGCGCGCTGAAGGATCGTGTTGCCTTCGGCGGCGCCAGCCTTAACTGCATTGAGCCAGCCATCGTAGCTGCACAGCTGCAACGCGTACTCCTTGGAGAGCCATTCGTAAAGTTGAGAAAACGGCATCAGTTTACCCTTTACTTCACGCGCGACGCCGTCAAACGCATAACGATCGACTTGGCCGGATAATGAGATTGACGTGAGCATCTTCACGCAATCATCGACGCACAAGATACTAACAGCCCACTCGGTACGTGGGAAGAAACCTGTCGCGAGGCAGGCGCGGAGGAAGATGACGATGTAGTCATCGTCGGGCGCGAGCGAACCGACGGCACGAGAAATACCGATGTCACCAAACAATAAAACGGCCGACTCAACGCCAACTTCTTTCTGCGCGCGCTCGCATAGCATCTCCGCGACCTCTTTACTTCGTCGGTATCCCGTTGAAACTTCACCCGGAAGCGGATACTGCGTGGAAATGAGAACGTGTCTAGCGCCGGCGCGCGACGCGATCTCGAGCCCGTTGAACGTTCCTCCGACGTTTACCTTTTCTAACGCTGAATAAGACTTCACCATATTGACTTCCGCGCCACCGCTGATGACAACGTCAATCACTTCCAAAACTGGCGCGAGCGTGGCTTCGGGTATGTCGTACAACGGCATTGACATGTCACCACACATGAACGTTGTCTTTTGCGTTATTTGATCGGTAAACGTGAGCCCGCGCTTACGGAAGACATCGAGCACGCGATTTTGCGCCGCAAACTTGTCTTTTGCGCGCACGATAGCGTAAATCTGATCAATTTCATCGCTTGCGGCGAGTTCTTGAAGCAAGTACGCACCAAGAAAACCAGTAGCGCCGGTAAGGAGAATATTCTTCTTGCCCGCCGCAGTATTCTTCTTTGGCGCTCGCTTGAACTCGGAAAAGTCATACTTTGCGACTTCGACCTCGGGCTCAAACTTGGCGTTTTTATAATCTTCCATAAGTAGGGCCATCTCAGCCAGCGTCGGCTTGGCGATGACTTCGGGAACCGTCAAACTCACCCCCCATTTCTTCGAAAGTGCCGCCGCAAGCTCAACAAATTTCAAGCTTCCGCCGTAGTCGAAAAAGCTCTCCGTCGCCGCGAAGTTCTTCTCCGGTTGATCTAACACTTGGCGCCACACCTCCACGACCTCATTTTGCTTTGTAGTCAGTTGCACTTCGTTACTATCGGTGATTTTGTCCAGCCTATCGACATCAAGCTTGACCACTTTACCAGAGGTAGCTGTGGACACTTTGTTGCCGAGGTCGTAAAACGTCGACGGAATCATGTAGTGCGGCACGTGCGCTGCCATGTGTGCCCGCAATTCGCTCTCCTTCGCTCGCGCACCGTTGTTGAAGGAGATAGCAGCGACGAGTTGCTGGTCAATGTCAGACTGTCCGATCGTGCTCACGATGGCCTGTTTAATCACTGGCATCTTGAGCATGACGTCTTGTACCATGACCGGCGAAACCTTGAAGCCACGAATCTTGACGTATGCCGACTTTTGACGAGATTCAAAAGTCAACCTGTTGCGACCTAACCAACGAACGAGATCGCCAGTTGGATACCACTCGCTTTCGATCTTCGCGTAACCGTTATCCGTGTAGAAGCCAACGAGCAAACCACTCTTTTTAACGTGAAGCTGGCCGACGGTGCCGCGAACAGCTGGCTTGCCGTCATCCGTCAACACGCGCGCTTGCGTGCCCTCACGCAGGAAGAACGCTCCACCGTAATCAGATATCGCCAAATCACCCGTTTCGTTCGTGCTGTACACGTCAATCAAACGCGTACGGGTGAGACGCTCGGCGAGAAGCATACGAGTCTCTCTTCGCACGCGTTCACCGGTCAATAAAATTGTGTGCACGTCTTGCATCCCTTCGGAGAACTCTTGCGGCGTGCAGTGCAACAAACAGCTCTCCAGGATACTCGGACTGAGGTAAAGCATGGTCATTTTTTGACTTCGCACATACGAAATCAACTCTCGGGGCTTGAGGAAGAAATCGTTCGGGATGACGCTCAGCGTGCGACCAGCGAGGAGCGGAATGAAGAAGTAATAATAGACCCAAAAGCTCCCCATGACATCGTCGCCACGCATGTGTGGCCCAATGACCGATTGCGAGTCCGTCAGCGCGGATTGTGGACAGCACAGAATTTTACTCACACCAGTAGTGCCACTGGTGAGTACGGAGAACCCGGGGGCATCGGGAGTGTCAGGACGCGTCAGCGCCGGATGAAGCTCGCCGCTCAAGTCGACGTCGTACTCCATGTCCTCGACGACCACGACCAAGTCTCTGTACGCGGTGGGTACGAACTGCACGAGATCACGAGAAGTTATTATGACTTTCGACTCGTTCAAACGCAACACGCGTTCGAGGTCGGTGTCGCGATACCACGCGGGGATTTCGCAAAACACAGATTCACACAAGAGTGAACCCATGGCGCACCACACCGACGCCGCGGAGGCTTGCACAAACAAACCCACACGAGAGTTCAGCGCACCGCGTTCGGTGAGCATATCTGCGACGTGATACGCACGCGAGTACACTTCTTTCATCGTGTACGTACTCGTCGCATCTGTAACGCAAGGTTTGTCGGAGCGAGCGTCTTGCAACGCCGTCGCCAAACCCGAGCGCCAGTGCGTCGCCGCCGACGTCGTCGTCGAGGCTAACGCGTTCACATCCGCCATCTCCTTCGCACTTTTGCTTTGTGCCGTTTCGATGTCGACTAAAATACTCTGTAAAACTTCGTCCATGCTGGTTTGATCCTTGAGCGAATCTTCTGGGACCCAGCTGTGCTCGAATCCTTCGGGTCGAACGCGATGCGCCGAAGCGTCGACGAGAACTATGCGTACGATGCACAAAGTTCCGTCCTTCTGCGCACGCTCGCGCAGTGCCTCGGCCATGTGCAGCGTGGGTCCGTGTGCGCCCACTAGAACGATCGGGTCGTCGAAAATATACGGGCATTTATTCATCGCCTGATCAACTTCGCTCGGCTTGAACTCGTACAAGTTGACGCCGCTCAGACGCGCGGCGGCAAGACGAGGGAACATATCCATAGCGCCTTCATCCGATGCGCACACGACGACGGAGAACCGATGCGTCGGATTCGTGAGCTGGCGTAAGAACGGCCAACGCTTGGAAGTTTCTTTGCGCTCCCACCCTATGGCGTCGTAATACGGTTGTTGCTTCGCCGCATCGACGCAGAGTTCCGGCGGTACGTTTTGCATCGGTGCCTTGTCGACAGCTTTGAACTCGCTCGATCTCGCCGCATCGTCGTGCCAACCGCGAAATTTGATCCACGTTGACAACTCTGCGGGCTTCCATGACAACATCGAACTCTCAAAGTTCACGTTTGCCAGCGAACACATCTCTTGGAGCGTCTCCTCTGGTCGCGACAGCAAATCCGCGTCAGCGTCGACGACCATAACCTTGGCATTGATACGCTTCAACGCGTTTACGATACCAAAAGCTTCCGCAAATCCAGCCTCAGATGGATCATAATAGCAGCTCCCTTCCTTGTGTTCAATGGAGACGCGATAAAATGACTCTATCGTTTCCGTCGGTTGTCGAATCAACACCACGTGCGTGAACCGTTTTAACCAGCTCGACTTCATTTGCTTCAAGTCAAAGTAACACGACAGCTCTTTGGAGAAGAAGAATGGACGTCCTTGCGCGGAGTAATCCGCCGTCATCACCTCTAACATCGTCGCATAGCTGCATCCACTGCTCGCGACATGATGTTCAGATTGTCCACTGACAATCTTGGCGTAATTTTCCGGATTATTCTCCTTCAAGCACGGCTCCGTGAGTAACTCGTGCATGACCATCGCCTCGGAGTGCATAGAGAACGAGCGTTCGAGCGCGGTGCCGCGCGATCGAGTCACCGCCCAAACGATCAGGCGCTTTTCGTTGTGCGAAGCGTGCGGAGAAGTGCTAGCGATGGACATCGGATACGAGCTCCCTTGCGCCGTGCACCACGCACACATACCGTTCTTTAGCACCACGGCGTCGGCGCACCCGGCGCGCGTGAGCGCTGACGCCACCATCGGCGCCGCGTCGACGCCCCCCGAACCGACCACGGCCACGGGCATGGACAGGTCCAACCCCGCGCCCTCGAATATTTCTCGCAAGTTTTCGTCCGCGACGTCGAACAACCGCGTGTACGGTAAATTCTTCGCCCCCGGAATGTGCCCTTCGCGGAAGCCCTCGAACTGAATCGCTCGATCCTGAATCCGAACGTACGCCGCGTCTCTCGCCCCTCCCGCGAACACCTCCGACTGTCGGCAATCCAGCACTTGCAACCGCTGCGTGCTCAAGTTCGTCAACAAATCTTTCGCGTCGACGAATCCCGATTTCTTCCCCTCGCGCGTTCCGTTCGATCCGTCTTCGTCGTACTCCACCGTCGCCCGCTCGCGCATCGTCTCCGCCCCGACCTCCGTCTCGTAGCCTTCCGCCTTCCACGCCTCCATCCCTCCCTTGAGCACCATCACCCGTCCTCGATGTCCATATTCCAAGAACGCGAACGCACACGCCTCCGCCGCGCAAGACGCGCCGTTTTTCGCGTATATCGCCACGTCTCGCGTCTTCGTCGCCCCGAGTCCGCCGCCGACGCCTCGCGCGAACGCTTCCCGCGGCGGGAACGCCTGCGGCAGCGGCGACGACAGGTCGCACACCTCGTCGTGATCATAAAACGTCGCGTTCGGGATGCGCTCGCTCTCGTGCGCCGCGCGCGCGCGCTCGACGTCGTTCGCGATCGCCCAGCTCGCGTCGACGATGATGATGTCACCCGACGTCGACAGTTTTCGCAGCGTTGACGCGTCGACGTACTCCATGTCGTCCCGATCTCACCGTCGACGAGCGCGAACTTACGATTTCTTCGCGATCGCGACGCGCGGGGGCGCGACAGGCGTCGCGCGCGCGAGCGACGTCGCGATGTGATGGCGATCGCCGAGATTAGATGGCATCTTTTTCAAGCGAAAACCGGTTAAATCCGCACTCGGTGACGCGCGCGCGGCGATTTCGGGCGCTCGAAGCGCGCGGATCGAAAGTATGCGCGACGTCGCATCGAACGGCGCGTCGAACAGCGCGTCGACGCGCGCGCGGACGACGGAGACGGGGATTGAGGTTGGGAAATCTGAACTGCTCGAGTTCGCGCGGCGAAGCGTCGACGCCGTGCGCGCGACGCGTGGGGGCGAGAGCGATACGAGCGCGCTGGTGTGGAGTGATCTAAAACGTAGTGTCGGAGCGTTGGCGTGCGCCGCGCGCGCGTGGCCGGAATCGTTCGAGGCGTTGACGGGGACGTCGCGAGCGGGGACGAGCGCGTCGACGCGCGGCGGCGCCGCGGCGATGAAACACCCGTTTCAGACGCTGCGAGGGATTTTAGCGAGAGAGCGGGTGCCGGCAAATGCGATATCGGTCGATGGTGTCGAGCGAGGGGAGTTTCAGGCGACGTTTGATGCGTTGGCGGTGATGTATTGGACGTGCGAAGTGCGAGCGAATGCGGCGAGCGGCGCGGCGACGGCGATTTCGTTTGCGAGAAAGTTGGGACCCGGGGCGGTGGCGTATTGTCAGAGCGAGGAGACGCGCGCGCGCGCGGTGCGACTAGCGCAACGGGAGATGGAGACGGCGGCGAAGAAATCGAGCAGAAAGGCGAGTCGAGCGAGTTTGGCGAGCGCGAGTGAAATTGAGCAGAAGCGCGAGCCAAACGCGAGAGAAACCAAGCAGAAGCGCAAGTCGAACGAGCCGATCGACGGGCGGCCGGCGACGATGACGATCGATGATTGGGAAACTATTACAGAACTTCGATGGGAATTAGAGAAGATCAATGAGATTAGCGAGGAGCGGGCAAGGGAAATCGAGCGACTTCGCGGCGCAACATCGCCGAGGTCAACGCGCTTGTACGAGACAAAGATTCGGGACTTGAGCGAGCAGCTCGTGGCTGAGCACGAGGAGCGAATGCGAGTGACGCGCGAGTACGAAGACGAGCTTATTGACATGCGCAAGAATATGGCTGAAATTATGAATGCATCGATTCTCAGGCCCGAGAACATGGTGGCTTTCAACTCTGTCGACGTCTCCACGGAGGAGGGTCGCGCGATGGCCAAAGTGATGATAGATGCCATGGATCGCGTGACGCGAGCCACAGCGGACGTACAGAAGGCGACGCGATCGTACTTGAATCACGTCTCCGATGATATCGTGTCGCCATCGACGAACGATACCTCTTTGTCACCGTCGTTTCTTTCTCGATTGGACACATTTGAATTGAGCGAGAGCTCCGTCAAACGCGCAGCCGCGTTCGATCAGAGCGACGAAATCGAGCACTTCACAACAGTAAACGAAACGCTCAAGCACGTCGAATCGAGCGACTCGATATACGATACCTTCGAATCCGCGTCAGCTTAGCGGCGAAGTAAGCTTTTAGTACAGACAGGCTTTGTTATCACAAAAATCTTCGGATCGTATCGTTCGTGACGTGCGGCTATATCATTATCCTCTCGCCGTGAGTCCCAGCAACAAATCAGCACCAGCTTCATCTGCTTCTGGAAGAGTCGGGCCGAGTCTTTCACCCGGCGGTAATGTTACATCTTCCTTCCACAGCGACAAGAATTCTTTAACGCCGTCTTCGGCATACTCGACGCAATGTCTAAGCTCGACGGGATCGTAATCGACTATTTTACCCGGATATGACGCTCGGTCGAGAGGCCAAAACACCAAAATTTGCTTACCGATGATAGTTCTACCTTGAATCGTAAGCTTGGCGCCTGTGTGACCTCGACTAGCCTTCTCGGCGGCTTCTACACGTATGCACTTGGGCGATTCCGAACCGTCGGCGGAGATGCTCGTGCACGACTTGCACGTACAACCCTTCAATTCGGGCATGGGTGAGCCACCGCGCGAACGGAACTTATGCGCAGTACTTTGCGTCGCCATTTTACGTAATCTATCGCGCTCGTGCAACGTCTCTCGTATTTGCAGCTCCTCGTTCGCTTGCTTCACCGCCGCTTGGAAGCGCGCCTTGTTCCTCGCCGGATCCCGACTCTTCGATGCGTAGTGCTCGGTAAAATCTAAGCAATGCTCCGCCCGCAGCCAACCGAATGAATTTTCTCCAAAGAACACGACGAGTACTTCGTTTTCTCTCGCCATCGCGAGAGCATCCGCTGGGATGAAGTCCTTGTCCAAATCCGCTCGCAATCCCGGCCAAAATGGATGACCTGGGAGCTTGGCCCAAACGAGCTGGTTTCGTCTTGGCGCAGCTAAACCGACGCCGGCGATGAACGTCATGGTTCCCGGAGTTGATCCTGGCGATCCAGGCTCGATATCCGCCGACGATGGCGTGATGCTTCTCTTGTACCGCTTCGCCTCGATGTCGATGGGAAAATTGGACGAACGTTTCACCTCGTCTTGGTCGACGATTAAATGTCCGCTCTTCGTCTTTATCAAAGGCAACGTGCGTTCGACCAAAGCCGGTGGCGCTGAAACAAACTCATCGTAGCGAGAGGTCTGCGCCCGTGCCGCCGGAGTCGCTATCGTCAGTGGCTCGACCGCAGGCGCCTGTTCGTTCTTCACCCGCGGCTCGACGACGGCGATCTCTCCCTCGCCGTTTTCCAAAGCCTCTAGCTGGGGAGGGACCTCCCAGCCAGACTCTCTAAGCACGCGCGCGCACGCCACGGCGGTCTCTTTCGGCACCAGCGGACCGCCTTCGAAAAAGGACGTGGAAATAAACGTGCCGAGACACGGCAACTCCGTGATTTCACGGACAAACGGCGAGCACAAGGCGCTCGCACGCCCGTGTCCAACGTTGTACGCCGCCCCCGGCCAAGCGTGCGGCACAGACTCTCTAAATGGAACCGCATCGGCAGAAAATTTCAAAGCATACGGGTCCGCTAACCGAGTTCCCAGCCAATATGAACTTGGGACGCATCCGTACGTCTTCGCCAAAGCGTCCCAACGCGCCGTGAGCTCCTCCCCTTGACTTCCTTGAACGCTCGGTCTCGTCGTCATCGTCCATCCCGGAGGCAATCCTTGCAATCTTTCAGCGTCATGCACGGTGAGCGGCATCAAACCACCCGCGGCGGTGAGCATGCACGCCTCAGGCTCGGGATGAAATCCTTCGCACACGTCGGCGTACGCGCACAACCCTCGTTCGGGGTGCCGATTAAACACAAACGTGTGCTCATCCGCGGGATCCCTCGCATCGACTTTCAACGCCCCCGCGTCTTCTGTCAATAACACATCTCTCGGATCCCCGCATCTACTGGCGACGAGCAACACCCGCGCGGCGACATCCGGCACCCCGAACGCCGCCGCCGCCACCGTGCGATGCGCCCACGCGTACCCCGCTCGCTCCAGCTCGCTCACAAACTCATGAATCAACGGCGCCTCGCTCCCATCGACTCCACGATCTAATATCTTCCCTCTCGCTTCGATCACCAACCACGGCACGCGCGCGCTCGCCCCCAGCCTCAGCGCGTGTTTCAGCGCCCCCGCCGCGCCGTCTCTCGTCCACGACTCTCGCCACGACCCCTCGTACTCCCTCGTCATCAATCCGCACACCAGCACGTCCACGTCCCTCGGCAGCGCCTCGATCTCGCTCGCTTCCCTCGCCCGTCGCACGCCCTGAAATCGCGCGTCCAGCACCGCCCGCGCGCGCTCGTCGCGTTCGCACTGCAGCGTCACCTCGTGCCCCGCCCGCGTCAGCCTGGTCGCGCGCGCGTCCCGAATTCGCGTCTCGTCAGTCGCGCGTTCGTCCTCCCGGGGCTCCCGTCGCGCGCGCCTTCGCGTCTTCGCGCGCCATCCTCCCCTTGTCGTCCCGATCTCGCGTCGTCGCGCGTCGTCGTCGTCGTCGTCGCGCGTCGAATCCGTCGTCGTCGTCGTTCGCGTTCGTTCGGCGTTCGGTTTTGCGTTTCGCGCGTTTCCCGCGCCGTCGCGCCGTCGCGCGTCGCGCGCGACGCACCCGTAGTCGATCGCGCCGGCGCCGGTGAACATGGTGGCGACGCGCAGGCGCGCGCCCGCGCGCGCGTCGGGCGGCGACATCGCCGCGCGTCGTCGTGTGCGCGCGCGCGGGAAAAGCGAGTTGACCTGAATCCTTCATCGCGTTCGCGCGCACCGGCGTACGTGATCCAGCGACGCTTTTTTGATGTTGGGCCGATAAATAAATCGAGAGTGTTCGGACGTGTGGGTATGGGTGTCAGTGACGAGGCGGCGACGCGCGCCACTCCGCGCCGCGGCGATGGCGACGGCGGCCGACGCCGCGGGCGTCGTCCTCGACCCGGACGCGTACGACGACGACGCGACCGACGGGACGCGCGACGACGAATCGTCGAATTTCGACGCGCAGTGGCGACGCGCGACGACGGAAAAGCGCGCGGACGTCGAGGCGTTCGAGGCGATGGTGCGCGCGCGGCTGGGCGACGGACTCGCGGACGCGCGCTGGGAGCGCGCGCTGATGAAGATGCGGCGCGACGCGCGGTTTCGCGCGCTGAAGACGCACTCGGAGCGACGCGCGGCGTTCGACGCGCTGCGGCGACGCGCGGCGGAGGAGAAGAGGGAGGGGGAGAAGAGACGAAGGGCGGCGCGGGGGGAAGACGAGGCGGACGCGGACGCGCGGAGGGCGCGAGCGTTGAGGGCGAGGGAGTCGGAGGCGAGCGAACGACGGCGAAGGGATGAACGCGAGGCGCGGTTTCGGAAGGAGCGATTGTTGGACGACGAGGCGGAGGCGGCGTTTCAGGCGTTGTGCGCCGAACGCGTGAAGACGTACGCGCGTTCGTACGACGAAGCGTTTCGACGGGACTTGGTGGGCGATCCCATGGGTCGGGACGACGTGTCGAGATTGCGCGGAGGGGAGGCGCGCGCGAGGACGCTGTACGAGGCGCATCGACTCGCCGTCGAGGCGTCGTTGAAGGCGGAATTTGAAAAACTGGCGCGTAGAATCATAGATAAGCTCGTCGTGAGAGAGTTGAGCGACGAAACCGCCGCGAACGAGGCTCGCGCTCGAAGACGCGCGAGCGCGCTGGACGTCATCTTCGACGGCGCGCTCGCCTACGCGCGCGCCGCGGAGGACGAGTTCGAGCTCGTCGACGACGTCTTGTTCGCCTTCGTGAGCGACGGCGACAAAAAACAAATATGGACCGAGTGCGCGATCGATATTTTATCGCGCCACGGCGTAAAAATCGGCGACGATCGAGTCGAAGACGGCGAAGACGAAGACGAAGACGAAGACGAAGACGGCGCCGTCTCCGAGTAGCTCCGTCGAAGCGTTTAGAGCGTTAATTAGTTTGCCTCTCGCCGAAAAACAATTCTTTCGTCGAGTGCGGGCGTTCACAAACGCCGCGTTTCGCGCGTTCCCTCGCGTTTTCTCGCGCGTCCTGTTCGCATCGTCACGACTGGGGAGGGCGTCAGCGTTCAGAGTAAACCCCGTTGAGTTCCCGCGTTGTCTCCGCGGTGGACACATGACTGTGCCTCGGCGAGTTACTCGACGTCCCGCTCGCGGTTTCCCGCGCGCGAGCGCGTCCAGGTCCTGGTCATCGCGACCCGACACTCTCTGCCGCAGCGCCCGGGGATTTTCGCCCGGTGGTCGTCGCGCGTCGTCCGATTTTCCGCCGCACCGCGCGCGTCGAACGAACGTCGACCCGCGCGGCGCGTGTTCGCGATCGCGATTCGACGCTCGCGTCACCGAAGGTGTCCCTTCACGCGCGCCCGTACCTCGTCGCGATCCGATCGCGCGCGCCTCGACCGCGCGCGCCCGACGTCGACGCCGCGCGCGCGCGCGCGCGCGCGTGCGTCGCCCGGCGGCGCGCGATCGTCGGATCGCCGGCGTCGCCGAACCCTAACCCTATGCTGCTCTTTTTATCGCGCGCGGGGCGCGGCGATGGGGAACGCTTTCGCCCGAACGCGCGCTTTTTCGAAGAAATCGCGCGATCGAGCCTCGCGCGCGCGTCGCGTCGTCGGATTCGACCCGACCCCGCGCGATCACACGTCACGTTTTATGCGAGCTACTGGCGGTCAGTTAGGCCGCGGGCCTTAAACGGGCTTCCCTATACGTTGCGCTGCCTCATGGTCACGCATCTTCTCATCTTTTGTGCGAGCCGTAATTTTTCGCCCCGACCGTCGCTCGATGAAGTTTTGAAGCACCGGAATGCCACCGATGAGGTCCCGAACCTCCTCCTTGAAGACAGCCTTTAAAATTTCGTTGTCCCGTTTGCACTGTTCATCCTTGGCTCGTTTCTTCTCGAGCTTTCGTTGCTTTCGTTCCCATTCTTCCGCCTGGGTCTCTCCCATGAATCGCCCGAAGCACGCGCCCATGAGTATATCGATCAACTCGCGCAACGACGAGTGGCGTCGACGAGTACCGACGATGCGAACTACCCGCACGCAATTCCTCCGTCGGAAAACCGGAGTCGCTAAACCCTAGCAAAAATCGAGTTTCAGAAAAGGCCCGTTTTTGCGAGCTATACCTTATATGATCGTGAGCAATCGGGCCTAGTGCGTCGATGAGTGATGATGATTACAATTATAGGTTAACTAGGGAAAGCTATACGTCATATTTTACTCTTCAGATTTCTAACATTTTACGCGTCAGACACGACGCGTCGACGGGGCGTCGACTCGGACTCGGACGCCCGCGTTGGGTTTTGAGTTTTCGCCGTCGCGTCGCGTCGCGCGCGCGCCGTCGCCGGACTCGCGCGCGCGACCGTCGGTGCGAGAGGAACCGATCGCGACGCGCGCGGCGCGAGAGACCCGGGCGGTGCGCGACGGGCGACGCGCGCGGCGCGGACGAGCCGCGGGCGAGCGGGCGATCGAAGGGTTTTCGAATCGCGCGCGATGGGTAACGGTTACTCTCGCATGTGCGTCGAGATCGGCGGCGCGGTGTATTGCTGGGGTATCAATGACAACGGTTAGCTCGGAGACGGGTCGAAGGTTGAGCGACATACCGCCGTCCAGGTTGTCAACATCACGACGGCGACGTCGGTCTCCGCGAGACACGGCGACCACGCGTGCGCCACGCTCGCCGACGGCACGGTGCAGTGCTGGGGTAGCAATGGCGACGGTCAGCTCGCTGACGGCACTACTATATACCGACTTACTCCCGTCCTGGTTTCGGGCATCACGACGGCGACGTCAGTCTCCGCGGGTGGCTCCATGAGTGGCAGCCACACGTGCGCCCTGCTCGCCGACGGCACGGTGCAGAGCTGGGGTTACAATGCCAACGGTCAGCTCGGAGACGGCACTACTACAAACCGACTTACTCCCGTCCTGGTTTCGGGCATCACGACGGCGACGTCAGTCTCCGCGGGTGGCGGCCACACGTGCGCCACGCTCGCCGACGGCACGGTGCAGTGCTGGGGTTACAATGACAAAGGTCAGCTCGGAGACGGCACTACTACACACCGACCTACTCCTGTCCTGGTTTCGGGCATCACGACGGCGACGTCGGTCTCCACGGGTGGCGCCCACACGTGCGCCATGCTCGCCGACGGCACGGTGCAGTGCTGGGGTTACAATCTCGACGGTCGGCTCGGAGACGGCACTAAGACAAACCGACTTACTCCTGTCCTGGTTTCGGGCATCACGACGGCGACGTCGGTCTCCGCGGGTGGCAGCCACAATTGCGCCATGCTCGCCGACGGCACGGTGCAGTGCTGGGGTGTCAATGTCAATAGTCAGCTCGGAGACGGCACTACTACAAGCTCGAATATTCCCGTCCAGGTTTCCAACATCACGACGGCGACGTCAGTCTCCGCGGGTTACGACTTCAATTGCGCCACGCTCGCCGGCGACACGGTGCAGTGCTGGGGTTACAATGACAAAGGTCAGCTCGGAAACAACGCTACTACAAGCTCGAATATTCCCGTCCAGGTTTTGGGCATCACGACGACGACGTCAGTCTCCGCGGGTGGCTCCTCGGGTGGCGGCGGCGTTCCGGGCACCATCGTTCCGTTGCGCTCCGCGGATACGTTGAGCGACGTTGAAATCGCCGGTATTGCCGTCGGTTGTATTGCGTTCGTCATCATCTTGACTCTCATCGGGCTCTGCGTCAGGTCGCGCCGCCGCGCCGACGACAAGCTCCGCGCGCGCCTCGGCATCCCCACCCGCGGCGCTCCCGTCGCCGTTACGCCGCAACAGCCGCAAGTCATCGTTATTCAAACGTGAGCGCGCTCGTCGTCCTCGCAATCACCGCCCTTCTCGCTATACCATCGTCGTGCGTTTGCATGGAAGAGGTCGTCGCGCTCGCGACAAACTTCAGCCGTACCGACGACCGCGCGCGGTTACAAAACGGTGGCGCGGCCCGTCGCGCGTTTCAAGTCTTTTCAAGTTTTATCCAGTCGTCGCGCGTTTCAAGTCTTTTCAAGTTTTATCCAGTCGTCGCGCGTTTCAAGTCTTTTCAAGTTTCGTAAAGTCACAGTTTTACACAGCGCGACGTCATCCATTCCGAACCCGCGCGGTTTCGCCGTCGGTCTCCGCGGCGCGCGTCGCGCGTCGAAAATCGACGTCTCCTAAAAACACAGACCTCTTCCGCGTCGCGCGCGATCGTTCCCCCCCGCGCGGACGCGCGGCGAGCTCGAGACGTTCGCGCGCGAGGACGATCGCGCGCGCGCGGATCGAGCGCGATCGCGCGGCGACGACACGGCGGATCGAGCGCGCGCGCGCGCGAACGCCCGCTCGATTAATCGATCGATTCATCGACCCGATCGATCGATTAATCGCTCGAACGAACGCACGAACGAAGGGCGAGCGCGGACGCGATGGCGACGCGAGCGTCTCGCGCGCGCGCGACGACCGGCGGACGCGGGTCGACGACGCGCGCGCGGGTCGGACGGACGCGCGATCGGCGAGGGCGACCGGCGCGGGGCGCGGGACGCGCGAACGCGAACGCGAACGCGAACGCGAACGCGAAGAAGACGGACGAGGGCGCGAAGAGGACGGCGAAGGACGCGATGGAGGGATTGCGACCGGCGCGCGCGCGCGATGGGACGAAGATGGTGGCGTCGGTGTCGACGGCGGCGGAAGCGCGAGCGCGGGAGGGGACGCGCGGGGCGGGGGCGAGCGCGGCGGCGGGCGCGGGCGTCGCGGTCGCGGGAGGGGCCGCCGCGGTGGCGCTGGCCAGGGCGTCGAGAGGGAAGAAGAAATCCGCGGAGGCGAAGGTTTTGGATCGTTACGCGAAGATTATTAACGATGCGTACGATATTCCGTTCGTTCCGGAGTTCGCGGAGAGCGAGGTGTATCGCGAGGTTTGCAAGGCGGCGTACGCGTCGGCGATGAAGAACTTACGACAGAACCTCGTCGGAGCGAGCGTTTTGGGGCATCCTCTGATCATGAGCGATTATCTGGACGCCAGACACGTTCCGGAAAAGAGTGGTATCAAGGAGCAGGAGCTCGCAAAGTTTATCGGCGACGTCGTCGGCGAAACGAGCGGGATTCCCGTCTTGTTACCCGGGCCGCTCGAAAGGAAGCTCTACACGAACGGCGCGCTCACGGGATGGACCGTGTTCGAAGATACGTTAAAAACGTTCAAGTTGCAACTTTTCGACCGGGAATTCGTCTTTGAAGTGTCGAGCGAAGAGGATGGCATGGCGGAAGGGCGAAGGACTAAGCTCGTCGCGAGCGGCGACGGCTACTTAGACATCGTGCCGAATCTGTCGAATCAAACGCTCCGCAAGATTGCGCGCGAAGAGCTCAAAGCCCCGCCACCGACAAATCTGTTCCCGCATCTCCAAGAAAACGTCGCCAAGGTTGCGGTGGGTATGTTATCCGAGGCGCTCACGATGGAGGCAAAGATTAAAGGATTCACCGTGGAGTTTGCGTTAGAGCCTTACGACGACGATACTCGAGAGGCGTTTGCAAACATCTCCTTTTCCGACGAGGATCGTTTGGAGACGCAGCGCGCGGTGAAGCAACTTATCGAAGTGTGCGTCGATGAATATATGGACACTCGAGCGATGGCCATCTCGTCAGTGTTTCTTCCCCGACGAATCGAGCGCGACACGTACATCAACCTCCTCACCGGCTTGTTCGGTGAGATAGGAAAAGAGCCCGTGTTGAGTAACTTGGGTTTCAACATTTCTATGCGTGTGCTCAGTCCGTCGAGCGGAGCAAACGTGTCAGCGTCGTTCGACGACGACGCCTTGACATTCGACGAAGGCGACGCCGCGAAGAAGACACCCAGCGCCCGCGACCTCCTGCAGCAAATGGGGAACGAAATTCGTAGAGGCGACTTTAGCAACATAGCCTCGGAGGCACGTCAAATTTTGGGTGTGAGCATCGACGGTGATGAAGACCCGAGCAGAGCTGCGAGAAAAAAGGCACAAAAGCAGACTCGAGAGGCGATTTCGGAATTTGTCGACTACCTCCTTCGCGATCCCATGTACAACGTCAAGGCTATTCCCGATAACATTGAGCGTTTGCTGTACATTAACTGTTTTGAACTCATAGTGGATATTTTATCTACAGTGTTGTCCGATTTTGAGCTCGACATGCTCGGGCGAAGAATCCGAATGCTGGTGCGCCAAGCGCCGAAGCGCGACGTCAAGGACCTCAGCCGCTTCCGTCCGGACGCGCGAGCGTTGAGGGAGATCACCAAGGACTTTGCTGACATCCCTTCGGTTCAAGAGATCATGGGCAACGTTTACGCTTTTGTTCTTGCTTTCGTCGCTCAAGTAGCTTCTGATTTTGAGGTGACCGTCGTCGGTCATCGACTCAACACGGGTTTGAGTAGAAGAGCCGAAGCGACTGTGATGGAATCTGCAGGGCCGGCGGTTACGGATGCATTGAACGAATCACTCGTTTCAGCGATCGAAGCTTTCGCGCAAGATGTGTTCGCCATCGGCTCTCGCACTGGTTTGAACGCTGGAGGTTCTGCGGAGACAAGGTCGGCGGTTGCAATCGATTTCGACAAAGAGGTCTTCGCGTTGTTTGAAGCCAACGCGTCCAATCCGGATGAAAAGTTTCCGTTCCCCTACCTCAATCAAGAGCAGTTCGCGAAGACGATTGATATGTTCATCGAAACCCTCGTTCCGGGTGCCAAGTTGTGGGACTCTCACAACGCGACCGTTCAGAAAATTGCCAAAGCGGCTGATTTGAACGGCGACGGCGTCATACAGTGGGCCGAGTGGTACTACGCCGCGGGAGCCATTAACAGAGCGACCAAGATTGCGAATAAGAAGACTTTAGAAGAACTTAAAGGAGGATGAAAACGAGCGACAAAGACTTTACGATTTTATACTACGCCGCGGGAGCCATTAACAGAGCGACCAAGATTGCGAATAAGAAGACTTTAGAAGAACTTAAAGGAGGATGAAAACGAGCGACAAAGACTTTACGATTTTACGTTTTAATTACACATTTCGCGCGGGTCGCCGCTACTTCACTTGACTTTCACACTATTGCGAAGTCTAGGACGCGTCTTCGTGGGCGGTGCGAATTCACCTTCGATTGCTTCATCGTTCGTCTTTTTCTCCTTAGTCGTGCCTTCGCTTTCAGCGCTTTCGCTCTCGGTTTTCACGATTTCAACCGCTTTTGGCCGCTTGTTTTGATGCTGGACAACTTTCGAGATGACAGTGCTCACGACGGCGGTGCTCACCGCAGAGACGACGCCCGCCACGGCTTTCGCTTTATACCGTCGAACGAACGCCAGTAACTCATCTCCTGTCACTAAACGGATATATCTCTTGCTCGCAGGTGGAGGTGGAAGGCGGCGATACTTTGCGACGTAAGGGATCGCTTGTTTCAACTTGTTCCATCGCGCCAGTGACTTTTCGCGCTTCAACGCCTCCAACTTTACCTTCTTCGTTGCGATTTTAGCCGTCGCCAAGTGCTTTTGCTTTAAATTGTGTTTGGGCTTGTTGAACAACGGATCGTCCAATCGTCTGTCGAGCACGTCAAGTAAACCGTTCAAGCCGTCGAGGACGCCGCGCAAACGTGCCCTCGCGGCGAGGAGTTCGCGAGCCTCCTTCCTCGTTAACAGCTTGGACGTCTGGGACTGTAGCATGGCCAAGCGTCGAATTTGAAGCTGCAGCGGAAGCATCCATCTAAACCACGGATCGGCTTGGAGATTTTCTTGCTGCGCGACCAAGACTGTGGCTGCATCAACGAGACCTTCGGAGGCTTGTTCTTCCACGGTGCGCTCGTAGAGCATTTGCGCCTCTTCGAGTTTCATGACGAACTCTGTGTACAACATGTGCGGGTTTACCTTACCTTCATGTTGAGGCTGACCAGCGCCGGATTCAAGTGTGTGGAGCTTACCAAAAACCTCCGCCAGTGCGACTTGCGTGTCGCGAAACAAGCGCATCGGAAATCGACTGAGACGTTCCTGAGGCTCTGCGCTGAGGAGTCCGACGCGACGCTTCGGTGCCGAATCCGCAGCCTCTAAAGGTTCCATTGCCGTCGTTTTCTCATTCAATGAGGAATCGATTCGGCGAAAAATAGACCGTTTACTCGCTAACTTTTCACCTTCGTCTCCGCCGTCGTCAGCGCCGTCGCCCTCGACTCGCTTCTCCTTCTCCACCTCACGAACGTGTATGAGCGCGAAAACCTCAGTCAAACGCTCTGTCGGTACAGTTGCGTCGTAGCGCTCGTTGCTCACCTCCAACTCCATCGCCACGCGATCAAGCTGTTGATCCAACGCGAACTGCCACGTGTCCTGCTCGCTCACGCCTTCCAACTGCACCCCGCGTTGAAACTGCTCGACCCAGTGCAAATACCGACACAACCGAAACAATGTCGAATTCACCGCTTCGTTGGGATTATCGGGATAATGCGCCGCAAAATAATTCGCCCGAATCTTCGGCGGTTCCCCGCTCGAACGTCTCGGCGGCACCTTTAATATAAACTCCAATCTGTTTCTCAAATCTTTCGCCGCCGCCCGCAGCGGTCCGCTCAGCAATCGTCTCACCTGCGCCAATCGCGCCTTCCTCTCCTGGTGTTGCCGCTGCACCTCCCGCCTCGCCTCTTTTATCTCATCTTGATATCCTCCCACCACCTTATACGCCAATCCCGCGAGCAACAACCCGCTCAGCGTTCCCGACACCCCCGCGATGACCTTCACCATCATGTTCGTCATGAGCGTCTGCTGCAGATTCCCCACGCCCTTGATCGACCGTCCGACGCCCGCCATCGAGCCTCGAATCTTCGCCAGCGGGTTGCTGTTCGCCTGTCGCCGTCGTTCGAGCTCGGCGGCGTCGTTTCCGAATCGAATCTTCATCGGGAGTTTCAGGCGCACCGGCCCGACGTTGATCGCCGTCGAATTCTCATCGCTCTGCGTCGACGACGACGCGTCGGCGGCGGAGGATTTATTCCTCGTGAATCGCATCGCCACGCTTCGCGCGATGGGCGCGACGGGCGCGATGGAGGTCGCGCGGCGGTGAATGATGACGATCGATTGAGAATTGGGAATTGCGCTGGCGATTCGGCCAACGCCGCGCGGCGACGCGGCGAGGACGCGCTCGACGACGAAAACGGGGAGAAAAAATCTGGAAAAATCACAGATGATGAATAAATATTTATGACATCGAATGCGCGAACAGAACGAAGCGGAAACGATCACGCGAGGGAGAAGTCGAAGTTGAAGACGACGCAGGCGTGATCGCTCGGGAAGCGAGCGTTGGGAAACGTCGCGTCGGCGTCGAAAGGGAGGACACTAGGGGGCTTGGGGTGCGCGGTGAAGTCCACGGCGTTGATGCGAGTGAGCGTGGGCTTGGTGGTGGCGTTAAGCGAGGCGGCGTTGGCGTCGGTTCGGGTGTAAATCAACACGTGGTCTTTGGGATGGCGGTCCGTGAGCGCGCTCGTCGCGATTTCGGCGAGCGGCACAGCTTTGTTGAGCTGCGCCTGAAGGAAGGTGCGCGCGCTGAACGTCGTGAAGGCGTCGCGCTCGACGTCGATCTCGGCCATCGTCCAGCACGATCTAAACGTCGTTTCTGCGGCCAAGAAGTCTATGAAATCTGTGACGCCTTGCTTTTTACCGTCCTTGTGCGCAACGTGAGTGTTGGCGTCCATGCCAAAGACGCACGCATCGATCGCGTCGTTTGCGACGCAGTGCGCGTGCGTAGCGGTGGTGATTACTTTAGTTTGTAACCCATCCGTATCGCCGTGAAACGAACAAAACAGCACCCCGCGAACGAGAAAGGCGCAAAAATCACCCTTGGAGAATTTGGCGGCGCCGTCGCCGAGTGACTCCAAAATCTCGCGCGTCTTCTCGATCGCACGCTCGCCTCGAGTGAACGTCTTGGACACGAGCACGATCGAGTTTTGATCGCGCTTCACGTCCAGATCCTCTGGACGATATATCTCGTACGTGTCCCGCACGCTTTCTCGCGCCTCGAGCGCGTCGGCGAACGAAGCGCCGACTTCCTGCAAAAAGCACGCCGACAAATTCACGTCCGACGACGATGACCCCAGTAAGCAATGCTCCACCACATCGAGCGTTCGCGGCACCTTATGTCGCACTAATGCATCGACTAAACCGGCGCGAATGCGCTGCCAAGCCTCAAACGAGCCCGCCGCCGTCGTCGCCACGCGCGCCAACGCCGCGTCGAACGCCGCCAAATAGAAAATTTGTAAAGGGATCCCCAGCGCCTCCTCCTCCTCGCTCACCGCCGGATACTTCGCCCGTCTAATCGGCACCAACATCTCCACCATCGCTCGCGCCTCGCCTCCCCGCGTCGCGCGTACTTTCGCGTCGAACATGTACCCCATCCACGCTCGAAACCACTCGCCTTCGTCCTCCAGCGTCTCGTCGTAACAATTAATCACCGTCGGCCTTCGCACCGTCCTTCGCTCGCCTTCGTCGTCGAACACGTTCACCGTGTTCGTCACTCTGTCCGGCATCGAGCACAGGCGTTTCGCGCCGATCTCCGCGTCTCGCAGGAACTCGCCGCACGTTCGCTCGCCGCACCGCGCCTCGTACGCGCGTCGCGCCCGCGCCGCCGCCTCTCCGTCCTTCGCCGCGCCGCTCGCCGCGATCTTCGCCTGCAGCGCGTCCAGCGCGTCCGGTCCGAGCGCGCGCGCCATCGTCGCGTCGGACGCGCCGCCGGCGTCGCTCGACAGCGCGCGCTCGACCGCGAGCAGAAATGATTCATAAACATCGCCGCCGTCGTCGCTCGACGCCTCTCCGCGACCGCGCGCGCTGGCGTAGTACTCGAACGGGTTGTTGTTGATCGCCGCGACGTTCCACGTCGACGCCCGCGCGCGCATCGCGCGTCTCGACGCGCGTCCCGATGAAGCGACCGGGACACGGCGGCGGCAAATGACGTCGCGCTGCGCGCCGATCCGCGCGCTCGACGCCGCGACGACGCGTCGACCGACGTGCGCGCGATGTCGCCGCGCGTTGGTGGCGTGCGCGTGTCGCTCGGTCGCGCGCGCGCTCGGTCGGGCCGGGAGAGTCGCGAACTCGACCAACATTTACATCCTGCAAGACCGCGCGGAGTTTCGACGCGCCCTGGGAAGCGCGATCGTCTGCGAACTCGCGCTGGATAAATGCGAGGTGCGAGTGCTGTTCGATGACCTTCGAGTGCGAGGACGGGACGTGAAGGCGCCGTTCGCGGAGGAGGACGCCGCGCGGTGGGGGGTGCTGTGGCCGTGCGACGAGGCGGTCGACCTGGCGGCGCACGCGCGGGACGCGACGACGCGACGGTTGGAGAATTTGATCGTGCTCGATTCCACGTGGCATCGCGCGCGAGCGATGTATCACCGCGTGCCGTGGTTGCAGCGCTTGCGCAAGTTTCAAATAGAGCCGCGGCGAAAGTCAAACTATCGCATCCGAAAGCAACCCAACGATTTGTGCCTGAGCACCGCGGAGTGCGTCGGCGAGGCCTTACTCGCGCTCGACGGTGAAAACTGCGGCGCCGAGCGCGTCGCTCAGGCGTTCGACGCCATGGTTGACGATCAACTCGACGCCGAGAGGGCCGCGTACCATCGCGGCGCGCGAGAGCGCGGCGCGCCGACTCGCCCGCCGAGCGCCGTTCTCGCGCGCGAGCGCGACCTGCGCTCGCCGCCGCCGTCCTAACTGTATTCTTTGTATTCTTTCATCCCAGTCTCGTCGTCCTGACTGTATTCTTTGTATTCTTTCATCCCAGTCTCGTCGTTTTCTCGTCGCTTCCCGGCGTATCGCGCGTCTTCGTCCGTCGTCGTCGCTCTCGCGGCGCCGCTCGCGCGTCTCGGATCGCAATTTCTGCGCAACACCCCGCCTGTCTGTCTTTCTTCGGCGCGCCGCACTCTTCGCCTCTCTCTCGCGCGCGCGAACGAAACTCGAGAACGACGGCGAGCGAACGCTTCGTCGCGCGCCGAGCGTCGTCGTCGTCGTCGTCGCGCGCCGAGCGCGATGGGTGTTGAGCGCGGCGACGCCGAACCGCTCCTGCGCGCGTCTCGCGACGTCGAGCGCGCGTCGGACGACGCGGAGACGACGGCGGCGAAGCTCGCGGTCGATCGAACGCGCGGCGCGGCGAGCGCGAGGCTGGTCGTCGGCGCGTGCGCGGTCGCGGCGTGCCTCGTCGGGGCGAGCGCGAGGGCGGATTGGGCGCACCGACGCGGCGGCGCGCTCGCGGAACGCGAGGAAGTCGAGGCGTTCGGACGGGAATTGAACGTCGGTGATCTGAGTAAATATTACGAGATTCCGAGGAAGGCGAAGTCGGTGAAGCAGACGCACGCGAATCGAGTGCTGTTTTACAACTTTTTGCACGTGCCGAAGACGGGTGGGACGTTTTTTCACTCGGTGTTGCGACAGGTGGAACGCAGGGTGAATCGTAAGCCGAAGCAGGAGGCGTTCCTGGGCGAAGAATTATTTCCTCACGATCATGAGTCGATCGCGCAGTGGATCACGTGGCCTTTGGTCGATACGACGAGAGAAAATTACGCGGCGACGCGGCGGCACTTTGCCACGGGCGAACCCGCGGAGTACTTTGGCGTGGATCGTTTGCGGAAGATGTATGAATCAGGGGCGCGGATTTTTAGCAAAGGCTCCTACGGCATGGGACTGTGCGAGGTCGTTGACGCCCCGTGTGCGTACATCACAATCTTAAGAGACCCAGTCGAGCGGTTTTTAAGTCACTACAAGTACTCGTGCTTGGCCGGGGCTGAAAATCGTCGGCTGTGGAACAAGGCGATGAAGGACAAGGGCGAGTGCGCCATGAACCTCGTAGAGTGGCACGATTACTTGGGCGGTGATAATTGGTTGCACGTCCTCGCACCGGGCGGTGGGGAGAACAAAGACGCTCAAGTCGCTGCGGCGATCGCGAATTTGGACGACCCGTGCTTTAAATTTCTGTTGACGGAGAAACTCGACGACGGTTTAGAAAAGCTCACAACTTTACCCGATTTTGCGCGGCTCAACGCGACGCTTTTAGCCAATTTTGCGCAGCACAACGAAGCGCCCGAGCTCGATGCGCACCAGCAGCGCCTCTACGACAGGCACGTGGCGAACGAAGACATGATGGCGCATTTGCGTCGCAACCTGCGCAAGTCGCTCGCCGTGTACGCGCACGCGAAGAGAACGTACGAGCGCAAGTGGCGGCAGCGCCTTCTTTCGTGTTGAAGTTTGCGCGCGTCGGTGGCGTGTTAAACGATACAATTACACTCGGTTGCAAATTAGAATACATAGGGCATCGATTACTAGCATTGTAACACCAGCGCGGTTCCGCTACGCGTCCGGCGGAATCCATTCGCCCGGCGCTTTCCATCGCGCGCTCGTACCCTCGGGTCGTAAGAAGACGTAATCCGAAGTATCCACTCCCATCGCCTCCTCGAGCGCGCGCGCCTCCCTCGCGAGCGCGTCGTACACGCCTTGATCCACGTTGCACCGCAACGCGCGTTGCATCGCCTTCCCCTTCGCCGCCCGCGCCGCGCACGCGCGCGTCTTGCACACGTACGCCGATCGCCCGTTCACCCCTCTCGCGTCGTCCCCGACCACCACCCGCGTCTCCCCGCTCGCCGTCTTCACTCGAACCGCTCGAAAGAGGTCCGCTTTCGCCGCGATCCTCTCGCACGCCGCGCACGTCCTCGCGTTTCGCTCGCGCAGCGCCGCCCTCGTCCATCCCTGTCGCGGTTTCGGCTGATTGCACGCCCGATCCCGCGGTCGCGTCTTCCGTTTCGCCACGTCCCTATTCCTCTGCGCTCGCGCCGCGCTCGCGATCGCGCTCTCGTACGTTCGCAGCGTCGTCGCCGCCGCGTGCGCGCGCTCGACCGCGTCCGCCCGCCCTCGAACGTCGTCGCCCTCGTCTCCCGCCGCCGCGCGCGCCACGCGCGCGAGCGCCACCGCCGCGCCCGCGTCCTTCGGCGACGTCCGCTCCGCGAGCGTCAGCAGCGCGTCCACGCCGCCGCACGCGTCCGCGAGCGCGCGCGCCGCCGCCGCGTCCGCGCGCGTCGCGTCGTCGTCCGACGCCGCGCCGCATCGCGCGCGCGCGCGTCGATTCGGCGCTCGAGCGCGCGCGCGACGCGCGAGACGCGGCGCGACGCGCGACGCGACGCCGCGCGCCGCGGACGCGCGCATCGGACGCGCGCGCGTCGACGTGTGCGAATGAATCGCGCACTCATTGTTGCACATTTAAATTACACGCAATCGCGTCGACGCCGGCGCGCGCGACGCGCGTCGACGCGTCTTCGCGTCCCTCACGCCGTCCCTCGCGCCTTCGCGCGCGTCGCCGCGACGGCGCGATCGCACGCGCGCTCGAGCGCTCGCGCGCGCTCGAGCGCCGCCGCCGCGCGCTCGAGCGCGCGCTCGAGCCGCGCGCGCGTCGCCGCGGACGCGACGACCGCGACGCGGCGTCGCGCGTCGCGCGTCGCGCGCGTCGCGCGATCGGCGCTCGCGCGCACCGCCGTCGCGCGCGCGGCGCACGCGCGCGCGGCGTCGACGGAGGCGCGCTCGCACGCGCGAAGCCGCGTCGCCGCGGACGCGACGCGGCGCGTCGTCGCGACGCGGAGCTCGGCGCGCGCGACGGCGAGGATCGCCGCGACGTCGTCGTCGGCGCAGGGCGGCATGCGCGCGCGACGCGCGGGCGCGCTCTGCGGGCGACGGACGACGCGCGCGGATTCATGATCCCGACGCTCGTATTTAAGCGCACCGTATATAGGGCACCGTGTTGTGTAATAATACACCGTACTGTTTATGCATACGATGCATAAACGACGCCGTCATTTCGGCGAATTCGGCGACGCGTTTCGACGCGCGGCGCCGCACACGTCGCCCGACGCGCGCGAATCGCGCGGCGAAACGCGCGCGCGCGGGCCGTCGAAGAGGTGCGCGCGACGCGAGGCGCGAAACACGCGCGCGAGCGCGCGAGGGGGGAGAATTCCGACGAGGGATCGCGCGCGTTCGCGCGATCGAGGGCGATTCGCGCGATCCGATCGCGTCGCGCCGGACGCGCGGGACGTCGCGGGACATCGCGAGGGCGTCGGTGACGCATAGAAAAGCGCGCGCGTCGACGCGCGAGCGAGAGGGACGCGCGCGCGCGGTGAGGGGCGAGGGGGGGGGGGGCGGCGCGAAGACGGCGCGCGAGCGAGAGACGCCGAGACGCGAGAGACGAGCGAGAGACTGACGCGGACGCGCGATTCGCGACGGTAGCGCTCGGTGGAGGACGCGACGGTGATCGAGCGCGATGGCGCGCGATCGCGGGGGGGCGTCGACGTCGGCGGTGGACGAGACGGCGGACGAGACGGGGGAGGCGCGACGGCGGCGGTTGCGAGACGAGGACATGCTCGTCGCGCGAGCGAAGGCGATTCGGGAGAAGATAAAGGCGCTGGACGCGCGGGCGAACGTGAAAACGCACGATGATAGCCGGAGGAAGAGTCATTGGGAGTACGTGATGATGGAGATGACGTGGTTGGCGCGGGACTTTGCGAGCGAACGCGACTGGAAGCAGGAGACGTCGAGGCAGGTGTCGCATCTGGCGGCTTCGTGCGAGGGCGCGCCGAAGGATCGAGAAGAGCAGGAGGTGACTCGGAGGAAGACGCGGTGCGCCATGATCGCCGCCGACGTCGCCGAGTTCTGGGCCGAGGCTTGGGAGCGGGCGAAGGAGCGGCCGCTGCCGAACGCGGGCGAGCTCGTCGAGGACGAGGACGAAGGAAGCGAGAACGGCTCGGCGGATGGTGAAGAGATCAAGATGGAGACGGAGAGCGACGAGGATGATGGGGGTGAAGAGGGTGATGCGGGCGAAAAGTTGGGACGTCAAGCGACGTTGACACCGACTGGTGATGCTGAGTTGTCGCCGACTGCGACGCTCGCGTCGACGCCGCCGCCGCCGGCGGGGATGCGAATCATCAACTCTTGGGCGTCGAATAAGCTGTATCTAGCCATGGTGGAGATGAAACGCGATTTGGTGAAGGACGCTATCGAACTGAAGGAGGCGAAAGAGCAGAAGGAGCGCGAGAAAGAGGCCAAGAAGGCGGCGAAGAAGAGCAAGGGGGCGCCAAAGGCGACGCCGAAGCGCGGACGAGGTTCAAAGAAGAAGGACGACGAAGACGAAGACGAAGACGAAGACGCGGACGGTGACGCCAAGGCTGATCGCATCGCGTTGGCGGAGGCTCTAGAGATCGACGGTATGGATCTGGACATGGACCTGTTGGCTCCTCCCACGCCGCCGCTCGTGGAAGAGTTCATGCCGGTGATTTACGACGCTGTGCCGATGTTGAACGAACGCGCCTTCAGGGAAACGATGCAAATCGAGGCTCAAAAGTTTGCGGAATACGAGCGCAGTTTACGAGGTTGGGAAGAAAACGAGCGCAAGCGCGCGCGCGCGCTCGTCGAAGCGGCTCGTTACCAAGCCGAGGAAGAGGCGCATCGGGAGACGATGGAGCAGCGCCGCGCGTTTTTGGCCGCCGCCGCCGCTCGCGGTCATTACTTCGACGAAGAGGGTTACATGGTGGACATCAAGGGTCGTCGTCGCAAGAACAAGCGTGGAGAGTACATTCAATTCGGTGTTCCTGGTCACGAGGTCGATATGGATTTCGGTGTACCCATTCCCAAGCGCACTGGACCGATGGACGACAGACGCCGCAAGGACGCGAAGAAGAAGCGACGCGCAGGTGCCATGCGGTCTTGGTCGCCCATGGAGGACCAACTGCTGTGCGCCATCGTGCACGAATTTGGTTCCAACTGGGCCCTCATCACCGACGCGTTCGCCGCGAGCACACCGATCAAGGGCACGTATCATCGCATCGATCACTGCCGCTGGCGTTTCTCCCATCTCACGCAAGTCGCCGAACAGCAGCAAGACCAAAGAGCCATCGCCGCGCTCGACCTCAACAAAGGCAGCGCGCGGACGCTTATGGCGCGTGCGCTTCCGGTGGAGGACGAAACCGTTCGCATTCATTTCGATCGTTCATGCGCCGTCATGGCCAAGCACCTGAAGATTCGAAAAGCGGCAAAGATGGAGCGATTGGGGATGAACAAGAGTCGTCGAAACGCGCCGCATCGATCGTGGCGAGAAGTGCAGTCAATCTGCGGACCGACGCAGCAGCCGCTTAGTTTGGCGGATGATAGTCCCGTTGGCGGCGTTACCGGAAACGGTAGTGTCATGCCCGGTGGTCAACGACTCGGAACAATGCTACCGATGGGCGGCGTCGCCTCGGGGCGGTCGGGCGTGCCCTCGTCAGCGGCGGGTGGACTCGCTCGCACGCCGAGCGGGGGGATTCCAGGCTCTAGCATGCCTGGAAAGAAGGATGCGAAAAGTATGGCGCAGTTCCAACAAATCGGCAGCTACTCCCCAGCCTCGGGTGGGGCCGCGATGCAGCTCGGCGGGATCGGAGGAGCCATGCCGGTGACTGGAAGCAAGTCCCCGGCGCTCGCCCCGGGCTCGTACAATCTCTCCGGTAGCAAGACTCCTCCAGCGAAAAAAACGACGCAGATGAAGCGCAAGGGTAAGAGAAAGTGATAGCACATCAGATACCATCATAGCAAAAGCGTATTACTTTAATAGAATGAGAATCGTTTTTTATTCACACACTGGCCATGAGAGGCTCTAATTCTAGCTCGAGCACGCTCGTCGGGCTGACGATGTCAAACTTCGCGCAGACGTCGGGATGGACGATACCGAACACGCCGATTTTCTTCCCATTCCGCATGACGCGCGCCTGCCTGCCCGGGAAATACGTCGGCTCATTCGATTCTTGGAGCTGATAGCCAAAGTCTGAGCCGTCAAACTTCGCGATGCCGACAACTTGCATGACGCGATCCAACACGCCTTGAACGACCTCGAAACCACTTTGAACGTTGCTATAGAGAACCAGTAGTCTTCGAGAGTTGCGCGCGCCGACGTCCGCCTCGGGATCGAGCACCACCACGTCACCAACTTCGAACAATTTTGCCGGCAACGGCGCATCCTTGTTTGCCCCCAACGCCTTCAGCGCGCCGGGCAAGAGGCTGTTACGAGCGACTTGCACATCCAAACTCGACGGGTTAGCTACGATTGCTGCGCTGTTGCCGTCATCTTCTCTAAGCACGTTCGCAAAGTTATCGTCGTGCGAGCACAAAATCCATGTCAAGACTTCGCTAAAGCCGCTGCGAGCCACCTCGCCTCGCACAGCGTCTGAAAACTTGTTAATGGGTTGTTGGGATGCGATCGTGTACGTGTTCGGCACCGTGCGCGCGATGTTGTTGTATCCGTGCGCGATCGCCACGTCCTCGGCGATATCGCACGGGTGCAAGATATCCGATCGCGTCGGCGGAACCTCCACTCGAAGCGTCGTTTCGTCCGCTCCGAGCTTGGTCGGAAGTTGCATTCGGCACAACAGGGCCGCCATCGTTTGGCGATCGATCGACGTCCCGATGCGCTTATTGATGTAATCAACATCTGCGTCGACAAATCGAGTCATAAAATCGGGGTATGTCGTCTCTTTGCCGGTGCAATCGACGACGTCCACCGGCTCAACAGTGAACGGCTCGGCACAGTACTCACTGAACATTGTCACCATTGTGTTCAGCACAATCTTCGCCTTATTCAAATCCGTCGCCGTGCACTCGATGAAGACGTCTGTCGTATCCAAAGAAATTGCCGATTTCGCACCGTTAATGATCGGCGGCAACGACAACACCGTGCCCTCGGAATCCTTCACCACGGGAAACACGGCGCTGTCCTCGATGATGTGCAAAAAGTGCTTCAATTTCTGATCTCCCTTGTAAAACTCCATTAAATCTCGAGCGTTGAACGACTTCTCCTGCTTCAACGGCACAAACTCGATCTCTTCCGGCAACTGCGCTTCGTAGGTGAACGGCCCCTTGATCTTCCCCAAGTCGTGCGTCCCGATCGCCACCAGGCTTCGGCGTCGACAAATATTCTGATGCAACTTGTCCTGCAAATCGATGAAACTCTCGTATCGCTCCTTGGTAAACTTCAGCCCTCGAAGTACCGCGCACACGACGAACGGTCTGACCAACATCGCGCTCGGCTTCACCGTCATCCGCTCCCGCGTCCCGCTCGACGGCTCGCGCGCTCGAAACGTCGGCGTCGGCGTCGTCCCTCGAAACACATTCAACGCGCGCGAGATCCCTTCCAAGCACAGCAAATCGTAACGATTCGCCGGGATATCAATCTTGTATATCACGTCGTCGCTCTCGTCCGCGTTCGCGCTCGTTTTATCGCCGTCTTGCCCTAAAAACTTTGATTTCATCGCGCTTTCCGAAGTCACTTCGTCGAGTTCGATCCCGAACTCGAAGCACAGCTCGTCGAATTCATCCTCGGTGTACGTCTTACCGAGTCTGGCGAAGAGTTCATCGCGGTTGAGGTTCACCGTGGGCATGGCGAACGCGTGTGCGCGACGTGATGTGGCGATCTTTCGTCGTGGGGACATCGGCCCTCTCAACACTGAAATCTGGGGTTTTCGCGCAGACGCGATGAAATTACTGCATACACGCTATACATGCTATAACAACACAGTTTTACAGGATCACGCCGAATCGCTCGCCTTGGCCTTGGCATCGACGGCGATCTTGGCGTCGGGCGACGGGGCGGCGTCGACGGCGTCGACGGACGGCGCGGACGCCGACGCGCGCGAAAAGAGCGTCAGCGGCGCGGCGAACGCGGATCGCAAGGCTTCTGGGATGATTTTCGAAGCAGTCGATGGAGGCGGTGTCTCAGCTGCTTCACTAGACTTTGCGTCGTCCTTTATCGCACTCGCGGGTTCAGATTCACGCTTGCGGAAATTTTCTCGCCACGCCTCGAGTTTGGCTTGCGCCGCGGATTTCGGTCGCGGAACGACGCCGAGTTTGATGAGCTCGTTGATCGCGACTTCGTCACCGCTTTCCACGACGAGCTCGAGCAGGCGTTGGATAGCGCGCAAGACGGTCTCGTCATCCTTGTATTTGACGAACGCCGAGGCGTCTGCTCGCACTTCCTTGTAAATATCACCGAGCGCCTTGGAGAGGATCAAATCCGCGGGCATCTTGAGCACCAAATTTGAGTCAGCGATAACGCGATCGACTTCTTCGTTTTCCAGCGCGGCGGCAATACGCTGAACCGGAAGTGAACGAACGTCGATAGAAACCTTACCATCGCTCGCACTCGCGTCGCCGCCCGTCTTCAACGACGAAAAGACGGTGGTGATGGAGGTCGCGCTCGACGTTATGGTCGAATTCAGTGTCGTCTTCGTTCTGTCAAAGAACGCACCGACGTTTTCCAAACCACTTTTTGCGCTTTCCATGCTCGCCTTGGCGTTTTCTTGAGCGAGCTCTAGACCGCGATTGGTTTCTTTTCGCACCGAGTCCGTGGTTTTTGACGCCCACGTGGACACGGCTTCAGCGCTCGACGATACCGCCTCGGCCGTGCTCGCCGTCAACGCCACAGTCTTTTCACTGATGATCTTGGACGTGCTTAACAACTTTTCAACCGTCGTCGGTAACGGTGTCGGGGTGAGCGTGCATCGCACGCAATCTTTCTCGACTTCGAGCGTCACGTGAATGAAGCCATTCTTTGTCGTCAGCGCCGCTGTTGCGGCGGCGGCGGCGGCGGCGGCGGCGGCTTTCGCCTGTTCTTCCTCTTCCGCCTTCTTCAACCGCATCTTCTCTTCGTGTTCTTCGACCATGGGTAAGAAAATATCGATCGACGACATCGCGATGTACGTCGTAAACGAAGAGTTGATCACTTGCGTTATATCCGCCGTGACCGACGCAAAGTATTTCGGTCCAAATATGAGCGTCGTCAAGCGCTTTGTTGCATCTCGAGAAAACTCCCTATCGAAGACCTTCTTCGCCATCTTCTCCGCTTCGTCGTAAGACATTTTCTTTTGTTGCATAGCGTCAGCCTTTGCGTCGCACGCCGCTTTCATCGCTCGTCGACGACTCTTCAGCACGGTTCGGTTGCCAGAATTTAAGAAATCAACCAGCATTTTTGACGCTCGACGTTTGAGATCGTTCCCTTCCGCGACGGCGCGGTCGAGAGCGTCTTGCATTAACGACGACATTGAATTGAGCGATCCCCAAGATTCATCGAGCGACGATGTCGAAGCCGATTTGACATCCACGACGCCATCGATGTCCATCCGCGGCTTCGCGTCCTCGTCCTCCGACGCCTCGTCCTCGCTCGAAACCTCACTCTCAACGTCGTCTTTCATGAAACGAATAACAGGGGACATCTGCAAATTTTCCTTATCCGTCCCTGCCGCGAGCGCGATGGCGGTGGTGATCACTGTCGGATCTAACGGCGACGATCCGCACAGACACGCGAAGAAGAGAGAAATACGAAAGCGATTCATGAAATGCGTCGCGTGCGCGCCCACGGGTCCGGGCGTCAGCCAAGCGAACATGAGCGCCGCGGCGTATTGAATGACGTTGTGTGAGTACACGGCATTCATGAGCGGTGCACGTTCGGGCTCGGGATATTTTTGAAAATGTTTCCAAGCCATCTCCGGGGCGCCGGGAATGCCAGCCATGGGCACGCCCTCGATCGCCGTCTTGAGGAATTTGTGAATCGCCAGCAACGAAGCCGTTTCATGGACGCGCGCGAGTGATTCTTTATCCACTTTATCCATCTTGGACGTTTCGGCGCCGTCGGCGCTCACTTCATCGCCCTTTGCGTCCGCTTCGTTGTCCTTTTTCCGCGCCTCCTCACGTTCGCGCTCCTCGGCGAGCCACTCGTCGTCTTTGCGAAGAAACATCGCCCAAAACTGCGTCTCCTGGCGTATAGCTTCGTATTCAGCGTTTCTGAGTTTTTTCGCTCGACTGTTCCGCCACTCTAATTGCCAATTATCTAAACGAAGCTGGAAATCTTTCGCCACCGTCTTCTTCCCGCTCGATCCGCTAAACCATCCGCCGGTTTCAGCGTCCACGTGTCCCCCATCCACCGCGCTCAGCCCCTCGCGAGCGCCCTCGGGCACGCAAAACACGTTGTTCCCAACCACGCCCGTCAATTTCACGAGCGCATCGCGAATTTTGGACGCGCGCACGTTATCCGAATCCCCCACGCGTTCGCAAACCACAAAAATTCCGCTCGCCCCCAACCGCTCGACGTTGGACGCGATCTCGTCCACCACGCCCTCCAACCGCGTCCCTCTCAGCGCCTTCACCGCGCCGACCAACGATTTATCGCCGCTCCCTCCTTCGTTCCTCCGCTTCGGTTCCGGCCATTGCGTCGTCTTTTCGTTCTCTTCGCCCGTCGTCGCGTCCTCGCTCGTCGCCGGCGCGTTCGCCTTCGCCTTCGCCTCCCGCCCCCCCCCGCGCTCGCCCATCGACGCCTCCGCCGTCACCACGAACACGATCCCATCGCACGTCATCCACAATTTCGTTCCCGTGTCCTCATCGCGCGTCGTCGCGCGCTCGCGCTCGACCTCTCGCGTCGTCGTCGTCGTCGTCGTCTTCCCAACACCCGCGCCGTCGCCGAGGTCCATCCCATCGAGGTCGTCGTCGTCTCGCGCGCCGTGCGTCGCGTCCGCCGTCGCGCGCGACGCGTTGAATCGCGTTCGCGCGTCCGTGACGCCCAACCGCGGTCGCGCTTCGCACGCGGCGACGATTTCGCGAAGCGATTTCGATCGCGCGCGCGATTCTCGACACTCGGGAAAGCACCTCGCGTCGTCCGCGAGCGCTCGCTGCGCGCGCGCGTCCGTCAGGAGCGCGTCGAGGGCATCGCGCGCGTCGTCCATGCGCGCGCGGCGCGATCGGGCGCGCGCGCGACGTCGAGTGACGATTCGCGTCACCGCCTCGAAGCGTCGCGCCGCTTCGAGCGTCATTAAAACGCGCGCGACCGCGCATGCGCGCCGCGACGCGCTCGAGCGCGCCCGCGGGGACGCGCGCGAGAGCGCGCGCGACGCGCGCGGCGCGACGCGGGCGCCGCGCTCGAACGGCGGCGCGATTCGAGGACGAATTCGAACTCGAACGCGAATTCAGCGACGCCGTTCGAGCGCGACGCCGCGTCGTCGTGCCGCTCACGGCGCGCGAGCGCGCGCAGCTCGCGCAGGCGTGGAGCGAGGAGTGCCGGACGATAGGGCTCGCGCACCTCGCGAAGTGCTTTCGCGCGCGCGCGAGCGAGGGGAGAAGAGACGACGGCGACGACGGCGACGACGACGAAGCGCGAGACGACGACGACGACGATTCGGCGTTGGATTGGAACGCGTGATGGCGCCGCGCGCGCACGTGGTGTGCTTCGGCGCGAGCGATCAGGCGGAGGCGCGGGCGTGGGCGACGCGCGTGTTTCCAGAGGTCGGGGAGACGACGACGACGACGCTGACGAGGACGAAACCGGCGGAGACGAGCGACGGGACGTATCGCTGGCGAGGCGATCATAAGAGCGCGCGGGAGTGCAGGAAAATGGTTGAAGCGGTGTGCGCGGAGGTTTTGAGGACGTCGACGACGCGGGTGGTGGTGGTGTGCGCGAGATTGGGAGGGACGGGGACGACGCGGGCGACGCAGACGTTTGCGGCGTTTCGAAGCGCGTTGCCGAAGGGCGTAGACGTCGGCATCGCGCTCGCGCGCGGTGCCGCGCCGACGAAGGCGTCGTGCTTGAGGGCGAATCTGTTGTTTAACGCGGTGGTCGCGCGTTGCCCGGCGCGAAGGCTGTATCCGAGTCGACGCGCGCGGTCTGGGGAGGAAGACGAAGACGAAGAGGAGCGCGCGAGCAGAACGTGGCATCGAGAGCACGCGCGCGCGATCGCCATCATCGCCGATCGCGTCGAAGACGACGGTGACGTACTCATCGCGCGTGCTCGCGAACGATTGGTGATCGATGGCGATCCTATACAGCGCTTGACGCTGTCCATGGCGGAGCAACTCGCGGATGTCAGCGACGCCGTTCGCGCCTTCGTTGAAACGCGCGGGTTCAACGTGACGCTGCGCGAAGGCGTGACCGCGCGATTGAAGGCGTCCACGCCCGAACGCTGGTGTTCCGGGGGGTACTCGGCGCATCACTACGTCGCCGCGCCGCCGCAGCCGCACGGCGTGTATTACGAGCTCGAATTGACGGATTCCGGCGTCGCCGTCGGCTACGTCGCGATGAGCGCTTTGCAGAGCGACGAAACCGCGACGGTGGCGTATCCGTTTTCTTCTCCAGATACTGTGTTCACCACTGCACAAGTGGATCGACTCTGCGTGCTTCCCGAATTCCGCGGCGCCGGCGTCAAGGAGGCATTGCTCCGCCACGTCTGCGACGGTTATCACGAATTCGGATTACCCGTCCGAATCAAGACGGCGAAAGAATCCGTCGTTGCGAGTTTTGAAAAGTGCTGCCTCTTGGCGTTTGAGCGTGTCAAAGACCCGACTGCAAAGGGGGTGGAGAAACGACGTGGGCTGAAGAAGGTTGTCGTGTTACCAAAGACGGACGAGGACCGATGGACCGTCGACGGCGACGATTCGCGCGATTACGACTCTGATTGGCGAAAGTTGCAGGCGACGACGACGACGACGGTGAGCAATCCGGTCGCCGCGTTCAACGCCGCGCTGAATCGTTCGACGCCGGACACCGCGCCACGTGCCACGCGTCAAATGTTGACCGCGATTGAAGGCGTCTCCGTCTTTGACGCTTACGCGGAGCGAATCGTGACGACAGCCGTGTGTCAAAAAAGTTACGCGGCGATGTACGCCACTTTGAGCGACGCCATGCCATTTCGGGACGACATTTGTCGTCGCGTTATCGCTTTGCTCGACTCGAGCGACGACGAAACCATCGCCGGAGCCGCCGAATTCCTCACCGAACTTTGGCGCGTCGGCGCGGCGACGGAGGAAGAATTTCTGTCTGGAATATTCCGCGAGGGATCGCTCGACGAATTTGTGCGCGTCGAAATCGCGTTCAACGCATTGTTACGATTCGGTGATGTGTTACGAGACGCGGAACCCGCGAGGGCGTACGTCGCCGCGTGCGCGCCCGATGGTCGACGTAATTTAAGTGCGCGCGGCGCGGCGGCGCGTTTGATTTTTCTCGCGGAAGAAGTCCATGCGTTCGTAGAGAGCGGGTACTCGGTTGCGAACCGGCGTCACTTTGGCGCGCGACCCGCTACCTCGAGAGCCGACGCGCATGATTCCGCGCGGGAGGAGTTGAAATCTTTGAGGATCGTGTACGACGACGGCGGCGCGGAGACGGCGGCGATTTTGCGTGGCGAGCGCAAGGGCTGGGTGTTTTGGTACGTCGGTTCGCCCGTGCGTTCGCACGCGCTCGACGGCCCGCGTGCGTTTCGTTTCGTCGCCGAAGATCCGCGTCGATTCGTCCCGGTGTAATTTTACCAACAGAATTTTACTTTACAATTTCGTCTTCAGGCGTCTGACAGCGTAAACATCATAACCGTCGACTGTCGACAGCTCGCCACGCGCACTGGCTTCCCATTCGCTTGCTCTATGAGCGATCGCGTCTCTCGCCCGTTCGGTGGTCGCTCCGACGCGACGTACAGGTAAAAACTCACCGGGTCTGGTGACTTTTTGCTAAAATTCCTATTCGGTTGGTACACCTGAAACGTCGGCGCCACGCGCACGGGCGTCTCGTCGTACTCCAAAGTCATCGCATACGGCGGTTTTGCGTTCGCCTCGATCGCCGCATCTATTTCCGGCCCGATCCACTCGTGTTCGATCGCGCCAGACGCGAACCACCACCGCCGACTCTGTAATTCTCGCTGCCTCGGCGTCTTTTTAATCTCGCGCGTCGACGGCGCGATTTTCCGTCTCTTCACCGCGTCCCGATCGTCGTCCACGGCACCGTCCTCGCCCTCTCGCGCGCGCTTCCAAATTCCCAACCCCTCCGTCGCCGCGACCAAGTCCGCATCGCTCGCCCTCGCCTCCATCGTCCACGCGCTCCCGAACCGTCGGCACACGTATCCCAACCGGCACACGTGCGCGTACGCCAGGTACGCCTCCCGCGACACCCCCACCCGCGCCATCAGGCGATACACCGCGCGCACGCTCGCGCATCGCTCGTCCTTCTCGCTGAAGAACAGCGCCAACCGCTCCGTTTCCACCAAAAACGCGCACTCCTCCGCGCTCAGCCACACGCCGTCGCCGCGCGCGCACCCGAATCGCGTAAAATGCCTTCCTCGGTGTCTCACCACCTCCGCGCGCCGTTTCGTCGCCCGCCAGATCGCGCACGGCATCACCGCGCTCTTCTGCCCTCGCGTCGCGTCGCAGTGCGCGCGCAGCGACGCCAGCGCGCTCGCGCGTCGCGTTTTTTGCGCCTCGCTCAGCGCCCCATCCACCGGCGTCTGCGTCGCCTTCGCGCCGCGCCTGAACACCGCGCCGCGCGCGTCGCGCGTCGCCGCCTCCGTCGCCATCCCCCCGTCGCGCGCGCGTCCTCGCGTCGCGCCGTCGCGCGCGCGTCGCGCGATGCCGCGCGCGTCGCCCTCGACCGTCGACCGCTCGACCGCGTTCGCACTTCGCGACGCGCCGTCGCGTCGCGCCGTCGCGTCGCGTCGTCGCGCGCGATGCGTCGAAGCGATTCGCTGACGCACATCGAGCACGCGATGTCGAGCGTCAAGTCGCTGCGCGGGCGCGGGCTCGACCTGCCGAACACCCCGCGATGGCTCCGACGGAAACACAGGCGCGCGCGACGACGACGACGACGACGCGCGCGCGCGCGACGCGAGACGAGAGACTGACTCCGACGCGCGGACGCGCGCGATGACGCAGGACGATCCTGTGCGTGATGGTGATCGCGGTGGTGAGCGCGGCGGTGATGGTGGCGCGGTCGAGGAGCGAGCGGGCGAGGTTGGAGCTGGACGCGGTGGCGAGCGCGGTGACGCGAGAGGCGCGACGCGCGGGGAAAGGGGTTCTGGGACTGCGACGGCGGCGGTGACCGACGCGATTTTAAACGATGGATTGGATAGGTGTGTGAGAGATTGGCGAGCGATCGGTGTAATGATGATTGATTGCGCGTAGCGCGCGAGCGAAGTCTGCGCTCGGCGCGGTTCGCGGTTCGCGGCGTCTCGTCAAATTCGTTCGCGAGCGTCTCGTCGAGCTCGTTCGTCTCGCGCGTCGCGTCATGTTTGCCGCTGGTGTTGTTTGGGCGTCGTCGGAGATCGCGTGGAGTCCGAGACGGCGTCTTTCGATTCGGGCGACGAGGGCGAATCGGCGCGCGGTTGGGGCTCGGCGACGCCTTCGCCCTCGACCTCGACCTCGCCTTCGCTTTCACCCTGGCCGCGCTCGATTTCCTCGCCGTAACGAAACGGTGGCGTCGCGGGTTGTTCGTAGTACACCGTCTGTCCTTCCTTGCCGCCCAGATCGTACGGAGTCATCATCGGCGGCTGACCGTAGTACGTCGCGTATTGGTTCCAGTACGGCATCATCTCGTGAGGGTACGCGCCGACGTTGTAAAGTCCCGTGTAAGGCTGCCCGAAATACGGCGGTGGGTACATCGCGGGTATCGCGGAGTAATCGATTTGCATCGGTCCGTACGCCGATCTCGAGCTCGGGTACGGCGGCGCGCCACCGCCCCCGGACGCGACGGCTTTCCCCGCGCCGCGATCGCCGCGATCGAGCGGTTCTCCGGGCATGGCTGGCGTCATCAAAGCTCCGTGATGCGGCACGGGCGCGTGAATGAGCACTCGACCGATGCACATATCGTTGATCAATCGCGCGGCGTGACGGCAGGCTTCCACGGGACCGCGAAGGTAAACCATACGATTGGGCGCGCCCTCGGGCGTCTCCGCATCCGTCTGAATCTGAATCCGCGCGTGCGTCTGTTGCTGAATGTACTTGACGTTATCTCCGCCCCGACCGATGATCATCCCGACTTTCGTGTGCGGAATCGTCATCGTCGCCGTCGCCGGTCCTTGTCTCGCGGACGGTGGCGCACCTCGCGGCGCGCCAGGCATACCGCGACCGTCGAAATCCGCCGACGAATCGTCGAATTGCGCATCCGCGTCGTCCGCCAATTCTTCCCTCGCCCGTTGACTCGCGACGACGTTCGCCGCCATCACCGCGGTTTCCGCGACCTCCAACCCCTCAAACAACGCCCTGATCGCGCCCTCACTGATCTCCCGATCGCGATCATCCGCGGATGCGATCAGTCGCTGAATCATCGTCGCCGCCTCCCGGCACCGCTCCGGCGGTCCTTCGATTTCCACGCGTCGCCTAGACCCATCCCACGAATCTCTCGCGATCGATATCCGCGTCCCCGTGCGATTCTGTACGAATCCAACGTGTCGTCCGTCGCGTCCGATCACCAATCCAACCTTGTTGTTCGGAATGTGCAAAATTTCCACGTACGGCTGTTCGTCCTCGTACATTTCCGCGCTCAAATCGATAACTTCGCGTCCTTGCGCCGCGCGCGCGCTCGGCGAGTCCAAACTCATCGGGCTCGGTACGTGACTCGGCACGTGTGCGCCGTGCGTGGGCGACACCGAGTGATCGCTCGCGACCGGGACCGCCACCGGCGCTCGCGCCACCGCTCCCGGCGACGTCCCGCGTCCCGCGCCTCGCCCGCCGCCGCCGCGCTCGCGATGTCGCCGACCCAAAATTTTCACATCTCCCGTCTTCGCGTCCGGCGGTGGCGTCGGTGGCAACGGTGGTTGCGTCTGCGCTTGAACCGCTGCCGTCGGCACCGCGCGCGCGCTCTCGCGATCTCGCGTCGTCGGCGTTTGCGGCGTAAAATCTGAAGAAGCGCGTCCCGACGGCGCGTTCGCCGGCGACGCCGACCGCGACGTCCCGGCGCTCGGCGCCCGTCGGTCCCGGCGTCGTCGTCCCGCGGGTTCCATCGTCTACGTCGCGCAAACGGCGCGCACGCGAAGTCTTCCGAACGAATCCACGGCGATCGATGACTTCGCCGCGCGACGTTCGACGACGACTCGCGCGCGCGACGAACCCGAACGCCGCCGCGATGAGATTTCAAGCCAAACGCGCCGAACGCGGGAAAGATGACGTCCGACGACGCGAGACGACGCGAGGTCCAGCCCGCGCGGCGAACGAGGGTGGTTCTAAAGACGTTTCACGGGCGCCGATGACGACCGCGCGAACGACGCGACGCCGTGTGAGGGGTCAAGGTGTCCCATGTGGACGCGCGGGCTCGATGTTACATCGCGAGATCGAATCGATTCGCGCGACGGTTACTGAAAATAGTGTTTGTGGGTGACGTGCGCGCGGTTGGCGGATAATATCGCGTCGGTGAGCTCGTTGAAGTCTCGCACGCGCGGGGCGGGGGCGGGACTGGAAGCGGTGGCGGGACGCGGCGGCGCCCACAGGACGGCGCACGCGAAATCGGCGGCGACGGCGCCGGAGACGTCGTTTCGCTCGTCGTCGCCGACGTGTAAAGTCGCAGACGCGGGGACGTCCACGGCGTTGAGACACTTCGTGAAGAACTCTTTGGATGGCTTTTCGCACCCTTCGATGGCTGAGACGACGATGGCGTCGAAATGTCGCGCCAAATCGAGGGATTCCAAAAGTTTAGGTAACCTGGAATCCCAATTCGACGCCACGGCGACTTTGACGCCGGATCTTCGGAGTCGGGAGATGGCGTCGACGGCGCCGTGCGCGACGTACCACGCGCTCGGGTGCTCGTAATATTCATACAGCTTCGTCAACATCGTTTCCACGACGGCGTCATCCGCGGAAGCTCGAGCCCCGCCGCGCGATAACACGTGCGCGATGACTTTACGCCAAAACGATTTCCCGTCGTCGTAGTATCGCATGGCGTTCGGTTCATCCGAGCCGCGAAACTTGGCGAAAGCCTCTTTGAAATCGTGCGACGCGGTTTCGCTGGTTACGTAATCGATACCGATCGAGCGCGCGGTGCGCGCGTACACGTCAGCGACGCGTTCGCGAGGCTCGATGAGACATCCGCCGACGTCCACCGTGACGGCGCGCCAGCCGCCGGCGGGCGTTTGCACGCCGTCGAGCACGCTCGGTCTGATGGAGGGATCATCGACGTCGTACGGATAATCACCGAGCGGTTCGATGACGTCTCGAATGATTCCCGTCATCTCGCAGTGCATGCCGACGTCTAAACTCGCCGCCATGCCGCTCAGATTCGGCAACGCGTTCAAGTTGTACGAGTAGTCGTACCGCCGACCGACGGTGTCGGTGACGATTCCTCCCGTCGCACGCAGCAGCGCCTCCCCCGCGCACGTGTCCCACTTCTTTGACGCTTTCCTAAGTAATAAAGCGCTGTGCGCGCGCCGCTCCAGGAGCATCAAATAATGAAATCCCGTGGCGCTGATGACGACGTCCACGCGCGATTGCAACGCCTCGAGCACGGGCGCCTGTCTGTTTTCTCGTAAATTCCTATTCACCGCCACCACGTGCGCGCCGTGCGGCGGCACGGGCGGCGCCAGCGCGTCTTCGGCGATGTCCAATCCGTGCACGCCGACGCCGGCGCCTCCCCAAACCACCCGACCCAAATCCTCGCTCTTCCCGCGCTCGTGAAACGGCTGTCCGATGACCCCCGCGCGCGGCGTCCCGTCCACCGCCACCCCCAACAGCACCGTGATCGCCTCCCGCTCACCCGCCGCGTACTCGTTCGTCCCATCCAACGGATCGCAATACACCGCCACCCTCGACGCCGCGATCGGTTTTCTCAGTTCCGGCGCCCACGTCTCGTCCGCCTCGTCCTCGTCCTCCGCCTCCAGATCCGCGATCGTCGTCCACTCCCCCGCCCCCGCGTACGCCTCGATCGTCGCCGCGCACTCGAAGCTCTCCTCCGCCACCAGATTCAAATCCTTCGAAAACGCTCGCAGCGCACCGATCGCCATCGCCTCCACGCGTCGATCCGCCTCCGTCTGCGCGTCCGCCACGTACGTCCCGTCCGCCCGCTGCGCGCCGCCCTTGTCCCGCGCGCCGACGTCGCCGCCCTCCGTCACCTCTCGAATGATCGCGCATCCGCGCCGCGCGATCGCTCGCATGCGCCGCACGAGCGACGGCACGTGAATCGTCGCCGCGCGCGCGTCGTCGTCGTCTCTCGTCGCGTCGTCGCGCGTCGTCGTCGTCGCGCGCGCGCGCTTCATCCATCGCGCGCGGTTCGCGCGCGCGATTCGCGGCGCGCGAGGGACGGCGCGCGCGAGGGACGGCGCGCCGAGCGCGCGCGCGGACGTCGCGGACGTCGCGACGCGCATCGCGCGCTCGAACCGCGACGCGCGGCGACGCGCGCGCGGCGATGAGTGCCGACCACGTTCTCACACCGATGGATAAAGCGCGCGTCACTCCGCGACGCGCGGATTCGCGATGCGGCGCGTCGCGTCGCGCGTCGGAAAGCGCGCGTCCGGCGCGCGTCCGGCGCGCGCGTCGGACGCCGCGCGCGTCGCGTCGCGCGTCCGGGAGGCGACGCGAGGCGCGACGGATGATTTTCAACGGCGCGACGGAAACGCGCGGCGTCGCGAATCCGCGCGCGCGTACGCCGCGTCGACGATCGAGGACGATCCGCACGCGCTGCTCGGCGTCGCGCGCGGCGCGAGCGCGGACGAGGTGAAGCGGGCGTATCGACGGGAGGCGCTGAAGTGGCACCCGGACCGGCACCAGGGCGACGCGAAGGCGCGCGCGGAGGCGCGATTCAAGAGGATAAGCGCGGCGTATCAGGCGCTGAGCGCGCCGGGGGGGGGAGAGCGACGCGCGAGGGCGTCTGGAGGGGGAGGACGCGGCGGCGGCGCGGAGGATTTCGCGAGACGCGCGCGGGCGGCGAACGCGCGTCGCGGCGGCGAGACGCCGGGAGGGTACGGGTACGAGTACAGGCGAGATTTCACGCGCGAGGACGCGGAGAGGGTGTTTAGGGAAATGTTTGGGAACGATTCGTCGAGTTTCATACGCGAGCTCGAGCGAGCGATGCGGGAAGCGGCGACGCGAGGGCGGGCGCCGGGATTCGGCGCGCCGGGATTCGGCGCGCCGGGGTTCGGCGCGGGAGGGTTCGCGTTCGGGCGCGGGATGAGCGCGTACGATTTGAACGATTTATTCAAAACGTTGTTCAGCGAACAAGTCGCGAACGAGATCTCGGAGACGTCGTACGTGAACGCGCGAGGGGAGACGGTTATCCGGCGCGTCGTTCGATCTCGAGCGCCGAACGGCGTCGTGAGCGAGAGCGTCACCGAACGCGTCGTCGGTCGCGGCGGCGGCGCGCAAGATCCTTGGCGTCAACAATCGACGAGCGCGGGCGCCGCGCGCGGCGCGAGAGCGCCTCCACCGCCCGGTTCCGTCGTGGGCGTGAATCCGCTCGTGGAGCTCGCCGTCGGCGCCGCTCGAGTCGCTCGAATAGCGTTCGTCAGATTCGTCGCCACCTTCGGCGCGCGCATCCTTCAGCAGATCATTCGATTTATTTTACGTCGCATCTTCGGCGGCGGTCGCTTCTAGTCTTGTAGTCACACCCCGCAGCGCCGCTTTGTCCGTCGTCGTCGTCGTCGTGAATCGCGCGATCGTCCCCGCACACCTCGACGCGCGCGCGGCGCGACTCGCGCCCGTCGCGCGTGCATGCCGAGCGCGCGCTCGCACGCGCTTCCGCGTCGAGTCCCGTCGTCGTTCGTCGCCGCGTCGCGAAGAAAACGCTTCGGGACGCGCGGGACAAAAAGTGCAATTTCGTCGTCGGCAGACATGCGCGGCTCGCGCGCGGCGACGCCGACGATCAAGGACCTGGTGCTCGTCGGAGGCGGTCACGCGCACGTGTACGTGCTGAAATCGCTCGCGATGACGCCGATGCCGGGAGTGCGGGTGACGCTGATCGCGAAAGACCTGCACACGCCGTACTCGGGCATGCTGCCGGGCGCCGTCGCGGGACACTACGAAGACGACGAGACGCGCGTGGATTTAGAACCGCTGTGCCGGAACGGAGGATTCAGAATCGTGCACGATGAAGCGATCGGGATCGATCACGACGATGGGCGAGTGATCGTGAAGAGTGGGAGGCCGGGGGTGCGATTCGACGTGGCGAGCGTTGACGTGGGCATCGCGCCGCGCGCGGGCGACGTGCGAGGCGCGGAGGCGTTCGCGACGCCGGTGAAGCCGATATGTGGGTTTAACGCGCGATGGGAGGCAATGCTGCGACGCGTGATTGAATCGGGGAAGCATTGCGAGGTTGTGATCGTCGGAGGAGGCGCTGGGGGCGCCGAACTCGCGCTTTCGATGCGACATCGCACGCGAGAGGAGTTGAAACGGCGCGGCATGGATGAAAACTTGGCCAAGTTCACGCTCGTGACGCGCGGGACGTTGATGCCGTCGCACGCTAAGCGGGTGCGCAAGACGTTTCTAAATATTTTCGCCGAGTCGGGGGTGGACGTCATCGAAGGCGACGGCGTGGTTACCGCCGAGCAAGGGAAATTGACGCTCGAGAGCGGTCGCGTCGTCTCCGCCGACGAGTGCATTTGGTGCACGCAAGCGGGCGCGGCCAAATGGTTGCGCGAGTCCACGAACTTGGCGTTGGACGCAAACGGTTTCATCGAAGTCAATCCCACGCTCGAGTCGACGTCGCACAAGAACATCTTCGCCGCCGGGGACGTTGCAAACGTGCTGAAACATCCGCGACCAAAGGCGGGAGTCTTCGCGGTGCGTCAAGGGCCTCCGTTGGACAAGAACCTACGTCGTGCGTTGCTGGGGGAACCTTTAGTCGATTTCACCCCGCAAAAATTATTTTTGGGTTTAATCACCACCGGCGGTAAGTCTGCGGTGTTGTCTTACGGCAACCTCGCCCTCGGCGGTCTCGGCCCCGTGGGCGAGCGCCTGTGGCGATGGAAGGACAAAATTGACCGTAAATGGATGAAAATGTATCAAGAGATACCAGAAATGAAGGAAGCGGAGGTCGAGCAACCCGCAGTGGCGCTCGCCGCGGGCTCAGATACCATGGCCGCCATTCGCGCGGTGCCGATGCGATGTGGTGGCTGTGGCGCCAAGGTGGGCGCCACGACGCTGTCGCGCGTGATGAAGCGCCTCGAGCCGATTCCGACGAACCCGAACGTCGAGGTTGGAATCGATCAACCCGACGACGCTGCCGTAGTTTCTGTGCCCGACGGCATGGTTGGCGTGCAGACCGTGGACTATTTCCGCGCTTTCGTGGACGACCCTTACATTTTCGGCCAAATTGCCGCCGTGCACGCGCTCGGAGACTGCTGGGCCATGGGTGCCGACCCGCACGCCGCGCTTGCAATCGCGACGGTGCCGTACGGATTGGAATCGCAAGTGGAGGAGACGTTGTATCAAATGATGGCGGGTGCGTGCGATATTTTACGCGACGCTGGATGTGGATTGGCCGGCGGTCACAGTTCCGAGGGCGCTGAGTTATCGCTGGGATTCTCCGTGCACGGCGCCGCACCGCGGGAAAAGTTGATGAAGAAGGGCGGCATGCGAGCCGGTCACAAAATCATCATCACCAAGCCCATCGGCACCGGCACGCTATTCGCGGCGGACATGCGATCAAAAGCGCAGGGACGGTGGGTGTCCAATGCCTTGGATTCTATGAGACAGCCCAGCGCGGTCGCCGCTCGAACCTTGTTTGAACACGGCGCCACGGCGTGCACCGACGTCACGGGATTCGGCGTGCTCGGTCACCTGGTGGAGATGTGCAAAGGAAGCAGCGCCGCGTGCGTGCTCGACATGGACGCCCTCCCAGTGCTTCCTGGGGCGTTAGAGTGCGTCGAAATCGGCATTACGAGCTCGCTTCAGCCGGCCAATGTGCGCTTGGCGCGTGCCATCGCAAATCCAGCCGCCGTATCCGGCGCCGCGCGTTACCCTCTTCTCTTTGATCCGCAAACCGCGGGCGGGATGTTAGCCTCCCTCCCGAGCGCCAGCGCCGACGCCGCGGTCGAAGCGCTAAAACGCGCTGGTTACGAGCACACCACCATCATCGGCGAAGTCCTGGAATTCTTACCCAAGTGCGCGTCTGCGCCCGAACAAGTCGTCTTCGTTGCCTCGAGCGACGTCCCGTTCGACGGCGTCGGCACCGAGCGACCAAGCGTCGTCCAAGCGTGCGGTGCCGAGGCGTGTAATCTCTAGAGCGTTAGACGTGAATCCATATACTTTTAAGACACCAACGCGCGCGCTCCACTTTGACTCGCGCGTCCCAAGCGCCGCACACGCCGCCGCGCGGCGACCGAACCCATGTCCGGCGCCCGCGCCGAGACGCCGCGCGAAGACGCCGCGCTGCTCGAGCGCGACGTCGAACGCGTCGTCGACGTCGAACGCGCGTCACTTGGCGCGCGCACGAGCGACGCGCGCGCGCGAACGCCGAGGGTGTTGGCGCTCGCGGTCGGACTCGGCGCGCTCGGTGCGCTCGGCGCGTGCGCGCTGGCGCGCGCGACGACGCCGATCGCACCGCGCGAAACGCACGCGCTCGGCGTCTCGAACGCGGGATGGCTGAACGTGCGCCGCGACGCGGTTCCTGACGCGGCGCGTTTGGGTGTTGACGCGACGACGACGAGCGAGGCGACGGAAACCGATGAATTCGACGTCGACGCGTGGTTGGCGAACCCTCGACCGGTGTACGAGAGCACGAGTTTCACGGTCGAGCGTTCGGCGAGCGCTTGGGCGCTGGTCGTGCGGGACGCGCGCGAGCTTTGGAAGATTCCGGTGAATAAACGCGGCGGCGGGTACCGGTTGGGCAACGTCGTCAAGCGGCGGGGGAAAGGGTGGTTGAACGCGCGATCGGCGGTCGTGGATCAGCCGGAGATGTATAAGGATACGTTAGTGTATTCGTTTTTAGAGGCTCGAACGGAGGGCGTGCGGGCGTTCGCGGCAACGGTGGCGGCGCGAGAGCGGAGCAAGCGAACGCTCTCGCGATCGGCGCTGGCGGAGGTGCTTCCGCGATCGATCGTCATGCCCATGCGATTGAGCGATAAAGTGGCCTTCATGGAAAGGAATGAAAAGTTGATCGTAGACGCCGCGCTGGATTTTCGGCGATCACGATGCCCAGAGGCGTGCAATCAATTCGTGGTGTCGCTGTCTCTCGTCTGGGGTGGCGACGAAGACGGGAAATTCTTGTACGACGACGACGAGTACAAGGAGTCGATTCGCGTGTTGCGTTCGCTATTTGCGTACGCTAAGGAAAATTTTCCACCCGGTTTCGAGCTCTCGATCGCGGTGACGTCGGACGCGGACGACGCTATGACGATGTACGCGTATGCGCCGCATTTGATGGCCAATCCGATCGACTCCGCGAGCACCATCATCGAGCTGGCGCACGAGGTCAACGCTCTTATCACCCGCGACGGAGGTGAACAAACGTTATTAAACTATTACGACGGTCAGTTGGCTCGCCGACGAAAGGATATCGTCGCGATGGAGCGTTATCGCGCGCGCCTGCACGATTTCCGCGACGCCATCGAGCGAGCGCGTCTCACCGCGGAGACGTCTGAGCGCGCTCGCACCGCCGTCTTCGCCCCGAACTGGTTCGACATACTTCGCAGACGCATGCAATGGCCCGAAGACGTCGACATGGACGCCCTCGATGGCGTGGATGAGGCTCTCTTTTCCGAAGTCCTCTTCGGCGTCAGCGAGCCGTCCGTCTCGATCGGTCGTCGTCCGTCAAAAGTCATAGTTCTAGCCCACGATGACGTCCTGGAGCGTCGTTCGTCTTAATTCTAGCCCATAATTCGTAGCACTCCAAATTCACCGGCATCTCGCCCTCGCACTCCATCGTCCGCGTCGAAGCCCGACTCCAGAAGATTTCGTTCTTTTGTCAGGATTTGAAATCTTTCGACGTTTCGCCACTCCTTCGCGCGCGTGACGATCTGCTGTCACGATCTGCGGTTCGCGAACGAACAAACTCGCGTGTTGAACGTTCAGTCGTCGCGCGATGATGGTTTACGCGCGCAGCGCGCGCGCGACGCCGGTGAAACCACTTTCCCGCCAGAATCACTCTCGCGGGACATCGGCGCGAACGACGCGGCGCTCGCGCCCTCAAACGCCTCGCGCCTTGCTCGGGGACGAACAAGACAAAGAACTCTGGAATGAGACGTCCCTGGGCGACGCCGCGAGCGCGGTAGCGGACGCGAATGATGATTCGCTGTGGGAACACGTGGGCGCGAGCGAGGCGACGCCGCGAAACGCGGCGTTTTCGCGAAAATCCAGCGCGCAGGACGACGTGGACGAGGACTTGTTCGCAGATTTAGAGGAAACGTTGTTCAAGGTCGATCGCGCGGCGCTGCAAATACAAAAAGCGGATTTCACGGTGAATAGTGTCATCGACAAGATTAATCGCGGCAAGGTGAACTTGCGACCGAGTTATCAGAGAGAATACGTGTGGACGGTTCGCACGGCGAGTAAGCTCATAGAGTCTTTGATCTTAAACATTCCCGTACCGACGATGTTCTTTCACGAGACGCAGAGTGGGAAGCTAGAGGTGGTGGATGGCAAGCAGCGTTTGACGTCGATTTGGAGCTTTATTCAGTGTGAATTTCCGGATGGATCTCCGTTCAGGCTGACCGGGTTGGAGGTTTACGAAGACTTGAACGGGTTGACGTTCACGGACTTGCACGAACGATTTCAAGAGACGATTTTAGACTACCCTCTGAACGTGCACACGATCTCACGATCGTCGCAGCCGGATTTTGTGTTTGAAGTGTTTGAGCGCTTAAACATGGGCGCGACGCAGTTGAACGAACAAGAGTTGAGAAACTGCATCTACCAAGGGATGTACACCGACTTGCTGGAAGAATTGGTCAAAAACGAGAATTTGTTGAAAGTTTATCGATCGAAGACGCCGCATCTGCGCATGCGCGATCGGGAGTTGGTTTTGCGGTACTTTGCTATGATGCGAACGGCGCCGGAGGGTTTCTTCATCCCAATCAAGAGCTGGTTGAACGAGGAGATGCGCGAAAACAAGGACATGACGCCTCAAGATGCAGGAGACATGCAGGCATCGTTTAACCGCACGATCAAGCTCGCGTATGATATTTTCGGCGATTGCGCGTTTCGCCCAACGTCGCCGGTGGGCAAAGGCAAAAAAGTCACGGAGGAAGACGTCAATGGTTTGTTCTTCCGTGAATTCTTCACGTCGGGCGAAATCAACGTCGCACTTTGGGATACTTTGATGTATTCGTTGACCGACGTCGACGCGAAGAAAGCTTTGGAGAAAAAGAGCACGATTTTGGCGGCGTGGATCAACTTGAACAACTCGTCTGAATTCTCGAAGCTGCAAGTGAGCAACCCAAAGGCGGTGTGCGCGAGACAAGAACTCTGGCAAGCGAAGCTGGATAAAATTTTGAAATAGGTTTAGAATATCCCCGTTGTAATTGACCAACTACGCAGTCATCGTACAAATCAATCGTTCGTTGCATTACAAGTCGTTCAAAGTTCATTTCTGAGTCGCCACAGCGAGGCGGCCAACGACGTCGTCTTCGACGGGGCCGAAACGTCGTGGTGCAGCGGAGAGTTTCGGCTCGTCACCACCTCGACCGCGCGCGATCGGTTCGTTGTTCACAAAGCGCTGAATCATTGTCAGCGCGTTTCGTGGCTGATCCATAGGTACCATGTGTCCCGCTTCGCTGATCTTTACGAAGGATAAACCGCCGTGTTCGCGCACGTCGCCACCCACAACGTCGTCTTCGCCGTCACCCGCACCCTGGATGATGAAAGGCTCAGGACGTGCGGCGTTGAACGCTTCGCGTCCGTTCCATTGCATCGCCTTCACCCAGCGAAGATTTCCGAGCCAGTTGCAGATGAAATCATCCTCGCCGGCGTAAATCATCACGCGAATCCCGGCCTCGATCATGTCTGGAATCAACGTCTCGTAGTCGTGCATCCAATCCCCCATCATATCTTGGTGCACGCTCGCGTCGCACATTTCCCATTTCTTACTCACCCCGAACGCTTCTTGAACGTCTTTACGGTTCAAAAACGCTTCCGCGGCGCTGAAATCGTAACAAAGCTCGGCGTCGCACGATTTACGTATGTCGTACACGTTGATTGCCTTCCCACCGTTGCGTTCAGCGGCATCTTCGAGCAATGCCTCAGGAATGGCTTGGCACGAATCCACCGCGTCCAAGCATTCGGCGCGATTTTCCTTGCTCGACGTTTTACCGCTCGCGCACGACTTGATTTTCTCCACGCACGACGGTAATTTCTTCGCCGTTTGCTTCACCGTCGCCGCGCTCACGATGTCGTTCCCGAGCGAATAATCCGCGTACGCCGCGTACTGAATAGCGGGATCCGTCAGCCCATTTCCGATGGCTAAGCCTTGAAGATTTATTCTCACGGGTCCATCGTCTCGAGCGTTGGCGTCGAAAATCGCCCTCGCGAACGCCGGCACATAGTGCCCCGCGTACGATTCTCCCGTGACGTAAACCGGCGCATCCACGAGCATCGGTCTACTCAACATGAAGGCGTACAAAAACTCCAACAAATCGTTCGCCACCGTCGTCTCGTCCTTCGCCGCGTCGCGCCGCGAGCTCGAATACGAAAATCCCGTGTTCACCGGCGAGTCCACGTAAAGCAACCTTCCGGCGTCGTTCCACGCGTATTTGCGTCGCTTCAATTTCGTCGCGTCGTCTTCGTCGAACGCGAACGGTCCGTTTTCGTATAGACTAGTGTGGAAGACGGTGGTCAGTCAGTGTCGCGTCCCTCTCCTGTATCGTTCAAGACGCGAAAGATCGCGCGTGCGCGCGCGCGCGCCGACGACACGCACGCTGCCAATTCCGAAGAACATCCCGGTCCGCCCGTGAGCCACAGAATGATTGGGATCGCGTCCTCGCTCTCCGCGCCTCCCGAGCGCGCATCAAAAAACGTGTAAAACATGTGCGCGTCCTTCGTCGTGCGATTGAGCGCGAAATACCCGCTCGACGCGGCGTACTCGTCGTAATCATTCGCCGCTAGAGATTCCAAATCCGTCGCGAATCGTTCGAGTCGCACCGTTTTCGTCGTCAATCGCGACGTCAGCGCGTCTCGCGTCCGCGCGGCGTCGTCGACGACATCGTTCGCGTCGACGCGTCGCGCGCTCAGCGCGAGCGCGGCGCTCAGCGCGACGAGCGCGCGAGACATCTCTCGACCTCCTCGCCGCGTCACTCTCTGACGACGCGCGGCGTCGCGCGCGGCGTCGCGCGTCTCGTCGCGCGGCTCGACGCCCGCGATGGGCGCCACCGCGGACTTCCACGCCGCCGTCACCGTCGTCGTCGTCGCGCTCGCGTTCGTCGCGCTCCTGCGAGACTACGTCGCCGCGGACTGGACGATGATGCTCGCCGTCGCGACGCTCAACCTGTGCGGCGTCATCACGCTCGCCGAATCCCTCGCCGGGTTCGCGAACGAGGGATTGCTCACGGTCGGCGCGCTGTTCGTCGTCGCGGCGGGGATCAGCGCGACGGGGGGGCTGGACTGGTACATGGGGAAGGTGCTGGGGAAGCCGCGAACCCCGGCGGGGGCGCAGTTGCGATTGATGCTGCCGATCGCGTGCGTGAGTGGATTTTTGAATAACACGCCCGTGGTGGCGGTGATGATACCGATCGTGCTGCGATGGGCCGAGGCCACGGGAATGGCGAAGGAGCAGTTGATGATTCCGTTGTCGTTCGCGAGCGTGCTCGGCGGCACGTGCACGCTCATCGGAACGTCGACGAATTTAGTGGTGCAGGGAATGGTGGAGACGTGGACGCGCGAGCACGCGGGGCGAGGGGGGGAGGTGAAGATCGGTCTGTTTGATCTCGGGCTGTACGGCGTGCCCGTGGCGTTGGCGGGGATAGCGTACGTGTTGCTGGCGTCGCCGTTTTTGTTGCCAAAAGGCGCGCGGCGAATCGGAAGCGGACCGAGGGATCAACGGCGCGGAGAGGACGAAGAGGATTTACTCGTCGGTGCGCGCGTCGAGGGGTGGTCGCCCGCGGTCGGGCACACGGTCGCCGCGAGCGGATTGCGAGGTTTGCCGGGATTGTACCTGGTGAGCGTGCGCAGAAACCAAGCGTTGTTGCGCGCCATCGGACCAGAGTTCATCCTGAACCAGGGCGATATTTTGTATTTTACCGGGATGATCGAGTCGCTCGGGAAGGTGTGCGCGGAGTATGGGTTGATGGCGATCACGCAAGAGTACGACGAAGACGAAGACGAAGGCGCGAGAGAGACGTCGTTTGACGGAGGTGACGAGAAGGACGTCGTCGCCATGCACTCGGCGAGCAGCATTGCGGATTTACAAAAGCTCGCGCGCACGCACGCCATTTACAAAGAATCGGAAGGTGGAATTTATGCCTTGCGGAAGCGTCGACAAAAGGCTCGACCTCGCAGATCGCACGGATCGAACCAAGACTCGAGCGACGCTGGGAGCGCGCTCCCGCTGAGCCCGGGGTATTCATCCTCCGACGGCAACGCGTATACTTCTGGTGGCGCCAGTGATTCTGACGACGGCACCGCACGAGCGATCAAAGCTCAGGCGTTGCGGATGTACGGCGAAAATCTGAAGAATGCTCTCGGTGAAGCTCGCGGCGACGGTGACGCGATGATTAGCGCCAAGGAGAGCGAAACCGCCCTGGGGCCGCCGTTGGTGACCGTGGATGTCGATCCCGATGCCGATCAAAATAACCCCGAACACGTTGGACGTATGGTGCTCGGAATTAGTGCGAACGATCGACCCGGGTTGTTGCACGACATCTCGCAGGCGTTGAATCGCTTGCGTGTGCAGTTGTTACATTGCGAAGCTTCGGCGGTGGGTTCGCGATCGGTTTCTATTTGGCGCTTGCAAGTGTTGCAAAACACCACGACGAAAGAGGAGATCACGACGGTGATCAAAACTTTACTCGAACCCGTGACTGGGATTGAAGCCGTGAAAAGGCGCGGGCAATCCGTCGTTCGATGCAGTGTGAAACCGACGTCATCGCTCGTGGGAAAGACTCCAGGAGAGGCGGATTTGCGCGTCACGTACGGCGGCGCCATCATCGCTGTGCAACGTGGCGGTCGCGCGCCACCGGGTAAGCTAAACGCGCTGATTTTTCAAGTGGGTGATACTCTCGTATTACAGGCGCAGGATAGTTCACCTTTGATCAAGCTCTTGGAGGAATCTGAAGACGTCGTCGTTGAGGAGGACGAGCGCTTGGCGAAGACTCGCGAGGATTTAGAAATCATCGGTCATGGATCGGGAACGATGAACACAGGGAAAGAGTTCCTCATCGCCGTGCGCATTGAAGCTACGGCGAAGAATTTCATAGGCAAGACGGCGGTCGAGAGCGGCTTGCGGTCGTTGCCGGGTTTGTTTTTGGTATCAATCGAGCGCACGCGATCCATCGTGAGCGTCGGCGCAGCGGCTGTCGTCGCCATGGTTGAATCTCCCGCGGACAGAACCACTGTGATCGATCCGAGTGAGCCTTTAGAAGCAAATGACGTGATGTGGTACGCCGGTGGCGCCAACGCCATCGCCAGTCTTCGTCGGGTTCCGGGGCTGGCGCCGTACTCGAGCGACCAAGTGGACAAGCTCGAAATCTCCAGTCACGACCGTCGATTGATTCAAGCCGTGGTCGCGAAAACTGGAGATTTGGTCGGTAAGTCTATTCGAGACATCAAATTTCGCACGCGATTCAACGCAGTCGTCATCGCCGTCCATCGCGAGGGCGCGCGCGTGCACTCAAGAATTGGCGACGTCGTCTTGCACCCCGGCGACGTGCTTTTACTCGACGCCGGTGAAGATTTCAAACAAAGCGCCCGGGCGCAGGGCGCGTTCGCTCTGATCAGTGTTTTGGACGATTCTACGCCCCCTCGTTTGCGATTACTCATCCCCTCGCTCTTGTGCGCGCTGGCAATGATTAGTTTGTACACCGCCGGCGTCATGGAGCTCTTCACCGCCGCGGTGCTCGCGGCGGCTGTGATGATCGCCTCTGGCACTCTGACGCAGCAAGAGGCTCGAAACGCCATAAAATGGGACGTCATAGTCACCATCGCCGGTGCTTTTGGAATTTCGCGCGCCATGCAAAACAGTGGCGTCGCCGAAGCCGTGGCGAAGAAACTCGTCGCGTTGGGTCGCGTCACGAACACGGGTGAAATCGGCTTGCTCGTCGCCGTCTACCTCGCCACGTTCTTGATCTCCAACATCGTGACGAACAACGCCGCCGCGGCTTTGATGCTTCCCATCGCCGCCAGCGCCGCGGAATCTGAAAACATCGCGCTCGAAAAGATGGCCTTCTTACTCATGCTCGCCGCCTCGGCGTCCTTCATGTCGCCCTTCGGATACCAAACCAACCTCATGGTGTACGGCCCGGGCGGCTACGTGTTCGCCGACTTTATCAAATTTGGTTTCCCCATGCAGATCACGCTCTTGATCGTCAGTATCGTCGTCTTAGGCGTCGGCGACGACGCGATATGGATCCCGTACGTCGTCATCGTCGTCGCCTTCGTCGTCGTCGTCGTCGCCACCACGGTGGGGTTCCGCGCGGCGTGGACCGCCGTCGTCGACCGCGCCGCTCGGTCCCGTGCCGCGCGCCACCGTCGTCGCGGTTCCGATATCGAACCCACCGCCGACGTCGAGCTCGGCGGTGCGATCGCGACCGCGGCGTCGACGTGAGCGCGTCCGAGACGTCGAAATATTTCTCCTCGCGCGTCGCGCCGCCGAGGGCGCCGGCGCGCCCCGACGCGTTCATTCATTCATTCGTTCGTTCGTTCGTTCGTTCGTTCATCTTAGCCCTAGTCAAACCGCGCGCGTCGATCACCGCGCGCCATCGTCGTGCGTACAAACCCATTCTTTTTACAACAACAACAATCATCAATCGTTCGCCGTCGCCGCGCGCGCGCTCGCCTCGCGCGTCCGCGGCGTCCATCCCCATCCCGCGAGCGGACTCGTCCCCGTCTTCGTCGTGTACGCGAACCCGAACGCGAACCCTCCCGTGAGCGCGATCTTCCCCAACCGCTCGTGGTTCCTCAGCAGCGCCGTCTCGAGCCCCATCGCGCGTTCGCTTCGTCGCGCGCCGCGCCGACGCGGCGTCCAGTCAGCGTTCGCGCGCGCTCGAGCGCGTCCTCGTCGTCGCGCGTCCGGATTCGCGTCGTCGCGTCGTCGCGTTGTGTTCGCGTCGCACACCGTCCGCTCTTCGCGCTCGGCGGCGTCCGTCGGCGTCTGCGGCGTCCACGGGTCGACCGGCGTCGCGAATCGCCGTCGAAGAGTGGGGCATCGATGGATGGATGCCGCGCTTGGGTCGGTCTTCGCGTCGGACTGCTCGCGCATACGGATGGGATTATTCGGATATTCGGACATTCGGGGACGATCGGACATTCGGACACGCACGAGGGGTCGGTCGGGCGTCCCGCTCGCACCTTTCATAGAGCGTTATTAGAGGTATTATAGTACCTCGGCGTTCATATGAGAACGGTGCGTGTACCCGTATACCAGAGACACGGCGGGCGACGCCGATCGGGTTCGGTGACGCGCGCGGGACGGGATTTCGTGGTTTCGCCAACACTAAAGTTGTGGTACCGTCTCGCATCGCGCGACGCTCGACGACGCGCGACGGCGCGGACGACGACGACGCGCGCGCCGAGCATGCGCGCACCGGACGACGCGCGATCGCGCGATGCGGCGCGGGCGTCGGAATCGGCGTCGCTGCTGGGCCGACGCGACGACGATCGGGACGCGCGACGACGACGCGAGAGCGACGACGACGACGCGCGAGACGCGCGAGGCGCGAGCGAGGGCGCGGGGGAGGGACTGCGGATGAACCGACGGACGATGGCGAGCGCGGCGATGGCGTCGCTGGGGATGATGGCGATGATGGCGGCGATGGGGGGGCGGGAGACGACGGCGAACGCGAACGCGAACGCGAACGCGGCGCTGGGGAAGCGAAGCGTGCGACGGGTCGAGGGAGCGGCGTACGAGGGAACGGTGTTGGATTTGGATGAGAAAACTCGCGATGATCTGACGCGGCGGTACCGAGCGAAGGAGACGGTGGCGCGGTTGGGCGGGGCGAGACGCGACGGGGCGCTGACGGAGCTCGGGGCGTCGAATCCGCTGTTGGAGGGCGAAGCGTGGAACACGGCGAGCGAATCCGAGCGATCGAGGAGGGTGTCGAGAACGCACGACGTGGACAGCGGTGCGCTCGGCGACGTGCCGCAGTTTTTCAAGGATGAGGCGGAGAATTTTAAGTCTTCGTCGATCGGTTTCTCGAGCGGCGCGGCGGCGAGCGGCGCGGCGGCGAGCGGCGCGGCGGCCGTCGGCTCAGGCATCGTCTCGACGCCCATCGCGGGTTCAGGCGTCGACGGTGCCGCGGCGTTGATCGCCGAAGGCGCGACGTGCGACGCGGCCATGTGTCCAGATAAGTTCCAGCACGTCGATCCGGCGTGCGCGAACGGGGGCATCGGTTGCGTGGGCGACAGCGGGTGCCGGTTCTGCCGCGTGCTCGGGATGGAAAAACAAGGCGGTATGAACGATATTCCGGACTCTATGGGTCTTTGTGACCCGTGCGTGTGCGAGCATTATGGTTTCAGCACTGGATGCGCGGGGATGCCGACGCCGGAAGGTTTGGAATCCACGCCGACGACGGCGCCGGTGCAAGCCACGCCAACGACGGCGCCGGTGCAAGCCACGCCGACGCTCGAGCAATCCTCAACCGTGGTGCAAGCGGCGCCGGTGCAAGCCGCGCAAGCGTATGATGAATTCTCAGACATACCGCAAGCGGCGCCTGCGCAACAATTCTCGAGCGAGCCGCAGGTGGCGGAGGTGACAGACGAAGGACTGGCGTCGAGCTTCTTGACGGCGTCGTCCACTGCTTCCGCCGCTTTAGGTCTCACGTGCAACTATAACACGTGCGATAGCAAGATTTTGTACTTGATGTACGATAAGCGATGCCTGACCGAGGGCGGCCAAGGTTGCTACGCTGACAGCGCTTGTCGATTTTGCAAGACGGATCACCAAGATCCATCCATCAGCTACGAAGACGGATGGGAAACGTGCACTCAGTGCGTGTGCGACCATTACGGTGTCACCGGGTGCGAACAAGGCGGTTTACCCGAAGTTCCGATGAACCCGGTAGAAGCGTCGTCCACGGCACCGGTGATGCCGCCCGTGGAAACGCAGCCGACGTTGGAGTCCACGGCGCCGGTGGTGCAGGCGACGGACGAATACCAAGATCGCGAATACGACAACGATCATTACGGCGAGCAAGTGGAGCAACCGGCGCAAGTGGAGCAACCGGTGTTGATGGAACAGCCGGTGCTAGTGGAACAACCGCCGCAACCGCCGAAGGCGAACGTCGATCCTAACCGGTTTGCCGCCGCCGGCATGGGCGCCATGGAAGAATCTGGCCCGGTCGAGGCGATCCCGGCCGATCAACGCCTCACGGCGAACGGTATCGAGTGGACTCAAACCAAGTTTGGATCGTTGCAAACGTGCGAATCCCGATGCGCCGAGGTTCAGAAGACGTGCGCCGAACACGTGTGGCCGAGCACTATGAATGATTTCCGCGACGTCATCTCCAGGACGACGAGCGCAGACGGCTCTGGAAACATCGTGGCGTGCGACGAAATCTTGCTCAACGACGAGACACAGCACTGCGGTGGCGTTTCCGCGCTTTCTGGACGGTGCTTCTTGAGCCCGTCTCACGGCCATCTCCCGGCGTCGTGCACGTACGCCGCGGCGCACGCCGACTGCACAAACATTTGTCCGTGCGTCTGACGCGTTTAGCGCGCCCCGAACCGAGCGTTTTGATAAAATTTCCTCTAGTCGTCGAATTAAGCGCGATGTTCGTGTTGTTAGGTATGATCAGTAAGCATTTCATTTTGTTGGAGTTTGTTCGAGACTACAGCGCCGCTTCGCGAACGCACCCCTCGCGGCGTCGTCGAGACCCGCGTCAACGCGTAAGATTCTCAGAACCGTTTAGTAACTTTCCTCCTCGGTCAGAGACAAGTAGTAAGACAGAGAGTTCACCACGAGTTGTTCCATCGGCGGCGACAACGGCCCACCTTTATGGGTGACGTAGATGATGTCGCTCGCCTTATCTCCGATGGTGTCCACCTCGGCGCTCACGACGCACAGGCTCAAATCCTTGAGCGTGCGCACGACGTCCACCAACAACCCCGGTCGATCGGTGGTTTCGATCTCGAGCTTGGAGTGGTACCGCTCCGGGGCGCACTTGATGCCGGTTTGCACCTTCTTCTTCACCTTACCCAAGACCCCCTCGCCCCCCGCGCGCGTCGGCGCCTTGGCTTGAATGTACTCGGCGGCTTCCGGGTGAAACGCCATCATGTTGGTCAAGATTGTCTGACGAATCTCCTCCAAGCGCTCGCTCTTGGTCACCTTCTCACCGTTTTCGCGATCGATCACGTAAAATTTCGACGTCTTCGTCGAATCCCCGGACATTTGCACGTCCCCCTTGTTGATGTCCAAGCCGAGGTTTTTCAGCGCCGCGACGGTGTCGAGCAGCTCGCCGAGGTAGTTTCCGAACGACACCTCCACCACCGTGGCGAACGCATCGCTCTTGTTATCTATGATCACGATCGGCACCGGTTTCTCCGTTCCCACCGACGCGCCGCCCGCGCGCGTCTTCGTCGTTCGTCGCGCGCGTCCGCGCGCCGTCGCCGCCGCGTTCGCCGTCGCCGTCCTCGTCGCCCTGCGCGCCCGTTCGCGTTCGCGTCGCTCGTCAGTCTCACCGTCATCGCCTCGTCCGATCTCTTCGTCATCGCGCGCGAGTCTCACTCTTCCCCCTTCCCCGTTCGGTCTCTTTCGTCCTCGACCCGCGTCGCTCGTCGGCGTTTTATTCTTCTTCTCCGCGCCGCCCCTCGTCGTCTCGCGCGCGTCCGCGCGCCCCTCGCGCGCGCGACGGATCCTCCGTCGCGCGTCTCCGCGTGCGCGCGTCGCGCCGTCCGCGCGCGCATACGGCATACGCGCGAGACGTCGACTCTTCGAATCGCGTCCTCGGCGCGACGCGTCGACGTCGTCGCGTCGTCGCCGACCGTCGGCGTCGCCTCGAATCCATCGCGCGGTCGGCACCGCGACCGCGTCATCGCGATCGACGCGCGGTCGTCGCGCGACGGTCGGCGTTCCCGTGGACGCCGCGCGGAATCGCTCGCGTCGCGAATCGGCGCGAATCGCGCTCGAACGCACCGCATCGCTCGCATCGCGATTGTCGCGCGCGTCGCCCCGTGCCGACCGAGCGATGGATTCGACGCGACGCGTCGTCGGTGGAGAATTCGGACATACGGGTGTGGACACACAGTGTGACGTGTACGATGACACGCGTGATCCATGTCGTGATGGTGGATCGTGTACGCATGATGCGTTGTATATATCGTATAGTAAGGCGTAGAAATGGTAAAAGGAGACCACACCGCGCGACCGCGCGCGCGACGGCGCGACTCGCGCGCGCGCGACGACGCGCGAATCGCGCGACGACGCGCGACGCGAGCGCGCGGCGGTCGGTCGAGCGCGCGACATAAGCGCGGCGTCGCGACGGCGCGCGCGCGCGATTCGCGTCGATTCGCGTCGATTCATTCACGCGCACCGCGCGCGATTCGATTCGCGCCGTCGTCGATTCGTCGACGCCGACGCGCGAAGAGCGCGTCGTTCGAGCGACGCACGGGGATTCGTGACGTCGCGCGATGCGGGCGACGCTCGACGCGCGCGCGACGCGGGACGCGCGCGCGGGACGACGACCTCGGACGCGCGCGACGACGACGACGACGACGGCGACGGCGACGGCGAGACGAGGGACGACGACGAGGCGAGACGCGCGCGAGAGCGACGGGACGACGCGCGAGCGATGGATGACGACGCCTCGAGAACGGTGCGTCGCGACGCGAGCGCGGGCGACGGCGAACGGGATGGATGAGGAGGAGGAGGGAGAGGCGACGACGTCGTCGAGCGGGACGGGACGCGGAGGCGGCGCGGCGCGATGGTTGATGAACGCGGAGACGAGCGGGGCGTACGGGGAAGCGGCGTCGCGAGGAAGGACGGGGGGGAGAGGAAGGGGTGGGGGCGCGCGGGGGAGGGGCGCGGCGCGATCGAAGTCGGCGGACTCGAAGAAGCGGACGCGAGGGGACAAACCTACGAACGTGCGACAGCGCGAGCGGAGCGACATGTACGTGAAGAATAATCAAATCATCGCCAAGTTTGACGACGTCGAGGACGTGTTAGATTTCGCGAGCGAGAATTTGGAAATCATGAACGTGGTGAACTTGGCGACGGCGGCGCATCGGGTGGGGAAATTGAACTCGACGCGGACGAGGAACGAAGCCGGAGCGCCGGCGACGGCGACGAGGCATCCCGCGGTGGTGGAAGACGCGCGATTTCGCGCGTTGTTTGAGAAATTGCGCGAGTATCTCGTCGCTTCGCAAAACGGATCGCCGCTCGGGAAGGGGTTGGGGCGGTTCAACGCTCGCGAACTGTCCGCGATTTTGTGGGGCTCCGCGCACTGCGGCATCACGACGTCGGACGACGACCCAACCGTCGCTCTCGTGGTGAGGCGAATCGCAAACTTGGACGACGACGACCCACCGGCGCAGAACGTGAGCAACGTATTGTGGGCGTACGCGACGATGCACACGTCGAAGAAGATAGACGTGGAGCTGGTGCAAAAGTGCGAATATTGGTGCGACCTCATCATGGACGACTTCGCCCCGCAAGGGATTAGCAACTCTTTGTGGGCGTTCGCCACGCTGGGGTACACGCTTAAACCGGAGACCATCGCCAAGTTTTCGCAGGCGATCAGGCGACAGCTGAAAGATTTTAAATCCATGGAGTTCTCAAACGTCGTTTGGGCGCTGGCGACGATGAAGACGCATTTAGACCCACTAGAAGTCTTCGACGAACTCTTGGACGAGATGCACGCGAGCATCAAGGCGGTTCCAAACATGTGGAGCTCACAGAGCGTGAGTAATACTTTATGGGCGATCGCCACGCTCGACGGAGAACCGCACAAATTAAGAGCTCGCCACGGCGATTACTTGAACACGCTGTGCATGTACGTAGAGCGTAAGGCAAACGCGTTTGTTTGTCAAGGTTTGGCGAACACGCTGTGGGCGCTGGCGACGCTCGAGTACACGCCTTCGATGAAGATGCTCGAAGCCGCCACGGCGCGTTGGTCCGCGTTAGCGACGGACGTGTACATCAGTGAGTGTAGCAATTTGCTTTGGTCGTACGCCAGCCTGCGGTTCAACCCAGGAAATGAAGTGCTCACGCAAGTCGCAGAGTTGTACCTTCGCGTCGGGCAGCACGACGAAGTGGCGTTGACGCAAGTCTCGAACACCTTGTGGGCGTGGGCAAATTTCGGTTGGCTTCCCGAGGATCCAAGCATCGTGGAGTGCGTCCTTCAAGTGGCGATCAAACACTTCAAGAGCGATCCAGATTTGCAAACGCAGAGCTTGGCGAACATCTTGTGGTCGTTGGCGACGCTGAGGTTCGTTCCCGGGGATGAATTTCTCCAAGCCTTTAGAGAGCGCGCGCTCATAGAATTGCGCGAGGACGAAAGATTCTCCGATCAAGGGTTGTGCAACACGGTTTGGGCGTACGGTCAGCTCGGAGTGAATCCAGGGACGGAGTTAATGAGTGAAATCGCGAGTCAGCTGGGCGCTCGCGTGACGAATTTCCCCACCCAAGGCGTGACGAATTCGATTTTAGCCTTTGCCACGCTCGGGTTTTGGCCGGATGAATGGGTCGTAGACAACTACAGGGCGAAGATCGTGGAAATGTACTACTCCACCACGATTTCGGACATCGACTTGACGCAGTTTTTCCAAGCGAATTACTTGTTTGAAAAGTGTTCGCCCTACGGACCGCTCGTCACCGACCCGCAGATGATTGAGGACATGTTATCGGCGTGGAAGCGCGGATCGAGCAAGGTTGTCATCAGTCAGTTTCATCGCGAGGTGAGCGATACGCTGACGAACATGGGCGTGCCACACGAAATTGAATACATCACCGAAGACGGTTTGTTCTCCCTCGACATCGCACTCAAGGGTAAAAAGCTCGCCATCGAGGTGGACGGTCCGTCGCACTTTGCGAGAAACATCCAAAACCGCCGCATGTCGGGGAAGCGACCCGACGGCACGGGGACGTATAACATTCGTTATCACTACCTCGACACCAACGGTTGGACCACGGTATTCATACCGTGGTACGATTGGAAACAGGTGTGCGACGAGGAGTCCGCGACGAGAACCACCGGCAGACGCGCCGCGTTTTTAGCCAAGACGCTCTACGACGACGCCGGTCTCACGCTCATGGACGTCGCCTCGGACGAAGACATGTCCGACTCCGGCATGTCTGGTTTTCACATCCGCGCACTCGCCGACGACGACGTCTCCGTCGCCCAAGACGGCTCGCGTCTCGTCATTCAAGGCGCCGAAAGCCAGCGACACCCCGACGGCACGTTCAAGCCCGAGATGAAATCCGTCGGCGCCTCCGTCCCCAAACCTCCCGCCCCCGTTCGACGCACCGGATACGGCATGCTCGAACCATCACCGTCAACACCGTCAACACCGTCAACACCGTCAACACCGTCCCCGCCCCCCCCCGTCGTCGCGCGCGTCGCCGGCGCTCGCGTCGCCGCGCGTCCGCCGTCTCGCGCGTCTCCGCGCGCGCGCGCGCCCGCCGACGCCGCCGACGCCCCCCCCGACGACGACGACCCATCTCCGGCGCGTCGATCGCGTAAATCTCTCGCCACTCAACGCGGCGCGGGCATTCGTCGTCGTCGTCCGCGCGCACCGCCGAGCGTCGAGTCCGATTAAACCGCGCGCGCGGCCGCGGCCGTCGCCGCCTCAATCGTCGGACGCGACCGGTGCGAGGGCGGACGGGCGACCGACCGACCGACCGACCGACCGACCGGGTATGGGTAAATAGTAAGTAGGGTTTTGGAAAACAACCAACCGACGGCACCCCGCCCGCGACGCCTCGTCACGCTAGATATTACTCGTCGCGTCGTCACATCGCGCGCGACCGCGGTCGAGCGCGACGTCGCGGCGCGCGACGCGGCGCGAAAAAGGTGCGAATAAAATTCGAGCGCGCGACGCGCGACGCGCGAGGGCGACGCGCGCGACCGCGAGGGCGCGACGCGACGACGACGACGGACGACCACTTTTCGCGCGCGCGCGCGGGGACGCGCGCGCGCGACGCGCGACGCCGCGACGCGACGGCGACGGGACGCGACGCGCGCGGGAGGAGATCGAGGGAAAGTTAACGCGCGATCGGCGCGACGGTGACGCGCGGTGACGACGCGCGCGCGCGTGGAGAGGGCGAATGCGTCGCGAGGCGGGCGGTTGGAGGGTTTTGCAGGCGCGAGGGCGCGGCGCGCGAGGAGACGCGCGCCACGCGCGACGCGACAGGAACGGGCGAGGGCGGAAGAGGGGAAGACTGACGAACGCGACGATGACGATGACGACAGGTGACGGGAAGAACTCGGTCGTGGATCGGCGAACATGAGCGCGTGGGCGAGCGTCGTGAGCGGAGGGAGGGCGAGCCAGACGAGCGAGGGCGCGAGCGGGAAGGATGCGAATGAAACGCAGAGGCGAGCGTCGAGCGCGGGAGAGGGACGGAGTCTAGGGAACGCTGGTGGTGGTGGAGTAGGTAGTGAAGGATCGGGGGCATCGGGAGAAGGCGCGGAGGCGGGGAAGCGGAGAAGCGAGGGCGGGACGCGAGAGGAACCGACAAAGCCGGCGTGGGGGAAACCGACGGTGGCGAGCGATGCGGCCGCGGCCGCGGCGCTCGCGGCGGTGAAACCCGTGACTTGGCCGACTTTGGGCGATGCGAAAAATCCAGATCTTAAACCCGACACCGTGCCCCCTTCGAGGGCGAGGACGGGCGAGGGCCAACAGAGCGGAGGGACGTCGGGCTCGCAAGGCGGCAAGGCGGGAGGCAACGGCAAGGGTAAGAACGCGAAGAATGGTGGTGATAAGAATGGAGGGAATCGAGGTGGCGGCGGCGCGCGCGGTAACAACGGTGGCAGAGGCGGTAATGGTGGCGGAAGAGGCGGACGGGGCGGACGCGAAGGCGACAAGACTTGGGCGAGAGGACACGGGTACGACGGTCGTTTCCAGTACGACGCCGCGGGACGAGGAGGTCGGGGCGGTCGAGGTGGACGGGGTAACAAGAACTTTGATTCTTCGTATCAGGCGCCGTTCGAGGGTGGATATTACATGCCGCAGGGCGCTCAAATGTATTACCCTCCGCAACACATCATGCCGGCGCAAGTGCCGCAACGAGATCAAATTCTTTCCGCTGTGAAGCAGCAGGTGGAGTATTACTTCAGCGTGGAGAATTTGTGCAAGGATTTGTTTTTGAGATCTAAGATGGACCCCAAGGAGGGATGGATCGCCTTGTCCGTCATCGCGAGTTTCAATCGCATTCGCATGATGACTCCGGATCCAGCCATGATTTACGACGCTCTCGTTGGCTCTAAGACGGTGGAAATCAGCGCCGGCAACGACAAGATTCGTAAAATGGGTGACTGGAACGCGTGGTTGTTAGATGCAGACGGTAAGCCGCAACAGGTTGCGCCCATGCAAGCGCCAGCGAGCGCCGCCGACGTCACGCAACAGATGGCGGCGGCGAGCGGCGGCTCTCCTTTGCAGTCTTCGGAAAAGAAGGGATCAAAGTCAAAGCTCAAGAAGGACGAGGATGAAATGTTTGAGATGGATGAAGATTTCGGGGAGGAGGAAGATGACGACGATGACGATGACGATGACGATGACGATGATGACGACTACGAAGAAGACGACATGACGGATGTCGACGTGAGCCGTCTCATGATTGTGTCCCAACGTCCGGGTCGAGGCGGTCAGAACAGAGGTGGGCGCCCGCCGTCTGGAGCGAACGGCGATGTCGCGACCGTCATCAACGACGGTCTTGCGTTCTATCAAAAAGATCTCAAAGGGAAGAAATCTTCGCATGTCGGATCACAAGGTGCGTCCTCCGGGAGCTGGCGCGATCGCGGCGCCGCCGGGTCCTGGAAGCGCGGTGGAGGATTTTCTGTCGGCTCGCAAGATCGCACGCACTTTTTCCCTTCGTCGGTGCCCAAAGGCGAAGGTACTGTAGGAGGTAACGACGTCGGATGGTTGCTGGGTACGACGCCGACGGAGGGTGAGTTCAACTGGCACACAGGTGCTGGCTCGTCTGTCGGCTCAGATCGCGCTGCGATGGGCGCATCGCCTTCTCAGAAGCCAGGCCGTTTGTCTCATCACGCGTCTCCTCGGGATATCCCTGAATTTCAGCACCCTTCGCACACGCTGCTTGACGACAACGGATTCAAGCAGCAAAAGTACCAGGCGTTTCATCAGCGCGCCGTCGACGAGCGCAAGCGTTTGGGCTGCGGCAACAGCGAAGAGATGAATACGTTATTCAGATTTTGGAGTTATTTTTTGCGAGGCACGTTCAACGCCAAGATGTACAAGGAATTCTGCCGTTTAGCCGAAGAGGATGCTCGACACAACTACCACTACGGTTTGCAATGCCTCTTCCGGTTCTACAGCTACGGTTTGGAAAAGCGATTCAGAAAAGCCGTCTACCGCGACTTTGAAGAGTTTACCATGTTAGACTACAAGTCTGGATCGCTGTACGGACTGGAAAAGTTCTGGGCGTTCCATTACTACTACCGTGGTGATAACAGGCCGGTCATCCGAGAAGACATCAAGGAGCTTTTGGATACGAAATTCCGCACGCTGTCTGATTTCCAGCGGGCGAAAGAACAAATGGCTCGCGCGTGATCGATGAGGGTCATCGGTGCGCAGAAACTAATTAGGACAGGCTTTGAAGCCAATAGCCTTCGCGGACACAACAACATTAGCGAGGAATATCATATTAAAATATTTCTAAAACAGATCGATGCCAAAGTTGACGTACAACGCATCCACCAACGCTTGTTGCCCCGCGCTCAACAGCGCCAAAGCTAGCACAGCCGCGCCGATCGTCACCGTATCCACGTTTGCGCCTGGATTAGTCAAGCTCTTCCGCATCACGAGCGTCTTCGTGGTCGTTTCTCTCGATCGTCCGTCGACAACCTCCAGCGCCGCCGCCTTGGCATCGCTCCCGATCACCTTGTACCCCAACTTTCTGTAAAGCCCTTGCGCGCGCTTATTCCGCGCCTCTACGACTAAGCAACACTCATCGAATCCATTCTCGGCGCAGATGTCTTCTAAAGCCCCCATGATGGCTTTCCCGTAGCCCTTCCTCCTCGCCGCTCGCGCCGTGGCCAAATTCGCCACAATCGGTCGCTCGATAATTTTTCCCTCCACATCCATCCCACCGCGCCCACTCTTCACGTACGACTCGTAATCCACCGCGCCAACGTATTTTCTAACCTCCACTCCTCCGCACGCCAAGCATTCTCGTGAGTCGTCTTCATCAAGAATCACCACTAAAGCGTTTCCGTCCCCGGCGTACCGCTTCTTCATATCGCTCGAGCACGCCCGCGTCAGCCCTTTATACTCCACGTCTCGCGTGTCCACGTTTCCATCGTAAAAGAATGAATTCACGAACGTCGCCGCGGCGGCGTTGTAATCCCCGCCCTTGGCGCGCTGGACGGCGTCCGATGGCGACGCTTTTTGGATAACTCGATGACGTCGTCCGGTCGCGCGCGTTCGAGCGTCGCGCGCGCGACGCGGGGCTTGGGAGACGTCCACGACGGCGCGAGATGCGAGCGACATGGTCGATCGACGTAAAGGTGCGAGTTCGCGAGCCGAGAGCGCGTCGGAGTGGCGCGCGACGCGCTCGCTCGAAAGACTGTTTCAACCTGTTCTTCCAGACTACAATTTTAGCGACGTCGAACAAACGCCGGCGACTAGGCTTTGTTTTGCGGGAAAAGATCCCGCATCAAGACGGTTCTACGAACGCCCGTGGTGTATCCTTCGTTGTACTTGAATTGCGCGCCTTGGGCGTTGCTCAAACTTTTACGAGCTTTGTGTAAATTCCCACCGGCGACGCCGAGCGCCACGCGCGCTTTTTGATCCGATTTTCGCTGCTTGGCGTCCGCCGCGGCTGCGGCGTCTCGCGCGCCTGAACGCTTTTCAGCGTCAGTGACGAGCGAGTTCGCGATGATGGAGCGTAAACTATTGTTTACCGCGCGCCTTGGTACCAAGTTCATGTGCTGTGGCGCGTTGTGGTTCATCTCGGGTTCGCGCTCGCGCTCGCGACGCTCTCGCCACGTTAACCGTTCGACGGCTTTCAAAGCGTCTACGCCCGCACCAAACTTGACGAAGTCATCAACCGGCGGTTGCAGTACCAAGGAATTTGCCGCCGCTCTCCAAGATTGTTCGTTATACTTACTCGCGGACGGTTTGTACGACAGACCGTGCGCTCGCATCAGACTCACGACGTCGGCGAGTTTGGTTTTTTCGTCCTCCGTCATGAAGCTCGTGCCGACAGAACGAAGTTCCGGAGCTAGAATGGTGTTCAAATAAGGCAAAGTTTCCGTGACATCGCACGTGAGTGAACGACGAATGATTTTCAAGTCCATGGCGTCGCGTCGACTGCTCAGCACAGCCATGCGAGCGTTTCGCTCTTTCATCGCCCGACCCGTTTTCGGCCATTCCAAAGACTCGCCGAGGTTGCCGGCGTGTGTGGCGGTGGAGTGCACCGCCATGATGCACGCCTCGGCGTATCGACGCAAATTGTGATCACCGGTGGTGAACGATTTCGTCTGAAACATCGAACCATCGATCACCGCGCTCACAGCTTGCGTTAAGCGGCTCATGCTACCATCTTGAAAGCGCACGTTTGGAATGTTTTCAAATAGTCCGTCGAGAAGGGCGTCGTTGTCTTGGTAAATTTCAATCTTTTCGCGCATCATGTCCATATGCGTCATCCCAGACTCGGCGTCGACACGCGACCTTGCAAACGTGTGACGACCGCGCAAAAGATCTTGCCACATGGAGAAAGCTTGAGGCCTGTTGTCCTTCGATCCACCGCCGGCGCTGACGACGTCTCGCAGCGTCACCGACGAACTCGTCTTGGCGATGAGTTGAATCGAATTCAATGCGGCGCGAATATCGTTATCAACGCGATCAACGACGAGCGCTATTGCGCGCGGTTCGATGTCAACATTTTCCTTCAAGCACGCGTCTCTGATGCGAGCCGTGAGATGTGAAGTTTGCGGCGGTTTCATTCGAATAATCTTGGCGACGTCGCGGAGCGGTCGCAACACTTGGGCATACAAATCGTTGCAGATGGCGATGATCGGTCGACACAACGGCGCTTGACCTTTGACATCTTTTAACGCGTGCATCACGGTCCAAATGGCTCCACCGCCGCCGCCTCCGTTGTGTACACCATCGATTTCATCGATGATCACGCACTTTGGCTTTTGCTTCTCAAAGGCGCTTCGCGTTTGCAGCGCGTCCGCGAGCTTCAACTTTAACGTGGACGCACTTCGGTCATCGGACGCGTTGATTTCAATCGTCTCGTACCCGCAGTGCTTGGCCGCGACATGCGCCAGCGTCGTCTTACCCGCGCCCGGTGGACCGGAGAGAAGAAGAATCTTCTCCATCGGACGTTGCTTGCGGTCGAGCTGCACGTGCGTCTCCGTCGTGCCGCTTCGCTTCTTCAACCCAGCTTTTTCGGCGTATCGATCGGCGTAAAATTTCTTCATCGTCGCCGGCGGAGGATTTCGATCGAAAACAACCTTATCCCAACCCTTGATCCAATGCACCACCTCTCGATTGACGTGCTCGACGCTCAATAAATCTGTAAACGCTCGCGGAGCGTGGCGCTGCGCCCACAACAAGCCGCCCATTTTCGCTCGCAAGCGCTCAACCTTGAGTTGACCCTCCGTGCGCGGTGCCGTCGTCGTCGCATCCATCGGCGTCGTCGCCGCGTCGCCTTCTTCCACCGCGCGCGCCTCTTCCACCGCTCTTCGATACCGTTCCTCTTCGTACTCGTCCAACATGTCTTCGATCGAGCGCGTCAACAACGGCGCGTCCTCCGACGCCCGCGCGTAAATCTCCTTCAAACTCACGATCGGCTTATCGCTCGGCTCTTTCTTCACGTACACCCGACGCCCATCGCCCAGCGTTATCCCTTGACACTCCCCCTCGATATCCGCCGCGTCCTTCCTCGGCGCCTCGTCCCGCGCCCGCGCTCGCGGCGTCCCTCGCCTCGCCGTCCCCCTCTCCTCCATCGTCACCGCTCTCGCCGTCTCTCGCGCGTCGAACGTTTTCCTCATCGTTTCCCTCATCGTTTTCCCTCGTCCCTTTCCCTCGTCGTCTTCGTTTTCCTTATCGTTTTCCTCTCCCTCGTCGTCGTCGTCGTTTAAACGCGCCGTCGTCGCCGTCGTCCTCGTCGTCCCCCGTCCCGTCTCCATTTTCGCTTCTCTCTCCCCGCGCGCGTCCGAGGCGCCGCGCGTCGACCGCGCGCGTTCGCATTCCACCCGTCGTCGTTTCGTCGCCGCGTCGTCGTCGTCGTCGTCGTCGTCGTCGTCGTCGTCGTCCGGGTAATGAAATCCATCGTCGCGCGCGTTCGAATTCAAATCTAACCCCCCGTCGTCGCTCGCGATCGCGTCGTCCTGCGCCGCGATCATGGCGTCGACGTCACAGAACGCATCGTCGTCGTCGTCGTCCCGCATGTCGCGCGCGTCGACGTGGCGCGACGCGCGGGACGATCGCGCGTCCGACGGGCGATCGAGTGAGACTCGCGACAGCTCACACACGGACACAACATGAAGATTTGAATTTTACAGCGCGGACGACGACGAACGACGAACGCGAACGAACGCGCGCGAACGGCGGCGAGAATGTCTAGATTCGAGACGACGACCGAATTCCGACGCCTCGACCGACCGCTCGAAGCGCGACGGGTTTCGATGCGCTCACGCGAGACGCGCTCGCAGACGGTCGGCGCTTCGACACATCGCGTCGACGCGAGACCAGAGACGAACGTCGCGCGCGTCCGGCGACGCGAGGGGCGACGGCGGACGCGGCGACGGCGACGGCGACGCGACGAACGACGACGCCGGACGCGCGAACGAACGGAAATCGAGCGCGCTCGGCGACGACGCGGTCGTCGCGTCGACGCGCGAGGGCGACGGCGACGGCGCGGCGGCGACGCGCGCCGACGAGGACGTCGTCGCGGACGTCGTCGGCGCGCGCGACGACGACGCGCGCGCGATTCGCGCGGCGTGCCGGCGACGGAGATCGTCGACGAACTCGCGACGCGCGTCTCGGAGCGCGCGTTCGTAGAGCGCCGCGCGTCGTCGCGCGTCGACGCGCGCCGCGCGCCTCGCCGCCTCGTCCCTCGCCGCGCGCGCGTCGCGCATCCGTCGCGCGTCGTCCTCGCGCGCCGCGCGCGCGTCGAGCGCGATCGTCGCCACCGCTCGGGCGTCGCCGTCGTCGCGCATGCGCGTCGTCGTCGCGCGACGACGTCCGCGCGCGTCACTCGATGGCGACGCTCGACGGCGACGCGTCGCTCGCGCCGCGGTCGCGCGGCCGCGCGCTGGACCGACCGTGGCACAAGACGTACCTCGACCGCCGCGCGCGCGCGTCCAAGGCGCAGAAGCGCGCGCTGCGAGAGCTGTACGGCGCGCACGGCGTCGCGTTCGACGCGCGCGAGGCGCGACGCGCGCGCGAGGGACGCGGCGACGCGGGAAGCGACGACGGTGCGTCGCGACGCGCGCGCGAGACGGACGCGGCGTTGTGGACGACGCTGGATTACGACGCGCTGTTCGGCACGCGCGGCGCGGGACGACGCCGCGCGCTCGAAGTCGGATTCGGGATGGGTGATAACTTGTTGAGCTCGGCGGCGGCGTTCGACGACCACGTCTTCGTCGGATGCGAGGTGCACCGACCGGGCGTCGCGCAGGCGCTGATGGGAATCGAAGCGCGCGGCCTTGGCGACCGCGTCAAGGTGTCGAGAGCGGACGGATTGTGGGTGCTGGACGCGTACGCCACGGCGCGCTCGCTGGACGAAGTCGCGTGCCACTTTCCGGACCCGTGGCGCGGCGAATCCAAAGCGCACAGGCGCTTGGTGAATCCTCTGCTGTTCGTCCTGCTCGAAAGGGCGCTGCGACCGGGAGGCAGGCTGAGCGTGGCGACGGACGACGCCGAGTACGCCGAGCACGTGCGCCGCGTGTTTCGCGACTTTGCGCAACCGCGCGGTTGGGCGCGGTGCGACGCTTTCGCTCGATTCGACAGCAAGTATTCGCTCAAGGCTTCGGAGGAAGGTCGCGAGTGCGTCGATTTTAGGTTTCGTTTCCCGGGATCGATCGACGTCGCGTGAGCGTCGCGTAGTATTTATTAGCGTCACGTAGCGTAATAGCGAGCGCGAGAGCGGTAGGTTTGGCGGCGTCGCGCGCGAGAGCGTCGTCACACGCGCGCGCGCCCGTTCACGCGCGTCGCGTCCATCGCGCGCGTTCGTGCGTCGAACCCATGACGGTTCGCCTCGCGTCGACGCCCTCATGAGCCGTCGCGCGTCGGCGTCGCCGCGTCTTCGCGCGAGCGAATTCGGCGGCGGGCGCTCGACTTGGACGTGGAATCCACCGGAGGAGCGCTCGAGCGCCGTCGCGCGCGGCGTTGCGATGTGCGCCGCGTCCGTGGTTGCGTTCGTACTCTTGACCGCGTCCGTGGTCGGGGACCTGAGCGGGACGCGACGGTTGGAAACTGGGATAGAAGTCATCGATTGGGCGCTGAGGGACGCGTATTACTCGCGCGTCGTTCCGGCGTTGATCCCAGGGACGATCGCGTACGTCTACTTCAATTGGCTCAGCGCCAGATTTTTCGAGCACACGTAGCGCGCGCGAAGCGGCGGCGCGGTCGACGCTCGCGGTGGAGTGTATTTAATAGTTGCGAAGCGGCGAGAGGTGCGTACGATTTCGACGCGACTTGTTTTTCTCCGTCTCGCGTCGAGACCCACTCGCGTCGGCGGGGCGATGTCCGTTCGCCGCGTCGCGGGGTTTTGACGCGTATATTTGGTTATGCCAGATATAAACCAATGTTGGGTTAATCAGTACCCGTCGTTGACCTGTCTCGCTGGTACATTTCATCGCGTCGTATTTCATTCGTCGCCGCTCGACGCGGACGCGAATTCGCATGAGACCTTCACCCCGGGCGGTGCGGCGTCAATTAATCGCCGGGCGCGTCCCAAGTCTCGTGCTACAACCGAAGCGTGCGTCGTGTTGCGCTCTGGGTTCCAAATACTCGGTTGCGTGTCTTTAAGTTGCACCGACATTTTCGAGCTTTTTTCGTCACGGGCTCCTCTGCCACGGTTCCCTGAGCTTTGCGTTGATTGAGATCTGTCCAAAGAGAGCCCAACATAGATTTTCGCCTTCATGATAGGAAGCCGTGCCGTTCGCTTTCGAGCAATGACTTTGCGGTGCCAAACGGGCGATTACATCCCATCTCGGCGCCGCTGAACTTGATGATGATTCATGTCTGGAAGAGCCGTCCGATCCGCATGATGAGAAACTAGACTTCTTAAAGTTCAAGTGCCTTTTTCTTTCGTCCAGCCGATGTCGACGATGGACGTGACCAACGACTGACCGCGTGATTTTCGACCTCGCAATCGCAGATTATTTTAGGAAATGTATTGTAAGTGTAACATTTGATATGAAACGACTCACCGTCGCAAATTTTCTACTACGCTAAATTTTGAGAGACGGCGCCGAGCGCGGGGCGCGTCTTCGTCGCGGAATGAGGCGCCAAAGCTTTCTTCCCCTCTATTCCTGCGATTTTACGCGCGCCTTGGTTTTCATCACCTGGCGTGGCGTACACATTTGCCTCCGAACCGGGCTGCTTCGTCGCCAAATCGTTGAAGGAAATTTGATCGGCGCGTTCGTTGAGCTTGTGAATATTTTCCTTCAGGCTTGCGTCAGGACGTACAGGAGTGATGAAGCTCGAATTTGTTCCCTTTGGTTTCGCTGGCGTCTTGCGGTACGTCTTTGGCTTGGTCTTCGGCTCGTTGAGTGTCATTGTCGGCGTCGGCAACGCCGCCTGCGGCGTCGCTTGCATCGACTCGGCAAATTCATCAACCAACAGAGCAACTTCTGCGTCGAGCTCGTTGATTCTCACATGTTGCTGTAAAGCCGTCGCCAGAACAGTCGACTTTCGTCGCACGCTTCTGATTTCATCAGCAGCGTCTTCCAACGCGATTTGATGCATCTCTTCGCGAGCTTTGTTGACGCTCTCCTGATACTCCTCTTGCCTCGCCAACGAACCGGCGAGCATATCTCGCTGCTCTTCAGACTTTGAAAGTCTGAGGTGCATTTCGTTCAACGCTCCCTGCAATTCATTTTGCGTCTTCGTACTCGAACCGAGCTCTTGCTGGAGCATCGTGAGCTGCTTCTGCGCCTTAACAATGTCGCTCTTCGCTCGCTCGCACTCGGCAGCCTTTGCCTTGAGCGCAGTCTCGAGCTTTTCGATAGCTTTAAGACCAGTGCTTTGGGACTCTCTCAAGCGCTCGGACTCAAATGATTTAAGGTGCACTTCCTTCTTAAGATTTCTGAGCTCCGAATCACGCGTGCGAACCAATTGCTTGTATTCGTTGATTTTCTTCTCCAAGTCTTCGCTGACCGTCTGCATGTCCTTCATCATGCTGAGACTGTCTGCTTCGACTTGCTCCGTCGTCGCGCGCGCTTCATCCGCCTCCAAGATGGCGTTTTCGAGTTCACCCTTTGTCAGTTCGAGTTGCGCCTTCAGAGTGCTCATCGATTCTTCCGCGCTGTGCTCCAGTTCTGCAATAGATGTACAAAGCCGTCCGATTTCGAGCTGCGACTCTTCCAATTTGGCGCACGTCTCGGAAAGCTCAGCCTTGAGCGACTCGACCTCGTCGAAGTTTTGAGAGTTAGACTCATTCTTCAGCTGATCGATCTGTTGCTCGAGTTGTGAGGCCCGCGTCTCGGCACGTGCCTTTTCGGCAGTAAGCTTTGACACCGCTTCGGCGTGTTCCTCACGAAGCTCCTCTAATCGCAACTCGGTGGCACGTTGAAGTGCCTCAAGCACGCCTTCGCGCTGCTTTAAGCTGTCCAATCGCTCGGAAATGTTTTCGTCTCGTTGATCAGACTCCATTTTCAAGTTGTTCAGCTCCTCGTTGAAGTTGCGCAACTTTTCATCGCGCTCTGCGAGACCAAACTCGAGTCGTCTAACATTCGCAGTTTGTCGCTTTTCGGCCGACATCATCTGTTTCACGAGCGCATTATTCGCAGCCAGTTGTGCATTTTTCTCCTCCAACTCGAATTTGTAAGAATAGACTCTTTCCCGCAAACCTTGAAGCTCAATTTCAAGTGGTCCCAGTTCCGTCGTCCTGGTGCTGTACTCAGCTCGCAGTGCCTCGAGCTCAGCCTCTTTCGATTCCAGCGACTTCTTACTCGCATACAACAGTGCATCGCGCTCAGCAATTTCAGTGTGCATATCCTCGAGAATTTTCTGCTTTTCCATGCGCAAAGCCTCGTGCTTTATTTGCAGCTCTTTGATTCGCTCGGCGACCTCGGTGTTGTCACCGCCCCCGGATGCTTGCATTTGCTCGAGCTGTTCCTGAATGTGTAGCACATACGTGACGGCTTGTTCAAGCTCGGTCTCCTTTGCTTCCACAAGCTGATTACCTTCACGAAGCATTTCATCGCGTTCTTTCATTTCTGATCGAAGAAATTCAGCCTCTTCAGTAACCGCCTCGAGTCGCTCCTCCAGAGCAATCTTCTCCAAAGTGCGCTTCTCAACGAGTACTTCTAAGGTATTTCGCTCAAGCTGTACCTCCGAGTACGCCTCTTCAGCCCGCTGTCGCTCCATACGTTCCTCTTGCAAGCACTTTTCGAGTTCGCATTGCACAGTCTCCAACTCTGCACGGCGCGCCTCGACTTCAACTGCGAGACTCTTGGCCTCTTGGCGCGCGCGCGCCGCGTCCGCCTCTGCCTCTTGACGAGCCGCGGCGAGCTGCAGTAACTTTTCCTGACTAGCGCGCACACCTCCCGTATCAGCATTTTGCTTTGACGTCTGATGCTTGGTCGCCATCTCGAGCTCGTGCTTAGCCTCATCGAGCTGCGCCCGCAGTTGCTTGAGAAGTTTGTCCTTTTCGGCGGCGACTAGTTCAGCCTTTTCTCGACTTCGCTCCGCACGATCGAGTTCGTCGTCGAGCTCTTCTAAAATCGCCGCCTGATTCGCAATTGTAAATTCACGCTCTTGCACCGCAGTGTTCGCGTCCTCTTTCGCCTGCTCGAGCGCTTTGGCCGCCGCCTCCGCGGCACGCTTCTCTTTGCGCAACGCGCGCATGTGCTCCTCCTTTGCCTTTGCGAGAGCCTGCGCCTGCGCGCGAACAGCCGCCATATCGGCTTGAAGCGACGCCCTGTCGGATTCCATTTTTTGCAGTCTCTCTGACATGGATTTCGCTCGTTCTTCTGCTTCACTCCGCTTTGAGTACGCCTCTTCGAGGGCGGCTTCGGAGGATTCGCGCAACTTGGTAGCCAGCGCTTGCAGCGCCTCCTTTTCAGTTTCAACCGCCTTCAATCGCGCACGCACCGCAGGCGAAGGCATTAAATCGATCGTCGTCGCCCCACCAACACCATTAGTCGACTTTCTCGCGCCCGATAACGAGAAGAACGTTGACCTTTTCCCCGTGCTCGGCGTCGTCGTCTCGCTCGTCGACGCTTGTTCCCCCGCGCCTCGCCGTTCATTCCCCATCGTACCCACGCGCGCCTCGCTCGTCTTCGACCGCGGTGTGACGAACGAACCATCATTTTCTACGTTCATTTCACCTCTCGTTCCGTCATTTTCCTTCCCTCGCATTGAGGCGTAGTCGTACTTTACGCCGAGCGTCGCGCCGCCGACGACGGTTTTCACCGGCGTCGTCCCAGCCGTCGTTTGCGTCGTCACCGACTCGCTTTTATTCACCTCCGAGCGTTCGAGCGCGTTCTTACGCCCCGCCTTGTTCGCATTTTTCCGTCGCCACTCCTCCAGAAGCGCTCGACGATCCCGCGTCGCGAGCAGCGGTTTGAACGCCATGGCTCGCGCGCGCGCGAACGATGCCGCCGCTGCACGTGCACGCGGTCGACCAAACGGTTCGCGATCGCGCGGAACGAGAGTGCGTACGTAGTCGCACGCGTTCTCGTCGCCTTTCGATCGCGCTCGCCGCGCTCGCCGCGACGCGCGGCGGTATAAGGTGCGGCGATGGTGAGAAGACAAACGGTCAGGATCGTTTTGGTCCGTGTGGTGTGATACTCTAACCCTACACCATCGCGCGCGCGCGCGATCTGGGCGGTGGAATCGCACGTCGGACGAGGCGAACGTGGAGAAACAATCATACAAATACGATTACAACAAACTGACGACGATGATTACGCGATGATTGCGCGATTTCATCGCGAAAGTGATGAGTGCGGGGAAAGCGTCGGTGCGAAGTGCATGCGCCGACGCGATTAGCGCAACGAGAGCGCGCCCATCGAAGGCGGCGCGAGACCGAGCGCGGATTGCGACGGTGCGGCGAGAGCGAGACCAGTGGAGGCGCCGAACACGACGCGCCATTGACATATCGTCATGTCCGCACCGACAGTGATGAGGTAAGAATCGTCGAAGAGGAATTTGCACTGGGTGATGGCGCCCGAGTGCGCGCCGAAACATCTAGCCTGAGCGCCCTTGTGGCAAGGATATTGGTACACTCGCAACACCCCTCGTGCATCCCCGGTGGCGACCGCGGTGCGCGTGTGCGTGCGATCGCAACACGTAATATCGTCACCCACGGACGTCTGCGGAATGACCCCTTGCACGGGCCATCCGATGACTGAAGTCCACGTGTACCAGTCGACGTTTCGCAAGTCTTGTGGAAATTTCGCCTGCACGCCGTTGGGCATTTCCCAAAACAACAGCTCGCGATTCGCGCTCGACGATTGCAGTAACGCGCTGTCGGTGGACCAGTCCAAGTGCATGATCTTTGCGCTGTGCCCCTTAGACACCCCGATGCGTTGGTATTGCTTGGAGATGTCGTAAATATCGATTGTATTTTCCTCAGAACCGACGGCGAGGTATTGGCCGTTCGGGCTGTATTTCAGCACACCAATCGGTTGTTCGCGGTCTTTTCTCAAGTGCACGGTGTCCAGAGAGTCCGAACTGAAGATAATGATGCCACCACCGGCCAATCCAACAGAAATCTGCGTTCCGTCGGGATGATACGCCACTGAACGGGCTTGCGCACCGAGATTTCGAGACATCATCAACCGCCTTGAAGGCACGTCCCAAATTCGAATCGTCGAATCGTCACCGACGGTGCAAATTTGGTGATCGCTCGGATGTGTGTCTAACCCCCATATGGCGCCGTACGCGTGCCCTTGGAAAAGCAAATTGTATGAATATGATGTGGTATTCATTTCGTAAACCTCTCCAGATCGTGCGCCGAGGAGCAACATCTTCCCGAGCAAATGCATGGATTTGATGCACACCGCTGGGACGCTCGGGAAGGTGATGTTCACACTGCGCAGGAGCATGCTCAAGTCCGCAGTCCAAAACTTCACCACGCCCTCTGATCCAGCGGAAATTAAGGTATCCCGTGTGGCAACGATCGATTGTGCTACCTTGTGCACGCGGCGGGCGTTGGTCGCCAGCTGGTAACCTCGGAACAAGTAAAGCGAACCATCTTGAGTGCCGACGACTGTGGTATCTGCGGCAGGAAAACCGCAGCACAGGGAGGTTTGGATCGTTCCACGCTTTGAAAACACAGCTTTGCGCCCTTTCAGTGGATCTGGTGACCAGAACACGCAATGCTTGACGCCTAGAGTGACCATGTAGTCTTGAAACGGCGACCACTCAATGGCGACGATTTTCTCCGGGCTCCCGCTACAGCGAGACAGGAGTTCACCTGTTTGCCAGTTGTATACACCAATCTTGTGATCGAAATCGCAATCGACGGCGGCCAATTGTGAGCCATCGCGCGAAAATGTCGCTGATACGATGGCTTTTTTGAAGTAGCCTTGAATGACAGTGATAGGTCGCGACACGGCGTTCGCACTCCACACAATGATTTTGGGATTTCTCCCAGCTTCTCCACTCGCGAAGACGAGCCCATTCGGATGCCTCGCCAAGCACGTAACATCATCAGTATGGCCTTGAATTTGCTCCGCCGCGGGATTCGTCGCCATGAAGATTTGTGTGTGCGCTTGTCTGTTATACACGACGCATAATCCAGCCGTGGGGTACACGACATCGCCGAGCGTGGTGTAGAACAAATTATTCCTCGAGTCGTGCGCGCGATAGCCGTGCGCGCACTCAAGCAAGACGGACTCCATCGGGGCCTTGAGAATATCCGAGTCTCTCGTATAATCATCCGGAGCGTAAATACTCGAAGCGCAGGGCAGAAATGCCAATCGACTTCCCGGATCGAGTCCCGTATTCGCTGGAATATCTCTCGACGGCAAGGCTTGCAGAACATTGGCCGAAACGTACTGAGGAATACCTCGCAAGTGACCGATGAAAACCATTGGTGTCAGTGCATTCGATTGATTCGTCTCTTCGTAATCATCTACAGCGGTGAAAATCTCTTCCTCAACATCGCTTGTCATCTCTTCATCCCCCTCATCGGGCTCGTAATGTCGCCATTGCAATATGGTACGATCCTCGCCTCCGACTGTAATGAGGAATTCATCGTTGTAACTGAAGCAACATTTAGTGATGTGGAAGCTGTGACCGACGTACGTCTTGTGATCACCTCGTCCGACGTCGCATGGATATCTAAACAAACGCACAATACCGTCTTCGTTCGCCGTGGCGACGGTTCTTTTGTCGCTACTTCGCGCGCAGCTATTGACGTCAGTGCCATCGCTGTGCTTTGGCCAAATGCCTTGCACGGGCCACCCCGCGATGCACGTCCATGTTGCCCAGTTCACGTCTTTCAGCGCCGCTGAAAACTCAATCAATTCGCATGTTGGGATTTCCCAGTAAAGCAACTCGAAATCTTGCGAGTTCGTTTGAAGATACTTACTATCTTCACTCCAGTCCAAGTGCGTCACCGGGGCGCTGTGTCCTTTGCACACACCGGCGCGCTTGAAACCGCTGGAAGCATCGTAGATGTCGATAAAAAAGTCATGACTTGCCACAGCGAGCCATCGACCGTCAGGACTAAACTTCACGTCGCTAATTATCGCGCGACGGTGCTTCTTCGCCACGACTTCTGTCCCAGTTTTGTCTTCGTAAACCATGAAACCTCCACCATAGAAACCGACGGCGATCAATTTACCATCGGGGCTATACGAGCAAGAGCGCGCTCGACTCGCGACATTTCTCACGCTAATCTGTCTTCGGAGATACATGTCATACGTTCGCACTGTTTTATCATCGCCAGCGGTGATAAATTTAGCTTTGGATGGGTGGCAGGCCAACCCCCAAAGTTCCGCATTAAACAACATTGTCGTACGATCGACAGCGTTGGCATGACCTTGAGTGATGATTCGCCTGTTCCTTTTCCACGCATCTTCTGTGCTAAGATCAAACTCATAAAGTTCACCCGTGGACGTGCCGACTAAGAGCTGCACGTCGGATAAGTACAATGATTTGACACACGGCGCGCGTCCGTCGTAATAACACACCGGCTTGCCTTGATCGTCTATGATACTCTCCGCCACCTTGCTCATGTCAATCGCGAAGACTTTTTCCATGTACTGGGTGAAAAAGTTCACTTTACCATCATTCCCACCGGTAATGATGTAATCTTCAGTGACGAAGATATCGTGCACCGGCCCCTCGTGAACAAAGTCAAATTTCTGTATGCACTCCTCTCCACCGTCGGCCCACTGGTAGATGGTACCGTGCTGCATTCCAGTAAATGTGCTCCCGTCCTCGCCAAATGCGATGGATAAAACAGTCGATGGCTTCCCCAAGCGCCCAAAAACGCCGTTTTTACCGACAAGATAGCCATTTTCCATTACCCAAAACTTCACGTGCTGTTCGCCAACGGTGACGATGCGTCCGTCGTGTGGATTGTACTTGCAATTGAAAATTCTCTTCGTGTCGCCTTTAGAGTTGGCGAGGACTTTCTTGTTTTCCCAATCGTACACAGCAATAGAATGCTCGTCGTCCAAGCCAACAGTGACGAGAAATTTTCCCGTCGCATCGAAACTTAAGCTCGTCACCGCGCGTTGATGAAATCCCCTCAACTCGGCCAAGACTCGATTCGTCTTCGTGCTCCACACGCACACCACGGGATCTCGACCAGCCTGCCCCGTGGCCGCTATTTCTCCATCTGGATGCATCGCCAAGCACAAGATGTCATCGCTGTGGAACGTGAAGAAGTCCTGCACGTGTTCAACCCCGTCGTACACCACTCCGCACGCCGCCGTCGTGTATACGATTTTCCCATCCGCGTTGTACGCCCCGTTCCCTCGCGCGTCGTGTCCTCGATACCCATACGCAAAATCGAGCTGTAAATCATTGTCAGGCGCATTATGCGCGTTAAACGCCGTCGCGTGCGCCGTGGGAGGGTGTAAATCGTCCCCGCACGCCTTTCTCGCCAAGAACCCCTCGCTCGCGAGCTTGACCACGCCGCTCTCCGCCGCGAACGTTCTTCGTCCGTACGACTCTCTCACCATCGCCAGGACTTCGTCGTTATCGAAGCCATGTTCATCGAATCGCGCGAAATCATCCTCATCGTTCGCATCGCGTCCGCGCAGCAGCCCTGAATCGTCGCTAAAGTAATCATCATCAACACCACCACCGTCGTCGGCGAATCCACCGCCGTCGCGCCCGCGCGCGCCCGCGCGCCCGCGCGCGCGACGAGGCCTCTCGGACGCGTCGTCGCTCGCGTTCCGCGCGCCGACGCGCGACTTCGCCCTGTTGAACAGCTTCATCATGACGACGACGACGTGTGTGGAATCGACAAACGGCCGCGGCTCATTCGCGCCCGCCGCGCGGCGTCCCGGAGTTCGCCGAGTCGTCCTCGCTCGATCGGTCGTCGCTCGCGCGTGGAACTGTGACGATAAAGATTATATTACGCAGTGATACAATAAACGAGCCCTGGACGCGCGCGGCGCTACGGATCGACGACGTCGTCGACGAAGAAAGTCAAGCCGCGCCGCCAGGCGTCCGCGGACAAGCCGCCGGGACAGTGCACGCAAGCGACGCCGAGACGAGCGACCTCGTCGATGTTCTCGCGCTCGTTATCGAAGAATAACATTTCGGCGTAGGGAACGCCGGATTTTTCGCGTAAACGCGCGAAATGTTTCGTCTTGGAACCGCTGGCGATGTCGACGAAATCGACGCACGCGGCGAGCGTGCGAGCGTCGTCGTCGCCGTCGCGCACTTCGAACGCATCCATGAGCTCGCGCGCCCATTTACCCCTGTGCGTTCGCGAAGCGACGGCGATCAGCGTGCCTCGCTCGCGAAACGCACCGCACGACTTCGCGAGCGCCACGGAAGCGAGCGCCGCTGGATAACAGCCCAAGCGCGCGCCCCCGCTGTCCACGACGGTGGACTTTGACGTCTTGACGAACGGTGCGCCGGCGATCATGTACAGCTCGGGGAACCATATCGTGTCGTCCAAATCGTACACGATCAATCCCGGGAGCGACGCCGCGTCGCACGACGGCGCGGGCCTCGAAAGCGGCTTCGAAAGCGTCGGTTCCACGAACGCCACGTCGGTGTGTTGGGACACGCGTCTGGTCTTGACCTTGTTCGATCGACGCGGACGCGCTCGATCGCGATCGCGCTTCGCGTCGCGGTTCGCGCCGTTCGAGCTCGCGGCGCACGAGGCGAGCGACATCGAACACGGCGAGGACTCCCGGTGCGGCGCCGAGGAGTGAGGCGCGGAGGAGCGCCGGAGCGCTCGCGAGCGCGGCAACTAAAACTAAATAACTAAAATTTCTAGTCGTGTTCTGCGGAATCAATCCATCACCCCGCGCACATCGAGGGAATCGATAGGGCTCGTCGCAATCTTGTGGACGACGTACACGACGCGAGCGACGACGAGGACGATGAGAGCGCGAGCAACGAAGCGCGCAAAAGTTCGTGAGCTCGCATCCGAATCACCACCGCGACGCGAGCGCTCGAAATACTCGATCGCGCGCTTGACATCATCATCATCAAGATTTAAACCGAGCTCTTTCGCCCGCTCGCGTCGACTGTCGTGCACTTCGTCGCGGACTCGGGAAGCGAGTTCTCGACGGAAATCGTCGGCGTCGACATTGAAACCCATCTCCTGAGCCTTCACGAGCAAGCTTTCGTCTAGAAGCACGCGTTCGACCTCCTCGTCGACAGTGGATTTTGCGACGGTTGTCGCCTTGTCGTCGGCGTAGATAGCGCTTGCGCCGGAAAACATCTTTCCGAAGACGGCTCGTTGCACCTCAGTCGTCTTCATAACTTCTCTACTGTGCTCCGCTAACGCTCGCACATACCGCTTCTCGCCCGGATCGAGATCCACGGCGCGTTTAAAATCATCCAACGCCTGCTCTACAGTCCCTTCTTCCGTCATCATGGTCCTGGCTCGTCCTCTTCTGTAGTATGCGGCGGCGCACGCGGCGTCAGCGCGCAACGCTCGCGTCGTCGCCCATTCTACCGCCTTCGCATGCTTCCTCAGATCGATGTTCATCAAGCACGCCGATGCGTTAAGCATGATTCGTTTCACCATTTCTACGCCTTCGCTTTGACGTTCGTCGTCTTCGAGATAATCTACGTACGTCAACGTCTCTGTGCTCTCTGTCCCGCTCGGTCGCTCAAAGTGACAAAACGCCGCCAAGGCGTCTGTGTACGCCTCCAGCGCGTCCTCGTGGGCTTCCTCTCGCACCAACGCTTTGGCATCATCGAGAAGTTTGTTGGCAAACGTCAAGCGTGCCGCCAGCGGTTTCTTTCGCAATTCGACGTAGTTTTCGTCTCGATCCGTCGCGAGCGTGTCCCGAACGAACACCGGTGCGGCCTCGTACGACGCTCGCGTGCGTCGCAATCGCTCGGCCTTGAGCGCCACGGCGCGATGCATGGCGTCATTCATATCTATCACGGGCTCGTCGTCACCGTCGACGCTCATCGGGACTTCAAGTCGGTGACCGCCGCGCACCGACGTCTGACGCTCTCGGCGTCGGCGGTTGGACAAAGCACACTCAGCTATTGAGTCTTACACGCGAGCTATTAATGGCTAAGGAATGAGCTAGAAACAATCAATAGAATCGATCATGAACGCGATCAGGTGCGCTCGAGGGTGAGCCAAGGATCGACGCACATCGTTGGCTGCGCCAGAGGAAACGAACGAGCGTCAGTCGCGCACGCGTACAGCAAATTGGCGCGAGGCACGTACCTTGTAATAATTCGCTGGATTGAATGTGTTTTCAGAGCGATAATCGCCCGTACGTGCGGCTTTGTGCCCTCGGGATCCCCCGCCTCGCCCGCCGCCTCGTCCGCCGCCTCGTCCGCCCCCGCCTCGACCTCCGCCGCCGCCGAAGCGCTGATTCTGTTCCCCTAGCCAACGCGGCGGAGGTGGTGGAGGTGGTGGAGCGCGTGGCGCACGCGTGGATTCCGCAGGAATATCACTCATATCCATACTCGACGCTCCGGCACCTGTGTAAAACCCCGGCGTACGATCGTCGCCGTCCCCGAGGTCGACGAAGGGCGCTGGAAGCGTACTCGAAGGTGCGTTCGCATTCGCCTGTGCGTCGGCGTTCGCGCTCGACGCGGCCTCGCGCATCGCTCGTAAACGTTCCGCGCGTGCTGTTGACTCGTCCATATCGCGTGACCGCGCCTCGAAGTCGAGTTTACTCGCGTTCAGCCGAGGGTGGGAGTGCGGCACGAGGTCACCGTCCGGAGGACGGAACTCAGCACGCGTGCGCACGCACGCGTGAATCGAGCTTTCGACGCAGTGGAAGGAATATTACGGGACTAAATCGCGTGCATTTCACAAAAATTCAATATTCTTTCCTACTTGACCGTCAAAGCCCCCGAAGGCACCCGAACGCTCGCGTCGGGCTTGTCGTCGCTGCAGCATGTGAACCGTGAACCGGTCAGAAAATCCAACCCTGCAAACGACGAAATTAGTTTCGAGTGACAAAAGGCGAACACACGCGCGGAACGTACTCTGCAGTCGCTGGAACCGCAGTCGCATTGAACAGTCTTGCGCATGCTGCCACCTTTCTTCACAGGGACGTAGTCTATGCAAAGTTCCTCGCCCACCTGCAATGTCGGAAATAAAATAAAACGCAATTAATCGTCCACTATAAGGTAACGTGCGCTTGAGTAGCGAAATGACGCTTCGATCGCGCGTACCTCGATGTCCTCTATCGCTATGCAACACATCCGCGACGCAGACCTGAACTTTGACTGAACGCCCTGCAAAGTGAAATAATTTAATTCAAGCCCAGCGATTAATTAATCCGAGGTGGAGACGCACCGACAAAAGTGCTTCATCAACCCGTGCCTCGACCAGCCGAACGTTCGGCGTGCAGCCGTGATTGAGCATACGCGCTAAATTGCCCTTGCGGGTCATATCCATCGTGTATGCCATGTACGACGGAGAATTTCTTTGCCCTGTTCGAAAAAAAATATACCGTCAATTAATAATTAATTCTTTCAATCTCCCGCGTTGTTTGCGCATCGCATAGCACGCATATCGTTTCACTTCGTACCTTGAATGTCGACGAGAAAAAATTGGCTGTGAATTCGAGAAAGTCGAGCGTGCAGTCAGTATTTTTACTCTCATCGTCGAAATAATAATTAATTCGTACCCGTTCGCCATGTACTGTTCTTCCCGTCTGCTCGCTTCCGCACGCGTGATGATCTCCCTAACCGCAATAAAAGTCACGATTGATGAACAACATCGTCGAACACGCTTACCCGACGTATTCGAAGAGGTAAGCACCCTTCGAAATGCGTTCTCGGGCGAAAATTCCGTAGCCTTTATTTGGCACCTCTTTCACATAAAACAAATGGATCACCATACCGCGCTGCGATAGATTTCGTAAGCAAAACTAGATGTGTGCGTTGATGAATTAATTATACGCACCAGAATAGCGAGAGCTGGACAAACACCGCCGTGAAGCGCGTGCACGTCATCGGTGTGATCCTAATGGAATAATTAAATAATTGGACACGTAACGTCTGACTTACGTACTTTGCGCAGGCCTCGAATCCCATGGCAGTAGCACGCAGATTTCAAATCTCTCGGATGTTTCTCTGTTTCTCCCGCTTGCTCTCGCTGTAAAAAGTGGACGATGTCAGTCGGGGCTTTGGGCGATCGTCGCGTCGCATCGTTGACGTACGTACCATGGTAGCGTATTCGAACGGGTAATTGTCGACGTCAGTCGAGCGACACTCGGCCATAACGTTCGGCTCCCACTCGACAGCGTCTTTTGGAATGAGTAGCAGATCGCTAACTTTCTTCTTCGGCTCCAGGTCCACGTCAACCTCTAGCTTCACAGTCGCCGTCGCCGGCGCCTTTCGCTTCAGTCCGGCTTCCACATTGCAACGGCCCATGCACGTGGAAGCTCGACAAAAGTACCGCTTCTTGCCCGTGTCACCCAAACCTGATCGTCTCGCCTGTTTGAGCGCGAGCAATCCGTCAGTAAATCGCGCGTCTGATCGCGCTCGCGACCGCGACCACTCGAAACGCCGAGGCGTTCGTACCCTGTGGAAAATATTGGGACCCAACTCCTTGAAGGTATCCGGTGAGACGTTTTCTGTCCCGTAACCTTGCCACCACTGATACATGTCAGTGATATCGCTCTCCTCCGCGTCGGGAAACTGCTCGCGTGAAATCAATCGTCAGTCAGCGCGCGCTCAAAGCCCGTCGATGCGAAAATATTCAAGTCGCCTCGCCGGCGCGGTTCGCGGACGCACCTCATCGATGAATTCTTCTAAATTTTCGCATTTTTGCAGAAATTTCACCGTGGCGAGTTCGTTTTGCGCAACCTTCGCTTTTATCTGCGCGCACGCACGAGGATCGCCGTCAGTCTCTCTCGCTCGCGTCTCGAGAGCGTCAATCGCGTCTCGCGGCGCTTTGTCGTCGCGCGCCTGTCCGAACCAATCCTCCTCTTCCCCGTCCTCGTTTTCGCCCTTGATGATGACGTAGTCACCGACGTTACAATCCTGTCGTCGCGCGCGTTCGGTCAGTCTCCGTCGTCCCTCGTCCGTCGTCCGCACGGTTCACTCGTCGGACTGAACGGTGCAGTCGTCGGCCCGGTCGTCTCGAGACGCGGGTCGGGCGTCGCGCGCATCGCTCGCGCACGTCGTAGTTAATTTTCGCCCTCGGATCCACCGTCGCGTCGTCTGGTTCGATGTCCGTCAGCTCCGCCGCGTCGCGCATCGGCCTCGGGACGGACAGGACGAAAGGACAGGACGAAAGGACCGACAGCTTGACAGACGGACGCGCGCGCTCGACTGTTCGAACGCCCCGGCGCGCGGGTCGCGATGGTTTTTTTTACTTTTCGGGACGTTTTTTGCCCGATCGCGTCCCGCGAGGACGCATTTCGCGTGTTTCGAACGCCATGTGAGTGACGCGACCGACCGCGACCGACCGCGCCCGGCGCGCCCTCGCGCGGCGGTCCGGGCGCGTGTATTATCCGCGACTTCGACGCGCGGTGGAGCACGCGCGAGCGATTTCGATGCGGACGCACGCGCGCGCCGTCGCCGCGGTGAAGGTGACGACGACGACGACGACGAGAGCATCGCACGCGCGCGCGAATCGATGCCGACGATCGACGATCGACGCGCGCGCGCGACGCGCGAGGACGACGACGACGACGACGACGACGCGGGCGAGCGCGCAAGAGCAAGATGCCACCGAGGACGCCCCGGACGTGGAGAACTGCGTCATCATCGGGTCTGGACCGGCTGGATACACCGCCGCGATCTACGCGGGACGCGCGAACTTACGTCCATTGATGTTTGAGGGGTTTCAAGCCGGAGGCGTGCCGGGAGGACAACTCATGACGACGACAGAGGTGGAAAACTTTCCAGGTTTCCCCGAAGGCGTGACGGGGCCCGACTTGATGGACAAGATGCGCAAACAAGCGGAGCGATGGGGGGCTGTGATGCACACGGAGGACGTGGTGACGGTAGATTTTACTTCTCGCCCGTTCACGGTGTCGTCGTCCGATCGAACGGTGAAGGCGAATAGCGTGATCGTCGCCACGGGGGCGACGGCGAAACGACTCGGAATTCCCGCCGAGGCGACGCTGTGGAGCCGAGGGATCAGCGCATGCGCGATTTGCGATGGGGCGAGCCCGATTTTTAAGGGCGAAGAAGTCGCGGTGGTCGGAGGAGGTGACACCGCCACGGAAGAAGCGGTGTACTTGACAAAGTACGCCAAGCACGTGCACTTACTCGTGCGCGGGTCGACGATGCGCGCCAGCAAGGCTATGCAGGATAGGGTGCTTCAACACAAGGCAATCACCGTACATTACAACACGGAATGCGTGGACGGATCGCCGAACAGCAAGGGAAACTTGGGGGCGCTCAAGCTTCGCGACACGAATAACGGAGATGAGCGTCAGCTCAAGGTGAAGGGGTTGTTTTACGGCATCGGACACACGCCGAACAGCAAAATTTTTGGCAACCAAATCGAACTTGACGAAGCGGGGTACGTCGTCGTGCGAGAGGGTACCAGGACGTCCATTGAGGGTGTGTTCTCGGCCGGTGATCTTCACGATCAAGAGTTCCGGCAAGCCATCACGGCTGCGGGATCCGGATGCATGGCTGCCATCTCCGTCGAGCGTTACTTGACGGAGAAGAACCTCCTCGTTGAGCACCACCAAACGAAGCAGCGCAAGAGCGTCGAACGAGAGGAGTCTGTTTCGGAAGAAGAGCGAGCGATCCAGGGAGAGGATGAAGACTCATTCGATATCAATGTCACGAAGCACTACGGTCAGTATGCCCTCAGAAAGCTTTACCATGAGTCAGACCGCGTGGTCATGGTCATGTACTCGGCGCCCACTTGCGGCCCATGTCGACGCTTGAAGCCGATGTTGGACAAGGTCATCGCGGAGTACGGAGACAAGGTGCACTATGTTGAGATAGATATCGCTGCTGATCCTGAAATTGCGGAAGCCGCGGGTGTGACTGGGACGCCTATGACGCAAATTTTCTACCAAAAAGAGCGCATAGAAGTCTTGAGCGGTGTGAAAATGAAGAGCGAGTACCGTCGCGTCATCGACGGCGCCTTGGGCGCGAGTGCGACGAAGGAGGTGACCATGCCTGCGGCGCAAGCGGGTGAAAAGAAGGAGAGCCCAGTGGAGACCAGTAGATAATTCGTTTACTCATCATTTACTCACCATTTCGTTAACTACTTACAGTTGTAATTTTTATAAACGTCCATGCGGCGCCCGCGCGTTCGAGTCGAGCCCGCGACGAGTGGTTCCCCTCCATACGACGCCTCGCAACGAATTCCTGGCGAGGCGCCGAGCGCGAAGGACTCGCGCGTAGGACGACGCGCGAGAGGTTTTCGTCGAGCGTCGAAGTAATCGTCTCCACGCGCCCGAGCGGCGCCGTCGTTCGCCGCTTTACGCGACAGACGAGAACGTTGTCGTTCGTCGGTTTAAATCAATCTCGAAGCCATGCCCGTGAGTCCGACTCGACGAAGCACGGCCAGGGCGAAGTTGATCGAGGAATTGAAACTCGCGAGGAAAACGGTCAAGTTCACCAGGCATCCGCTGCAGACGTCGTATCTAATCGCCAGAGTCGCTTCGAGAGAGTGCTCAAAGTTGGCGAAACACGTCGTGCGCACGCGTCGGCGAGCGTTGTATCCGGCGGCTTTGTTTTTAGCGTTTTGTTACTGGGTAAAAGACACCGCCGGCCCACACGCTGCGTTCGTCGATGAATGTGAGCGATGGGTGGAGTGGGGGCTGTGGTGGGTGGCTCTAGGCGTGTCGTCTTCCATTGGGTTCGGGAGTGGCATGCACACCGGCTTGTTGTTTTTGTTTCCGCACATCTTAAAGGTTTGCCAAACGGTTGAATTGTGTGGAAACGTAGATTTCGACACGCGGAGGAACATTTGGTTTATGATGCCCACGGAGGAGTTGTTCGAGTGCGCGTCTAAGCCGCGTGCGCGCGGAGTGAGTTACGTGGACATTTGGTTGAGCGTTTTACCTGAATGCGTGGCGTGGGGCGTCGGCACCGCCTTCGGGGAAATCCCTCCGTATTGGGTTTCTTACTTTGCAGCCAAGGCTGGACGAGAAAATAAAGAGTTGAGTGACATCACGCACGTCGATGCGAGCGATATGGATCAGGTGCAGAAGAAAATTCACGGATTCAAGCTGTGGATGATTGCCTTCATGAAGCGGTACGGCTTTCTCGGTTTGCTCGCGATGTCTTCTTGGCCGAACGCGGCGTTTGATTTGTGCGGCGTGTGCTGTGGGAGTTTTATGATGCCATTTTGGTTGTTCATCACGGCAACGACGATGGGTAAAGGATTTGTGAAGTCTCCGGTTCAAGGTTTGGTCTTAACTTCGCTGTTTTACAAGAATAGTCGAGAGAAAATCATCGCCTTTTTCAGTGGGTGGCTTCCTGCGTCGTGGGAGGTTGACAGGACCATGAACGCGTCGATTAATTCCATGTTGCAGAAGGTTTTGGCCAGTGGACGCGCGGGAAAGAAGACAAGAAATACGTTAGCGCTTGCGGTATCGCCCTCAAAGCTTTGGGGTCATTTCGTCACCGCACTCGTCGCATACTTTCTTCTCTCGTGCCTAGAAGAAATCGCGCGAATGGAGCAAGCGCGCTTGGACGTCGGCAGGGTGAGAGCGGAGTTCCCCGGCGGTCGCGAGCACGAGGATTGAATTTTACGTAGTTTAGACTTTTAGCCAATAACACTATTACTATTTTTCCACTATTTGCTATCCCTCGCTCGCGCTACTTTCACCTTTTGCGGCGCCCCGACGTCCATGCGCATGTTGTCAAACGCAATGCACAGGAGTGGTTTACCTTTGAGAATATTCGTCACCGCTCCGTGCTCGTCCGATGGTTTCACCTTGATCGGCGCGCTCAATCGCACGTTAGCGTTCATGCGTAATGAATATTTCAGTAAATCAGGAATCGATTTCGTTCGACCGCTAAAGCTCGGAAGGAACATAGAGATTCGCGGTCCTTTAAGTTTTGGCTCGCTCGGGAGCGCTAACTCGCACACCTTTGTCTTTCCTTCGACTATGGATACCGCCCCCGTGGACGCGTCGCCTTTACCGCGTTTCGTCCCGTGCCACCATCTAGTTTTGTTCGTCCAGCCCCTTTGCTTTGACGACGCGTCCGTCTCTTCCCTGAACGCCGCCACGCGCGACGGCAATCCGCACGTGCGTATCCCGTGCGCGCGCGCCTCCGCGCTGTCGACGTACACTCGACTCGCCCACGCGCACGACGTGGGTGGATTCCACACGAGCCCTCCTAAGACGACGACTTCGTCTAATTTCCCGCACGGTGACTCGTCGTATCGCGCGACGTACAGTCCACCGAGCGTGTGTCCCGCGAACTCCACCAAGCGCAAGTCGCTCGGGACGTGCGCGCGCGCGTCCTCGGCGCGCACGAGCGCGAGCTGGTACAGCGCCTTGCCCGTGAACGTCCACGGCGCGGGATCTTTGTACCCCATGTCGACGTCAGTCGTCGCGTCGCGCGGTGCGGTCGACACGTCGCACGCATCGTCGTCGTCGTCGTCGTCGTCAATAAGTCAATCAATCAAATCAATCACCGCGCCGGCCAATCCAATCCAATCCACCGCGAAACGGGCGCGCGGGACGCGACGGCAGCGCGCGTTCGGGGTGCGTCCGAACCCTGTATTTATTATTCGAAAAAAAAGAATGGACGGTAAGTCACGCATACGAGGGTACTTGAACGCCATGAAAAAAATGTCGATTCGCGAAATCCGACGACCGGACGACCGCCGCGCGCGAGCGAAACGACGAAAAATCGCGCGCGCGTCGAGGGCGACATACGCGCGCGGGCGAGCCTCCCCGTCGACGCCGAGGGCGCCGAGAGAGGTGACACCGCGCGTGCGTATCTTTTATTTATTCGCACCGTTCGGCGTCGTCGCAGACGCGGGCGTCATCGAAGAACTCCCGCCCGGCGTCGCGCAGGGGGGCATCGCCGTCGAGACACGCGCGCGACGTGCGACGCGCGTCGACGCGTGCGATCGCGCGCGAGCGCGCGATCTCGCGCGGGATGAACGCGAGCGTGCAACCGCCTTATGGGGACGTGGATGGCGCGAACGCGTGGATGGGACCTGCGAATGCGAACGATGAAAAGTTGTGCGCCAAATTCTTTAGCATTCACGGGTGCGCATACGGCGCCGACTGTCACTTTCTGCACACCTACCGTCCGGGACTGCCCGTGCCTCCGAGACCGGCACCGCTACCGTACGTATACACCATGAGTGATGCCATGCGACCGCAAGTGAACGAAAAGATAAAGACGCGCTTGTGCAGAAATTTTGAGTCGCCGCAAGGCTGTCGTTTCGGCGACCGCTGCGTGTTTGCGCACGGGGAAGAGGAACTACGAACGGAAGAGGCAAACACGGCGTCTATGGGATCAACCTACATGCTTCAAACGTCGATCGAGCAGGCCGTGCTCGTGCCTGTGCCGCAGGTCCACGTCGGCGCCATAGTCGGAAAAGCGGGATCAGCCATCGCGCAGGTGAGCGCAACGTCTGGGGCAAAGGTTTCGATGCTTAGCGCAGAATACACAAATTCAGACGGAAATAGGCTCTGTCGCGTAATAGGTAGTCCACTCGACGTTCAAAGGGCGCAAGAGATGATTTATCAGCGCCTTACGTACGCGGAAAGGAAAAAGAGTGACGCTCCGAAGGATTCGAAGAAGAAGCCGTTCAAGACAAAGATTTGCGACTCCTGGGTGCGGAACGGCCAGTGTCCATTCGGAAGAAGATGCCATTATGCGCACGGGAATGAGGAGCTACAGCAACGACATTCTACGAATGAGAATTCGGAAAACGTTGTGATAGTGAGTTGAACAAACAATTTCGCCCAAAGGGAACGCGTTGTAATAAAGAATGAATTGTGGTATACTCGCGTCTTTTCGGCTACTACGCTTGGTTAAATTTCTATTCCGCTAAAACACGTCGTCCTCGTCTTCATCGTACTCCAAGTCTTTGGGCGCGGCGCTTTGTTCGCGATCCCAGTCCTTCATCTTTTTGCCCGCGTCGAGCATGAAGTCATTGTGCAAAAAGCTCGCCTTGCTCGTCGACTTCTCGTCGGCGTCATGTTTTGACTTCTTTTCCCCTCTCAACTCTTCCAAGAACTTAGCCTTAGATATCAATGCATCCTTTCTTCGCATTGTTTTTGCCTTCTCAGCGTCTTGCTGAGCCTTACCCACGGCTTTGAAGAGGCGCACGACGCCCTTCGTCGCCGTGTTGTGCAGGCGCCGCTCCAACATGTCGCTCTCCACATCTCTTCCGCGCGGCTGTGGTTTCACGTGTCCGCGCTGTTTCACCTCAAGTTTTGCGCGCTTAATCGCGCGCCGTTCTTTTTCTTCCGCCTTCGCTTCTAATTCGTCCGCGCGTTGCTTTCTCGACTTCGGCAACATTGCCGTCGTCTCGTCTTCGTCTTCGTCGTCCCCGACCAAAGATTGAAACGCTCGTGACATTCCGAGCATGGCGTTCGACACCGGTCTCGCCAACGCTTCGTCTTCTTCTTCTTCTGAATCATCATCGTCCTCGCCTTGTGATTCGTCCTCGTCTTCCGCCTCGTCCTCGTCCTCGTCCTGCACGAACTCGTCGTCGTCGAAACTCTCGCTCGATGATTCTTCTTCTTCTTCGTCGTCGTCATCCCGTGATCGTGATTCGCTCGTCGCGTCATCATCATCATCTGACGCGTCTTCGCGCTCTTTCATCGCCGCCGCGCGCGCGCGCGTCCCCCGCATCGCGAGCGCGCCGCGAGCGCGTCGCGGAGTGCGGTCGCGGCGGCGGCGGTGGCGCGCCGCGCGGACAGAGTAAAGAAAACCCAGACGCGCGCGCGCACTTTGTTACGTAAACGAATACTCGAATAGTCTATATAACACCGCAATGCGAGCGAAACACGACGCGCGAAAAAACCGCCCCGCGCGTCGCGTTCGCCCGCCGTTTTCGAAAAACAGTTTTTCGCCCGTTCGAGCGCGCGCGTCGTTCGAAGGCGCGCGTCGGCAGGACGCGACCATGACCTCGCTCGACGCCGAGGCCACGGATGCGGCGTTTCGCGAGTGTTACGAACTCGTGAAAGAGATGACGAACATCTACGCCAGCGACGAGGACGCGAAGAAAGTGCGCGCGATCGGGGCACATTTTGAAGACGCGCAAACGATTCGCGCGGGGCGCGAGGAACACATGATGGCGCAGGTGAAGGAGATGTCGCGAAGGGTGAAAGTTGCGGAAAGAAAAGCGGTATTACCAGCCGCCGCGCACGTCGCTCGAGAGCGGGCGCTGAAATTAGACGCCGAGAAGCGCGCCGCGGGGGAGTACCTCAACGCCATGGAGCGCGAGGCGCGAGCGCTGGAGATTGAACAAGAAGAGCTACAAAATCGACGAGGAGAGATTAAGTTGCACAAACAAAAGCTGGATACCATCATCAATGAAGAGATTCCCGCGACGAAGCGAGAGGTGAGCTTGTACGCGCACATATCCAACATCGCTTGGCACTACGAGGAACGCGACCGCGTCGTCGGACGCGTCAACGCGCGCTCGGCGCGAGACGTGCGGAAGATTGATATGCCGCTGCGACCTGGAAACGAGTTCCGCGTTGCCAACGCACTTTGGGAGATGATGGATTAATTGACGCGAACATCATTGCAGTAGCCGTGTAAGAAGAGATAGAAGTTTTAGAACTGCGAGCGCGCGCGTCGTGAGCGCGCGTTACACTGCGATGCGCGTGCGACGCGCGCGCGCGCGATGTCAACCTTAGCTGCGGTGCAGGCTGATGGGTTCTATTACCCTCCTGTACGTATCCTCGCGCGATTCCGCGCAAGAGAGACCGCGAAGCGCGTCAATCGACGCTCGATTCCAGCGCCGTCGTCTCGACACTGACCGCGGCGCGTCGTATTCACTCGCAGGATTGGACGCCCGAGGGTGGGGCGAAGAACAGCGCGTATAAGGGCTCAAATGGTTCGCTCGGCAAGCGCGCGAACAAACTGTCTCAGGGTGTGCTGACGATTCGTTTTGAGATGCCCTTCAACGTCAAGTGCGGGGCGTGCGGACACATGATTGCGAAGGGTGTGCGGTTCAACGCAGAGAAGAGGAAGATTGGGAAGTATCATTCGACGCCTATATGGAGCTTTACAATGCACTCGGCGTGTTGTTCGCAGGAGATCGAAGTTCAGACGGATCCTGCAAAGACGGAGTACAATGTGACCAAGGGCGCGGAGCGATGCGTGGGCTACGGCGGAGCGATGGACGACGAAGAGTCGCCTGAGGATGCGATGCAAATGCTGGAATATCAAAACGAAGAAGAACGCGCGAAGTTTTTAGCGAATCCTATAGCGGTATTAGAACGAGGCGTGGAGGACGAGAAACGAGCGAGAGCGAGAGCAAGGACAACTTTTGAGCTCAACGCGTTGAGCAAGGCGCGGTGGAAGGAAGACTACGACGTCAACAAATCTTTACGTCGAAGCATGCGAGGGCGGCGTAAAGAAGAGCACGCGTTGAGAGATCACGCCCGCGCGCTTGGTTTACCCGAGCACGTCAAGTTAGAACCCGAGCGAGACGAGGACAAGGAGTATGCCCGCAGAGTGTTCAACGCGTCGGTTTTCGAACGCAATCGGAAACAGAAAAGAAAGGATATTCTTTCGGAGTCCATTTTTGCGGATAAGCGAACGAGGCCGAAACCAGCTGCAAAACGCACGAGTTCGGCGTCTTCTAATCACTCAAGAGCGGCGAAATTAGCGAAGAGACGTTGAGAATTGTTGTTGTAAACTAAGTCTTGTACATATAATATATTTCACAGTCAACGGTGGTCGCCGGCGGCGTTATTAATATTAGTGTGCCGGTGATGTTTTGCGCAAAACAACACGAGTATAATAACTTACTTTTCTGCGCTATGTTTTTCTCTCACTGCGATCGCGATGTGCGCCGCACCACGACCCGGAGAGTGCACGACGTACGTCCCCTCCGGCGGCGCCATATCGCGATAAAGCTCTTTGAATTTCTCATCCTTCGGCGTCATGTCCACGATCGATCTGAGGTACGCCTCCCTCCTCGCCTCTGTCCTTTGCTGTGACTTTAGCCATATCACCACCAAGCCAAAGCACGTGATCAACAGCGCGAAAACACCCCACAACATCCCGATTGCTGGTTCGTAGCGCGCTCCGGCGCCGGCCTGCGTTCTTCGCCACGCCTCGTCGCATCCTTCGACGTAACATCCGCATCCGTCGCACGTGCACGGCCACTTAGAGCACGGACACCACGACATAGTCTGTTCCCAAGTGGCACTGGTATTGATAGAGTGATAACTCGCGTTGGATGACGACGCCGATGGCGTCCCCGTCAGCAGCCACGATTGACACCTCGCGTTCAGCGTCATGTCTTCGTCGTACACGCCATTGTCGCCGTTTACGACGTTTGGATCGTTTGTGGTCATGATTTTGTGCTCGTCGCACGCGCGCCCCGCGCTCGACACTGCGGTCGACGCGCGCGCGGGGCAACCGCCTCGCGAATATTCGAAGTCGTAACCACCCGACTGCCCGAGATATTTTTAATCGACGGGTTTAGGGTTTAGCGTTGGGGTTTGGATGTCAGATTTTGTGTGTGATGTTATGTTTTCTACGCGCCTTGAAGGCGACCGAGACCGCGTAAGATCTCATCCGAGGCTTGCGAACCGCACGGTATCACCCCAGCGCGAGTGATTGTAGCCCACACCTGACCGGCGATGGCCTCGTCGATGATCAAATTGACGCCGGAGACGTCGAACTCGCGCGTGTGCGCGGCGACGACGGGACGGTTTTCGAGACCAAAGACGCGATGGGCACCCACGGCGTCGGTTAAGACCTCCACGAGACCGGTCTTGCTGAGGACATCTGCGCACTGTGGGCCGACGACGGTGAGCAACGCACACTGGTCGTTTAATTCCATGAAATTTTGCTCGGGCGAGGACTCGAGGACGTTGGCGACGGCGTCGATGGACGACGGTGGGACGACAATCAAGAAACCTTCGCTCTGGCAATACACCTGTGCGGTGTCATTCGTCGAAGCGACTTTGATTTCAAACCCACTTCCCGCCGGCGTGAGCGCTAAGCCGTCGTGATTCGCCGCGATGGCAGTGAGCGCGCGCGGCGCACCCGGCCCGCTCGAGCGAATGAGTCCCCAGTCGCTCCTGTCGATGACACCCACGGCGGTTTTAATCGCCTCCAATTCCTCCTCTCGCGCCCCGAAGTTTAACACGAAACCATCGTCGTCGACCACTGCGCCGGACTCGCGCTGTAAGCTCTCTAAATCGCCGTCAATGTCCGGCGGCAGAAGGGCGTCCAAATCAATGTCTCCACCGCTCACGAAAGTTTTCGCGTGTCTCCGAGGGTTTGAAGATCGTTTGCGATGACTCACGCGCACTTTTGCGTACGACACGCAGGCGAACGATCCGCTGCGCGCGCGTGCGAGGGTAAAAGACATCGCTTGCGGTGTTGAGGAGGCGACTAATGCGGACGCTGGACGCCCTCGCGTCGTCGTCGAGTGTGAACCTCTATGCGTTCGTTTACGTGCGGTGTATTACACCGGTGTATTACATGATATGACAAGTACATTGAGCCTATCAACTTATTCAATCCAAAGGCTCGGAATACGGGGAGATTTTCTGCTGCTGCTGCCGCTGCCGCTGCGCTGTTTTTCATCGCGCTTTTGCGCTGGAAACTTAGAGGATGGTTTCAAACTCAATGAACTCGACCGTTTCATCGCCCAAGACTTCGGCATCGTGGCCTGGCTCGCACACATAACACATTCCCGGTGCAACGATCGTGGTTTTGCCCGTCTTGGCGTCAATCATGGCGAACTTGCCCTTAGTTATGTAACCCACGTGCCGCGCAGGGCAAGCCTCGAGAGTTTGCTTTTCGGGCGGCAAAAGCGTGCGAGCGCCGGTTTTCCAAGTCCAACCCGGCTGGAGCGTCGCTCGCATAGATTTTGCCTGGTTGTTGCCGAGCATGCACACGCACGCCTCGCCGTTGGGCATTGTCTTGGATACGCTCGGCGCGGCGAACGACGCCTTGTCGAGCTGCTTCACTTCCACCTCGGACGAAGCCACTTCCGCAGCGTACGTCGATCCACCACCCGCGGCGTCGGTATTGATCTTGCTCACGAATTCATAGCCGACGAAATTCACGCCTTGCTTGTTCTTCGCGTTGTGCCCGGGTTCAATCAAGTAGACGTCGCCGGCGGCGTATCTCATCTTTGCGCCGTCTTTCGTCGTGACATTAATCTGGCCTTGTTCGACGATTCCAACGTGACGCACCGGGCAGTACTTCTTCCCCTGCGCCTCGCCCACATCGCGCGCCCATTCCCATCCCGGTTCCACGGTAACTCGCATCCCGAGCGCCGTCTTTAGATCAAATTTCTCAATCTTCGCCTTGGGCAGAACAACCACCTCGGTCGGATCGTCGAATTTGCATCGCGTCACGAGCGGGTTCTCGTCGACGAGCTGTTTGGAGGCGTTGCCACCCATCGCGCGCGCGCGAGAAGATTGATCGAGTTCGGGTCGCGCGCGGTGCGCCGAGGTCGCGCGTCGCGCGGCAGTGTGCGGCGAACGCGAATCGGCTCGCGTCGCTCTACGCCACGCTGGCTCCAGCGCCCGCGAAGGGACCCACGACGACGAAGTCGGCGATGGACGCTACGAGAGTACCGCACGAGGACACAAGTTTATGTAATGATACAAAATGATACAAAGTTCAATTACACTATACAGCGCGCGCGAGCGCGCGGGGAAGAGGGTGGGACATTCTCAAAGTGGGACCGCCGAAGCGACGTCGGCGACGAGCTCCGCGAGTTTTCCGACGGCCAGCGGGCTGTCGACGCCTGAGCCGCTCACCACGGAGATATCCTCGTACACTTTAGAAAGTGCGATGGCGACGGCGGATAGACTGAGCGCGCTGAGCGTGAGACGACCGCCGGGAAGCAGTGTGTTTGTCTTGAAGCGCAACGCGAGCGGCGCGAATGGGTCGGCTCGCCGAGACTCTCTCCTCTCTTGTCGCATCGTATACGCCATGATTGGCGGCATAACACCGTAAAGTGTCGTCATTCCGTACGCACCGACAAAGTTGGTGACGGGAAGAAAAATGTTTGGACATTGTTCCGCGACGAAGAGGGGGACGGAGAGGAAGGCGGCGAACGTGAGCACGCGCGAGACGCTCGGCAAGCCAGATGGTTTCTCGTCTTCGTACGTGTTCATCGCCTCGTACAAAGCGCGCGTCAATCTAGCCTCTTCTTCCGGTTCGTCGAGACCGCTTAACGCGTTCTCCATGAATGGCATCAAATACTCGGACATACCGAGAGAGACGCCGATGAAGGACGTGCCGATGGCGCTGACGCCGAAGAGGCTCAAAAGCACGCTTGCGGAGCCACCGAGATCTTCGGATATGATGCTCAGAGGATCCGCCGTGATATCACCTCCAGCCATAGCCAAAGCGACGGTATTCCACAGCAAAAACATGGCGAGCGGGATCGATGAACCGATTAAAATAGCTCGCCGAATTTGCTTCATGTCGCCTTGCAAAAACGCGCACATGACGGGTATCAAGTCGTGATACACGAGCGTGAGGAAAATGATTGGAATCGTCGACGGGACGGCATCGGTCGAGCCCATCCAATTCGCATGGCTCCAATCCGCGTAAAACGCTCCGCTTCCCACGAACGCGGCGAACGCGATGAGGGAACCGTACGTCAACATTTGGTTCAGCTTGTCGGCCACCTTAGATCCCCCCAAGCAAATCGTACCCCCTAAACCGGCGGTGAACATCACTGCGGCGAGCGATGGGCCGATTTCGAGCGCGCCATCTAAAATCTCCGCGCCCTTGCTTATGTACGCTACGAGCACGGTGAGCGACATGAATGAGTACAGCGCCGACGCGAAAACTTTGCCTTCGGTGCCGAGCGTCCGCTCCGCCATGTCGCTCAAAGAAATCACCACCGGCGAGTGCCCTCGTCCGTGCGTCAACCGATCTTCGTCTCGCTCTCGCATAATCCCCACATTCACCTCGGCCAACAGCAAGGCGTCGCACACGAGTAAGATCCACACCCCTATCAACGCCCCGCTCGCCGGCAAGATGCCGGCTTCCGCCGTCGCCGCCGGAAGCGCCAGCACCCCCGCCCCCACGGTACTTCCCACGATGAGCGCCACGACGCCCGCGAGCGATCCGGTGTGCGTTTCTTCGTCCCTCTCTTCATCCACGGCGCGCTCTTCTTCATCGAACGACGATATCGGAATCGTCGCGCGCGTCGCCGCGAGCTCTGGCTCCGTCGCGTCGCTAATCGCGTTCGTCGTCGTCGTCGTCGTCCGTCTTCCCCCTCGCGCGCGTCGGCGCGCCCTGCCCGCCGTCGACGCGTCGTTGACGTTCACTCCACCGCCCCCGCGTGTCATCTCTAATCGCGCGCGTCCGTCGCGCGCGCGTCGCCCTCCCGTCGCCGCGTGCCGAGCCGTTGACGCTGTCGTCGTCGTCGTCGCCATCGCGCGCGTCGCTCGCGCGCGCGTCGATACCGTCGTCGCGCGCGTCGTCGCGCGCGTCGGTACCGTCGTCATCGTCGGTCCTCGCCCTCGCTCGTCGAACGGCGCGCGCGGACGCGAGTGCGGCCGGACGCCGGACGCGCGCGCCGGTCCGTCGGCGCGTCGGTCCATCCGTCGACGCGACGCGACGCGAGGCGACGCGACGCTTCGGGATCCGGGGCGGCGGTTCGCGTGGGTGCGTTCGCTGTGTAGACATGCGTGTATTGTATCGTATATTAATAGATTTTATGACCATTCGGTTGGTCACGATCCGCGCGACCGCGTGCGTTGGCACGTGTTCGGATAACAGATCTGGCGCGTGGACACAGCGCGGCGCGAACGAACGCCGAGGCCGGACGAGCGAGGCCGGACGGGCGAGCGCGCGGACAAATGCGCGCGATCCAGCCCGCGCTCCGGGACGCGCCGCGGACGACGCGCGGCGCGCGCGCGACGACGACGTCGACGTCGAGCGCGCGGCGAAAGATGGCGTCCGCGGCGCGACGGGGACGCGCGGTGAAGGCGCATCACGGCGGCGCGGGAGGGGATCACGGAAGCATGGATAACGATAACGGATCGAGCGCGCCGCACGCGTGGAACTCGCAGCAAGTCGTGGAATCGCTCGCGAAGACGTTCCTCGGCGGATCGACGGCGGGCGCGGCGTCGAGGAGAGACATATCCACGCGAGCGTGGCTGTGCGATCTCTCGGACGAGGCGACGACGGACGAAGAGTGCGCGACGTCGCGGAGAACGATCATCAAGGCGAGGGAGATGGAGGTGAAGAATGGCGTGTTGCGATCGAGTCCTCGACCGTCGGGCGCGGCGTTTTTGAAGGAATTGGAGCTGTACGCGACGCTGCGGAGACACGAATCCGCCGTCGTCGTCGCGAAATTGAAGCGACCGACGATTCTCACGGACGAAACGAGCGGTGAGAGCGTGGCGTTCGTTGACGCGGAAGATTTAGCGATGGATGACGACGAACGCAACGAAAACGACGCGTTACTGTCGAATTATTGCCTCACGTGCCCGCTGCGAAGCGGCGACGAAGAGCCGTCGATGTGTGGATTCGAGTGCGCGATTCGTTCGCGTATCGAGGCGCGTTCGAAGGCGCCGCTCACGACGTACCGCGCCGCCGTGTTTTCGACGAAGGCGGGCGATTTGGAGGAATTCCTCATCACTAGTACGAGTTCTGGTTCGCACACGACGCGGCGAGCGCAGTTTAGCAACGCTTTGCGCGAAAAACTGGGAATCAATCACCGGTCGCTCGTTTAGGGCTAATTCGTGCTTTTTCATCGCAACAACGCTAGCTAATGTATCATAGGTGTCTAGAGATTCTTTGTAATTTTTTGTAGATTTTTCGCGCGCGTTCCGCGCACGTCACGACAGCGCGATCTCGAGCGCGCCGCTGGCGCTGGCGCACGCGCCCGCAAGGCTCGTCTCGAGCTTAACCAAGACGCGGTCGATGGCTGACGTCACTTCCTTCGTTTGAACGCCATCGCGCTTTGCCTGCGCGCGGTAGTACAATTGCTCGCGCAAGATGGCTAAACGACTCTCGAAATCGGCGGCGAATACCGGATGCACGGTCGTCAATCGCAGCGCGAGAGACGCCGCGCGTTCGTACATCTTGGCGCGCGTTAACGCGGCGATCATGTGCGGTAGAAGCACGTCCCGTCCGCGCACGTGCTCGAACGACAAGTCAACAAATGTCTTAAAGACGTCTTCCGAAGCCGCACAGGTATTCGGAATTTGTTCTGCGTGTACCGCGAGCGCCACCGCTTCGGCGTCCCAAGTCGTCGGAGAGCCGTGAAACGGTTCGCCGAGGAGAAAAGACAACTTGGCGACGAGTAAATCATCGTAATCGGAAGATTGCTTCGCTTCATCCAAAAGCTGCATAAGATCTTCGTTCGATAACCACCGCTTTGTCGTCGATGCACCGCTACTGAAAATTTGAGCGGCGACGATGTCGATGGATTCGCCGCATTCATCGCCTCGCAAACCTCGCTTCAAGAGAGTCATCCAACATGGCTTCAAAGTTATCCTCGTTCTCTTCGGTGGCTCTTCCCAGAGCGTTAAAACTTCTACGAGCACGGAAAAAGGAACCTTTACGTCGCCGTGCGCGAGTTCATTCGAGAAATACGCGCACATTTTGGGGACGTCTTGAATAGATTCTTCCGTCGGCGACTCGAGTCCGAAGGGGGCGAGAAGCGCTCCCGTGCGCATACGCAGGACGTTCACGATACCTCGACCTTGATGAGACGCGCGCCAACCAGGCCAAAGTGTGCAAGTTTCACTCGCGAGGTCGGATAAAATTTCCAGGATTTTTCCTCGCATTACGGGCGTCGCCACGGCGACGAAACCTTCGAGCTTTGTGAAGGCGCTCAATCTCGCCTCGGCGAGTTTCTCATCCTTGGGAGAACCTCCCCCGAGAGTTTGCCGGACAATGTTGAAAAGCTCCGATGCTTCATCGGAAACATTTATAAACGCGTCGCTTAAAGCGCTCGAGACGGCTAAGAGGACGTCTACGCGCCGTTCAGGGGAATCGGACTCAAGCGTCGCCGCAAGCGTGGAGAGCTGCCCAAACGTCGCCGAGTTCTGAACCCAAGATTTAGCGACTTCTTGTAAACTCTCTCGATCGCTTAAAGATTCTTCAAGCAGTCTCAAAAGTGTCGAATTAAGTCCAGGAATGTCGTCCATCACTCGAATCACGAGGCGTAGGTCATCCCTCGCCGCGCGCACGCCGCTGAGATTTTCGGCGTCGCCGACGACGCTCAAGACTTCTTCCACCGCTTTCAAGCGAGTCCGGGACGAGATTTCAGCGCTGAATGTGTTCAGTTCTTTGTGGACCGATGATGGAGGCCTCTGTATCTTCGTTGTGGACACGCCGCCACCAATTAAGGCGTTTAATATGGTGACAAGATGCTTTTCACCAAGATGATCGAGTCCCACGGACTTTAGAGCGTCCCATCTGTGATCGGGGCTCGGTCTCGTCGCTCCCGGCGGCGGCGCCAGGAGTGAACGAGCGACGGTGAAGAACACGTCCTCTGGAACGGTGAGGTTTGAAATTTCACTCGGAAACTTTTGAACGGCGGCGATGATGCGTTCAACTGTTTCGAGTGGGAATCCACTTTGACCATTCGCGACAACGGCGCGCTGAATTGCGTTCAACATCGCGTCCGCAGCATCTGGCGGCGCATCTCCTTTACCGTCAACGAACGCGTGCAAATCAATATTCACGCACGAAGCGGAAAGACTCTTCAACGCATCTGAAATCTCGCACAACTTTTTCGCCGTGCCATCCTCGCAAGCGCTCATGACTTCGAAATATGCTAGCGCCGATTCTAGCGCGCCTTTTCCGCTCCTCGGCAACGTCTCCCAAACAGATGTTTGGAGCGTCTCCACGCTCTTCTTCGGATGTGCGGGCAGCTTCTCTTTTAAAAGAGAAGTGACTCGACGCACCTCTTCGGCGTTGTCACTCGCTAAAAGTGCGGCATGGGCGGTGTAGACGTCGGACGAATCAACGCCGTACACATCCGCGAGTCTCAAGGCGTTGTCGAGCGCCTCAGCACCGGATAGCGCACCGGAACTCCCAGCCGCGAGCGCCATGATGGCTCGCTTGCGATAATCCGCGCCATCTGCAGCAAATGCGCCGGCATCGATCTCTGGAATCATTTTCGACAACCACTCGGCGTCGACGACCGAGCCCACGCTTGATCTGAACTGCTTCACGAACCCGACGTCAACCATAATTTCGTCACCGGGAGACTGAATTTTCCCAACCAAATCAACGAGCGAAGAAACCGTGACGGGTTTCGGCAAATTAATTGAATCCCACGTCAGACGAAGAGCTCGGAGCGCGTGCACGCACGTTCCGAAGTGAAGAATCGTCTGGAGTGTCGCGCGGTCGTGAATACGGCTCGCGACTTCGTCGACGACGGAGGAAACCTTCACCGCATCTCGCATCGTCAGTAAAACCCCCATAGCGGACCACATCATCGGTGGTGGAGTTTCAGAGCCAAAATCTCTCGCTCGACAACTCTTTAAAGCTAATTCTATGGAGTTCTGCGCGACATTCGCCAAAACATCGTCCGATACGTTCGTCGCGTGAACGCCGAGTGCGTACGTGACGGCACTTGCAGCTTCTTTCGCCTTCTCGTCGGATGAGCTGAAAATCAATTCTAAAGCTCGACCAAAGTGTGAATGACGCGCGAGAGTCTTTACTCCTGGCCGAACGCCCGTTCCAATCCAACTATCCCCGCAGGCTTTCGATAGGGATCTCTCGACATCGTCGTCGCTTGCATCGCCCGCGTGCGCGTCGGCGAACGCGTGCAGTATCTGATGCGTTTGCGTCGCTTGCCAATCGCCCAGGAGCGTTGCGAGAACAGCTTGATCAGCATGCACCAGCGCAAATGCTAGTAAAGACCCTTTCGCGACCCTTTTGGTGTCATCCATTGGCATGGCCCGCGCAACGTCGACGCACAGTTTCCAAGCGGGCCCGTAGTTGCGCTTGCAGAGGCGTGATGCCGTCGCGTAAGCGGCTTCTACGTCGCCAACGTCAAGGGCTTTGACTCCAGTCGCGAGGATTATAGACATGCGTGCTTCGTCGTCGCTTACACCAAGATTGGCGGCGATTTCTTGTAAAAAGTCGGGCGCGCGACATCCGGCGTCGTCCTTCTTCGCGCACTCCAGCACCATCTCGAGAGCACTTTCAGCGTTTATCGCGCTCGGTGCGCGGCGAACTTCGTACTTCGAAAGCACACGCAGCGCAGCGATGAAATTGAGCCTCTTTGTCGTTGTGTCTCGAGTTGGCATCAAACGAAGACAGTTTTCGGCTGCGAGCGACGCCTCGTCGTCAACGTGTTCGGCCCGCGCGAGGAATTCTTCAGCGACCGAGCAAACGATATCTTCCGCAATGGATGGCGAGATAACGGCAGACACGCCGCCTCCAAGCTCTTTTAATCCACCGACAAGGGCACCGACGGCTCCCGCAGGGCCATTCGCGGGAACGTGTCGCTTTGCGTGCGTCCAATCCTTTGCGCGCAGTTGTGCGCGCAGCAGTTCACCGAGGACTTGATCGTGTGAAAGCGAGCGACGGAACACACTCGACTGTAATCCGTGTAGATCTGACCACAGACTCGACCACTGCAAAGAAGAGTTTTTGGCGACGACGTTTGCGACGAATGTACGCACGAAACTAATAGCCTTGGATTCATCACGCTCAGCGCTGACGATGTCATTCAGCGAAACGCTCACGTCGTTTTGTTGCATCAATTTGCACGCGTTCAGACGCGAGATAGCTTTTTTCGCAACTGGTACTTCAGCGACGAGCGAAGGAAGATCACTGAGCATATCAGCCAACTCTGCTATCAACTTTTCGTCGCCATCGTCGTGCGATAGCGAAGCTTCGACAACGACGGAGGCAAGCGCATCGGGACCACCGACCAATTCGATCGATTCTACCGACGAAGAGAGCCAGCGAATGATGCGAGATACTAGCCCAAGATTTCGGTCCTCAGATGTTCGTAAAATCCAACGTTGAATCATCTCTCGCGCGAGAACCACACCGTCTTCTGACGCACCGCCAACGTGCGCGAGGATTTCGCTGACAGGACCGGACATGAGCCGAGACATATTCTTTTCACTCAACATCGATAGAATCGTGCATAATCGTCCATATGGGTCGCTCACAAGAAATTCCTCAAGGCTAACGTCACAAATTCGGCGATCGTCTGCGTCAAAAAGTATGAATGCCGTCGATGCGAGTGTCGATGCGGCGCACGCGTAGTCGACGAGCGTGCTCGTAGCCAAAGATCTCGAGGCGGAATCCAAAAGTTGATGCGCACTACTGAGAGATCCAGCGAACGCGTCCATCTCACACGACCTGCGTATTGTCCATGTTTCCATTTCTTCGTTAGAATGTATCGTCATCGAATCGTTCGGTGATCGTGCGAGTTTACACAGCTCCTCCGTAGCCGACTTTAACCACTCCCTCGTAGCGAGGCTATCAAATATTTCACTAACCGACGGCGAAACATCGGCCGCACGGGCTAAATCGTAATCTCCCGCCTCGCATTGATTGATTTCCTTCAGATACGCTTCTGACTCTGACCAATCTCTCGTGCGACGTCCCGAAAGTTGCGCAGCTCCGCTGCTGATGACGTATTCTTCAGACCAGGGCAAAAGCTTATCATACGTCGCTACCTGAGACGTTTCGGGCAATGCAGAAAGACTGTCGAAAATCACGTCACGAACCCCGCATGCGTGTCGCTTGAAGATGATCTCTAAAGATTTCACATCGCTCGCATATGCCGCAGTCAACGCCGCTTGAGCAATCGTCGATCGCAAAAGTTTTGAGTAGACTTGAGAGGAAAATCCCCCGCCGGTGATCTCGTGCACTGTATCGGCGCGATCGAGCGCACCGAGCAAGGCCAATCGAAGCTTAATCCACCAGTTCCACTCTGGATCCAACCCGCCATTTTTAGACGTTCGTCTCGCTTGCGCATCCGATTCCTTCAATCCGTACACCAACACGTGCCGCTGAATCTCGTACGAATCGGCGCATGCGATGAGGCAGTGAACGCCCACCCACGCGCGATCTGATACGCGTGATAACCAGTCGGTCAAGCCTTCTATCGTAATGCGCGAACGCTTCCAACGAGTCTTGTAAATCTCGTCCGTGTCGAGCCCGTGTTGGCGAGCCAAGGTTAGGGCGACGCCCCACTCCTCGACATCCATGTGCGAATGCAACATTTCGAGCGGCGTTCGTTCGTTGATTGAGATGAGTCGCCATCCACCTTCAAGAGGACGTTCGAGTAGCAACAAACGACCACGCTCATTTTCAGCCACAACATTCGGCACGGACACTAAATCTTCGATCGAATCAAATGTTTCAGGTTTGTCTCCCAAAACGTTCTCGTCTTCGGGAACCGTCTTTACGGTGAGATTTCCCGCTCGAGTCGCCACTGCAAGCGCGTCAAAAGACCACCATGCTGCGGCGCACACGTCATCTCGAGTATTGATACGCTTTACCAATTCTTCGCCGTCTTTAGAGACGCAGAAAACGCTCAACGATCCGATAGACGACCACACGGCGACGCTGAAAGCACCATCCTCCGAACGCAGCGCCACGCGCAAGCGGCGCGGAGTACGAAACATGCTTCGCCGAGGTGCGACGTCCCCGCCACAATCTATCACTCGCATGCACCTGAAATTTGGGAAGTCATCGGCATCATCGTACGTCCACATCGTGATCACCGTCCCCACTGATGTCTTACCGCGGCCGAGAACCACGAGCTCGCGTTCACGCTCCACCCACTCGGCGCCGTCCGCGTGACGTAACTTTTTACCCAGCGTCACCGAGTCCACCACTTGGTCGTCCAATTCATCACCCAAATCGTCGTCCAGCCGCACGCGCTCGCGGTACACCGTGGGCGTGCCCTTGAGATTGACTCGCAACAAATCGTACGTCTTCTTCTTCTTCGCGAGCGCCAATCCCATCCCCGCCAGCGGTACTGCGCCGTCAAACGTAGATCGCCATACCACTTCGCCGATTCTCGTCATCACGCTTGCCGTGGCCGTCGACGTGGATGTGGATGACCTCGTCTCGCTCAACGCGCGCGCGAACGCCGCGCCGTCTTCGCTCCAGCGCGTCGTCGCGTCCTCGTCTTCGTCCTCGTCCATCCCTCCCCTCGCGTGCGCCCAATCGTCGCTCGACCGAAAGACGCGCACGGTTACTTTTCCGCGTCTGCGACGCGCGATCGCGATCGCGTCCCCCGAGGGCGTCGTCGACAACGACGTCTCCGAGCGACGACCGCTCGTCGAACGTCCATCGTCATCTCCGTCGTCGCCGTCTCCATCGTCATCGTCCCGCGGCGTCGACGACGCGTGCGCGTACGCGTCGTACAAACACCGTCGCATGCCCTCGCGCGACGCCTCGACGCCGGGCCGCGAGCTCGACGTCGTCGTGTGACGTTCCGAGGTTCGACAGAACGAACGAACGAACGAACGAACGAACGACTCGACTCGGCAGAACCCGAGGCGTCACTCATGAAGCATCGCTCGTGTGGCGCGAGCGGCGGCGGCGATGGACGTCGCGGAGGTGGGTTTTCCTTGCGCGTCGTCGGCGATTTCTTCGCCGCGCTGGTGTCGCAAATCGCGGCGAGTCTGGGACTTCTCACGCCGGTGCCGGCGTACGCGTTGAGCGAAACACAGAAGCGAGGATTAAACGCACTGGCGATGCGCGCGCACGAGGCGTACGACGGGAACAAAGTCGAGCACACGGATGCGTTGAAAAAGTTGTGGTCGCTCGCGTTCGGGTCAAAGGCGCCGCCTAAAGATTTAAAGAGCGAGAGTTGGAAGGAGATGGGGTGGCAAGGATGCTCGCCGACGACTGATTTTCGCGCTGGCGGGTTTTTGTCTCTCTCGAATTTGATTTGGTTGGGAGAAAACAAACCGGAGACGTTCGATAAGCTGCGGCATAAAAAGAACGGCGAACGAAGCGAGTTTGAGTACCCATTCGCCGTCGCGGGAGTAAATCTGACATTTAGTTTAGTAGAGATGTGCGAACTCAAAGAAGAAGCCCCGACGACGTCAACGGGAATATGCTTCGCCGAGTTGATCGAAGCGCACGGCGACGAGGCCTTTGAGCGCTTGTATGCGCTGATGTTTGAAACGCTCGACGACGAATGGTTGCGTTTCGGCGGCGCGACGTACATGGAATTCCCGCTCGTGTTGAAAGCGACGAAGCAAAAGATCGTGCGCGCGATGGATGGCGCCAAGTCGTTCGAACACGTCGTTGCTCGCTTAGGTACGTGATGCGATGTGTTTGAGTTTGTAATATTTATGCATCTCACTTACGCGGCTTCGATGGCGGCGAGAATTTGGTCGACGTGTGCAGTCGTCTTCACCGACGCCATCGACGAATCGCGCTCGAGCCAGTGGTTGACGATCGTGCCGTCATTCTTGATCAAGAACGTTTGGCGATCGCTGAATCGACCGAAAATGGGAATCTTCAAATCCGCTCCGTACGCCTCGCTGACTCGGCCGTCGTTATCGCTCAACAGGGTGAACGATTTGAGCCCCTTGGAATCGCAAAACTCTTCGTGCTTCTCGAGAGAGTCCATGGAGACACCCAGTACGCGCGCCTTCTTGGCGGTGAATTGCGGGATCGCGCTTTCAAAGCGCTGCGCTTCGATGCTACAACCAGGCGAGCCATCTTGGTTGTAAAAGTATAGGACGACGTAGTCGTTAGCCTTCAATGCGTCCGAAAGCGTCACAGAGTCGCCAGCAGTGCCCGGCAGCGTAAACTCCGGCGCCTTTGAGCCGACATCCACCGCTGCGAGCGCGTTTTGAGCGCCTCCGAGCGTTGTCGACGCGGCGAACGCGCTCGCCAACAGCATCGATCGTCGATCGAGTTCCACGTCGACTTCGTTACGGTGCACGGCGCTCGCGCGCACGCGACGGGCGTCAGCGCGCTTCGTGTTCGCCGGCATCCGCGTCATCGCCATCGTCACCGTCGCCGTCTTCGTCATCGCCGCGTGCATCGCGCTGTCGGTTCGCGAGCTCGTCGCGCGCTGCACTGCGGTGTCGGCAGTGACGCGCTCGCGATGACGAACGCGAACGCGAACGCGAACGCGGTTCGCGTGACTCGCGCGCTCGTTCGGGGCGATCGTGATGATTGGAATGCTCGATCGAGAGCTGGTTGGAATGCTCGATCGAGAGCGCGCGCGTCGGCGTCGGCGTCCGCGTCGGGCTCGCCGGAAACGCGCCTCGCGAGTTGGTTGCGCAACCGATTCGCTTTCGACGCGCTCGCGTTAACGCTCGAGCGACCGCCTGGGGACGATGGCTACGGGGTGCGTGCGACGTGTGTGTGCGATGATGGCATCGCGCGAGGCGACGTGATCGTGGCGATTCCTCGCGACGCCATGCTCGACGCGCGCTCGGCGCTTGGAGACGCGGCGTTCGAGCGAGCTCGAGCGCGCGGTTTGAGTTCGTTTCAACTCTTGACGGTGTCGCTGTTGCGCGAGTGGCGGTTGAAAGACACCACATCGAGATGGAAGCCTTATTTAGACACGCTTCCCGAGGATGACGGTCGGTGGCATCCTTTACTTTGGCGCGACGAAGACGTCGAACAGCATCTGCCGGCGAATTCGACGCACGCCGGCGCGCGCTTGAGAGGTCTCATACGCGCGTGCGAAGAAGACACACGCCTTTTTCGCTCGATTGTCGATGAATTGAACATCGACGATGAGAACTGGCCTTCGATGCGACACGTTAGATGGGCGGTCTCGATAGTCATCTCCCGAGCGTTTCGACTGAACGAGCTCGACGACGAAGAATGTTTGCGCGAAGTGCGCGATGATGCGCTGTTAGAAACCCTGAATGATTTAGACGCAGACTGTTGGGAAGGCAGTGGAGGTGATAGCGGTGAAGATGACGAATTTTCAGTCATGGCACTCGTTCCTTGGGCCGACGGCTTGAACCACTCTTCGGATGCGGGCGATGAAGCGATTTTGACTTACGACACGCTATCGCAAACAGCGACGCTTCGAGCGCATAAAGCGTACGCGTGCGGCGAACAAGTTTTTGATTCATACGGGTCGAATTTGAGCGACGAAGATTTATTCGTAAATTATGGCTTCGTCGACGTTCAAAGTTCGCGGACAAACTTTGTTGAATTCAGCGGGGAAGACTTCCTTCGTGCGGCGAGCGAAATCGGATTTCAAATGCACGCGAAAGCGGAGGATGATGATATCAGCTTCATCGACCCTAAGGCTGCATTATTACGAGTCGACAGTGTCGTCGGTGTCGGAGAGAACGCCATGTTTTTCGGTGAATGCTTCTTGGAATACAACGAGCAGGACGTCAAAAACGTCGTGCTCCGAACGTTTTCGCACCTGCTCGACTCGGCGTCCACTCGAGCGTGCGACGACCTGGTAGTCAAGGCGCGCGAAACACTCGGAAATCTTCGCGAAGGCGATACTCTGGTCGGATTCAAGGCTGCTGCGTACGTCCTTTGTAGGGAACAAGAAGCCATCGAAGCGGCGCGTAGTGCGGTTGCTCGTCAGCTGAGCATGTGTGACAATTCTAATTAAACGCTAGCACTAATTCTGAGACAAGAAACACCGTTCAAGCGCTCGTTTCTTTCTTTTTTGTCGGCGGCTCCCAGCCCGGGATTACGAACGGTGGACCAATTTTTGACCGGCAGTCGCACGCGCCCCCCGCGACACCGCACCCGCATTCAGCGCGCGCATCTCTCGTTCCATTTCTATCCTCTTCCGTTTTAAACTCCGTTACGACGACCACGACGGGCTCTGCGCCTTCATTCGCGTCGGCGTGCAAATTATCCGGCGGGTCGGCGTCGTACCAGTACGCCTTTCCAGTCTCAAACACCAAATCCTTGCGCGAGCCATCTTCATCGATGCGTTTAAGCACGCCGCCCTGAAGCGCGACGATCGTTCGCGCCCGATCGTGTCGATGCATCTTCAACGGTACGTTCGGAAGCACCGTCGTCTTCCAACAAATGGCAAACTCATTCTCAAACATAAACTCGCGCGACATGTCGGCTTCGGTGGCGGCAGTGAGTGAGGCAGCGCGAGCGTGCGAGCGCGCCGAGACATTTTCCGTTACAACCGACACTCAAGGTACGGCGGCGGCGACGTGGGTGAGTCGATTTGCATTCCTACTTCAAATCTGGGTCGTTATCTATGGCTTCTTGCGTCGTTCCGTCGCAAAGCAGGAGTTGCGAGAGAAGATGTCGCGCCGCGTCGCGCTGACCCGCTCGATTCGCCGCGCACGCCGCGTTATAGACAACTTCGAATCGTTCTTCGCACGTTCCTGGATCATTCTTATCACCGAGCTTGAGCGCCTTGTCGTAAGCTTTCCAAGCCGTGTCAGAGGCTTCATCAGCTCTGGCGTGATCGCCGCTTCGACGAAACAAAGCCGCGAGCGCCATGTGTGCTTCTCCGCGGCCGATGGTGCTGTTCAACTCAGTGCTGTTCAATTTCAGCGCGACGTCGTACGCTTCGCAAATCGCAAGACGTAAACTGTCGACGGCGGGCGCTGCATCATCAAACCGGGACAAAATTTCTGCCTTCGTTTGGTATGCGTCGCCGAGCGCGTTTAGTGCGCCGACGTCGCCGATTGCAAATTGCCCCGCAGCGCGCAATTTTTCAACCGCAGCGTCAGCGATTCTGACTGCGTCTTCCGACGCATCTAAACTTTGTGCCAAGAACAGCGCGTAGCTCGTCAAGCTGCAACCCCAATCGTACAGTAGTCCGCTCAAGTCGTCGCCCCGATTTGCGTCGCAAAACCCGCATGCGCGCTCGTATAAGGAGAATGATTCTCTGTAAGACGTCGAAGCACCATCTACGTCTCCCGTCTCCGCTCGATGTTCGGCGACTTTGAGTCGTGCGTCCGCGCAATTCCAAAGCGCTGGCATGACGTCTTCGTGCGCTTGACTATTCTCTATTGATGTCGCGCAGTAATCGTACATTTCCACGGCTCGAGCCAGCGTCGCCGAAACCTCTGCGGCGTTGTCACCGCCGCCCCCAAGCTCGACGATTCGTGAAAGCGCGGTGGCGACACCGTTCGCCTTCTCTAATGGCGAACCACTTAAACCTTCGAACGCTCGTAGGGCATCTTGCGCGCATGAAATCGCCCGCTCTTTTGTGCGAGCCTCGTCAGCGCGCGTCGTCGTGCTCAACGCTTTTCGACGTTCGACTCGCATGATTTCGCCCGCGTACTCGAGCGCGGCGTTCGCTAGGCTCACGCGCGCTTCGTCACCACGTTCGTCCTGACTCGAACTCGCCACGAACGCGCGTAAATTCTCCAGCGTGCGCGCGTACAGCGCCAATCCTTCTTCAGCGGTTTCGGCCCGTGAAATGCGTTTAGACGCCGCGCGCAGCTCGCGCTCGAAAGCATCGAGCGTCGGCGAGGCGATCGTCGTCGACGCGCTACTCGACGCATTCTTCCCGCGTCGCGCGTGCGGGGGGACGTATCCACCGGCCATCGCGAGCGCGTTGACGAGCGCACCTCTGACGACAGAACCAAGGAACGAACGAGCGAACGTCGCACTCGTCGCCGCGCGTCGTCGTCGAAAAGCGCGTGGGATGAAAACCGCGGTGTGCGTGCTAGGGATCGACGGCTACCTGGCCCAATTCGTCGCGCGCGAATTCATCGCGGCGACCGAGGCGTGCGATGTAGTTTTCACGACGTCGAGAAGAAGTGGTGGCGACGACGGTTGCGACGCACGAATGGTGCGCGTGAAGTGTGATTTCAACTGCGAAGAGAGCTGCGAAGAAGCGGCGCGAGCGCTCATGGCCGAAGGCCTCGACTTGCGCGGCGTTATTAACTGCGCGGCGATGTCGTCGCCGGGGCAGTGCGAAGCGGCGCCCGAACTCGCGCGCCGAGCGAACGCGCCGAGAGCGTTGTGGAGCGCGATTTCATCCATCGCGCAGTCTCGCGGCAAACAAGCGCCGCTGTGGATACAACTTTCGACGGATCACGTCTATGACGGCGAACGGGCGTTGAGCGACGAGAGCACGGCGTGCGCTCCAGTGAACGCCTACGGCGCGAGCAAGGTGTTTTGCGAAGAGACGCTCGCGAAGGACTATCCGCGGTCGATCGTTCTGCGTTCGAGTATCATCACGGGACCCAAAGCGCCGTTAACGGACGTAGAGCGAACGTTGTTTCTAGATTTCATCGCATCAAGCTTCGCCAAGGAGACGCCGACGACGTTTTACGACGACGAGTTCCGTTCGCCGATTTGCGTCTTCGACATAGTTCGAGTCGTGCGCACGTTGCTTCAGCGCCACGATGATTTGCCCGATCGCCGGGTGTATAACATGGGCGGACCAGATCGCGTGAGCAGAGTCGACATGGCGAACGGCGTGGCGGAATTCTTAGCCAAAGGCGACGCGGCGATGGAACAGGTGTTCAAGTCAAAAATTGCCGTCGCGTCGTGCGCCGAGGCCAAGGCGCTTCGAGGAGTCGCCGCGCCTCCAGACATTTCCATGGATTCGCGCGCGCTCGTGCGAGAAATTTGTCAAGACTGGGCGCCTCGATCGTTCGAAGAACAAATAGCCGTAGCGTTCGCGACGTAGATCGTCCGAAGAACAAATAGCCGTCAACTGTCGCGTGGCCTTCGCGAAGTAGAGAAATTTGTCGAATATTCAAAACTCTGTGACACACAACGACGCGCGCCTCGCACGCGCATCGAGATGGACGTACGACGCGCGCGCGAGACGTACGAAGTAGAGACGTCGTTCGCGACCGATGCGGGCGCCGGGACCGCGCCCGATGACCTCGTGCGCGTCGTCATCGTGCGGGAAGATGCGACAGTGTCCGCTGAACCGTCGTCGTCAGCGCGGCTGGTTTCCCGACGGGAATCTCTCGCGTCGTCGGCGACGGCGATGAAGTGTTCGTTTAGAGATTGCTCGACGATGGTGATCGACCAACGTGGGTTCGGGTTCAGCGCGCGCGAGGGAGACGACGCGATGAAGGCCACGCGACAGTTGACGGCGTTCGCGACGACGAAATGGCGAAGCAAAGTCAACGCGGCTTTAGAGGTGCGAAACGCGTTGGTGGACGTCCCGAGATACGTGCCAGAGATGTTGAAAGAAATGCGACGGCAAGAGCGCGGCGACGGCGCGCGCACGTTTGCGCACGCGAACAAGATTGAAAGCGCGACGTGGGACGCAGCTGCAGGCGTGAACGTCGACGACGACGGAGGATTTTCCATCGAGTCGCGGTGCGGAAGCGTCAAAGCGCGACTCATCGCGTCGCACGGGGTTATTTTTGAGGTGCTTTACCCGGTGCTCATCGGCAGTCGCGGGAGTGATTTTGAGCACGTGTGGCAGAGGTCGAGATTTGAGGTGGCGTCGACGCCTCAGAGATGGTCGTTTCCGCTTCGCGCTTTGCGAAGCGCGAGGGCGTTCTCGATCGCCGAACGCGACGTCGATATAGACAGACTCGGTGCTGATGATGCCGTGAGCGAGCTTCCTCGCGCGTTGCTCGGTGGTGAAGCCATCGGCGGGACGCCGTGGAACCCGTCGCGAGAGGACCCAAAGTCGTGGTGGTCTTCGCGGGGTTTGAACACATACGACGCCGAGGCGAAACCGTGGGTGGAATGGACGCCATATTGCACGATTTGGGCGTGCGCATGCGGCGACGGTAGCGGAGACGGCGCCATGTTCGCTTGGGAGGGGGCAAACGCGCGGTGCGTTGCGGTTGCCCAAGACGAACGCGCCGTGGCGTGCTCTGACGATTTCATCGTAATGGTCGCGCCGGGCGTTGTCAGCGAAGGAACTACGTCGCAGACATCTTCGCGAAAACTCGGGCTAGAGGACATCGCTGAAGACGACGAGTTCGTCGAATTGCTTCCCGTCGTCGAGCGTTTGAGACGATTCGAGCGTGCGTGCGTCGCACGTCGAGACGCGATAACGAAGGGTGCGTACGACGTTGCCGACGCGTTTGCAGCGATGTCTGTGGATGTAATCCAGCGCGAGGCGATCGGTGTGAAGGGCGAACTCGTCGCTTACGCCGATGGTCGCGTGCGCGGTGTATTTGACGATCGCACGATTTTGCTCTTTGATCGAACGAGAACCAACGCGGCGTTGGTACTCAGCGACGGCTCACGCGTACAAGTGCGCATCGCCTCGCCGGTGACGGCCAAGTTGCACGTCGGCGTCGCCATCGCATTTGCGAACAAAGTCTGGCCGACCACGACGGAGGGCGCCGCCTCAGCCTCGTCGACGCCCTCCGTCGTCGACGTCTCTGCGAACGTTTCGAGAAACGACGAATGGCTTCGTTGGTATGCATCGATGGCGTGCCAAACGGATCCCCAACCGCCATCTCATGGATTGGCGCCTATCGAAAACCGTGAGCGTTCCGACGTCGTCGCCAGCGAACTCGCGAAAACCCGTCTGTGGCTTGCCGCGAGCGATTTGTGAAACTTTATTTTCGTTGTCTATAACGCGGCGTGCGCGGCGAATCGAGCGGGTCAGCGCGACGCGGCGCGACATCTTCTCTCGCAACTCCTGCTTTGCGACGGAACGACGCAAGAAGCCATAGATAACGACCCAGATTTGAAGTAGGAATGCAAATCGACTCACCCACGTCGCCGTCGTCGTCCCGCGTCGGCTCCCAGGAAACTAGGGTTAGAAACTAGGGTTAGAAACTAGGGTTAGCAGTGTCTCTGGAACATGACGCTTTTGGCGCCCTGAAAGCAGCGCGAGTAAAGGGGTCACCTAAACCACTACACTGGCAGTCGACGACGCTGGAATTTCGCGTACGCGCATGAAACATGTATTTGCATCTGTGTTTAGGGTTTAGGGTTTTAGGGTTTAGGGTTTAGGGTTTAGGGTTTAGGGTTTAGGGTTTAGGGTTTAGGGTTTAGGGTTTAGGGTTTAGGGTTTAGGGTTTAGGGTTTAGGGTTTAGGGTTTAGGGTTTAGGG